GGGGGTTCACCTCGTACACCCGGAAGGCATAGAAGCCGAGCACTGGCATCCAATCTTCTTTGGTTGCAAACATTTTATAGAAAACATCTATACCCAGGGAATGCTCGCATGCGAACATCAGTACAGAGTGGACACTCTGGGAAACAACGCACAGCTTTTCACAGTTACCCAGAGTGATGACGACACCTTCACATTTTACCGATCGGGAACCCCCGCTGGTGGTAGCAGCTGGGGAGGGTAATGAGTTGGAGGCCCAGCCCTCGGGTTCATCAGTTGATGCGGCCTTCATTCTTCGTCTAACCGAGAGCAAGTGTACGTCACCATATCAACTTTGCCAATTGAACATTAGAGCCATTCAGCCATTAGTCTAATACCTATCATAGACATAGAAATTGCATGATACGAGGCTCGTTCCTAATCCTGTCTTGGGTTAGTGATGTTTCGTCTGTGGGGCCAGAAAGATGGGGGATCTTGACTGGAAAGCATTGGTACCGGATTTTGTTTGAGCACAAGTATTTAATGAGGGCGAGGTATGCGAATTTGCAAGACGTGAATTGTACAGAGTGAGCTGGTCTTCGAAGCTCTGGCGATTTTTTTGGATCCGAATAGTCATCTCATTACGTACTTGCAGAGGAACTATAGCCTATTTTTAGGCGCAAGCGTACTAGTATCAAAAGGCTCACATTAGAAATTCTGGCTTCATAGACATGAAAATGTCCAATACACACTACTAGGACTGACCCCCATTAGCCCAAGCGTAGAAGGGCTCATCGCGAAGAGGAAATGGGTAACCAGTGATGTAGTTTGGCGAATGTTCATAGCCTAGAGTGAAATGGTTCCACTAGAACTAATAACTGGTCACATGCTACTCACGTAGCTAGCAGTGCATAGGAATAAACCCATCAACCACTCAGGGCAACTTTACTTCCTTGGTCGTCCTCGGAATCACCATCACTATCATTATCACCGTCAGCCCTAGCCCCGCGCATAGCGGCAACACGTGATAGGTGGAAATGGAGCATAGAAATTTTAAAGATGATAGGGAGTGCGTTCTGGCATTGTGAGCCACAAGACGTAACAGGCTGAGATTGATACTCTGCTGAAATTGGCCCGTCAGTATATCCACCTTGGACCAAGATGACGTGTCAGAGGCGTTTGATGAGGGGCGCTGCTATCGCCCACATGCTGTCCCTGATAGACCAATTGCAGCAAGTGTCAGATGGCTTCTCCTGGGGGCTATGAAGGATGTACAAGCGATACCTGGCCGCTGCAGCAAATACTCAGTTGGACCTAAGCCAGCTATGTGAGGCGGGCTTTACATCAATACTGGTCATATCAGTGATGGTATAACTCTCCGCCTGGACAGTGGGAAGATAAGGAGTGAGTTGAGTTGAGGACAGAAGTCTTCTGTGCCGATTTTGGATCTGGATCTGGATAGAGGGTATCAGTCGACGCTGTTTCTCTTTGATGTCACTTTCATGTTTGAATCGTCTTGAGAAAATTAACATTGGCCTTGTGGGTTCGATGCCATCTAGCAATCTAAAATTTTCATCCAATCGTTGCGTAAGATTGAAACAGAGATCCATGTCCATATGTTTCATCTAGTGTACTCACATGTGCACTTCTACTGTAGAGCGACTATTGACCCTTGGCCAAGGTGATGACCTTCTTTGCCGCCTCCTCGAATCCATCAAATGCATGTAATGGAAAGCCACTCCCCGCAATCTACGGATATCCAAGTCAGCAACTGAACAATGCGAGTGAGTCCGCCAAAAATATTCACAAAAATGGACTTGACGCGCGCGTCAGAGCAAATCACGCGAAATGACGTTTTGACAGTCTCCGAAGTGGCTTTACCACCAGTGTCAAGGAGGTTTGCGCAGTGGCCGCCGTAGATAGTGAGGGCATCGACCGTGTTCATGGCAAGACCGGCTCCATTAACTGCGCGATATAGTGAGCAAACACCCTTTTTTAACGAGGTGTACACCGGAATACATACCAAGTGTGCCAATGCTACCTTCGCCTTCCAACCTATTGCATGTTAGTAGAGACACAGACAAACATCGGGGGTTATGGGTGTATTTTCTACACACTTGACGTAAACAATTCCATGCTGTTCGGCTTCAACCTCCTCTGGGACCCCTTCAGAAAGATTTCGAAGTTTGTGGATATCTTCCTATCGGCCCGAGCTGCGAAATGCAGCATCGTCGAAGCTAAAACGCGCACCATAGATCTCAAAAGTACCAGCAGTGGATATGCCAATCTGCGTCTCCAGCGTAAAGGCCTCCTTTTCCTTGTAAATTTCCCAAAGTGCCGGTATAATGCCTGCAAGCTGCTTGTGAGACGAGTCTGGGAGGCGCAAATGTAAGGCAACAGCAGCAACGATAGAGCTCTCAAACTCGGGTTGAGTGTAAGGAAATGGAAATATCTTCGACAAAGATGGGTTAAAGTCTGAAGTCGGCGAGGCAACGATGCATGGCGATAAAGCTGTTCGGTCGACTGTGATGGACACAGAAACAGAACCATCAAAGCTAGAAGCCGACTCATTCACCGGGATAGACCTCTGCTTGAGGATATCGAATGCTTGAAACTGCTTGATGTACAGACTACGCTTACATTCAGCCGTCGGTATCGAGATTGGCGTACTTCGTCCCGTGGTATGGAGCCGACGTATTTGTGAACTTTGCTGCGAGCGTGTCAGTTTACATGAGATAGGATTTAGCAAATACCACTCACACTGACACCCAGCCGGCTAGACTGGTTCGCAAACAAAGTCTTCATTCCTTCGCCGAACTTCTCGGGATGGTTAACCATGACCGTGCCAGCACGTTCCAGCGCTTGATATTTAGTTTCCACATCTGGTTCCCCAGGCGCAGCCCAGGCACCGGCATGTCCCATAATCCGTCCAGGTGGTGCTTCCAACCCCGCAACAAGGGCCATAATAGGCCTATCCAATGTCACAATTGCCCTCCAAAAGCCCACAAAACCAATCAAGTAAAAGGAACGATAACTTACTTGGGATCCACAGTCCCTCCGTCGATAGTCCTTGATCCACTCAGCAGCATCCATCTCCGCCGTTTCCCCAACTTCACCAACCAGGATAATACCCTGAGTCTCAGGATCATTCTCAAAGAGATTCAGGGCATCGATAAAGTTTGTGCCAGCCAACACATCGCCACCCATACTAATACAAAGACTCTGACCAAGCCCAGCCCGACTTGTTGACGCAACAGTCTCAAAGCTCAATGTCCCAGACTTAGCCACGATACCGACATTGCCCGGCGCGAAGCAAGGCAATGGCTGAAAGCCGATTCGGCATTTTCCAATGGCGGATATAATGCCTGGGCAGTTTGCACCTACCAGACGGGTTTTGGATTGCGTTTGAAGCGTAGAATGGATCTGTAATACTGTTAAACAAAGATGCCTTAACACTTCCCGGCACGATTAACATTTCTCGCGAGTGAACAAGTCACATACCCGAAGGATATCGTGGATTGGCACATATTCCGCCACCGCCACAACGAGCGGGATTTCCGCTTCAATGGCTTCTTCGATGGCTTTGGCTGTTTGATTTCCTGGGACATAGATCGCGGATGCATCGGGTGTTGCCCGCTCTTGAGCCCTGGGTTCTCGTCAGTCAACTTGTCAAATTGCATTTTCCCCAACGGGGGACCAATTAGTTTATTAGCCATACCGCTTTGACAGATGGGAAGAGCGGTAATCCTAGATGTTCGCCTTCAACAACAGGCTTGACGTCTCCTACGATCTTAGTACCCCACTCAAGGGACTCCTTGACATTGGTAGTCGCCTGTCTTCCTGTGGCGGAGATTAGCATTCTATGTCATTTCATTGCGGGATTCTTCTCAAATCAAACAAACAGGAATTAATACCTGTAAATCCCTGATATAATACTCTGGCGTGGGCTCCAATCTTGAGGTTTGGTAGAGTGTCCTGCATACTTAGCGGTGCGGGGGCTTGTTGTGAAACGCCTTGTCAGGGGGGGCTTGCAACTGGGGCACCCGCTTTGGTAGGGCATGCAGAGTCATGGTGGTTAGTGTAGAATGCAATTCCAGATTGGCAGGGTTTCTAGAACTGAAATGAGTTATGTACCAAAGTCCATTTCAAAATCAGATATGTTGAGAGATCCAAGTCGGCTAGTCCAATCTCAGAGCTTTCCCCCCATTTGCCGAGGGTGCCCTGATTTATACCAAGCTAAGAACAAGACCGTCAAAAGTAAAAGTAAATTCTTTATTTTCTGATTGAATAACAGAATGTCTTCCACTCCAATCCTGCACGATCAATACTCATTAAGATGAAGCTTCTTCCCCACAAACCTCCGCCTAGCAGGCTTCTCGCCGCGTTGTTCCCGTTCCACATCAAGGCCTTTGAGTGCATGAAGAAGCATTCCGGCATCAAAGAAGCCATCTAATAACATGCTTAGTTAGCAAACCACAACAAAACGCGCCAAGAAAGATTGAGACAACTTACATCCTCCCATTCCATCATCCTCCGTAAAGCCACTATCAGCAGCGGAAGTAGGCGTATCAGCACCCTGAGCACCCCCACCTCTTACAAGTCGACCACGCCGATGTGACTCCGACTGCAACCGTTCCGCAAGTGCCTCAGTCTCTCTCGCCCGACTAGTGCGTGGACTTGTCGCCTTGCGATTCGTCGCACGCAACAACTTGCGAATTTCAAACAGATACGACTCAAGCGTGTGCATAAGACGTGATGTCTGTCTGTGCTTGGAGCTCGCGCAGATTGAGATCGAGTCATCCTTGATGATGTAGCCGATACCGAAGCCGTCAGCGGATGTGGGCCCGAAGCCGAAGTGCCGCAGACACGGGTTTCCGCAGTTCGAGGTCGACAGCACGGAGTTGTTGATCTTGTCCCAGCCGGCATCGGCGAAGATCGCGGGCGTGGGCGCGGACATTGTACGGTAGGCGCGCGCGCTGCTTGCCGGTGAAGAGAGGCCATCGTCTGAAGGGGAAGAAGAGAGTTTTAGTGATTCGGGACCCTGGCTTTGGGTTTGAGATTGCGTTTCACCAGGACTGGAGTATCCGCCTGTTGAGCTGGTGTCTGGGAAAAGGCCTTCGTCAAAGGAACGCTGCCAGAGGCAGTAGAGGGCGTAGAGGTGGCGGTCTGGGCCTTGGCCCTTTGAACATTCCTTGGTGGCATCTGTATGCTTTTTGCAAGCGATGCGGAGAGCGTCGACCTTTTGTTCGGCCGCGTTCTCATCCCAAAATGCTGTGACAAAGTCTATGCATTCGGGCGTTACGGTGCGTATCGCTTCAGTGCGTCCGTGTAGGAACATCTTTGTCATGGCTGGTTCGTAGGTGTTCTCGACTCGGCCATACAGGCCATAGTAGGCGGCCTGGAAGGCCATCTGGATGAATGCATCTGGAGAGAAGCCCATTGAGGTTATGAAGTTTTTGCCAAAGCCTTCAAAGTCTAGGACTTGGAATTCGTGTTGGCAGAGCAGGTCGGAAAGGTGGGATTCGGCGAAGCGGAGCGCGATGTTAAGTTCGGGTGTCATATCCCATTCTAGTTTGCGCGGTGTCGTGCTGACGTTTCCGAAACTTTGAGGGTCACGCTTCACTGGGTCGGGGCTGCTGGTTGCCCAAAGGCTTGGGGATTGGCCGTTGATTGTCCTTGCAAAGCGGAGGATAGTGTCGGTGTACACATCGCTGGCAAAGCGTAGCACCGTGTGGCCATCCACACCGGTATGCTCGAAGTTGATGCCTGCACTGCCGTTCTTGCAGACGATGATTTGCAGCTTATCATACCACCGATTGGTGCAGGTTCCAACCTGGACACCCTTGACGACTTCGCTTGTGCCACAAAGCATGTTTGCACAAAGCTCGGATGTAGTGGATGGCTCTGTGCCGTCTAGACATAGGACAAAAAGGGCCGTGTCGACAATGTTCAAACACTCCGCGTTATTAGATCTGGAATCTCTGGTCATGATATCGCGTAACCCCGACCAGACTTTACGGTTCTCGGTGCTGAGTACACCCAAAGCACCCTTGGCGGCCTCGTGAAGAGGAGTTTGAGCCGCATCCTCAACAATGACTTGCAGGTTAAGTGAGATATCCTTCTCTGTCATAATCAAATCACTATTGTCATCCAAGACATCAAACCAGTAGAACTGCCCCCGACACATAACAACCATGTGTTTAGCCGAGGGGTCCTGGCTAATAACACAGCCATTATCAGTAGGCAGACGTGCCGTTCCAAAAAGGCGCGAGTATTGATACATGCAAAGAGGCGTTCCTCGCACAGTATCAGGAGGTAGCTCCTCTCGACGCACAGCTCGAACAAATGCCAATGCAGAAATTGCCAGTGATGCAGCTCGAGTCACCTGATGATTTCTGGCGGGAGTTGGGTCGTCCTCCAGAAGGAAAAATGGATTAAGATTCAAAACAACAGCTGCGAATGTTAGGTGAGCGCAAAAAAGAAAAGGCCAGATTGGGAATTGTACTTACGATTATCGAAGTTCAAGTAGGAATCATACCCTTACCAATGATCAGCCAACCTCCCATCGCATCCTTGGATTCTAAATAAACTTACAAAACTGCTCAATATAGCTCGTCTTTGAACCAGCATATGTTTTAAGCCGTTCTTGCAAAAGTGGACCATCATTCTTTAAAAAGTCTCGGACAGCGGCCCTGGTCTCTTCATGATCACGCGGGCTCTGCAAGCCCTGCAGAGTATCTATGTACCTGCGACAAGTATCCTCCAGCTCGGGAATAGGAAGCTTAGGCAGCGAATCCTGGTTTGCAAAAGTCAAGCCCTGGCTCTTAGGCGTGTGGAACTCCGCAACCTCAGAGGAAGGCTGTTCAGTAGAAACATTTGGTCTCATGACCGTGTGAGCTTGGGGGTTGGACCCGCACTTTTTGCTTGTATCGGCATCCATGGGATCACTAAATGGTTTGGGGGTTGTGAAGAATCGTACTGCCATTGAGGAGTAAGACATGATGTTAGATATGTTCAACGTATCAAGACAAGATGTATGCAGTCGTAGCGACTAGCGAGGAGGGTGGGAATTGACAGGAGGCGTAGGGCAGTGCGGTAGAAGTAGTGGCAGTCTCGGGGACAGTATGGTGGCATTGAGACTATGTCATGTGCAGGTGCAGATAGATCGACAAGAGACAAAGGAATAAAAAGGAGATGTTTGGGATAGATGAATTCACAAAAAAAAAGAAGATTCTGCAGAGATGACAGAAAAATTCGGATGGCGTGAGACAGGAAGAGAGCATGGTAATTTATAGAGATATGGGGATGGGGATTATACAGTGATCTCAACGGCTGTGGATCCGGCTCGGGCCTAAGGGGAAAAGGAAAAGGCCATGAATTGAGCAGTAGACTTACAGAGCACTTGAAAATAGTGCAATGGATATGAAACCCCGAGGTGCAGGTTGGGGTGACCGGGTGATACGGTGGAAGAACGGAATGATGGCGCCGGAGAAACGGATGGGTTTCGCTGTGCCGTTTGTCAGATGTCATATTTTTTGCCAAGAAAGGAACATCTGCAAAGATGTGGTTCATAGCTTTTACAGAGTCCCTTGGAGATATCATAGGAGCCTCTGAGGGCTTGTAACATGTAGACATCACACCTTCAGCTGTTTCCATGAAGAGTGACGACGAAATGGCTTTGTCTCAGGAGGATATATCCCTCACCCCGTAGGGTTTATTTAAAGGAAAATGATAGGGTGGAATACCAGATGGACCAGGTGTGGAACTTACTTCTAAGGTTAACGACAATCTTTAGACCCCGGCACGTTGCCGCAGGTATCTTGGCTCAGGGTAAAGATGTGCAAAGAAAGCTTGCAACCCGTTGATGTTGAAAGATTATGGTCGAACTGCATTTAAAGAAAAATTGAAAAAATACCCTCGAAATGGAGCAAGAAGCTTACTGTTTACCAGACACAAAAGTTCTTCTCAGAAATTTGAAGTAAATCGGATGGGCTCTCACTTCATGCTCCAGACGTTTCGGGCGAAAGGACCGGGGGATCTTAGGGTCACGTGGACGCAGCGTCATAGAGGTAAAAGAACATGGAATCAAACAGCAGCCACCACCACGATTGTAGATCCTATGATTCCGTGAAGGTTTTTGAGAAGATTTCATAATACACTGGGGTTATACAAGGTACATCACGTCCGCAAAAAAAATTAAAAAACGCCAGAGATTTTGTTATCCACAGGATGAGCCGCAACACGGGGATAGTGGAAAACATGGAACAAGGAATATTTACAATAGAATAAAAATATCTGCATTGCCGTAGATCCTCTAAAGTAGAAGGATGAGGCACGCTTGCATACATACAGTATGGGTCACCGATCGAGGCAGGACATGCAAATGATGAAGAAGTTTAAAAACAAGAAGACAAATCCAGATGGCGAGTCCGTTATTTGGAAGAACAAAATCGATGGGTTTAGATCACTCCACACAAGAAGAAAATCGGATGCAGCATTCTCAAATCAACAGCCCCAAATATCCCGTGACGTTCATGATCTGGGCCTCAAGACGTTGTCGGCATACTCACCGGCGTAGTTACCGGGAGAGCCATAGTTGCAAACAGTGAAGGGCGAGGGGCCACCAACATTCCCCAAGTCAGAGCAGTCAACAGTGGCGCAACCGACTTCCGTAGTGGCTTTCCAAACGATCTGAGTAAAGTGGCCCCACTTGTCAAAGTTGGTCATATCAGGGTTGGCCTCGCCGTAGAGGTTGGTGAAGTACGGTGCCTCGTCGGTGTACATCATCCCACCGATAACCTTCTCGCCAACCAGTGCCGCCTCGTAACCGTATGCGATGTTCTGACCGTAGTCTCCGCTTGCGGACTTGATGGAGCTAGTTGACATTAGTAAGATTGATTTCCAAGCACAATGAAGGTATACTTACGTGTCATGTTCGTACGAGCAACGCGAAGCGAGAGTCTGGGCAGCTCCCGCGAGGTCATCGGACCAGGTCAAAGCGCCTGAAAAGTGTTCGCTGCGGTGAATGTTGTGGTAGTACAGGATAGACTCCTGGTAGGAGTTGGCAGCGGTGGCAGCGGTAGCAGCGGGGGGGGCAGCGGCGGTGGTCGAAGTTACCAAAGAGGTGGCCACTGAGGTAGCGAAAGAGGTGGCCACTGAGGTAGCGAAAGAGGCAACGGAGGTGGTAACGATCTTAAATTCGGCCTCGGTGGTTGAAGACGTAGTCGCGGTGCTGGGTTTGGCAGGCTCAACCACAGCCACAACGGTAGTGGCAGCCACAACAGTAGTAGGAGCCACAGCGGTAGTAGGAGCCACAACGGTAGTAGGAGCCACAATGGTAGTAGGAGCCACAATGGTAGTAGGAGCCACAACGGTAGGAGTCACAACGGTAGTAGGAGCCACAACGGTAGTAGGAGCCACAGCGGTAGTAGGAGCCACAACGGTAGTAGGAGCCACAATGGTAGTAGGAGCCACAACGGTAGTAGGAGCCACAGCAGGGGCGGACTCCACCTCAGCAGGGACCTTCTTAGAAACGTCGACCGTAGGAAGGGCACTGGTGGCAGACTTAGTGTGGTCCTGCTTGACCGAAGCAGCCGTGTCGGGGGTGTTGGTGGGCCACAGGGTCACAGTCTTCGTGACGGTGGTGGTAGTCCACTCGGTCACATAAACCTCCTTCTCAATAACCTTGGCACAGGTACCAACCGCCAAGGCGGCAAAGATGACAGCAGAACGCATTTCGGGATTGAAAACAAAGAAACTTCTCCGGGAAGTTTGCGAAGAGAATGGGTAATGGGTCAAGCAGATCGACTACGTTGACAAAGGAATGTGTACGCTAGGGATAAATGAATGGCCGGCCGAAAAACACCTTCTTCCTTCAAGGAGCGAAAGAAAGATAAGGTGCAGGCGGAAAAGATTGGAGAGGACAAGGAGAGAAGGGGAGAAAAAGAGAGGACGGTTGGTAGATGTAGAAAGGGGAGATGAGGAGGCGGGGGGACCGTGCGAATAGGCAGGGTATTAATTTTAAATGAGGTCCAACAGAATACTCCGTAGAGTATGGAACAAACAAGAGTAATTATTTTGTAAATTAATATCCAGGGAAAAAAACTTCAATGGCTCTCTTCTATACTTATTATCTTTTCTTTTGGGGGATTTCCAACCTCTTGACATCGGAACATACTTCGTTGTGGCACATTCTTCAGTACATTCCAAGTCCTAGATACCGTTTTGCATTGACATGAGGCTGGTGATTAGGACGCTCAGCAAATGGTCTCCGAGATTTGATCTGAAGATTTTCTTAAGAGGATTAGATATGTACATATTACCAATAAAATCTTGCATTATGATGTGTGATGTCCCCGGGTGGATGTATTCTGGACCACCTCTACGAGTCCCAATTATGGAGTACATAGTTACGCCTAATCAGAAGGAGACAAAAGGAAATAAGGTAATTAAAAGTACCGTGGGTTTCCGCAGGAAAATCCCCAAAGTAGTATAGAGAATACGGAGTACAGCCGTGAAAAAGAAAAAGCAATCGAGATCTTGTTTGGTCGAAGCCAGGGGACTGTCAATGGAAGACCCTTGACCAGGAACAGTTTCAAAGTGTCCACCCGTAGCTTTATCAACCAATCACAAGATCCGTCGGGAAAACAAAATCTCCCCACATGGCCATCCGCTTATCCAGCTAAGAAACTTTGGCTAAGAGGCTCATTCAGTGGGCTGCACGGGCGGATCCGAAATAGATTAAATCAATCCTCGTTTCAGCCACCAATTTAAGCAACGATATTCTCCGGAATACCCGAAATGAAAATGAAGATTCTCTGTTTTAAGGCTTGTATTGAGTTTTAGGGACGGAGTGCCCCAGACTCCGCAGCCTTTCAATAATTGTTGGATCGTCATGATAGTGGAAGATCAAAATGAAGACCAGGGCTGGGTCTTCCAATCAGAGCGAGACGCCCATTGGCGTACCTTGCGTCCGCGGGTCATTGTGGGACAGGGCACCTATACAGTGTAGCAAGGGGAAATTCCAAAACATCTCATAATTCTACCTGTACGATTGAATCTGCCGTAGTAAGAGTACGAAGTGCAGAGTACGCAGATACTAGTCTTCGACATACAGCTCCACCTTTTCGGCATTCGAGCCCAGGGTCCACGGTCTAGACGGCAGGAGATCTGCTCTGAAATAATGTCAAGTGCCCAGATGTGTTGTGCCCAACCAAATGTCCAAGAACGCCACAACCACACAACCGTTCTTGATGAGAATATGGAAAAACGGAACCACAGCTCGTAACGCCTAGATATCAATAATTTGGCATCGCCCAGCCTCACAAACCATCAAGTAGTTCTTGGTTGGCTCGGCGGCCTTTAAATCTTGAAAAAGTGCATTTCGGGACTTGAGCCAGAAGGACTGATTTCTCACAAAGTCTTTCAAATGTGAGGGGCGAATGTCGACAATGGAAGTGACCACGATAGACGAGGACACAGCCACGCCGGCCTCGGCCCGGACTCGTTGCCGGATTAGGTCGAGTGCCGATACAGGCTCATCGTTCCGACTGGGGAGAGTGTCGCCACGTGGATTAGGGATCGAGGAGATATTAGCGGTGGAGAAGACACCCGTCACTGTGCGAGTACCAATCTGGAGGCCCACAATCACATCCAGCATTCCTACGAACAGGAAAGGATGCTGGATGATCTCCACCGCGAAAGTGTTGCACGTCTGCCGGGCCAAGGTCCGGTAACTCTCATCCTCGAGCAGAGCGGATAGACGCAGTAGATTACGCGCAATGACTCCGTTTACCGAAGGTGTTGCCGACTCGGTGCCTGTCTTCAGACGCAGGAGCGGTCCAGGCATGCCGGGGGTGATGACGGAAGGTGTACTGTAGTACCCGGTGGCGGTAGAGCCACTCTGTGCCAAAAAGTATTCATTGAGGTACTCTAGAATCATTAGGTTAGCTAGCAGATCCCGTTATAATCAAAGGGGCGGTTCTCACTTTGCAGTCGCTCGGCAAATTGAAGATAGCTGTCATCGTAGGTAGCGTCATACATGTCGAGTAGCCCGCTAGCCAAGTATGCGTAGTCGTCGGCAAACCCCGGGGTGTCTCCACGATTTCCACCGCGGTAAATACGCCATAGCTGTCCTGTGGTCTTGTCAAAAAGTTTGTCCTTAATGAAGCTAATTGCCCGTGCTGCCGCTTCACGACAGTACACCGCCTTGGAGCTCTCGATCTCCTCGAACAAAACACTACACTTGGCAAGCGCACCGATCGCCAATCCATTCCAGGCAACGATAATTTTGTCATCCAGGTCCGGACGCCCGCGGGATCGTTCGCGGTAATCGTGCAACTTCTGCTTCGACGACTTGATGATCTTCACCACTTCCTCCTCGCTAAGACCGAAGTCTTTGGCGAGTTTGCTGGGCGTGGCACGGATGGACAACACGTTTTGGTTCATGAACTCATCATGCGGGTCGTACTCGGGTGGAACGTTGCCGTCGGGGAGAACACCCCAGTGTTTGGCGCAAACTGGAGCATCCCGAGGGCCGAGGACTGAAGTGAGTTCCTTCAGCGACCAGACATAGAAGGCGCCCTCCCGCTTTTCGGTGTCATTTGGATGAGGGTAACTGTCGGCATCTTCTGAAGAAAAGAACCCTCCGGTGGGCGACTGTATCGGGGCGCTCGTCAAGTAAGCAGCCAGATCATAGACAGCGCCCAGAAGTTCGGGGTCATGGGTGAGCCGGAAAGCATCCACGTAGACATCCAATAGCTGTGCCTGGTCATAAAGCATCTTCTCGAAATGGGGGAGACCCCAATCTGTCGTCACGCTATACCGTGCGAATCCGTGCCCGATGTGGTCCCGAATACCACCACGAGCCATATTCACTAGTGTTGTGACGGCCATCGCGGTTGCTTGTTCACATTCATCATGTCCTACAACATCCATGACCTGGGTCGGGTAGGCACCGAGCCGGAGTAAGAAGCTAAGATTGGACGGTGTAGGAAATTTGGGGGCACGGCCAAACCCGCCATTGACCGAGTCATATCGTGATGCAAAATGCTGATATGCTTCTTCCAGAAGCTCAATATCCATATCCTCATCATTATCATCATCGCGATCGCCTTGCTGCGAGTGCGTCCCTTCCTCGGCAAACTCTCTCAATTGTTTGGTGATTTCTTTGGCGCTGTCGAGACAGCGTTGCTGTTGTGTCTGCCACACATCTCTAAGTTTTTCTAGAATCTCCACAAATCCGATTGCTTCGGGACCGGTGAATGTGGTTGAATTTGGGCCTTGCCAGTACGTGCCACCAAACACAGGCTCGAGGTCAGGAGTCAAGAACACGTTCAAGGGCCAGCCACCAGAACCCGTCGTGGCCTGGACATAATTCATGTAGATGTCGTCGATGTCTGGTCGCTCTTCGCGATCAACCTTGATGGGGACGAAGGATTCATTTAGAATCGAGGCCACCTCTGATGACATGAACGATTCTTTTTCCATGACATGGCACCCTAGACAAGATTAGAATCACAGTAACACTAGTGTAGTCGTTTTAACCTACAATGACATGCGGAGTAACCGATACTGAGAAAGATTAAACGATTGTGCTTCTTAGCAAGCTCCATAGCTTCTGCATCCCAAACTTGCCATGCTACCGGGTTGTTCATATGTGCCCGGACCTGTATTCGTGTAAGCATGTTGTAGTTTACCTCAAGGGAAGACATCTCTCACATAAGGTGATTTGCTTTGCTGCAAGCGATTGACCATTTTGGGGCTTGTGTCAGGTACTTCATGACGCGGGTGTGAGTGGTTGATTGAGGCGGCCATTGTGATTGGATTTTCAATACTTCTGCTGGTCGGAGACTAAACGCCCGTCAGTCTGAAGCCTAAGAGGGGTCACTGACGGGTTCCGGCGTACAATGCCTAGGTACCCAAGCTCAGAAACTACACCACGTGTGACAAAGTCTTGGTGGACGAAGATGGCTTGTGGTACAATTTATGTCTCTTGACTGGGGAAACAAATGGACCGGTTGGAGCGGGTTTGAGAGGGTTAGAGCGGGCTGGAGCGTGTCTTGAAGAATAAAGTTGCCAGCGCCATTTTAGGCGGGGGGAAGTCGAGGCGAAGGTCGAGCTCGCGGGAGATCGGCCCTGTGCGTCATGGCTGCATCAAGAATATCACGTGATTCGTTCTATACGGCCATGCTATACAGTTGCAGGCGCACTGAAAGTTGTGGACAGCACTATATACACAATTCTATATTGTATGATCTTGGGTTTATTGTACATGCCTTTGCTAGGTGTAAACATGCTCAAAAAATTATTGGGTATCACATCGTCTAATCATCCCCCATCAGCTCTGCCAACTCCGCCTCTTCCTCCGCCGTTAGTATTGATTCGGCTGGCTTTTCCTCCTCCTCCTCCTTCTCCTCTTCTGTGGACCTTTTCGCAAGTTCCACTGCCTGCTGAAGCTCATCGGGTTGAAGGGACCATTGGCGAATCGTCGCATCAATTCCTACGCTGACAATGGTTGACCCAACAAGCACAAGCCCAGTGACCTCTTCGAAGTGGCCAGAGAAAGTGTGATGGAGTGCTCCGGTCTATTTCAATTAGCATACACCCCATAGAGATACTGAAAAAGAAAGAAATTTACCGATCGGTTCCACACTCTAACTTCCTCGTCCCGACAGGCAGTCACAACCCACCCTCCCGTTTCATAGACGACAATATCCCGGACAAAGTCGGGATGCTCTAGGGTCAGATTCGCCTTCCATTCATCCTGTCGAACCAAGCATTTGGCAGTCTTGTCGGCCGAAGCAGTCCAGAGATCACCGTCATTATCAAAAAAAAGCTTGTAGACACTGGTGTCATGTGGAAGGAGAGGGTCAGTGGTACTACCCCCGCCAAAGATACTGAATTGGCGAATTTCCCGATCACTTCCTGCACTGAAGACGATCGGTTTGTCGGTCTCCGATTCCGGGTCAAGGGCAAGGTCCTGGATGCCGCGAGAGTGGCCCTTGAAGGTCTCTAACCGCTCACCACTTGCGATATTGAATACCAAGACTTGTGCATCAGCACCGCCGGAGATGAGCAGGTCATATCCCTGCAGTCTTGCGCTGGTGACTGATCGAACGAAGTCGGCATGGCCTTCATACTTCTGGCGTGGCTGGCCCGTGGTCGTGTCCCAGCTCCAGATAGCTTTGTCCCAGCACCCAGCAAACAGGAGCTTGCCATCAGGACTCAAACAAAGGCTAGTAATGGGTGACACAGGGCCTGTAAAAGCCCTAGCTGTTTCTCCTGTCTGTAGAAATGTAAGAATTTAAGACGGTCTCAGAATACGGGTGCGCTTACGGCAAGGATGATCCTTCTCACAGTACCAGTACTTTGCGCAACATAAATCGAGCCAGTATTCCAGGGGTCTGGATGAGCTGCCAGGATCTTGCCCTGTAGTCGAATAGGATTACCATTGGTGTTCTGGGACTTGGCATCCTTGCGCTCCTGCTCATCCAAAGATGCGCTGTTAGGGATGTCAGTCAACACCTTTCCATTCAAAAATCAAAGGATTTTTTTGACGCACGATGTCTGAAAGAAATGATCTCGGTTTGAAGATGTCGTCATCGTGTTTCAAGTCTCTTTAAAATCATGTCAAGTGTAAAAGCGGCTCTCATTTTCCCCATCAACTTCTCCCCCGCCAACTCCAGAATTGCTATCCGAGCTCACGCCGTCCACCGTAGCCCGCATCCTCCACAAAACCACAGAATTTGCGTTTCGTCTCCCTTCCTTTCTCTTCCTATCTCGTCTCTTTAAACCTCCCCGTTTTCTTTTTCTTTAAATCATTATCCCCTCGTTTATCCGCCCGGCGCGATATTGCGCACAGCTGCTATGGAGATGAATCACCTCATAGGGTCAGTCTGAACCTCTTCGGAGCCAAGGTGGCCGGGAGTTAACATCTGGCAGTCAGCGTTTCAACCTGATCTCGAAAAGTGACATTCGGTGAGCTTATCAGAATATCAATTGCCTTATCCACAATTAATTTTCTTTTAGCTATGTCGGCACTCTTCACGAAATCAACCCCGAAGCCTCCACAATAGCTCTTGAGAATGTCATGTCATTCGGCTCAGAAGGACGCCGTGGCAACCCCGCTGAGGAAGTGCCCCCATCCACCGGTGTCTACGAGTACATTGTCTTTCGAGGCAGTGATGTGAAGGACATCAGCATAGCTGGAGAGGACCAAAAGGATCCCGTACCGCAAGAAGTACCTCGGGTACCAGAAGATCCTGCCATCCTCGGGGTAAGTCGACCCACCATGTCATCCCGCGCAACAAACCACCGCCCATTGTTTCGGCACATTGATCAAGTGACGAAAAATTCTCGGATGTAAACTCACAGACCTGTTCTGAATGCGCAAACCCGTGTAGAGATTTCCGTTGCCTTCCTTCTGATGATCAATTCCCTGTCTTGGACTTGTTTTCTGTATCAATGCGCATACAGTGTGCTGACTGGCGCAAATAGGGCGTTCAACGACCGGCTCCTCCTCAAGGGCCTGACTCGGGACCTGCTCCACAGAATCTTCCTCCTCAAGGCCCCTCACATGGCCCCCCCCAGCTTCCCCAGGGAGCTGGCCCAAATCCTCCTGGTTACCCCCCGCAGCACCAATTCCAGCAAGGTTACTACCCTTCCTACGGACAGCGATTTGGACCACCTCCTCCATTCCCTCCCGGTCCCGGTTTCCCGCCATACGGTACTCCGCCCGGATGGTATCCCCCTCCAGGCCATGGATTCCCCCCTGGTCCAGGTCAATTCCAACCTCCGATGCCCATTGGCCCTGGTCAGCAGTCTGTTCCTCAGCAACCTGGTCCACAGCAACCTGCACCTCAGCAACCTGCACCTCAGCAACCTGCACCTCAGCAACCTGCACCTCAGCAACCTGCACCTCAGCAACCTGCACCTCAGCAACCTGGATCTCAGCGGTCGGGACCTCCTGATGCCGTCCCTGCGCCTAAGCTCACCTCCGAACTCCCGGTCGGGGACAAGCTTCCCAACAAATCCACGAGTCATAATGCAACACCGGCTGCTCAGAACGCCCCCACCCCTCCCATCGAATCCAAGCCTACTGTCGCTGAAGCTTTGCAAGGTTCTGTCAGTTCTGCTCCTCCGACTGCTGCCCCTCAGAAAAATGGCCGAGTCATGCCAGCTATCCCGATCGCTGCCCCAAAGGCTGCTCCTCCAATCGCTCACATTCCTACCGCCTCTCGGGGAAATAACCAGTCTATTACTGATGCCACTGCGGCTGCCACAGCTGCAGTTGCTGCCGCCATGGCCAAGTTGCCACAGCCTGGTGCTCAAAAGCAATCCGGACAGCCCGAGGGTGCCGTGGACGCGCTTACGCAGCAGATGAACCACATGCGTCCTTACGACAACAACCGTGCTCCCCGAGGCGGTCACCACCACCCTCGTGGTGGACGCGGCGGTGCTCGTCCTCAGCAGCAGCCCAAGAAAATTGAAGTCCCCCAATCCGATTACGATTTCCAAACTGCAAACGCCAAATTCAACAAGCAGGATCTGGTAAAGGAAGCCATTGCCACCGGAGTTCCTGTTGCAGAAGCTGAGACCCACGCAGCTGAAGAAGCGGAATCTATGGAACCCATGTCAAACGGTGGCGGCGCTTCGTCGAACCACGGCTATAACCGTGGTTCATCCTTCTTCGACAATATCTCGAGTGAGGCTCGCGATCGTGAGGAAAATGCCGGCCGTGTTGGTGGTCGTGAATGGCGCGGCGAGGAGGAAAAACGCAATATGGAAACCTTTGGACAGGGTAGCGTTGATGGCTACCGCCCCAACTACCGCGGTCGTGGCCGTGGCCGCGGCTTTGGTCGTGGTCGAGGTGGTTACAGTCGTGGCTATGGCCGTGGCCGTGGCGGCGGCCGGGTCCCCCCAGAGTCCACTGGTGTCCCATCCCAGGGTTGATCGACATCATGTTTTTAACATGTCCTTCTAGCGATGATTGCTATCTTGTTTTCATATTTCGGGTGGCAAGACCTATGACCGAAACGAATAATTACACTTGAATCTTTTCTAGTCTCTTCGGCGCAATGGCAAATTGGGGCCGGGGCATACTGGGTTGGCCATGCGATACTTCCTGCTATAGCAAATTATGGGTGTTTTCTTGTGTTTCTTGTTATCTTTTTTTTTCTTTTTGTCACGCATACCCTTTCTGCAGCGTCTTCTGAAATTCCTGGATCCGATGGATTCTTCATTCTCATGTTTTCACTGTGCAGAAAGTGGCCAATGCACCATGATCTCTCGTGCTCGTCAGCATGGAGCAGATATCGTTATTTTGTGTGTAAACTATCCGAGGAGGAAAAATCCTCCAATGACCTAAATGAAAAAGGCATAAAAAAAAAGGTCGAATGGCCTTTGACACTGTTTCTTCCCTTGTAGATCAACGTCAACATCAAGAACTCCGTACAGCGTTATAATTCGCCGCACACATCCTCGCCACGTCAAGTTCTTAGACCACCAAAAGCAGCTCGATTCTTCGGTCCCTTTCAGCCTCAAATGTGGAGCTGTTGCTTTGTGAGCTTTCCTTCCTGAACTTGATGCACCACATCCCTGACGTGTCCTACGTTCGCATAGATTGCAAAATGAAAATCACAGTAAGAAGACGGACGAGATAGACAAATCCAAAGAAATAAGAACAAAGGGCTTCCGACACCCTCTGCCCAATTCCAATGTTACTTGATTCCACTATGAAATCGACTGTGTGTAATACGTAACTTTTTATCTAGTCACTGTACTATAAGAGTGTTTTGGGGGGTGAACTCTTGTCCTATCGTAGTATGTTCAGAATTTGTCTTCTCCGTGGCATCACGCAGTATTTCCAACTTCTTTGCCGCTGCATGTCACTTTGAAAAAAAAAAGCCTGTTGTTTTCAACGCAGGTTGCCAACCAATTGCCCTGGGATCCGAACAACGTCAAGCTCCCTTCGCGAAAGGATCTTCCCAAAAATTTCCGGTGCACCCGACGGTGCCGCTTGGGTCTGGGGCAAAGCTGATGAGGCGTGATCCTACCACTTACTGTGGAAATGTCTTTTTAATATGGCTGATGCGTCTGGTGCATAGGTGAGCAGATTGAACCTCTTGACGCCGCAGCGGGTCAAGGCATCTGCTGCTGAAATTGAAACCAGTGAGATGGTGCTATTGGAGTGAGTAAAGTGAACTATTACAATATGCTGACACGATATCTAAGCTTACAAGTATCATTATCACGTCTTCCTTTCATCGTGCCCGAAAGGCGGCTTTTGGCCGCGATGGATTCCAGCACAACATCAAACCGCTTGCTGATGGCGTTGCTTATGTTTATACTTACATTATGAACCCGCGAAGGGGGATTCAGTCTGATCTCAACCTTCAAAAGTTGTAGAATAAAACATCTATCTAGAGTGTATTTCCCACCACCATGTTCGGCTAAACCTCGGGCCAAGAATCTCCAACTCCGCATTTCTCCACGTTTCGGCCCGTGTTCAGATGTGGAACTTCTTTTATCTTAGACGACGAAAACTCGGGCTGGATTGCCGTTTCTTTGTGGCGTTGTAACAGCGCATCTCTTTCTTCCAGTCTTACTCAAGGTACCAGATTCCCATCCCATTCCATCATGAGCACCGAAACGCAAACAGAAACAATCATACTACAGACAAGAGCTTCTACTGAAGCGATTCCAGCCGAGCATGATGTAGCACAAGACTCAAGGCCCGAAGAAACAAAATGGATGCATGCCAAACTCTTCAGCGCAGGACTATCCTTTTTTGTCGCGGGGGTCAACGACGGAAGTCTAGGATCGATCATTCCCTACGTGATATACACCTACGACGTCGGGACAAATATGGTCGCCGTGTTGTAAGATTATTCAAAATCATTCAAAATCAGTGAAATTAACACAATCAGATACGGCACAACTTTCTGCAGCTGGCTAATCGCCGCCCTCGCGAACGGCAAAATAACCCAGTACCTAGACCTAGGCCCAATCCTCAGCCTAGGCGCCGCCGTCCAGGTTCTAGCACAAGTGCTTCGAGTCTGGGCACCCCCATTCGCACTGTACGCGGTAACCTTGTCTGGGCCAAGCCTACAATGAGACACACGCCAACACCTTCGTCTCGGCCGCTCAGCACCGCTGGCTGGGCTTGATCCATGCTATGTATATGGCCGGTTGTCTAGTTGGTCCGTTCGTAGCGACGGGTGTGGCGTCAGCAAATGTCGATTCGAAGTGGTATCTGTTCTATCTTTTCCCGCTTGGCGTGGGTGTGATGAATCTTGTGTTGGTGGGTGTTTCTTTCCGGGGCCGTATGGCTACTCCGATTGTCTTGAGAGGGGAGAGAGGGGGCAGGACTTCTTCGAACTCTGCACTCAAGGAGATCAAGGATACACTTTCTACACCTGCTGTTTGGTTGCTGATTTCCTTTTTTTTTTTTCTTTCTTGGTGCGAGTTTCACAGCTGGAGGTTTGTATTGTCTTCTTAGATCTACAACGGAACTGATTGAACTAGGCTGGATGGTCGAGTATCTTGTCAATGTCCGTGACGGTAATGTTAAAAGAGATGGGTTATGTCCCGGCTGGATTCTACGGCGGCGCCTTTCTAGGACGTCTTATCCTCGCTGAACCTACGCATAGACTCGGTGAGCGCCGGATGATCTTTATTTACGCTTTGCTATGTATGGGTCTGCAGTTGGTATCCTGGCTGTGAGTTTGGGACTGGCTCCACTATCCCATCTATACGCTGACGCTGAAATCTTGCGTTGTCTTTGCTGATCCTCCTGGCTTACCAGTGTCCCCAACATCATCACTGAGGCGGTAGCAGTCAGTCAGTTGGGATTATTTTCTGGTCCTTTCTTTGCAACAGTAACTATCAACCACTCTATTTCCCTACCCTTAACTCTAACCCCTGGTTTAGGGTATATCAGTCAGCTCAAAGATCTTCTTACCAGAGATCGGTTCTTCAGCAATCGGTAAGCCAACACGTTTATTCAATTTGCATTCTGACGCTGATTCATATAGCATTCGTCTTTGCACTCGGCCAAACCGGTGGATCTGTCTTTCCCACCTTGACGGGTATTATCGCGGGACATGTTGGTGTCCAGGTCCTGCAACCCATGCTTGTTGGTTTGCTCGGTGCCGCTGGTATGAGCTGGTTAAATCTGGCCCAAGGATGCTGTCTTGCATCGGGACTGACGAGATTGTACCCAAGTCCGGGTTTCAGAGCTTCGTTGTATATATTGGGGGGGTTCTATTGGTGCAAGAGAGCTGAGAGACATGTTGTGTGTTAAGAGCCTCTTTCATGAGATTAAACGACCCAAGAGACTAGGGTATTAAAAGTTCATCACTTCGTTACATCACGACAACCAAAAGGAACCCAATGAAATGCAAACCCTCGCACAGCTATGCTAAAAATGAATTACCCAACATAAGAATTCCTTCATTAGCATCATTCCTCATAAGAAATAGATGAAGCCCAAAGCCCTTAAAAGATATCCTCAGGCCACTGGTAATCCTCCAGGCCCGAAATTACAGACTCCGGGCCGGAAGCCGAGGACGAAGAAAGCATAGGAGCAGACAAAGGTCTCTTTTTAGGCGACCGGTTCACATTGACATTGACCTTGGCAGCACTCAAGCGAAGTTCCTCTGGGAGGGGCGGTACGGGCGGGATGTCGTCATCACCGAGATACCCAGACCGTCTACGACTAGGACCTGTTTTCGACCTTGTCGGGGTGCGAGGGCTACGATCAGGATTGAGCTGGCGCTGTGGGTGGTGGTAGAAGGCTTCGCGGTAGGAGTCATTTGGCAGAGCAGAAAGAGGCGTAGACCAAATGTTGGAACGAGAATCCCCGTCAGAGACAGCGGCGGGGGAAGATTCAGGGCGCGTGCTGGTCTGGCTATTTCTCATCCGGAGAGGGGGGTTGGGCTTGGAACTTGGTGAGCAGCTGGATCCGGGGACTTTTCGGAGTTGAACGTAGGGGGACCTTTTGATGTTGCGTGTGGCACTTGAAATTCTTCCTGCTTCCTGCTCTTCGTGCTCGGTCGAGAGAGCTATGTGGTCGATGGCTTGCTTGCGCTTGGCTGAGCCGGGGCTCTCGCCGGCCTCGGATTTCGGCCATTTCGCTTTTCCGGGTGGGCTAAGTAGACCGGAGTCAATCAGAACCTCGAGCTCGGGGTCGCGTTCATGATTATCGAGGCCTTTCGTCGAACTGGGCTGAGGAGAGTTCCCACTATGGATAGGTTCAGGAATGGAAGACTTCCGTTTGCGGGAAGAACGGTCCTTACCCATTGACGACGGCTGTGTCCCTTTCAGGTGCCGTTTTGTAGTTTGAGCCTTAGCCGGGGTATGCGGCAGTCGTGACTCTTCAAAGAAGAACGTTTCGCGGTCATCCACAGATGGCAGAGCCGTTAAGTTGGTCACCGCAGGCCCAGCTGTCTCGTTTTCTGCGGCCTTTTGGTCCAGAAGCCTTTCCGACGGCAGAGTAGGAAGGGCACCAGGAACAAACTTTTTTGGGAATGATGCGGGATCCATCTCGGTATTGAGGGTTTTTGGTTGGACTGTAGGTGCTGTGATCCGCTCCTCATTGCCTGTGAGGTCACGAAGCTCCCGACGGGCACGTTGCAGCTTATCCTCGAGATTGCTTACTTTCTTTAGCAGTTTTGTTTGGCGAGAGAGTTCCCTGCGTGAGGGTTGCTTGCGCAGGCCAGTCGATTCGTATTCATCGGATTTTCTATCACAATACACTGCCGAGGGAGCAGATGGCGACCCATGGGACTTGAAAAATGACTTCGGCAGGCGAAGATCCTGAAGAGAGGAGCGTTTAGAAGCTGAAGATTCAGAGCGTGATGGAGCACAACGGTCTACTTGATCAATTGGATGACGATACGGTTCTTTGACTGGGGAACCGTGTTCCATCTTTTGCTGAATAGATCGCCAGGTCTGGTCGGCGAGGGCCGCGTTGACACCAAGACCCTCGGTGTAATGACCCTTATTCGTACCCTTGTAGCCGGCCTTTTTCAATTCCGCATAAGCCTGTTCCGCCTGATGGATGACATCCTTCTGCGGCGACTTATTCGGCGCTTCTTCAGAGTTTCTCCCCCACCCTCCGAAGGGATTAAACGCCGAGGCAATGGCCTTCCCAAAACGAAAGATACCAGATGAGCGGTGCTGCATGCCAGCATTTTTGTTTTCCTGCTCCTGGAAGTAGATACTGGGCGGTTTCTCGCTGACGCTATCACTCATAGTCGCTTCAATGAATCGCGATGTTCGTCCTCGGGGATGGCGGGCGCGCAGCGAAGCTAGCGAGCCACGAGGTGAAGCGCGGGGGGAGGCTTTGTAGCCTGAGCCATTTCCACTCACGCTGCGACTCCCATTTTCACCGCGATGTGTGCGGCGATCATGGGATCCATAATCAGCAGCTTCTTCGGGCAATGGCCAGTCGTTTGAACGGCGTCGTTTGGTCAGCTTCGCGGGTGGCGATCGGTGGTCATCTGCTTGCGCTTCTTCTGCATCGTCGAATTGTCCAGAGATGTCTGAGCTCCAATCGCTGCTCTCGTCGTCGCTGGATCGTAGGTGCTTGCGCGAGGAAAGCTGATGTGCGGGGCTGTCCATGTCCATTTGGATTTTGGAGTCGCGGGCGCTAAAATGATGCAGGGAAGTCAGATTTAATCCTTATTATGCAGGCTTTGAGATCCCTTCCATGGGGACTGGGTTACAGCAAGGAACCTTACATTTGCAACTTGGTTGATACTTTTTCCCCAAGCCCTTTGAAAGACGCAAAATTCTGTTGGAAGTTGGCATAGAAGTGTTGTGCTGAGAGTGCTGAGAGGGAAGAAACGAAGTTAAGAGATGAGGATCAAAACGAAAATCTCGGGAGAGTCTAGTGATGCATTTGTTTACATACTCCGCACTTGCCAAGGGGGAAGTTTGTTGTGGTACCAGGTACCCACGTCTACCGCTAGTCTTCGGTGGTGGACAATGTACCCGTGACATCATCAGAATGTCCCATATTCCGAAACAAACATGCACAAATATGCGCATCTATATCAAATCTGGATTTCCCACGTAGAATTCCGGGTGTCTCAGACAAGTGCCTACATTTGACAAGGAATGCAAAAATATGACATGTCTAACCTGGAGGAGATTTGGATAGGATTTGTGGTATAACCCTTGGCTACTAAAGTACGGGAACATGTTTTCTAGTGATAGATTGGAGTGAAAGGGAAAACGCCAGGTATCAAGGCGATGCTGCAACGCCAGTATGAAGAGTAGATCAAGCAGCAGGGGTTCGGTGTGAAGTAAGGAACCCAGTATCGCGACGTTGGTGAGCCCAGCCATTGTCTGTTCTGGAAGTGTATGATAAAAGAGCAATGCCGAAGAAATTGCTAGGTAGAGTAGAGATAGGGGTCACATTCCCTGGTCCAATTCCATGAGATGAAGGGGACATGCTACTTTGCTCTTGATAATGGAGTGTGAATCCGAGAATGATGCGGGTTACAGAAATGGATGTGTCAAACATGAATGTGAATGATCCTTGAGGTTGGGACAAAGTAAAGCAAACTGCCAAACCCATATCTATGTAGATCCGAATTTTGTCTAAATAAGATCCTTCGCAAAAGTTTATAACATGAAAGAAGTCAGTTCCCGCAGAGATGAGTCCAAATGCAACGAGGAATCTAGGGCTCGAGAAGCCTCGGTGAGGAGTCGGAGGATGAATTATGTACAAAATAAAAAAAAGGATGCTATCAGGTACCATCACTAGAATCCAGTCCGTTTACCGATTCAAGTCTCGGTCATTGGAGCAAGCCCAAGGAGAGTAAAAATTTCCGCCATTATGGCAAGATGTTCGAGGCCATTTCAGATTCTATTAGTTTGACGGAGGAGCTTTCATGACCATTTTGCCGTTGGCACGCTTATATGCCAACTCGATACCCATTTCAGCCATAAGGCCAGCGCGACTTTCGCCCGAGAAATCACGATAAGCAGGATAAGGCTCGGTATCAGGCCGCATGCCGTTCTGCATTGACCGGTCATCAAGGCCGAAGGTATCTTCATGACTCCTTTTGCCGTATGCTGGCCCGGTTTGATACACCATACGCTTCCCTCTAACGTTGTCGTACCCACCACCGCCAGGTGAAGTACTTTCCACCGAAGGAACAATATGGTTGGCATATTCGTTTGGCAGGGGCTTGTGAGACGGGGTTGCCTGTACTAAGTTTGGTGTTTGAGAACGCGACACCGTAACATGGGGCATGGATTGGTATAAACCTGGTTCGGCCATGCGGAGATCCATGTATGAGCTTGGTTTTGGTGGCTCCATGCCATAAGTATTCATAGATTTGGGGTAACCACCTCGCTCGGCAGGTATTTGAGGCACCGCAGGATACGAGATAGGCATTCCTTCGTATTCAGAGGCGTTGGATGGGTGTCTTATTTGGGCGTATGCGTGCTGTGGGGAGTAGATACCTTGCGATGCAGCCAGTGGGGGTGGTGTTGGAGGCATGTGAGGAGCCGGATAATGTGAAGGCGTGGAGCCAAATGAAAGGTGTGATTGATATGAGGGTGTTTGGGAGGAGTGTGGCATGGGTGCAGGTGGCATAGGTCTTTGATAGGGTTGTGGGCACTGGAAGCCATAGTCGGGTGCAGATGGTCGTCGATCGGGGGGAACAAACCCATAAGGTGATTCCATGTTGCTGCCATTGCTATTTGACCGTGGGCGATCCATCGAACCTGCGTATCTGTCGGGTGTCGTAAAACGATCCGAGGATCCTGCATATGCAGCTGCGCGTTCCTCGCCGAATTCGTAGTCCGCATCTCGCTTGTCGCCTCGGCGTCTCATGCGAACATCACGACGAATGCGAACACGGCAGCCCTGCTCAGCAATGATACGGCTCAGAGAGGTGCTGGTCGCTAGGCCGGGGAACTTCTTGGCGCTATAAACGGTAAAAGGCACCGACTTGACCTCAAGACGAAAATGAAGGAATGCCTGCGGGACGCCTGCCTTAGATGTGGCTGAAAGAGGTATCTGGTTGGGAAGAGGTAAAGTCGAATCCTTGTCGGCATCCTTGGCGTCCTTGATCTCTTCGTACAGGTGGAAGTTCAAGCGGTACCGGCCCTCATGACGCACTGATAGATCTGGGAAGATGAAATAGCCTGCTTGTGAGGGGCGGTCGAGATATGCGACACCAGCGACTGGCACACCAGTTAACACAGGGCATGACTGCGGTCCACCTACCCGCCCGTGGGCAATAGGGCGTGCAGTGTCGAGGGTTGCGTAGAGGAAAAAATTGGCGTTATAGGCGAAGGTGATATCGGTCTTTTGCGCATCGTTAGCTGGGTCGGACTCGAAGATGCGTAGCTCAACCACAGGCGGTGGGTCAACAGGGCGACGGTCAGCGGATGCTATTTGTGACAGTCAACGCGCAGCCCTGATTAGGTTCAACAGGAAGTACTCACACTTGGCTCCCGCGCCGCATGCTCTTGCCCGCTCTGGCTGTTGCATCACACTCAACTTGTATGTGAGCTGTTTGCCTTCACGGGTGATCCGACTAACTGAGTGTTCAGTCTCATTGTGAGGCGGCATGATCGACGGTCTGTTGGCCATTTTCGCAGATTGATGTTATTAATCCCCAGATATTCTGCCGGTCGCGGTATCAGCAAAGATCGATTGCGCGGTCGGAGGGTTCGTCCTATATAAATTCTGCCACGGAAAGTAACGCAATGAGGTCTTTGACAAGTTGTGCTGATTTGAGGGTGTTGGGTATGGCCTTCTTCTCCCCCAGTTCCTGGCGTCACATAGGCCGTTGGAAAGACTTGGGTTGTAGTCGAATCGATCAACCCCACACATCCAGGAAACGAACAGAAACCGAACAGAAACCGAACCCCGATTTAGGAAAATGAACTTTGAAGTCCAAACCAAGAAGGGAAAGCAAAGAAGAGGAGAGGGGGCAGAGTGGAAATTGGTGACACTAACAGACCCGAGCCCTGGGTATGCCTCCCGATGGGTAATTGTGGTAGGAACAAAAGTACCTGTTCGGTCTTCCGTGGCCCCCGTAGGACTGTATGGTTTTGTTTCTGACAAAGTTTCTCAAAATGCGTTGTAATTTCCATTCTCTCGTCTATTTTAGAAAGGAAAAAACTTGTTGTATGCACATATGTTTATCCTAGGCACGCCATGTGCATTTATTACATTAATCTACAGATTATCAAAGGGCAAATTGACGTTCGTCTGCTGTATGCCTAGGTGTTGGCGGCTTTGGGACTTTGAATAATACCTCTACACCATGACATGACGGTGGAGATACAATCAAAATCAATTTTCAAATCTGGAATCCGAAAAATCATGTAGCGACTTTAGTACTTGTTAATGCAGCACACATGAAATTTGCTTTTTTTCGCTGAAAGCCATGGTTTTTTTTATTTTATTTTCGGAGCCACGTTACCCGGCGTCTATATCACTGGGTTCCAAGGTTCCGGCCGCAACCCAGTCCAACGGATCGGAGTCTCTTTATTTTTCCCTGGTCTCCATAATGTCCTATGCTTATCTTTTTATACTTCTATAGATGAAGATCATGTTTTAATAATCCGTAGATCATGCCAGTTTACTCCGTAAAAGATTCCACAACCAAATTTAATTAATATTGAGTTCCACCGACACCCTTCGATACCGCGTGTTCTCATTACAGGTTTAGTCCCCCCTGAGAACATTGAAAATGAAAAACGAACAAGCTAGGAACTTCGTACCTACCTAGACTTCCCGATTTGACCTGGACCTCCCGATTTAGACACTGTCAGTCGTCACACAGGCTGAATCGCCTCTGCTATCAAGCCAGACCCCATCGAACCACCGATCCCCTCTCACGGCCTAGCTTAGCTGACCCCACTCAGCCAATCAATAATATCTCTAGTGAGCGCCTAGGACCAACTAGCCGGTTTCTGGCAGGAGTTGCCCCAACTGAGCTGTTCATCCAATGTACACGCAGTTAGTTTAATGATGAATTCTTTCCCTTGCAAATACTCCTTTTCACTGCATCTGTGCTATGGTGGGGACTCCGCTGATATTCTGATTTGCCTACAATCGTGGAAAAAAATATGCATATTTTTTCCTCTTTCCTTCTCTTAAATCCGACTCCACACAAAAGATGGAGTGCGATTTTTGAGAATGTCGGAAGTACGATATACAAAACACAACGTCCCACCTCGGCAACTATTGGAAGTCCACATCAACTCAGGAAATGGAATTCCTTGGTTTTAATCCCGTCAATGTCCGACTCCCCTACCAATATCAATCTAACATCATGCTTTGTCTACCACCTCCTCCCACACGCTCTTCACTGAACGATCACCGCCCTATCAAATGTAGAGTTCAGTGATTTCTTCTAGATACTCAGAGTTGAATATACTGAATAAAAACAAAATCAAGAAAAGGTACCGCACTTTAGGACCTACAGATTCAGTTGCTTTAAAATACAGGAGTGGCGAGGAATTCCAGACCAGGCCGGGTCCAACGGCCTTTTGGCTTGAACCGAGTATTTTTTTTTTATCATTGTAGTAAATGTGTACGGAAGAAAATTCATGTTTTATTCTAAAACTGATCCTTCACATTTCCTCGGAGTACTCCGTTCGGGGCAATTATCTTCAATTGCGAATCTCCTTTGGTATTTTAAGTACCGGAGATATCGGGCCATGAGAAACTGATACATCAGCTCTGGAAAGCCGATCCGCCTGACTGAAGATCCCTTCAATCCATTTACCCACATATAAGAGGATATTTGAAACTGGGATTTTTGTATGATATCCCAAGTGACAGTGGGAAGTCTATGATGTACTCCGTACGGAGTGCTTTAAGCCCGTCATGCTTCAACTCGGTATATAGTGCAGAATACCTTGTGACACCGAAGATGATGGATGCACCCTTGCAAAAGTTTTCTTATTTTTCACTTAGTCCATTCGGCCCAAGCGTTGTCAAATCTTCAAATCCCCACTAAGCCATGTGTTACAGGGGTTGCGAATCTTCACGACTCGGTGCGAACAGTCACTGAACAAGAATCTAGATGGAAAATTTACGATTATGATGGGCTCCAGCGTTGTCGTCCTGGAAAAGTGACTTTGAAAGTCCCCGTACAGAGTATCCCGTAAGCATATGTCACTTGGTTGCCTCGTCCAACCCCCGATGCTCAAGTGAGTGCGGCAATCCCCAGCCCCCCCCCCCCCCCCCCGAACGATCATAGGGAGTGCCATGATTCAGTGCTTTGATAATCTAGAAGGACTCACAATTGAACAAAGACTTCGTTCGCGCTCTGAAAGGAACTTCTTGGCTGTTCCTTCCATCAGACTGCATTCCAATATTCATGAAGAGGGCTGTTGAAAACAACTCTGGCATCATCCTTCCTACTGCATTAATAGAACATGTGCTACAGGTTCGAATTTGATATGTTGTAGGGACAAGTATCTGTATTCGGTAGGAGTCTCTCTCACATCCACATGGACATATGCAAGTATACCCCTCGTTCTGACTGAATCATGTTACTCAATACTCCCCGTAGAGTGATCCATGCATAAACTTGTATATCCGTCTCGGCTCCGAAAGACCCCAGTCAAAACCTTTGCATTTGGATTATCGCCTCGATCGGGATTGGATGATAGGAGGGTTAATCATGTGCGTGACTGCCAAATGGATCGAAGGGTACCATTAACTATCTCTTTTCTGTGGCTACAATTTTGTGGGCGATTCGCTGCTCTTCATTATATTTTGGAATAGTCTGATACGGCCGCATATGGACAAATTGAGGGTTTTCCCTCCACAACCATAGCCTCGACACATACATAGATTAGGAGCTATTACATGAAGCTTCATAAATTTTGGCAGCAGAACTTTACAGCGGCTTCTTTGCTATGAAATATGACATACTGGACTGAACCAATGTGATGTATCGCTTTCCCTTGAAATTGAACTAGGGAACAGACCGCCAGTTCGAAATTTTCACTACCACGTGGAGGAATTATTAGGTGTATCCTTAGCCACAAACCAGGCCAGACCCCCAAAAGCCCATCGAGAAAATTGATTCTCTCGCGCAATCAACAGTACAAGGACAAGTCATAGTGACATCAGATCGGAGTCCCTATGTCATGATTTATAGACTTCGGTCCAGAATAGCGTATGCAATGGGAGAAGATTCAATCAAGGTCTTGCTGATAAATACAAATGAATTGCAAAGTGTACCAAGTAACTTCTCAAATTTTTGCGAGAATCTTGTGGAATTCTTAAATCTTGATTGGCCACGGATGCATATCAGCCCTGGGGTAATTCAAACAATCCAAGCCACATTTAATCCACCTGCCCGATACAGAACGCCAAAGGCACCTTGCTTTGGACACAAAACTTCAGTTCGGTTGTCATGGAGGTTATGTTGATGAACCAGATGTGTTTTGCGTGTAATCAATTAACCGACACTAACGCCGTTCATCCAACTAGCACGGCTCAATTCATAAGTGTTCTGTGGGCTTTCTCCGTTCTTTGTAGTTCTTCGTACACAGGGGCTATTGATTCCGTGGCTTTCCCAAGTGAGGAACTAGACATTTGTACGGAGTAGTTTAAGGCTAAGGCTAGCATCGAAAGATTAGAGTGAAAGTGAACCAGGGCCTTAAGCGTTGCTTATAGTGGTACATGCCAATGATACTCTAGGTTTACAATATGGATAAATTGGTCTATCGGGGTGGCATAGTTCCATCTCTATTAAGCGTCGCATCAGAACCAGCACACTACCTCAAGCCAGAAGAGAATTTTGCAGACAAGACATCGCGTTGTGGGTAGTTGAGAAAAATTTCACCAGGTATGCGCCTATCCTTGCAGCTAAGCGTCCACGCGGTGTGATTCTGCCGAACAGTGAGGTTATATTGAGCTTTAAGGGTAGTCCTTTCGCCCTTCGGGGCATATGGTCAGCTGAGAATATACAGAGAAGATTGGCATGGCCCCTGCACTAAAAATGACACGCCTAATCAAAGAGAATTTACCTGTTTTTTCCCCCCATCGACGTCCGAACTTGAGATTGTACGGTGTGGGTATTTTTCTACGACCTCTAATTGGTCCTACGCTGTTGGGAAGTCACGTGGAAGTATCCAAGTCGATGGTTCGAATCGACCAATGACAAAGATTACTTTTCCACTGTGATTGGCTCTAACGCCACTTCACAATCTACAACATAGAGTCGCAACATCAACTCCCATACCGGTTGCGCTTCCTATGGATCTTCTTTTGATTTTACCTGGCTTTATAACGAAACCTTTCGCACATATTCTTCCTCCACTTGAACGAGCTAAAGTCACCACAGTCGACGTGATTACCCTTGACTCTCTCGAGATTGCGAAACGTGCCCGCGTCCCCCCCGCAGATGTTCGTCGGCTCTCCTCCTGTATTGTCGAGGCATTGCACACCGATGTCGGCTTCGAAAAGCCGCAGACAAATACAGAGGCCATTGATGGGCCCAGCTCTAGTATAACCCCTGATGTGGCAAGCAGGACATTCAGCTTGGCGAAGCGCACGTCGCAATGGAACACTATAAGCACTCTTGACCCCGCGATGGATGCGCTGCTAGGAGGTGGAATTCCGACCGGTTATGTCACAGAAGTTACAGGCGAGAGGTATGTTGTGGGAATTCATCTTCATCCAGGTCTTGTCAGCCGGGCAAGCAAGTCAATCTGACATGTGGATTGATGTCCAGTGGAAGCGGCAAGACCCAGTTCCTTCTAAGCCTCTGTCTAGCCGTCCAGCTACCCAAACCACAGGGGCTACAACGGCGTGCCATGTACATATCGACGGAACACCCATTATCTACGCCACGACTCTCACAGCTCCTAGAATGCCATCCTGTCCTCTCAACACTCCCCGCTGAGCAAGCACCCTCGCTGGAGGATATCCTGACCATCAACGCCATGGATCTGGAGACGCAAGATCACATCCTGAACTTCCATGTGCCTGTCGCGGTCGAACGCTATAACATCGGCCTGGTCATCATCGATTCAATAACATCCAATTACCGCGCTGAACACGCATCGCACAGCCTCCAAGCCCTCGCTAAGCGATCATCCCAGCTCGCAAAACTGGGCCATCTACTACGCAACCTCGCCGTAAAGGAGGACGTCGCTATCGTGCTCGCGAACCAAGTCTCCGACCGTTTCGAATCTATACAAAACAGCGAGCCAGCCCCACGGACAGGGATTCTGTCCATGTCGAGTCAAACAGTAGATCATGGATCTGGCCCTGTCTCCCCCTTCCCAAAATCTCGAACTGAACAGTTGGCTACTAGAAATAGCCAGCAGCCACCATCTTCTTCTCCTGCTATCTCCTCATCTCCATACCACGCACCAAGCGATAAATACTTCGACGGCTCGTATCTGGTCGCCCCTCGAGTACGCAATAGTATGTTGAACGTGGCTCACCAGGAGCGCTTCTACTCTGGCTGGGGAGATGGCGCGTACCCGGAGAGGGGGTCTCTGAAGAACCCGGCGCTGGGATTCGTCTGGTCAACGCAGATCGCATGCCGAATCGCGCTGAAAAAGGAAGAATCACATGCTGTAGGTGTCTCAATGGTGGAGCATGCATATCCGGCATCCACGCAGGAATCTTATCCGTTCCACAGTGCAGGCAATGCAGACGCCTATCGGGATCCGGAATCAATAGCAATGCCTGCCCCTTACCTCAAAACCCGAGTGTCTGACTCGCAGAACTACCGGCCCGCTCCGGGGTCGAAATCCCCCACCCGGAGGACCATGAAACTTGTGTTCGCGCCGTGGACGGCGGGCCCGAAGGATACACCCAGAAAGGGCTACTCCAGTAGAAGAAGTGGCGAGATAGAGTTTGAGATCTGGAAGGGTGGCTTGAGAAGTACGACTCCTGGTGAACGATCTGTCTGATATCATATCTTGCCGACTTCCAAAGTTCATTCTTGCCTACAAAAGCTACCGGAAAGCCTTGACTGTGATCTACTCCAGACAGTTTGACATGCTATGTTGGCCTGCCGACTAGAAAGCGACAGAATGATATACCCAACATCGTTTGAGATTTCTCTCTATAAGTATTCCTAATCAATCCGAATACCCAAGCGAAAGCCGAATCTACAATAAACAAGACGTCATGCGTGAGGTGTTATCTTGAGGTGATTGGAATATGACAAGCTGAGGTCAGTCAATCAAATTTCACTTATCCTGTTGCAGTCCAACCAGTTGTGTATGACAATGCAGGCGCTTCTTCCAACCGAAGCAAAGAAGTCGAGTCCAAAACACCGAGTCGCGACCACATATTGTGTATCCCAAAGAGTGTTCTGATGCTGATTGTAAAGAGTGTGGAATCAGCCTATTCCTGTAGCCCGTAAATCCCACAAACCCACCCATAAAGAGATTACTATATAATGACTGCATGGAGTGCACCTTCCATCTTCCAACTTCCACCTTTCACTTCTCTCTCTCTCTCTCTCTCTCCCTGCCTCGGTTTCAATTGATGGTGTGGTTTCTCTGGCCAGTTGATTGGCATGGTTGTCGACTCTTGCTGAATTCTCGTTTCACAGCATCGTTTTCGTTTTCGTCATTGGCTAATACCCTATCGTCTTCAGCACCTATCACAAGCTGAGGTGTGTGTTCTCCAACGCCTTGGGATGTAAGTATCCTGTTTTGGTTCAAACGCAGCTGCTGTGGAACAGCAGATCAATCCCATCTTCGGCTATGAACTTGGATTTGGTGTGGGAGCCTTGGCTGACGCTACATATATCACCCTTGGTGTTTTCCGTCTTGTCCACTGCATGTCTCTTAACTTGACTCTATCTAGAAAATCTCGAACAAAGAACAGAGCCCGAATCTGCGCGGAAAACTGCTCCAAGAGGACTCTCTGGTTCCAGGGAACCACACTATGTATCGATCCTCTGCTCTGGGCATTACGGTATATATATAAATAGGCAGGGAGGGGAGAGAGGGGAAGAAAGGAGCACACTTCAAATTAATCATAATCACATGTACTGACACTTTTTTTTATATCAACAGCGACCATCTCCTTTTCCTCTGTTCATGGGGTCCCTTTCTTTCTTACCCCTAATGTCCATCTAATATGGGCACAAATCCACCGAAGAAATAAGATTATGGGCCTAAGGATCTAAACCAAAGACACGCAATGAGAAAGATGCCAGACAACAGTCATGAGAAGACAGCTTGAGAATCAAGGTGAGATAATGAAAAGCATCAAATTTGATCTGACTCACACCCAATCCCTCATGGAAAAGTCATGTTGACCTGGTGTGCATCCACGCAAAGTGCACGAGATAAGACAACAAAGCGCAAATGGAAATCAGAATGCGAGAGAAAACCAAAAGATCATCAGAACCGAACCAGAACCAGCTATCAAGGCCTTAGTTTCTATTGAGCCTTGGCGATCTTGGTAGGAGGAAGACCAATGCCGTTGGTGTTACGGTAGAACATGACACCCTGGCTCTCACCAGTGGCACCCTCATTGGGCTCAACCCAGTGGCAGACGCGGGCAGAAGTCCACATGGCCTTGAAGAAACCGGTCCAGCCAGTGTGGGCATCAGTGCGGTAGTGGTTGCCCATGACGCCCTTGATGGCATCGCTGGCCTCGTCGGCGTTGTAGAATGGGATATTGCTGATGTAGTGGTGCAGCACGTGGGTCTCGATGATACCGTGGAAGATGTGGCGACCGACAAAGCCAAAGTCACGGTCGATGGTGGCGGCAGCACCACGGGTAAAGTTCCACACTTCAGGCTGGTAGTGAGGGAGGGTAGGGTCGGTGTGCTGGAGATAGGTAATGGCAACTGCGATGGATACCGTTAGCAAAGGGGTTACAAAAAGTATATTCTTTTTGTCTGAAAACTTACCTAGCCAGTGGTTCACCCACAGGTACGGGAGACCGTACCAGACCAGCAGATTCAGCCAGCCGAAGTTGGTACCGATGAAGTACAGTCCGGTGCCGGTGATGAGGAGACCCAGATCACTCAGGACAATTAGCTTCGCGTCCTTGGCCTCGTACAGAGGGCTGGAGGGGTAGAAGTGGTTGACACCACCGCCCCAGCCGTTATGCTTGCCAACACCGCGGCCCTCGGGCTGCTTAGTGTGATTGTTGTGGCCGGTGACGTTGTTGAGCAGGTACACGGGCCAGCCAAAGAGCTGCTGGGCCAGAAGGTTGCCGGCAGTCAGGATGGGAGTCTCCTCGCACAGCTCGCCGAGTTCGTGGAGAGTCTTGCCGACACGAGTGGCGTACTGCTCACGGGTCTTAGGATTGAAGACCATGTCGCGGGCCAGGTTACCGGTGGCCTTGTGGTGCTTGCCGTGGGAGATCTTCCAGGAGAAGTAGGGGACGAGCAAGAGGGAGTGACAGATCCAGCCAACTGTGTCGTTCAAGACCTTGGAAGAGGAGAAGGCCTGGTGGCCACACTCGTGGGCCATAACCCACACCCCGGTGCCGAAGAGACCCTGCACAATAGTGTACACGGTCCAGAGGGCCACGCGGGCCGGCAGCAGGGGGACAGTCTCGGGGGTGACATAGTTGTGGAAGAGGTAGAAGACGGATCCCAAGATGGCCAGATCACGGAATACATAGTACAAACTGGTGGCGGCGGAGCGGTGGAAGCAATGAGCAGGAACGGCATCGCGGATCTGCTTGATTGTAAAATCCGGGATCTTGAACTCATTGCCATAGGTATCAAGCATCTTAGTGTTCTCCTGCTCCGAAGCCATTGAAGAAAGGGAGGTAGACGAGGGAGATTGGCGTGGGCTGTCAAAGGGCGAGGCCGAGACAGAGCTGGTCGCTGAGGACTCTGTAGTAGGGTTGCGATTAAGCGCAACGCGCTTGGGGAGTGCGGTAGACGACATGTTGGGTGTTTTGAGGCCAACGGTGTTCAACTCCAAAGTTACAATGGGTATACTTCCAAAGGTATCCCTTTCTGTAGAGATGAAATGAAGGACACGGGGTTCAAGATGACAAGAGCCTGTGATGGTGTTAGCTTAGATTCTCCGCGCTGTGAGCTATCAGGGTCTACTGACAATGTTTTGAGTTTTCTTGGGGGGGGGAGTGTTGTTGCACAAGGGGGTTGAATGAAGCAGATCGAAGCAAATGCCCCGTTCTGTTTAAGAGCCAACGAAAAAACAGGCAATTGACTAGCACAGAAGAATTGGAGAAATGAAGACAAGAGAAGGATCCGCCCTCTTTCAAAAAAAAAGGAAAAAAAAACGAAACTGAAAAGAGGGAAGAGAGAAAAAAGAAAAACATTCCCATGGCACAGGGTAATTTTGCATACCGCCACTGCATCCCCATAGTTTAGATGTCCAATCCAACCGTAAGCTCTTTTGAAAATTACATGCAGATCCACACTTCGAAGTTCGCCTTCGACAGTTGAGTTTTCACATGAACTGACCAGAATAGTCAGAGTTGGGCTGATGTTTTCACATGTCTACCCATCTGTCTCATATTCCTATCTTATTGGTACTATGCATGGTGTACTCCATACCTCTACACGACTCAAATCTCTCTTTGCGTTCTTCACAGCCACCGCCTTTCCACCGGTTGATCCCGTTCGCCCCAACACTTTCTCTTGCAACCCAGATTCTGTGGTAGTGGTCTGATGGGGTGTGATCTAGACTTTTCAACGTCTCTGGGAGTTCCCGTCCTGTGAGAGCTCTCACTTTCACATGTCGCGAAAATTGTAAAGGCGTCCCTAGCTGCATGTTGATTGATAGATTCGAAGTGCTCGACTTGCCTCGGGTCATTTTAGTATTTGAATTAGACGGCTGTACGGAGTAGATTGGCCTGATAATCCCATCGAATCTAACATGCAATTTCATGTGAAAGATAGCCTTTGTTTTTTTGGTGTTTGCTCGCGCAACTGGAGACTGCGCGTCAGACCCCGAAACCCTTGGGGTTGATGCAATTGTTTCTTTCGTACTTCGGAAGTCAGCATGCAAGCCCCCTAGAGCTGGAGATGACTCGGCAGTGGTATGCGCAAGGGACGTGTGATCCACTTTTGCTTTGGTGTATAGACCCTAAACATTTATATGTCTACTCTGTACGGTTTTCATGCATCAAGTTGACTCGATATGAAAGTTGAGAAAGCCAGCGTAGAGTTAATTTATAACGATGAAAAATCAATTTATAGAAGAAATGATTAAGCAGGGTTGAAATAAAATATATAAAATACCGAACGTAGTATAAAAATGCTTCTACCCGCTTGTTGGGACCTTTGGGGTTTTGTTGAGACCCCACTTCTCCTTTTTGAAAAAAACACAAACGTTAATTTTTACTTTCAAATGTTTAATTCTTTAGTTTCCCCTGGCCCTATATTACCCGTGGACACCTTGCCACCTTAGATAAGATCGGAGCGGGACCCTCACCAATCTCAGACGTGTCAGTATTCCAGGGGTGTACTGGGTCGAGTAGAAATAGACCGACGTCTGGGTAGATGACTTGAGAGTAGATCACTCAGTCAATCTCACAAAAACAAAATCCAAAAAGCAATGTGTAGACGTCCTCAAAGCGACCTGAACATCGACGCTAAGAGATGGAACCAATCTACGGAGTAGATTAATTAGTCCGTACTTGCTAGCCTGTATCGGGCCAAGTGCCGGCGGAAGCCCCAGCCGAAGCTACTCAAATCCCTAGTCAAACCCCGTTCAAATTGGAGGATCAGTCGGAGTGCAAATCGGGGTTTAAAGTGGTGAAGGTCTTGGCATTCTGGGCTGTGGACGGAGTTTTCAGGGCTTTATCAAATTAAAAATCCCCATTTGGGGGCAGTTTAAACCCGGCAGAATCCCGGCTTACAAGACGGACGATAAGGTTAAGCCAATAGAATGAGAGAACTGTGAGGGTCACGTGGAAGATGGGCATCAAATTCGGGGGGACTAAGCCTAATTAGGAAGGCTTGGCGCTCTCAACTATGGCAAATTCATCCGGGACCGATCGAGGTTTACAACGAGGCCGGATCGATTTCAACGGGGTTTGACTGTATTCCCGAGGTCTATTCCCGAAGTTCATTCCCGAACCTCAGTCCTGAGCTAATACACCCGAGCTCTATACCCCAATACACATCCAAAGTACTACAGTTATAGGAACCACAGAAGAATTATGAATTCATGAATCGTACATCGACATACAAAGTGCCCTCAGCGAGTCTACATAGGACTCTCTCTCTCTATAAATGATCGTCCACCACAAACAGATCAATCAAATCATCGAACCGGCTCCGTCCGCCGCTCCGAATCAACGAGCCACGATCCCCCACCAGCAGCATGATTACCGCCAGCGGCACTCAGATTGACAGTCGTCTTCTTCAAATTCGGGAGAACCAGAACCGTCTCACCATGACTACGGTAGTCAACCTCACAAGGGATTGAGCGACGAGCCGGCGCCATGGAACCAGTGGCATCAGCCGCAGGCGGCGACGCCCGGAGCTGAGGTGCCGATGGTAGGAAGGTACGGATTTCAAGAGTTGGGACAAGTAGATATCCTGGTTTCTGCGGGAGGAGTAGGACGGTGAAGCGGGTGGTTTCGCCGTCACGTGCGAGGAAGTTGCCCCGGCGACGACCGCCTATTTGCCACTGGTCTGGACTGGCGTGGATCTCGTAGGAGCATTCGAGTGGTTGGTCGGCGTTTTCTCGGTTCGCTGGGGAACACCAGCGTCGCGTATGGCGGAGGCTTAGCTCAGCGGTGATCATCTGGCCGACGGCGGCGTGCGTGGAGGGCCCTGGGCCGGTAGTGGGTTTGGGCTGGAGCTGGAGGTCGGCTGTGTGAACTACTTGGATCTCGGGGACGTCGACAGGGATGATGATGCGGCGGGTTGGGATGGTAGGTTGTGCGGGGAGGGGGATGGTGGAATTGTTCTGTTTCATATGTGAGTAAGATGGCTGGCTGAAAACACTCGCATTCGCTCTTACCTTGTGCCACTGCTGGAGCCATTGTCGCACATCCTCCCCTGGTACTTTCAAAGCTCCGAGCAGATCGTCCCATTGCACAGTCTGATAGGGTAGCATGTTTACCTCTCGAACGAGCCCTATGGCTTCCATGTCATTCGTGGACAGCTGTGCGCGGAAACTGCAGACAATGTGCGATGTGAGCAGCGCGGCGTACTGGCGGAAAGGGCTGGAGGCAATGGAAGCAGCAAATTGCTTTTCAACTGCATCCAGACACTCATCATCGACACATGTGAAGTCAACGCCCAATTGTAGGCTATGCGGGGTTGATGCGACTGGGTTTTCTTTAGTATGGCGAATTTTGTAAAGAAGAGATGCGGGCTGCTTAGGGAAGACATCAAGGGCGACGGGGCCAGTAATGCTGGATTGCACGTCGTAGATGTCTGAGCTAGGCAGGCTGCAGTTTATGATGCGAAGCGGGATCAGCATGGCCGGGCTGATGGTGAATCGAGAGAATAGTAATTCATCCTTGAAAATGTCCTGCACGTTGACCGATATAGGTAGTGTTGAAACAACATTGAACGATGCCGAGGAAGCGAATCGGCCTTGCTCGGTCTCATACGCGATCTCCGCTCGCGCCGACAGGGTCGAGAACGCCTCCTCTACAGTATATGGTACACGCAGTCGGATGAATGACCGCGCCGGCATTTGCGTGAATTCGATGATGCCCGAATCGTGGTTGGCATCTACCTCAATATTACCATCCACGACCTCTGTTTCTGCAAGGCGAAGCCGCAGGCCGGCAGTACCTGGCCGGACACGGATTGTACCACTTTTGATCTCGTTTCGTCCGCTGTCAAGTTCCAGCTCCAGCGTCCGCATGGCCTGAAGGTTTATAAGATGCGGTGACACGATCTTCACCTGTAGGGCTTCAGCCGGAGGATAGCAATATATATAAGGTTGGTTGCTGGTTTCCTCCGAGTCTTCTGTTTCTCGGAAGCCAACTGGAAGGGTGGAGTTGTGCCCGCCGTTAAAGTTAAAGACAAGATTGCCAACCCTCATCTCGAGCCGGTCAATGAAGTATTTGCCCTGAAGTGTGGTCTGCATGAAAGTTAGTTACTGGCAGTAAAACTTATCCTATCAGTACCTACCGAGGAGTCAATCAAAATCTTTGTTAAGGATGATTTTACCACGAAACCAGCTGAGCTCTCGATCCAGTGCTCTGAGTTTTGAGCGCTGTTAGCGCTGACCAGCCGAACCTTGATGGTATCAATCTGGATCTGCTGGCCCAAAAGGAATCGCAATGACAATTGGATCTGGAATCCATCCTTGTTGTCGTACAGAAGAATGGCTGGGTCTACATGGAATTCGGCAAAAAAGTCTGTCAAAGGAGCAGAGACATCCTTTTGTAGAGCACCAGCTGCTTCAAACAAGTCGCGGATGTGTCCTTCTAACATTTCCTCTTCAGTAGAAGAAATCGAGCCAGCCACAGACTTTTGCATGACTGACAGTTGCGTCTGCGCATATGTAGCAAATTTGGAAAGCAATCGCAACATCATGCGAACATAATCTTCGGTCCGTTTGAGCTCCTTCAAGCACCGTGCATGGAGTTCCAACATGCTTCCTTCTAGAACAACCCAGTACTTGGAGCCGTAGAATGGGGCCATCCGATGGAAATAGGAAGCAGCAGATTCGTAGTCTTTCCGGCGATATCGTATAATAGCAACTTCAGCCAGAGCCTGTTCAACAGAGTTGACACGGTTGGCTGCCATGTGATGACAGATCAAACGGTCTGTGAGATCTTCATAAAGAAACAGGAAGGCGTCTTTTGAATTTAAAGCAGCCCTGAGGCTAGCAAGATCGATACCCGCAAGCGACGATTCCTTCTTCTTGGGAGGTGTTTGTGACTCTTCAGTGTCATCGCCGTCCAACGAGATCTCCTCCAGGTCACTTGCCCCAGAACGATGGCGATCATCAAAGAGGAGACCGAGATTTTTCCAGTTCTCAGCCCAGCCCCGTCGACTAGCAATCTCTTCGAGGGATCGCCGAGCCAGAAGAAGCAATCCCGCCCTCCCGGATGATAGCTGTTCGGAACCGGTCTTCTGTGTGGGAATATGCACGGGCTTAGGGTGTTCCATTGTGGATCGTCGCTGCATCAAGCCCACGCTGTCAGACATGTCCTGCGTAACTGGCCGGGGAGGTCGGGCACCAGATGAGCCCATTAGGGAACTAGAGCGGCGAGGCACATCGGCACGGGAATCTGCCATCGAGACAGCAGCGGCCTCACTCGGTTGTGCAACGACATGAAAAGAGGATTCGGGGAGCATGAGGGTCGGGGTAGAGGTTTGACTCAGGATCTGCAAAGCTGCCGCAAATGCCCACGAAGAGACTAGGTTGTTGATAATATCTGTCTTGTCGTCATGAACTACCTCCGCCAGGCCACATTCGAGATCATGGCGGAGAGTACGTGCAGCTAAACCGATAAATTCTGTTGCTCTTCCACAAATCTCAGCTAGCAGAGTGAGATTTTCGGGCTTCTTGTCTGATTTCGCCACGTTGCCATCTGCAGCGGGTTCGCTGCCGGCCAGTGACGGAGCTCTCGCAGCTCGGAGTAGTAGAGTCAGTTGACGAGAGAAAATGTATGTGCGAAAATCGAAGATGGAGATGTCGCTCCCCAGTATCATTTCCCGGTAGGACATCTTGTTGGCATTCAATGGGAAATCTCCCGGCTGAAGCTCTGAAAAAAGAGCCGCGTCGTCATCATTGCCGTCGCTGTCATCGGAAGCCCCGGTTTCCAATGCCTTTTTCGCCATCTCAGCCCAGCTTTTACTGGTGATCGAGAGTGCGCCACTGTGTTGATCACCACTCCCATCGAGCTGTTCGCGAATGGTCGCATCCAAGCCAACGGCTAGCTCATCGTATCCAGCCAGCGCATCTTCGAAGAGGCCCACATTCTCGAACCCCCTAGCAAGACCTTCTTTAAGAATGAAGAACGTGCAGAAGTTCCAGCCAGGTAAACTGCGTTGAGAGTCTTTCTCTTTTATATCTTCCTCATATTGAGCCACACGCAAATCAAAGGAAGCTAGAATCCCGTTCTTCATTCTATCGATCAAATCCTCCAATTGCTCCGCCAACTCAGAGGACCTGTTCCCCTGCTTGGGAAGGCGCAATTGGGCCACACGATCTACAGCCGACTTGGATGACCCGTTGAAGTCAGCTTTCGCCTTTTCCAGCACTGTAGTTGTACCCCGGCCCCATTTGGAGGTAGATGTCGCCGCCTTGTCCGCAGCGTCACCGTCTGGTACCACATGCAGGATAAGCCACTCAAAAGCATCGTGCTTCTCCTGGCTAGTAATTGCGGACTGCGAGCTTTGGGAAGATGCGATAGTCTTGATCCAATCACGAAGGTTCCGTCGGGCCGTCGCCTTGTAGGTTTCGTTGTCGTCACATCGGAGGAGGTAAACTTTCAGGTATGGGGTTTGCCGTAGACCGGGGATTTGGTGTCTGCGATGGGTGACTGCGCCATGAACCGTATCGCTCGATAATTTGCGTTCATTTGATTCTTGCGCCGGTGTGAAGCCGATGCGGAGCGACTCGATTGATCGCACGGGGCGGGTTGGCGATTTCCAGTGAAGATTTTTGAGGGGGAGCTTTGCTTCGATCACGGGTTGAATAAGCGGAAACAAGCCGGACGGATCTGTGTATTCGACTGTGTGGTATGGTCAGTGCGAGCTTCATTTGTCTCAATCCACCTTGGTCTTACCCGTTACATTGCTCGAAGCCTGAGAAGGGTCCATGATTTCCCGAGCGCAATACGGGAAGTGACCAATTGACTTCAGGACATCTCAGAATTCAAGATGCATAGGAGCTTTCATGCGCCTGGGGTTAAGGGGAGGAGTTGCGGGGTGAAGGGAGACATGCTGTCAACAGCGGCCACGCACGGCCTCGTTCTTTTCCACTTTCGTGCAGATCGCTCGCTGCTTTTAGAATTTGGATCTACAACTCAGCTTTCCTTTGTTTTAATTTCGCCTTAATGTCCAGAGATATGTAAACAAAGGTACCAAAATGATTTAAATGCAGGATATCTTATATTCATCTCAAATTGTAGACAACAAGAAAAGTTGGCCATGTTTGCGGCCTTGTGGTGACATTTTAGCTGGTCTTTTCACCCGGTCCTTAAGTGACTGTTTAGTTGTACGCAAAGGCAGTGGAAAAGGTGCAAGAGAATTCTCTATATGTAACCAGTGACTCTATACCAGCTCCAGATCTACTATACTCGATGGCCTCACACCTCAACCTCAAACACCTTTGCTAGCACACCACCACCAACAAGAACCACCCCGGCCTGAATGAGCAGTCCAATCTGACCTGCTAGAGAAAAAGGAACCAGAGCTTGATTTTGCGGCCTCACCACCTGTGGGTAGAAGAACCCAGTGGAGGTGACACCAAGCCACGCTATAGACCACGCTAACCCAAGAGCCCTTTGCCACAGCGGTTTAGTGGTTATTTGGCCTGGTCCATGTGCCTTGGAAAAATGTTTCCAAAGCGCTTTGATGCAGTCTTCGACTATGAGACCTAGAGGGGCCGTGACAAAGAATAACATGGCGCCGGATTCCTGGGCCGGGATTCCCTGCACAATATCGAGGATGAGATGCAGCCCACCCGAACAGAAGAAAACTACAAAAACATTCATATACCGCTGCACCAAGGACCTTGGCTGTAGACCTAATAGCTCTTGGGTGATGAAGGCGCTGACAGAGGTCAGGGGGTTTTGTAACAATTGGTGCCAGAACTTCCTACGAGGTCCCATGTCAGTATAAAATCCTGCCTCTCAAATGATTTGCTGTGGGTGAGCTTACCCCCAGAAACCTCGTACTGTATCGGCATCCAGTGCTCTTCCGTACAATGGAGGGCAATTTTCAGGCGAGTCCAGTCCAAATCCCACGAGAATTATCGAAAAGGCACGATGGTGGAAATCGATAAGAATACGACTCACAACGAATCCAGCCATGATGTTTGAGATGATGCGTTCAATCCATTGTTCGGTTGACATATCCCATTGAGGCACTGGCGGCAACATTCCACGTTTCTCTTGCTCCAACGCCCGTTGCAACCCAAGAGTAGCCAAGACATCCAGAGCTAGATATTGCCAAACAACGATGGCTGACTGGCGAACCAAAAAGCGACCTCGAGGAGGCGTGTTCATAGCACGTCGTTTATAATATGCTGGCTGTGGCGGGACATTTTTGATTTGCCAGGGAGTATTGATCCCACGAGGGTCAGTGAAAAACCGAGTTGCGGCAAAGATTTGAGCCACAAAGCTCTCGCTACCCTCAGTACACAAATCATTGCTATTCTTGGGGTTGATGAGTAGCAAATTTAGGCATTGGAAGATGATGGTTACGAACAAGCGACTGCATTCACACCATATGAATCCTGGGCCCAGCGCCGCAGCCACCGGAATAGCTCGATACACAATGAAAGTAGAGCATGGAATTGACAAATATCGAAGAATGGATTTCTTCGGCGTTGCGATTAGGAGAGTCGCAGGTATAAGGCACTGGGCAGCATAGAGAAAGAGAATTTGCAGAATGGTGGAAGAGGTCGACATGGCCCGCCGCAAAAAAAAATACGAGATTGCTTCTTTCACGGGCGCTGGTGTTGCAAGAGATGTAATTGTCTTCAAAAAGGGGCGATCATTTTTTAATTTGTCAAAAGTCCTGCATAGAATCTCAGTTGGACTTTTTTTCGTGGGCCCCTTGCAGCAAGCGACAAAAACGAAGATGACAAAATAGATCCATGCTTCTATACTATTCGCATTCTCTATAGAATTATTGCCCTCTGTTTTCATAATCCAACCATTTAATGCAGCTAATATTTACCATGAGCTACGACGTAGCCCTATATAGACAGCCCTGTGCGATAAATATCCGTGCTCTAAGCAAGGTGCCCCAAGGCACCGACAGTAAGCATTCAGACTGGTCACCTCCAAAGAGGGCCAGTCGACCAAATCAAAACAAAAATATTCCCTCCTCTCCATTTCTCACCTCCACCTCGAATTTCCAACCAGTTTTTTTCATTCACCTCGCCGCACTGATGTCCTCAGAGGGAAGCAAAAACGGCCAAAAACCCCCAGAACAGCACCACGGAAAACATCTTGTCCCTGTCCCCTGTGTGTGTGGTACTTCTTTTTCTATTCAGCTCACCTCGCCAAGGTTCTGTGAGTGAAGGAAACGGTCAAAATGACCGAGGAACGGCATACGTTGAGTCAACACCTCTTCATGCCATCGGGGAAATCCACCGGGGGATTCCAAAAGCCAACGACCTCCTCGAGATCATGGCTGGCTTTTTTTTTACGGTGGTGCCGATTGCGGAGGCTGCAGCCACTCGCTGTTGATGATAGTTTGGGGGGTTGCGGCGGCCGTAGTCCAAGTCATCGGCGCCTTGCCATGAGATGTCAGCTAGTGTGCGTTAAGAGCCTCCAAACAAAACACCCAGAAGGGCTTCCAGATAAGCCTCTGCTGGGATCATGGCCTTTAACTTACGGGGTCCTCTCGGCCTTCCTAGGCCCTTCCTCCTATGGGCTCGTCGCCTTCTGTTTAACAGCAGAACCAACCGATGATGCCCACTGGAGCGCCCGTCCCAATGCTAATTATTGTTCATAAGGCTTGCTGACAGCTTGGCCAGGATCTTACTGGCGGTGGAGGGGGCTGGTGAGAGGGCTGCAGAGGATTCGATGAGGGTGTGGAAACAGATGGCGTTGATGTCAGCGATAGTAATATTGTCGAGACGAACAAAAATCTAGGGCCTTTTGGAAATAATGACAACCCTTCTAGCCAGCAGGTTCGTGCCTAATTTGGGACTGTTTCACGTTGTAACTACGTCTGTAGCTTCCAATTCCACGATGGCAGTCGGATCTGGTATTGAGCATTGGACTTTTAGATTGTGACATGATATCTTCTGCCACACGGAACCAGGGAAACCAATGGCAAGGAACTCTTCTAGTAAGCGCTCAGAAACACCTCATGCACCAAGCACAGATATCCACATAGATGGTTCAAGTTAGTACAAAGCAAGATAAAGACCACTGTTCGGCAGCGTTGTCATATTTATCACTACAGAGGCGCCCATTCCACTTTGCCCTCAAGATCGAGTTCAATGCTTCAAATTTTTCTTCCAAACCCTCCTGGATGGCTTTACGGGAGCATGAGTGGTCAGAACGTTGGCCGTACGATGGGATTGAAGGCTTTGGTCAAGTTTATCATTGAAAATATGTGCCTTTGCCGAGAGATCGAAGAACTGGTCAAAAGAGGACGGAGGGTCGCACGTGCAATTTCCCGCTCCATCTATTAGTTTAGACCCTAAAGAGCTGCCTCGGTCATAGTAGTCACCGTGGTCCTGGTTCTGGGCCAGCTTGTGTCGCATGTGCCGGTTTTGATTCCACCTTTAAAGAGGCATAGGCCCGGTCGAGCTCACTGTCAGTCCTAACACAGCGGTATAAAGTTCGACATTTCGACGGTTGCGCTCCTTATAAGCCTTTTATCAACTCTGTCGTAATCTGAATTGCTTCTGAATAAAACTGTCCCAGCTGTAGCACAAACTCCGTAAGTAGAAAGTAAGATTGGGGGTTTAAAATAGCAGAATATATATATATATCTGGCGTCTGCTACTATCCAGATTAGAGAAGGCATAGTTTACTGAATCTGGATGAGGTGAAGATACCCCGGTTGGCACCGGGGGGACAGAGATGCGCTCAGGATCAGATCAGATCTCCTTACTGTGAGCAAGTATCTGGGTAGAGGGTTGCCATTTGAGGCTTTCGGCAGCCGAGAAGACATTACGGATGTATTCAATCCCCCCACGCCCGGTCCGATGGCACACTCTGAGCATACAGGACTCTCTAGTGTGTATAACAACAGCTAAAGTTGTCCATTCCCTCAATGCTCAAGGCGATAGCTCGTGTCAGCGCTTGCAACGGGGATTTTACCGGATCAAAGTTCTGCGTCCATGCACGTCCTTAAGATAGGACTTCTCGCGGAGCTGATCACTTGAGATGATGTTGCTACGATCTCAAACAGCTTTTTGGGTTGGAAGTGGTGTGTGCAGGACTCTGGGTGCAGATGTGAGGAATGATCACCTTGAACATCGCTCTACACGGCTTTCGATCCGTTCGTTGAAGCTGTCGAGGAGATGTGAGAGACATAGATCCTTGTAGTTTAGTGCATTGCATGGGATCAATGCAGTGGAGTGAAGATGGATAAACGAAATCGGATGCTTTCAGATTCTTTTCGGACGTGAATCCAACCCAATGCGCGTGCACATCAGACATGTCGGTGTAACATTGCCTACCTGAGTGACCAACCAATCTTCGACACAACTGCAACAGCAGTATCTCAGACACAATTGTTAACAGTTCCAAAAAAATACACCGAAACAAGGACAGTAAGACCCAATCATGCGGATTTGAAATAGGTAGTCATGCCGCGTCATTATGAACACAAATAAGAAAAAGACAGAAACCCAACAAGTAGTCCGTCGTATAATAGGGAAGCTTGACTCGCTCAGCAAGAACGCCATAGAGATATATGACCGGAAAAGAAAGAAAAGGAAGAGAAGAAAATGACCTAAATGCCCAGTTCCACAGCCGGCTGTGTGTAGCGAGCCTTCACGAATTCAAAGCTGTTCGTGACGCCTTGCCAAATCCCGGGAACATAATTTCGACCCCAGGCGCAGATAACAAGAATAAGAAGGGGAATCTACAGACACGGTGTTAGCTGTGCGCTAGAGTGAATAAGAAAAGAAGCCGTGGACGTGTTTGTTTACTTACCCAAATGAAGTACAGGTTTCGGTCGCTGCCTAGACCCTTCATTCGTCGAGCCTGTTGCTCTCGGAGATGCTTTTGTTGCTCACGCGAGATGGCATTGCGCCCAATTGTGATGTCTTTGATATCGTCCTTCTCGAATAGTGCGAGGGAAGCTGAAGCGGAAGCCGATGCCGAGGCGGCGGCGGCAGCGGCAGCAGCAGCAGCACTGCTCTGGGCTTCGAAATGTTGGTCGATAGCTGCCTCTGTTGCGGCACGGAGCAGACTGGACTTCTTCATGTCGGAATCATCGGTGGATTCGGGGTGCGGAAACAGTTCATCATATGAAGGTGGTTGGTTGGGGTTGGGCGCGGAAGTGCCCTTCAGGTAATCCCACCAGCCATCCCGAGCAGCAGGTCGGTTAGGGACAAGCTTGGTTATACGGCGCATCATTCCTTGGCCTTGGTAGTCCTGGAAGGCGGGTATCGTGGGTATCGCAGGCATTGCGGGCATTGCGGGCATTGCAGGCATTGCAGGCATCGGAGGCATCGGAGGGAGAGCCGGGAGATTGGGGAGATTGGGGAAGGCGTTAGCCACGCTCTGCTGGAATTGATTGATTTGAAGAGCTAGCTGGTCACGCCACGCGACAAGAGGTGCTGGCGGGGCGAAACCTTGAGCGTCTCTGGGTGCGATTGTTTGTTCGCTGTTGTCCATGCTTGGCGGACTGACGTCTTGATGCATACTAGACCGACGAGAAGAGCTAAAGTGAAGAGGCTCCGAGTCGGAATCATCAGTAGTTTCGTCCTCATCGTCCAGATCCTCTGAATCATCAACAGCATGGCCAAGAGATCCAGAGGCGGAAGAAACCTCCCACATCGAGTTGAGCGAGGCCGAGCTACCTTGCCGGCGGCGAGACGTGATGGATCCAACACTGCGAGACCGGTAGTTGTGAGACGGAAGCAATGCGGCTTGGTGCGCTGGGAGCGTTGTAGCTAGGTCCGCGGCAGTGAAACCCCGTACACTACGAGTGTTGGGATTGGCACCCGTCAGACGCAACCGGTGGACAATGTGAGCATGGCCATTGAGGGCGGCTAGATGCATTGGCGCATTGCCCGTGTTGTCTTGCACGTCGGGGTTTGCACCTCGAGCCAAAAGCCCGGCAACGAATCTCGTCAGTCCCAACGACGCCGCAAAGTGAAGAAGACTCTGGCCGGTCGTGCTGCGAGAGTTATATCGCGGAGGCCTGGGACTGTTATCCAAGTCGATGAATTCCAAGTACGTTAGCATCTTGGAGTCGAGATCGCCAAGTTTGCCGTGATTCTCAAGACCCGGTACTTGGCGTTGCTGACCCCCAGAGGAGTTGCCTTGCATGTCTGCCTGCATGTTGAAAAACGCGTTTGGATCGCTTCCCATGATCTGTTGCGCTGTGTGGAATGCATCCGCTTGGCTGCCCAATTTCTGACCGAGAATGTTCAATGCTAGGCGATACATCTGAAGCTCGCGATCATCAACATAGCGGAAGAACAGCTGTTGTTTGGGCATAAGGGGTTGAGACTGCTGGACTTGGCCAAATGTGGGGTGCTCGTGTTTGAACACTACAGACACCAATCCTGGTTGAAGAGCGGGAGGGGTGAGGCAGTTGAGACACTTGTCACCCCAGAATGTGGTTGTAGTAGCCAAGGTGTCACCGAAAACAACCTCCATGCCTGGATAAAACCCGCTGCCCAACAACGTAACCTCAGTACCCCCTGTGATGGACCCCTCGGCAGGTACCAACTTGTGTATCACTGATGGCAATCGATTGGGAGCATTGTTGAGAGGAGGCCAGACCTGGCTTGAGGAATTCGAACCAAGTCCCATGGGAAGATTTGAATCATGAAAGCAGTTACGATTCGAGCCACCTGGTGTTCCTGGACGACTGGGATGGGTGGAGTTGGACGTTGAGGCCACTGCCCCCCCGGCTAGGGTATCTAAACTTTGTCGCTGGGCAGGAGTTGGGTTGAAGAATGGATTGTTATCATTGGTCTGGTTGGGAGTGGGCGGGCTATTTCCATATTGACCTGACATGGCGGATGGGTTCACGAATGGCCGTTCACTTGGTGAAGTGAATCCACGAGTAGTCGCAAGTTGCGGATCGTTGTTCAAGGCTGCTGCCGATGACTGAGGTGTCTCGAGCCGTGTCATCGTCAGTTCCGATGGAAGCCTTCCGGAGCTGCTATGTTTGCGTCGTTTACTCTGTGGCCCTTGGAAATCAGATGGGGATGCTCCTCGGGACAGGCTCCTGGACGTCTGAGGCATGTGCCCTCCATTTGTTGAGCCCGGTGCCGCAAATGAACTGGGAGTAAGCTGATATTGTGAATTGAACCTTTGTTGAAGACCCTGCAGATCAGTTGGCGAATGAGGTGCACCGAGAGAATTTTGCCCGTTCTCGGGGGTTTGGCCCGAGGGAAACACTCCAACTCCCGGTACTTGTGTCCCATCTGCAAGGGATGGCGAAGGGCCAGTCGGTACAGGCGCGGATGGAGCCTGCGTCTTGTGGTCATCGGTTATCATAATCGAATTTGTGATTGCCTGCGCCACTACATTGTCCAAGTGATCTTTCACAGTGAAGATGACCTGGAAACCGAGCTTCTCATTTTGGTGTCGGCAATAGCATGCAATCCGCATCGGCAGTTCCACTTGCATTGATCCTGGTGGGACCGATAATCTATCCCCATAGCCACCGCTGGAGTTCTTTGCTGGTTCGGTCCATTCCTTGATCTCGCTGGTATTGAAGACGATGACACGCTTCTCTTCATCCTTTTGAAACAATTCGTCTTCCTCGGGCTTCCTCTGCTTCTTCCGTGACGCACGTTTCCGTTCTCGCTGTATGCACCCGCTACATATCTTCACATCACCTCCGTCCAACGGACGTTCGTCATCCGAAATTGCTTGATAGTGATCACCTCTTGTCCGTGCAAATGCCCGCTTGATTTTTTCTCTGTCTTGCATGGCGCTTGTGCAGACCAGACTTGTGTACAATTGAAGGGTATCGCGAGTAGGTTCGGTGGCAGGAGGAGCAAGGAATTTGAGTTTTGAGATGGTGTGTGAGGGAAGACGGAGTTTCTTGACGCCCGTCGGTAGCGGGGAGAGGGTCAATCGGATCGGAATTTGAGTCTCAACGCGAGATTTGAGGGAAGTTGGATGCACAGTAAGAACAGGTCGTGGAGAACGCGCGTTCAATTGAGGTTGAGCCGGGGAGGAGGCGAAGTTGACAGGAAATTGATACGATGCCGGCGAGCCGAAGTTCATAGCTGGTGATAGGGAGGCGTGGAGAGGTGATTGGCGATTCATGTTTATGCCACCGAAACTTTCTTCTAGAAACGACGAAGGAGACTGTCCGCCCCATTGCGGAGCGGCTCTATCCATATCTTGAGGCATTGCAGTCGAGTATGGCGATTGTCCGTTGAGTCCAAAAGCGAAAAACGGAGATCCGGGAGCATGGACCTGTGATTTGTTAGCAACGCGAAAAACAAGAACGCGGTTCAAATGACCAACCGAAGGCACCGCATCAACTGATTCCAGCCCAGTGTTATTGCTCGACGGACTCCAGAGCTGAGATTTCGAGCGCTTCGGGGGTCTGGGCCGTGACCCATTGTCCGTCTTCAATGGACTAGGGCTACTTGCTGCACTTTCAAAATCAAAGGCTGCATCCATTGCCTTATTGCTGACCTCCAGATCAGGATCCATAGAGAAACTACCGTCCATCTGAAAAGACGGATCAATGTTGAACGGCGATTCCTCCTTGACTGACGATAATTCCGGGTGCATCCAGTCCTCCGACGGATAACTAATAGAAGCTAAGGGATTCTCACTATGTGCTGCAGAGGTTGTCGAAGCGATCGATGTTTGTCGCAGGTGGTTCCGTGGCGATTCGGAGGAAGAACTGCGACCTGAATCATCTGGCGATTCGGCTGGCGAGTCCGCGGCAAGAGTCGACACTTGCCTCATGGGGTTTTGATCTTGGTATGGCTTCGAAGGCCCTGAGGCGCCATTCGGACAGGAGGTTGTGGCTCGAGCGAATAGGTCGTCAAAGTCTCCCCCAGCATTTTCAGTTGACATCTCGAGTTTTGTGGGGTCCAAAAAGTCCATGTCGTCGTCCATAATGATGGGGTCCAGGGCGGAAAAAGAGGGCGAAAAGGGTGCCTGCGCTGATACCATGCTTCGTTTTTTTCCCCTTCCGGATTCTTGGAAGTCGCAGTCGATTTCAACCGTTAACGGCCCCCCCCCCTTCGCAACAATTGAATATGACTTGGCGGGTCGAAAATGAATCTCAGAGACGGTAGAAGTCCAAAACTACGACAATCAGTTCTTGACACTGTTTAAACCGGGACCGGTCTCTGTAACCATGGCCCCGAGAAAGGTGAGATAATGAAGGTGTTAGGGAAAGTTACTGCCTTGCGGGTTGTCCTGTAGGAAAGGAGGCCGGGAAAACTGTGAGCGCCGATCCAGGCCGGCAGAACCTCAAACGTAATCAACGACTTTACTTGGAAGTTATATTGAGTTGAGTGACTGAAGGATTGGATTTTGTTGAAGGGTTTTGACTAGACTTGATTGGAAACTAATCAGAGGGATATTTTTTGAGATGCTGACATCCTACATTATCGCTCTGGAGATATTCGCGTAGAAAATTGACACCTTAGGCCTCACAAAGCGGTGACCACTGTAGAGCACACGACATACGCCCACTTTCCATCTTCCATCGCTTTGATTTGCTATTCCCCGTCTGATAAGCGGGACGAGGGGGGTCGGACTATCTGGTTTGAGGTCTCTTCTACGATGTTCTACGAAATAGTCCAGGGCTTAGAGGGTTTGGAGGGTTTTGGAAGACGCTGTGTAACCACCTTCTCATCACCTTGGGCCATTCTGCTCCCATCAAGAGTTTTTCATTATCGACCCAAGCTCACGTTGGCACTGGACCTTGACGAGCTGTTTTCCGTTATTTCCACTCACGACTAGACCTATACCGAAATTGGCTCCGACTTGGGTATGGATCATCCGTTAAATGAAACTGACAACGAACTACAACATACAAACACGAGTTAAAAAAAAGGAATTTATTTTTTACCGGCGTATGTTGTACTCCGTAGTCATCTTGAGAATAAGGATCAAATTGGACTGGAGAGTATATACACAGATCCAGAAAATTTAGCACAAAACAGACCGACCAAGAAACAGTGCAAGCAATTGAACAGCGTCAGCTTGTTTGAAGCCAAAAAAAAATAAAAAAATAAATTACGGGACGCCCGACACCCGTAATATCAAAGTAAGAAGTCTTGAGGTACGTATGGACCGACTGTAGATTCCCAATCTTCTGGATCATCTCTTTGATACCGCTCTCCTTCCATCAGAATCAGTGACAACTAATTCCTGTGCGGTGATAAACCACTCAAAAAGCCCTGCACGCTTTGCCTGGCCAACCCAGTGCAATGCTGGGACAGCTGGAAGACTCCAGATAGCCTTGTTCTCCTTCCGTTGGAAAAGCTCCTCCGCGTATGCTGCTGTGACATCAGTCCGGAGAACCGCAGTGCCAGGATAGTCAAGGGTACACATAGCATGACCCGAATTGTCATCCTGGGTGACAGCAGTAGCTACAGCGACGGCCACATCATCAAGTGGGGCGACGTCGAAAGTGCCACCAAGCCTGGCAAAGTCTGGCCGAACACCGAGACGAGGCGAAATTTCGAGATAGGCGCGAACCAGGGCATGTTCTATCTCGTTGAGTTCAGGCGAAATGACATGATTGCCATCCATAACAGTCTTGGTAGGTCGATGTGCCGTCACCTGGAGGCCGAGATGATGTGCTGCGCTGGCGAGGTATCGCTCAGCTACCCACTTTGAAGAGACATAGCCATGAGCAGGATCCGGTCGAGGCAAGTCACATCTATCATCTGTCTGATAATCTGCCACGGCACCTGAGCTCAGAACATGCAATTTGGCACCTGTGCGAAGAGCCAACCTTGCAAGTGCCTTGGTGCTGGTAACATTGACAGGCTTGAGAGCATCATATCCATCCCAGAAGTTGCGGTCAGCAGCAATGTGTAAGATCACATCAAGCTCTGCCAGCTCAGGAGTTTCATCTGCGGGGAGAGATGGGAGCTCAGTTGATAGGATTTGGATTTTGCCCCAGAGATTAGAGAACAGGCCGGACGATTCCCGCCCCTCGATTGGTCGTGCCAAAATAATGATCTGCGTAACACGCTCATTTGCCTCCAAGTGAGGAATCAATTGCTTGCCCAGAGATCCGGTGGCACCTGTAACGAGTATGCGGAGTCCAGTAACACTCTTTTTCAAACCCCTTGCTTGTTGTCCTATCGCGGGAATCCCGTCTGATAAGTCCAGCGCAATCTCCTTATCCCAATCGAGGGAAGCGCCCTCATTCTCAAGAAGTGTAGCCATGCCTCCAAGTTCGGGAGTGCTCATGAGCTTGCTCAGACGTGGTGCACCACCAAATGCATCCTTGATAGTAGCCTGCAACTTGACCAGGAGCAAAGAGTTACCACCGACGCGGAAGAAATTAGATTGAGAGGATAGCGCTTCTGAGGCCAATGAGTGTACCGGAAGAACAGAAGCCCACAGGTCAGCGAGGCGACGCTCATTTGAAGTCCAGTCCTGCTGCAGCTCCGGTTGATTGGCGATAGAAGATTTTACCTCTGGTAGGGCAAGTGCTTGAACGGCCTTTCGGTCAACTTTACCGTGGGCAGTAAGAGGCACTTCACTGACAGGCACAATGATGGCTGGCACCATGTATTGAGGAAGACTGCTGTTCAAGCGAGTACGCAGCTGCCCAATGATTTTGGCAACCTGTGCCTCACTGTTCTCGTGGCTGTTCTGAATAACCACATGCGCACTGAGAATATCATCGTGGTCTTCTTCTCCAGTTCTTAGTGTAACCACAGCGAGGGCCAATGCGCCTCCAGCTTCCTTAATGATGACTGCCTCAATTTCGGCAAGCTCGATACGGAAGCCCCGTACCTTCACTTGGGCATCACCGGCGACGCGACCCTCGACCGCGAGTAGACCACGGGCATCGAGCCGGCCATAATCTCCGGTGAGATACATACGACCCCAGCCACTGCAGTGCTTATCATGCGGCGCAAAGGGGTCTGCGATAAATTGCTTTGCCGTAGCCTCCGGCCGGTTGAGATACTCGTTCAGGCCAACACCAGCACCGCCAATGACTATCTCTCCCGGAACGCCAACAGGAACTGGCTGCAACTCCCCATCGAGGACATACACAGCGTAATTAGGCAGGACCCGACCTGGAACTGGAACGGTCAAGTGGGGGTCGTTGACATCAGCCACACCTTTCATTGTGGACACAGATGCTTCAGTAGGGCCGTAAGTTGTATAAAAGCGCAAGTTGGGGAGTACTTTGCTCAACTCACGGAATGAGTCAACGAGACTTGGAGGGGATCGTTCACCACCGAACCAAGCAGAAGTCCAGGAAGTGCAGCGGCGGAGACCGTCCGAGGCAAAGCGAAACCACATGTTGTACTCAGAAGGCGTTGCTACTGTGAATGTCACATTGTGCTCAGCCATGAGGCGCGTCAGCTCTGTTGGGTCACCACGGGCATCGGCCGGGGCAACCAGGAGACAACCGCCAGTAGTAATTGCAGAAGCAATCTGCTTTAGCGAGCCATCAGAAGTCAAGGCAAATTGCTGAAGCACAACTCGGCCAAGGTTGGTGATGTCCCACTCGCGAACAAAGCCCTCGACCATGGCGCGGAAACTGGCATGCTTCACAACGATGCCCTTCGGCTCGCCAGTTGAACCACTGGTAAAGATGATATATGCCGGACGATTGCTCTGGGCTACTGTGACAGTTCTTCCTTTCTTGATCTCAGCGGCAAGAGGTAGGTCAGATACATTGATAATAGCAACAGTGCTCTCCGAGTCAACACCAATCTCTTGGAGGCGCTCACTGGTATTTTTGTCAACCAGGATGCAAGATGGCCGTGTTGCATTCACATAGCAATTCAGGCGCGAGGTGGAAACCTTTAGATCCAAAGGCAGGTATATAGCACCAACACGAAGAATAGCAACGAGAGAGGAAATCCAATCAGCAGATGGCGTCTGGAAAACGCCAACGATGGACTGTTCAGTGGATTGATCTGGAATTCTCTCTCGGAGAGCGCGTGCGATGCTCTCAACTTGTTCATCGAGAGCTGCATATGTCAGAGCACGACCGAAACCATCCTTGACAGCCAGATTGTCAGGAAATTGGGCAATGACCTCATCGATACGATGTGCGACAGTGGGCCACTGCAGTGGCAGGTCAGAACCTAGAACCGAGAAAGTAAACAAGAGTTCAGCGAAGGCAGGGCTTAAACTATTTAGAGGTAGACATACCCTTTCCAAGTTCCAACGCGGTCTTGACATCGGTCATATCCCATTTTTCCAACTTTTCAACCTTCGTTTTCTCACCACCTTGCTTCACAACCTCCTTCAGAACGTTGACATAGCTCCGCATGAGCAGATCTGTGGCTTCCTTGCTGTACAATGCCTCTTGTGTATGGATGGCCAGCAACGCACTCTCTCGATCCTCAACAATCTCAAGTGCGATGTCATATGCACCTCTTGCTGGATGCCACTTATGCTCACTTACTTTGCACCCAGCCCAAGGCATTTCCGCTTGCTCTCTCGTAAAGAGTTTGTAGTCCATGAAGATCTGGCACACGGGGGGATATGCATTAGATCGCGGCACAGCTAGCTCATCCAGAAGCAAATCGAAAGGCAGTCCAGAGTGCTCGAGAGTCGCATAAACATTGTTACGGGTATCTTCGATCGCTTGCCCGAAAGTACAACCACCAGAGTTGCGGTCAAATAGAACCGGCAGCACGTTGAGGAAGTTACCGATACTGCCCATGAATTTGCCGTCGATTCGATTGGCATCGGCAATGCCAATGATCAATTTCTCTGTAGTCTCTGTAGGCAACAGGCGGAAGAGAAGTGCTTGCAGTGCCGCTAGATACGCGTGGAATGAAGTAGATCTGTGACTGCGCGCAAGGCTCTTCAAGCGTGCTGTAGTCTGAGAATCGAGACGGACGCGGGTCACAGTGCTGTTGTAACTTTCTAGCGGATGACGGATCTGAGAGCGGGCAAAAGAAAGCAGTTCGACCGGGCGCGAGAGGTCAATGGATTTTAGGGCTTGACGGTAGTACATGATGGCTGGCTGGAATTTACCGGCCTCATAGGCGAGTAGCTGCTGCTGACCAAAATCACGGGCTTGCGAGCCAGCAGCCAGGGGAACTAGCGGGATTCCGGAGCCGTTGTAGACTCGATTTATATCAAGCATCAGCACGTTCATGCTAAATCCATCCATCGAGATGTGATGTGTTCCCATGAGCAAGTAGTGCACAGTATCGGAAAGCGAGAGCAGGCGTAGTCGCAGCTGCTTCCAGTCGCCAAGGTCCCACTTTTGTTCACGCATCGCATCCAGCTCTTCTAACGCCTGAGCTTCGGAATCAATTTGAATTGCCTCCAGATGCACGAGGGACTTAGACATGATTCCTTGCATAGGGGTCTTGGTATCGTCATTTGACCAAAAGAAGCGCGTACGCAGTGCTTCATGCCTATCAGCCACGGTTTCAACGGCCCTGGCAAGCTCGCCAGTACGAATGGTGCCATTGAGTTTAAATGAATAGGCAATGTTAAATGTTGTAGGGTTGTCAATGTAGTGATGGAGGAACCAGAAGCGCTTTTGCCCAAAGGTCATCGGCTCAACAATCTCGGTAGAACATCCGAGAACTGCCTTCCGTTTTGAATTTTCAAGCTGCTGCATCGGTGCAACATCCGAAAGTTCTTTTTGCTTAAAGGCATCCGAAAGATCAAGAGGCTTATTGAGAGGCGTCTCTGGGGGTGTGTCAGCTGAAGATTGCGGCGTTGGTATGCCGCGTGGGCTTGCCGACCCCTCTGAACTGGTTGCCGTCTCCACAACGACATTGATAGGAGGAGATGCGGGAACAACTGCAGCAGAAGTAGCGGCGGCAGAAGCCAGGATAGCTGGTGTACGACCTGGTGAAGCATCCCCTACGGTGCCCAATTTCTCGAGGTCGAGGAGGCCTGAAGGAACATTTTTGGTCACCTCACCAATCAAGGATTCAACCGTCGATGCAGGTCCCAGGATTTTGAGCACTGGAAGGTCGACATCGAATTCCTGTAAGAACCAGGTGCGAGCATCAACGGCCATGATGGAGTCGACACCTTGCTCCACGAGCGAAACCTTCTCGTTCATACTTTCGCCTTGAGGGATCATTAGAATACGCTTCAATCGATCAATCACAGCTTCACGAATAATCGCCTGTGCTTCATCTTGGGACTTGGCAGTCATCAAACGAGCTCTAGGATGCCCAGCTTTGCCAGCATTGCCACGAGCACCTTGTCGACCACCATCAGCAGCATCGTGTAGCAGAAGATGACTGAAACATGGATTGCTGAGTAGTGTCGCACCCTCGCGGAAGGGGGATACACCAGTGCAGACCTCTGAACCATCTTTCTCGCCAGGGCGTCCAGCAAGAACAGTCTCTGCAAAAAGACTGAGGAAATCTTGCTCCGAAACATTGCGATACCCAATGCGAGTAAAGTGATCCTTGTCCAGGTGGTTAGCGTGCTCAAAGTAACCCAAGCCCTGGATTGAGCTGATAGCCATGTCGGAGCCAGCAACTCCACGAACGTCACGGCGATGAGCTGCCAGAGCAGCCATGAACTGATTAGCCATTATGTACGCGGACTGACCTGTGTTTCCGACAACGTTGGCCAAAGAAGTAAATAGAATGAAGAAATCGAGCGGCGTATCGTAGAAAAATTCGTCTAGAACGACAGAACCTTCAATTTTGGGCGGCGCTGTCCGCTGGAGAGACTCAAATTTCATATCATCGAACAACGCATCATCCATCAACATGGCTCCATTAGCAACACCAATGATGGGCGGCAGCTCATTTCGGATCTCGTTATGGGCTATGCGCACAGACTCCCGGCTAGTGACGTCCATGGACACCGTTTTAATGATCGCCCCTTGGGTTGCACACGAATCAATGAAGCTCTGGCTCACTTTGGGTCGTCGACTAGTAAGAACAACATTTTGAGCTCCATGAGCTACCATCCAAGAACATAGTGACTGTCCTAGCTCACCCGTCAGACCAACGAGCAAGTAGGTTCCATCGGCTCGAAATATAGGCCCATGGTCAATCGGCCGCACTAAAGCTTGCACTGTCGAAGAACTCCAATCAATAAGAGTGAATGTATCAGTTGAAACAGGGAAGCCAGTTGTGTCCTGCAATGGTAGAGTTGGGACCTCTTCGCGAGCAAAGGACGCGGGCAGTCGCGCTCGGTTAGTTACTGCCCTCCAGGAAGCCTTGAACGCTTGACCAACATAGTCTACATCATGCTCATTTGCATCCGGAGAAAACCCAGATTTTGTACGCAGGAAATTAGTTGAAGTAAACCGTACTTCCAAGTTGGAATCTACAAGCCCAAAAGTAACAGAGTGGTAAGCAAACGTGCGGCGATGATTTGAGCAGAAAGGAAGATCGTTACATACCCTTTCCAAGACCCAAAGCACGGCCCATCAGACCAGAATCAAATTCTCCAGCGTCAGATGAGAAGTCAATGAGCAGGGACACATCGCGTGGTAAGAGAGCCTGTACTTGACGAGCAGGGAGCCTTTCATGAATGAAGAGAAATGGCGATCGATGGTTGGAGGCTGTTTTTTTCTTCAATGATGTTGTAAAGACAGCGCGAATACCTTCTCTAGCCGCCTCAATGTCCAAAGCATCTTTGAGACGCGGGCTTGCTTCGTGTAAAACAACACTACCAAAGTGTGGCGCACTGGCGATGATTGTTTGTGCAAGAATGTTTGAAGCAACATCGACAAGCGAGCTATTTATATTGCTGTCTTTTGCAGACAAGCGCACCGTCCATTCAACAGGCACACATGCGCGGGACTCAACAGCCACATCGGAGATTGCGGCAAAACGTTGTCCTGACGAAATTTCGGTGCCAACAAGCAAATGAAAATAGCCAGCGTCTCGAATTTTAATGGCCTGCAGAAGCGAACTTTCGACCCGAAGAGTTACGGTCTTGCCATATAGCCGAGACGGCACCACAACACGCAGCGGGGATACTATGGCAAGCTCAAAAGCATTCCCATCAACGGTTGGCTCTAGTATTACCATCTTCTCGCGGAGATCAACTTGACTTGACACTACACGGCGGTAAGTGTTGTACCGGTTGTTGGCGTCTATGTCCGGGAGTAGTCGTGGAATCAACAGGCGACCGTTAACATAATGATTCTCGGGCTCAATGGACCAGAGGAGGTTGTAATTCTGTTCTTTCTTGAACCGCGCCCCGAGTTCGAGGCGCACAAGGGCTTCCGCAAGAATATGGGGCGTCGCTGTCGTGGCCGCATCGAAATCGAGCAGCTGCAGTGTCATTGCCGGATACTCATGGCGAAGAACACGGGCTAAACCGAGAACAATGGACGAGTAAGGACGCCCGGCTCTGGCCTCGTATGTCACCCACAGAATACTGCTACCATGTCTGCAGACACTTCTGAGAGCGTCAATTTTGGCTTCAGTACGGGTCTCAAGGAACTGCTCATCCAATTCCGTCAGCGACAAAACAGAGCTCCCAGAATCGAGGCCTCGTTTATTTAGTTCCTCGAGCGATTTGATCCGAGTAACGGCAGCATATCGCGACCTCAGTAAATCACAGACATTCTGGCTAAGCTGGGCGATCGCCGCCGTCCTCCCGCCGACGACAACCAGGTGAGTTATGTTTTGTGTCGGACTGATCAAGGGAGTACGCAAGCAATTGATGCGATCATCAACAGCTTGACTGACAAAGACGGTGAACCATTGTGGCTTGCTGGGGTTGAAGAAAGGAGTGTGCGTGTCGATACCGCTAAATCCGTGCCTGCGGAGCAACGCGTCCCACCGCGACAGGGATAGTGCGCTGCGGCGGCTTGGGCTGGGTCCCTCGGGTAGCCCACCCAAAATGGTACCCAAGCTCAGGGAGTCGTTGGTGTTGATTTCAAGAATAACCAAGTAGCCGCCGGGTCTTAGTAGCTTTCTTACATTGGCTAGTCTCTCATCGAGGTCCTCGACAGCATACAAACTGTTCGATGCCAGCACAACATCATAGCGCTCTTCATCTAGCCCCTGTTCTGCAGCAGGCTGGCGGGGATCGTATGTCACAAGCGACAAGCGGTCACCGAACCCACGGAGACGCTCTTGTGCCTCTTCAAGAGCCTTAGGTGAAATTTCTGTGTATGTGTAATTTGAGAAAGAGTCACCTAGGGAGGAGAGGATTGATGCAGTCGAGCCAGCGCCGGACCCGCCCCCAATCTCCAGAATGTGGCCTCGTGGGAAACGATACGTGATCTGGGCCACCACGCGCGCGTACCAAGTATTCGCACTCTCTTGTCCCTGGTTTGATGTAAGATTTCGGTAGAACTGATTCAGCAACCCGTCTTTAACGAGGTTCTCCCTGACGCTTCCACCGCTACGGATTTGCTCAGCCAAGTGATCACCAGCTGCATCTAGCAGACGCATATAGTTGTGGCCATAGTGCTTTGAAAGAAGTGAACGGACAAAGGCCGGGGAATCTTTCAACGCCTCACTCGGTATTTGAGGATGCCGCCCCTGCGACACAGATTCCACGGCGCGACGAGCGAAGTCCAACAAGACCTGGAAGTGGGCCGGAGCGTCCGACCTTTCCGATTCAGTAATGACCTCCTCCAATTTGCGAAGATAAAAGAACGCCACACGCTCGGATGCGAACAGCATATCGTCGTTCTCTGTAATAGCATTAACTATACCCGAGGTCGCATCGGGAGCTTCCGAGCGATAATGATAGCGTGTGTATATCACGGCGTCATCGCGAGGTGTGGGTGCAGCAAATGGCTGCATCTCAATCGATTCAAACTGCACAAATGGGTGCACTTGGGATGAGCCGCCAGAGAAGATATCAATGTCGACTGTCATATGACCTTCGGGAGCCGGACGGGACGATGTCTGGTATTGTAGGACACGATCATGATTATCCGCAAAAAACCACGGATTGATGACAACGGAGCGAATGGACGTCGGCACGCAGAGGGTAAAGAGACGATTGTCATGTGGGTGGCTATAGGCTGCAAACCCAGTCTGGATGGCCGAGTCGAGCCAGCCCGGATGGACTAGGAGCTTGTCTTCCCAAGCACCACCTGACTCATCCTCTATATCACCAATAGCCCAGCTCATTTTGCGTTTTATTGATCGTACGCCTGTGAATGGGGAGCTGTAGTTGTATCCAAGCTTGACGAACTGGGAATAGAGACGCTCGGCTTCCGCATCCACCAGATTGATCTCGTCACGGCGAGCTGGAGGAAGCATGTCAATTTCTGGCTCATGAATGCTAACCGTAACTATAGAACTGAAGTTCAAGACAAGCGGGTTTGCGCTATCAAATGGTAAACCAGAGTGACAAGAGATGCGAGCCGAGAGTTCGTCACTGGTAGATCGAACCACACGGAGAGTTATCTTAGTCTCCACGCCGGTATTTTCATCATCAAATGAGAGAGCGCGGCCGATAACGACATTTTCAAGCCTTATAAGTCCCAGTTTGCGATCTCCGGCGGCAGCAGCGACAGCTTCCACAGCCAAAGAGATATAACCCATAGCCGGGAAAACACTCTGACCTTGCAAGGCGTGGCCTTGAAGCCAATTATTCTCAGACAAGCGCAGGACATTCCGCCAAGAGATCTCTTCATCTGTCTCAGTTTCCACTAGACGTCGTCCCAAAAGAGGATGTGGCAACGAGTGCAAATTGCGATGGCCGCCAGAGACTCTAGTGAGAGAGTAGAAAGAGCGCGAGTGATCGAAAGGATACGTAGGCAGATTTGTCAAAATATGATTTTCCGGGGATCCAACTCCAGATATGAGCTTTTCGAAGCCATTGAAGTCAACTGAAGAGGCACCAAGATGCAACCACAAGTAGCCAAGTGCCGAGGCAAGTTCATCAACGTCGCTTTTGTTACGGGCTAGCAGACCCACGTACGGAATTTTATGACTAGTGGACTGTTGGATCGTGTCAAGGGCAGGTCCCTTCAGTGCCGGGTGGGGACCGAACTCGATGGCCATATCAAAAGGTCCGCTTTCCCCAACAACTTTCGATACAGCTGGCTCGAATAGAACTGCGCTTGTCATGTTATCAACCCAGTACTGTGATTGTTCAACATCCTCTTTGGTCATGACATGGCCGCCTTCAACAACACTAGAGAACCATGTTGTACCATTGCCCTCGTCAACACTGTAACCGGCTCTAGCCAGACCCGCAAGGTAGGGCTTCGCGCACGGCAACATGTGGGTTGAGTGATAGGCGGTGTCAACCCGCAATCGACGCGCAAATTTACCTTCATCCTGGAAAATGGCAACTGCCTCCTCAATGACTTCTTCATCACCAGAAAGCGTGATGCTGGATGAGGAATTACGCGCTGCAACCTGGATTCGGCCAACGAAGTCGTCCAACTCGCAGAACTCTTGTGCATCCTCATATGAGGTGCCAACCGCCATCATGGCACCTGGTCCTCCAGCCTGCGCCAGTTTGGCATAGAGACCCCGATAATAAGCAACACGGATAGCATTAGAGGCTGACAGAAAGCCTGCAGCATACGCTGCACCAATTTCACCAGATGAGTGACCGACAACGGCGCACAGATCAATTCCTGCTGCTCGAAGTAAATCAACGAGCACAATTTGGACAGCAGTGCACAATGGCTGAGCGAGAGCTGCCTCAGCCAGCCGAGAAGACTTCGAGTTAGCGAGGAGCTGCGAGTACAGTGTCCAGTCGGGCCGATCTCTATCCGGTAGAGTGGCAAGGGCTCGTTGAAGCTCCGCAATGCGTTGTGAAACAAATGGTGACAATTCAAGTAGCTGTGCACCCATGCGAGGCCACTGAGCGCCTTGCCCTGTGAAGATACCAAGAACTTTGGGTCTTATGACGTCGTAGTAGCGAGTGGCGAAGCCACCATCTGTGTTGTTGGTATCGTCGGCCAGCAAACCATCGATCTTCTTGATTGCGTCCTCAACATTGGTGGACACGATGGGCTTACGGTAAGGAAGCGTTGACCATCGTGTCTGCAGGGTGTGTGTTAAATCCCGAATGTTGGTGCTTGGATTTTTCTGAAGGTAAGCTCGAAGATTTTCAAGCATAGCCCGCAAAGTAGATTTTGAGGCGGCCGAGATCGTGAGTGGAGTAAATGCTGGCACCACGGCCAAGGAAGAGTTGATGACAGGATCCTTCTTGGGAGGATACTCGAGAATGGCGTGAGCATTAGTGCCCCCAAACCCTAGTGCAAAGTTGATTAGCTCTCGAAATAACCGACGAAGCCATTTTCGATGGTGATAATTGACTTACCAAAGCTGTTCACGCTGGTTCGACGTGGCTGGCCGGGTAATGTGGCTGGCCAAGGCACGGCTGACGTTGGGATTTGAAGATGTTCAAAGAATGGGGCAACGCGATCGCTGAGCTTTTTAAAGTGAAGATTTGGGGGAATAAAGCCGTGCTGCATAGCCAGAGCCGATCCAATAAGACTAGCAAGGCCAGCAGAACCTTCCGTATGTCTACAGAGCAAAGAAAACGAGATGATTAGTCTGTATAACGACAGCAGAAAAGGATTTCGCATGCAATAGATAACACGTACCCAATGACAGTCTTGATAGAGCCAAAGTATAGCTTTTCGGCTGTTTGACCATCTCCAAAAAATGATCGTGAGATGGCTTCGGCTTCCTGTGGGTCACCTGCAGGAGTTCCAGTACCATGTGCGTGGAAAAACTGGGGTCGGTCTTTGGGATCGTTGATATCGAGCCCAGCACGAGCATACGTATCCTGAATCAATTCTGTCTGGGCGATGTTACTAGGCATTGTCATGCCAGCAGTCTTACCATCCTGGTTCACTGAAAGGATGATCAATTAGTCTTGGCAATGTGATTGAAATCAGACAAAAGAAAGCCACCTCACCAGCCGTCTCTCGAATGATGCATTCGATGTTATCACCATCCCTCAACGCAGCACTAAGTGGCTTCAGCACTACAGAAGCAATGCCCTCACCCCGAGCATACCCATCTGCTGCGGCATCCCACATCTTGCTGCTCCCAGTAGGCGATAACATATGAAGATTGCTCTCCGCAATGAACATACCAGGAGCAATTATCAGATTGGCTCCTGCGGCGATTGCAATCGGGCACTCGCTATTTCGCAGGGCTGTTACAGCCTGATGGACCGCAACAAGCGACGATGAACAGGCCGTGTCGATGGTCATACTGGGCCCATGCCAGTCGAAGAAGTATGATACACGGTTGGAAATGATCGCACGACTCTGGCCAGTCGCAGCGTATGTCTGCATCAGATCCCAGTCGCGGTTAACAAGCTGGTTCCAGTCATCACACATCATGCCGACATAGACAGCTGTTTTTGAGCCTTTCAATGCTTCAATTGTTTGACCACCAGCACACCTATAACGTATCAGATAAAACAGCTCGTCTTCTATAGTGGAGGAGTAAACTTACAGCGAATCATATACAGTTTCCATGACCAAGCGCTGCTGTGGATCAATAGCCTCGGCTTCCGCCGGTTGGATATTGAAAAACCCATTGTCGAAGCGAGTCACATCTTCTTCGATGAAATATGCCTTGGTGGCATCTGAAGCTCCGTGCTGTGATCCGTTGGCATGATAAAACCCAGTTGTGTCATAACGGTCCGTAGGTATACGCTTGGATAAATCACGCGGTGACTTGATCAGTTCCCAGAGCTTTGAGGGAGAATCACATCCTCCTGGAAAGCGACATGCCATACCAATTACGGCAATCGGCTCCTTTTCCGAGAGTAGCATTTTGGGATATAGTGGATGGGTGCTAATGGAGCGATGATAGAAGGACACGCGATATTAGATGCGAGTTTCGAAGATTGTCCTGTATTTGGTCACAATAAACGAAAACATTAAACACGACGAATACAAGCAAAAAAAAAAGATGTTGAAAACCCCCAGCGAGGTAAGTAGCCGTTTAAGCCTTGACAGAAAGGAAGTAAGCTCACGTGTAAGAGCCCTGGAACGAGCGTTGCTTATTCCGACCAGATCGTCGTGTTTCACATTTGCCATCGAGCCACCAAATCTATCGGCGAGATCAACTGAATACGAGCAGTAGGACTTCCGAACATCGACGTAGCTCTAGTGGGTCCGGTTTGTGCCAACGTCTTTCAAACGTGGAAGACAAGTCCACTGGGCAGATACTAGCGTGGCCCCCAACTTGGAGACCCGATAAAAACCGACTTTTTGCGAGTGCTTAGCAACTAGCCTCTTTTTTTTGGGGCAAAAACTACGGACCTTCGTAAACGAGGCTTCGCTGCCTATGTGGAACAATTCATCAATCGAAGTTCAATTAACTTGTTGCAGTCTAATTGCGTAAGACTATGCAGGCGCTTAATCCAACTGAAGCAAGAATTCGAAGTCAAACGCCGAGTTAGTATCTCACACTGTAGAGTATCTCAGGAGTATGCCTACGCTGATTGTAAAGAGGGTGGAATCAGCTCATTTGGTAAACCCACAAACCGACACATTAAATATAAAATGAAAGGGCATTCCCTATGTTCCATGTCTCATTTCTCACTCTCTTCTATCCGCCTCTAAACCCTCTCCTACCTCAGTTCCAATTGATGGTGAAGATTTCGTAGCCAGTTGGGTAGACTTATCGACGTGTGGCTGCGATTCTCGTTCTACAGCATATTTTGTCGTCATAAAATAAAACCCGTTGCCTTCCACACCTAGGTCCATAGCCGCAAGGCCTAGAGGTTCGTTATCGTCGTCGTCCTACTTGAGTCCCACATGTTGAAACTGCTGGATGAGGCCTGTTCGTTGTACAAAGTTGACCACATGGCAGGTGGCGTACAGGTGAGAGAAGTTATTGCCATAATCCATCCCATTGATCCCCACTACACACAGCTGCTGCCTCGGCTTTGTGCGCGGAATGACATATTGCAGGCACTGCACTCATAGTCACTAGCTCGTAGGGGATCTGTGATAGAATCCATAGGGTTATCTTTAATAGTTGAATTGGTAGTAAAAATTTAAGAGTGGTCTACTATATACTTCGACCGGGTTTAAGTAGTTGCGCCTTTTCTCATGTCCCAACAACTAACCAGTCCCATCCAAAACTAAAGTAGAAATGCTATCGTATCCTATTGCAAGATTGTTTTTTTTTTTACCTACAGGATTCCATAGTTGAATAGTACAGTGTATTCAAGGTTGCTTTAGCGCTCTGCTGTCAATTTTTTAATTCGCGTCATTTGGACTCGTAGGTTCGCCCTTGTCCCTGGAGATAGATTGCAGTTAGGCTCATTCACGTTTTATGTTCGATCTTCCATAGTCAACACAGTTTGGGTCCATAGTTAATTCATGATTTGGGAATGAAGATCAATTAATGACTTAATGGAAACTAACATTCATCCACTGATCAAACTCCGTCGTGTTTGTGAGCAACAAATCTGCCATAGAGACAACTGCCGTAGTTGAAGACGACATGAGACCGTCCGAGTACCGAAAATCCACGCTGTTAGGAAAGGTGGGCATAGATGAAAAGTTTACAATGGAATCTAAAGGAAAGAAGTGGTCAGTTTCGAATTCAATTTATCGGGAAGGGGGGAGGAAAGAAATGGGAAATCCTCTGAAAGTTATCGATTTCGGTTTACCTTCGTACGGTTCCCACGCAGGCTGATCCAGGGACATCATATCCCTAGATACAGGAAATGGAGAAACCGAGTTAGGAGTAGCGACTGGGGTCTGATCGTTTTCTTGTCCGTCCATCCCCAGAAGCGGATGCAAGAGCTGAACCACTCGCCGTGCCCCGGGAGAGATAGCACTCAAACGTAGCCAGAGAGGATAAACGTTCTGCAGCAGATCATTTATGCTGTTATCCGTCTGTTCACCTAAGGATACGTCTGGATGTGTCCTTGTCAACTGAACATAGTAGCAGAGAATACTAATGCCCAGTAGAAAAACAGCATTCAGTCGTGATGACGTGAACATCCATCGCACGGGGTATAAAAGTCCATCTTTTTGAGTTTCCTCATCAACGATCTGCTGGAATTCGAGGATTCTCATGGCGGATTTTATGCAGGCCTTTCGTGAATATTCGAATTGTGCTGGATTGTAATAAGAAGGCGTAAGATACTTCCGATGAAGCCAAACAGTCACACGCTGTATTGCAAGCTGAAGTAGCACTCTGTGCATGACGATCTGTGGTAAAACCATAAATGATTGACTAAGAGGCTGCCAACGGAAAATGGGTGATAGCGACGCTTCGGCTTCCTGCAATTTCCGGTCGAGATCTATGATCTCCGCATATGGGTGCTCTCGTGTGTCGTTGACAAGATCACTGACTAGCCCGTTCATTTGGTCTATCCTGGTTCTTGCTAGACTGTACAAGACAGGTGTGACCTCGGTTTCGGGGCGCGATTCAGGTAGCTCAGTGGTGTTCTCGTCAAAATCAGTATCGAGCAGATTTCGAGGCTCGGCAGTATCATATTGTTGCAGCTTAAGGAGACGTGGCAGTGCCATCTGGCTAGATAATCGCAAGTCCATCTGCACTATCACAGCCCATACCCTTCGTCGCATCTCTCCAGCGAAAGGAGAGATACTGGAGAAGTTTTGGGGGTCTCGGTGATACCCTAGACTCAGAGCGAGCTGAACAAGCATCCCTTGTACCAACCACAGACCAATCTCTGAGTCTCTAGAAAGAAACAGCTCACTTGTTAGATAATTGATTAAAGTTTCCAGCACGTAATCTCCACCCCTCGTCCACTGACAGAGCACAAGGCAATGAATGACATTCTCTCGAAACATGTGCACGCGCACCGGTGTCTCCGGATCCTCAGAGCCCTCGATTGATTGTTGATACCGTGTTGAGAGGGACATGACACTGAACAAAAGGCCAATCCAAGCTATTGATACTGCATTTGGGTCTTTCCAGAAATTTTCATACTAGAGATCACGGGGAAAAAAAATCAATCGTCACGTTCGTAAGTGGTCACTCGGAGCAATTTAAGCAGGTAAATGACCGTGGGAGGGAAAAATAGGTTCTTGACATCTGTTTCAAAAGAACCGAGGGTAGATGGTCCGTACCTCTCTGAGAAAACGCCCGCTATGAAGGACTTCTGGAACAACACCCTGGGCGTTAAAGTACCGAGCGACCATCCGATCCACCGCAGGTTGAGCAGGAATGGCAGCTAGTAGATCGGCCTTTGTTGTCTGAACAGGCTCATAAAGAAGCCTGGGGCCAGGGCTCTCATGTAGCACATGATCATTCGCCGCCAACAACCTCGCCTCCTCCTCCTCTTCGTAATGATCCCTCAACTCCGAGATGCTGTCAAGAACGGCAGCCCAATGAAAGCTTCCAACATAGTTTGCACCATTTGAATGGAGGCGGATACTACCATGCTCCGAGGGTGCAGGGGACGTCGGATAGTCTCTGTTATGCGACAAGGATGCATGCCGCATAGCTGGCGCGACGTTGTCTTCGTCGACCGAGGCCAATGGGGTTGTTGTGGATAAACCCTGTGGCGATGTTCCTAGCGTACCCTGAAAGGAGTACGCCAGGTCAGTTGCTAAACCATCTGAATAGGCATTCTGTACTTGCGGAATATGCTGCTGTTGTGGGCTCTGCTGTTGCTGAGCTAGAGAGCGCACCATTGACTCGAGCTGCTGGATGCGGTCGCCGACGCTTACTTTGCTTTTATTGCGAGGTGCCCTGGATCGGTAAGAACATGTTGAACCAATTCCTCGTCCCAGACAAGTCTTGCATGGCAATTGACGATCACATCGAACTCTGCAAGACGAACGGACAGGTGAGAGGACTTTGGTCAGTTTCGATTTTCGCGACAACGAAGAATGGCATATTCAAACGGGGCGTAGAAAAAAAAAGGGAAAAGTTTACTTGCGACTCCGGCAGAAGGTGCAAGATAGCAGTGGCTTCTCTCGACGGCGATCTCGTAATTGTGGCAGCGAGTCTGGTATAGAGGCCGCATCAGGTTGTGGTAGTATGGAAGGACCAATCTCCACCAATTCGGATGGCTCGAGGGCTGGAGGATCCATCGATGCCAAGATGGGGGCCTTTATTTTTTAACTTTGACGAATTGAAAGTGCATGAGGTTTAGAAAAAAAACCCCCAGTGAACCCCTGTGTAGGGAGTAAGGAGAAAAGCAATGGAGCGGAGGCGGAGCAATCCACGGAGGAAAATGATCGGAGCAATCGACGGAGCAGTGTGGGGCGTTCAACGGGAGCTCTGAGCTCTTTGTGGCGTTGGGTAAAGTGGAGCCCCATCAGTCCCCCGGAGACCGCAAATCAGAGAAACGGAGCAAACCCGGGGCATTGTACGATTTTATGGACCTAAAGGATCAAAAGGAATGCCCTTTTCATTTCGATCTTTCTTTTATTTATTACAGGCTGAGCACCACAGCAATTAAATCGAAAGTCAAAATACAGTGCAGCTGATCCTGTTCCTTCGCAACGACTAGACCACATTGAGATCGCCAGACTATCTCTCGTCAGATTACAACAGGCCAGAACTTCGGAAGCCCTACCGAGAATGCCTTCAAGCTCGGCCGAGACGGATCGAACTGCCTACAACCAGGAAACGAAGAGTACGACAGCCGCAGAATCTGGTTCTATCGAAGGGTTCCTGGGGCAAAAGGCCCCAACTACTGCGAGCAGTAGCTCTGAAAACCAGCACCCGTCGGATTTTGCGAAGGATATCGAGAAAGGATTTCCAGCAGGCAATGATGCCTCCACCGCAGATTCAAACCTCGTCGACTGGGATGGACCGGATGACCCTGCCAATCCACGGAACTGGTCCAAGGCATTCAAAATGGCCAACGTACTGCTGGTCAGTTTGTCCGTGTTGTATTGCAATCTTGCAACCACGATGTTCTCTCCGGGTGCCAAACTCATGCAAAGGGAGTTTGGCTTCAAGAGCGACACGGTTGAGATCCTGACAATCACCATCGCTTCCCTTGGCTTTGCGGTGGGTCAGTTCTTTGTGCCACCCCTCTCTGAAGTTTTTGGACGTGTGCCTGTTTATCGCGTGAGCTCAATATTCTATCTTGGATTTACTGCCGGTTGTGCACGAAGTACCCATGTCGCAGAGTTCCTAGTCTTCCGCCTGTGTACTGGCCTTTCTGCTGCGTCCTACATGTCAACGGGAGGCGGTACTGTCGCAGACTTACTGCCAAAGGAGGAGAGAGGGGTAGCAATGGCTCTATTCACTGCGGGGCCACTTCTTGGGCCGGTATGTTTTTCATTCGACAACGTTAGAAAAAGGCTTGGAATCAAGAGACTAACACGACTACCAGGTTCTTGGCCCTATTGTTGGAGGATTTGTGACCGAGAATCTGAGCTGGAGGTGGACATTTTACATCATTCTCATGCTTGTAAGTCATGCCACTCCCTCGTCCAGCTTTTCCTTTACAAATATTAATCCATGAGCTACTAGGCCGGCGCCATCACGGTTGCCTCGTTCCTATTTATGAAGGAGACAAGCGCCGTCACCATTCTCAAGGGAAAAGCTGCCCGCTTGCGCAAAGAGACAGGGAATCCAAATTTGCGTGCAAAGGGGGACAAGCAAACCCCAATTAGTCATCTTATTGCTCATGCTGTGACTCGTCCAGCCACTTTCCTGGTCCACTCACCTGTTCTGTTCCTAATCTCTCTTTACATTGCGTTCAATTTTGGTGTAACCATGCTGTTGTTTGCGACCTTTCCACTCGTCTTTGAAACCTACTATGGCTGGAGCGTTGGTGTCTCCGGCTTGGCCTATATCGGTGTCGGCATCGGTTGTGCCGTTGGTGTATTGATTTTTGCCAATCTTAGTGACCGCTTGCTACATGCTGAAGGTGGAAATTTCCAGGCCGAGCGACGTCTGATCTTGATGATGTGGGTCTCCCCTCTTTTTCCCATCGGCCTGTTTCTGTATGGGTGGACAGTCCAGTACCGAGTGCAATGGGTTGTTCCCATCATTGGAACGGCTATCTGTGGACCTGGCGCCGTGGTCATCAGTTCCTCTGCACAAACATATATCATTGATATCTTTGGGCCTCAGACAGCCGCCTCCGCCATGGGTGCCCTCACAATTCTTCGTAACTTGACAGGAGCATTCCTGCCTCTTGCCGCTCCTTCGCTCTATGCTCATCTAGATATGGGCTGGGGAAACAGCTTGCTCGCATTCATTACGATTGGTTTCATCCCCATCCCATTCTTGTTTTACTGGAAGGGAGAGTGGCTGCGTGAGAAGTTTCCAGTCAAGGTCTAAAGAGGTGATCCGGTGTTATTTTTCCCTTCATTCCCTGTGAAGGTTTCTTCACTACCCCTTCCTAGTCACTTCCAAGTTTGATTCTCTGATTCCTCCAAATCTTGTACCGTCCGCGCCTTTACTATCTTTTAATTGTTTTCTTTACAACCTCTTTCTCTTTTCCATTTACCTTGCCTTTTCAAGGCACAGCCTTTTTTCATCCCTTGTTGCTGTGATCCCCTGCTATCCCGTGTTGCGTGGACTGGATACTTGATTCTGTAAAATAGAATTTTTCATTAACAATTCAATACGATCACCTCAAGTCTTCCCGCTTGCACAATTTAGATCTTATAATGAGGTTGGTGAGCCATTAAATCAGGACTGGCACGATCTACAGACTATAAACCAGGGACTTTTAACAGCTACCAAAAATAAAAATTCTTCTAGAGAAATCCACGTCGTACGAGTATTTATGCTTTAGGTTCGGCACGGAGTGCTCCATTGCAGCCACGCTGCAGCGAGAACCAATCTTATTGGCCAGTAATACGAGAATTTAATATACGAATCCTTGGCCTTGATGTACCCCCCGAGGCAAAAGTTATCGTCTTACAGCGGTTATTTATTTATTTATAACAACCGTCGGTCGTAAGGGATCTTTTCCCTTTCTTTCAGGGAGCCAGTTTATCCACCTGCTCAATGCGGGACGTTTACGGGACGTAATGACTGGAGATGCATGTTTCACATCAGCGCTGAATCATGCGGTTAATGTACAAGTTCATCGCTATATTTTTTGATTCCGAACTATTAGAGATGGATAAGATTATCCACGAGTCCACTTGGCAGGCAGAAAAAGCTTCGCGATGACCAAGAAGCAAGTGGAGAGATCCAGAAGCGTAGTTAGCCGAGGCCTCAACACTTAAGCGTAAGAAATAATTCCGAGTTAAAAGTGGGACACCCAAATAAACAATTGATGATTGTCGTGCTGAGGGGTTCAAATTTGAGAAGCTTGGTCAGTTGGATTAAAAATACGAAGTATCTGACCAAGAATTACAGACCCGGGGCGTCTGTCAATCTGTCAATTTTCTTCTATTTTGGGGCTCCAATGCAAGTAAGATCAACTAGAGCAAAGCAGTGCAACAATCAAAAAAAGGCTTAATGATTAACAAGCATTTTACGAACTTATACCATGTATTGGCCGGGATCATCGCTCGTCAAAAGGGTGCTTCGGGGGCCGCGACGTCAGCAGAGCTTTCTGATGAACGCCAATATTTCCGCACGTCATATCAGAGTGCTGTTGAGTCGGTCACAGTTATCGTGCTCGTTGTCTGCAAGGAGCTTGAGCAGAGAGAATCGATGTCGAGACACGTAGACAGTGACCAGGCACATTCTTCACTGAGTGGGTGTTGAACGAAATACAGCGTACTTTTCCACTAGACCATAACAAAAACTAAGGTTCCTGTTTATGGCCTAGGGAGGCCGTATTTGAGGTTTGACAGTGGGTCAACGGATCCTAATTTAACCAGCGGAGCTGACAATGCAAGATGGATCGCCAGCTTAGGCAATGATCATTTCCATCAATGGAGTGTCCTCTGTTTCTAGTCTTTATAGCCTCTGACGCCCAGAGCAACCCGATTGGTCTATATTTATAGAAATATGAGTCCATGCTTACAAGATTCTGCGAAAAACACTCAGGCCGTTTCCGAGGGACAGTTGTGGAAAGATAACGCGATCATCGTTGAGACGCGTCACATTTCTTGGCCACTGCATGGTCAGCGTAATGGGCCCCGCATAAGCGTATTCAACGGTTTGTCTTTTGGAGAAGCTTTTCGCAAACTTGTGGCCATGCTTTGAACACTTCGTTACAGAAGGATGCGGACTCCGGCGGATCTGTTTAACTGCAAGGGGTTTAATTTGTGTTTTTCAGTCGATACCTGGCGCTCTAGACCATGTTGCCAGGTTCATCAATCTACCGCAGTCCACTTCCTTCCTGAGACTGCACGTAAGCACCAGAATGTGCCGCATGGAGACATTGGGGGCGATATGGGCCGGAGGAGGGGTTCGGGGTTTCCAGGCCAATGAAGAAAAGTTGTTGATAGTAAATCTAAACCCAAAAAAAAGAAGTTGATGCACGCAGAGAGGCCGTGTGGAAACAAGCCTCTCCAAAAGAGTCCCCCTTAGTGGGTCTCTGTCAGCACTTGTAAAAACAAGAAATGGCATCAACGGTCGAATACGAAGATTTGATCCTGCCAGAGTCGCGGATGACTGTAGAGGTACCATAGGTGAGGTTTGATATACCGTTTTGGTATAGCGACAATCTTCAAGCCCCAAAGGTTACATCAGGGTCTTGCAACCGAGAGCCTTGACACTAGCATCCGGTGCCTGCAGCTCAGACAGACTTGTTGGGGGCCGTGGGATCCTTTTAAACCTTTTGATAGCTCATGAAATTTAATGTCAAAATTTGGATAGATAAACGGGCGGGGATTTCTTTCCGTCCCCCACATCCCTGGAGTCTGAGATGCCATCCGATGCTGTCAAGACTTCCAATGACGGCGCTTCCCTGTCGCTGCGACTGTCGTGCGACCGGTGTCGGATTCAAAAGTTGAAATGCTCCGTGCCAACGGGATCCAGCGACTGTCAGCGTTGCATGCGGGCAAGAGTTTCATGCGTTTTCGGACGACGAGCTCCGTCAAAACGAACAAATAAACGTGCGGAGCAGCAATCTGCCCGCCCGCCAAGCCCGCCAAGCCCGCCGAGCTCACCACATTCCTCCGGATCGATAAGCTTGGCCTCGGCATCCACCCGCGTAGCCCCTGTCCCAGGCACACAGCTCGATGACAAGAGTGACTTTGATTCGGTGCTGCCGTCCGGGTCTGATCTCTATCATCTCGAGCATAACTCATGGGATTTCCAAGCCCCATGGGAGAATGCGAGTCTAGGTCTACAGGGTGTTGGGCCTGATGTACCGGAGTACGATGCCGCGATGCACGGGTTTGACTGGTTTGATTCAGGGATTGCTGTTGATGACGGAAATTTGTTTGCGCATGGGGGCTCGGAGTTGACCCAATGGGCGCAACTGGCAACAACTACAGCCACGGCAAGCTGGCCGGGTGATAGCTCGATGTCAATGGATCCTCCACCAAGCAATATTAAAAACGGCAGCACCGGACAAACGAGCCAAAGACTGACCACCCTTGTTTCAGAAATCCAGCAGCAGCTGAGAAAGCTCGAAGAAGGACCGTGGCATGCAGACAGCACTTGCAGCCTTGACGATTATCCAGTTGGCACCATCATCGAACTGTCCCAGCAATTTAGCGCCATTGCTGGCCCAATCCTTGGTAGTAAAGTTTCTGGCGGTGATGCGTTAGATATTCATCGTCCTGGTGAGCCCGAACGAAACATAACCAGTGCCGTAGCCGACACACCGACGATGCTGCTTGTCATGTGCGGATACATGTGGCTGGTTCGCACCTACGGGGTGGTTCTTGGTCATTTTCACACACATTTGAATGTTATGCCCACCGGAAGCCTAGGGGCAACGACCGGAATGCAGACGCCTATTGGGGGAAGAGGCACAATCACCCTCGGTTCACTGACTGGATCGGCTTTGAGACTGAGCGATCTCCCTTGCACAGACACGGCACTTGGGCTACAGCAGATCCACACGGCGGTGCGTTTGTTGTTTGATGTATTGCACGATATCGAAAATCATCTGGGCCGCGAAGCCGTAATGGTTCGGGATAGGGCGGTGGCTTTGCTTCTTCAGCCGGGCAAACTTCAGGATAGCAGCTCTAGCGGACTGGGAAAGAAAGCCACAGCAGTGAGGGAGCTTTTGCGGGAGAAGATGGGTCTTTAATTTTTCAATTCTCACATGTGAAAAATGAGACGATAGGAAAAATTTCCGTCGGTTACTTGCACACAGCACGAAGTTCTATCCATCTTTCTAGATTCTTAGCCATGAATTAACGAGTCAAATAAGATCTATCCAAGTTCTTTTGCATTCTCCATTGATCTATCAATTCAAAAGTATCGAGAAGCCCGTGCTGTAACCATAAAGCGGAATCTGCCATCGACTTTTCTCTGAAAAACAGCATCATACCAATGTGAACTTTTCTTTGCCTTCTCAGACAACACCAGCAATAAATAATTCACTAAGCAGAGCGCGTTCGAGTGTTTCCCAGCCCCGCCAATCAATAGAGGAGCCGCTCAGTAAGTCCACTGAGATGCAGACCGGAGTCTTTCGGGGCATTTCGGCTCTGGTCTGAGTTGACATTTTCCCCCAGTAGATGCAGAGACCATTAGATAGCCAAGGGCACATAATGCAATTGAGGTGTACTTTCAAAAGAAAATCCATGTGATTATTCAGTGATCGTCATGGGTCAAGAGGAACGAATACTGTTTTTTTCCCATCTGCAATAGCCGCAAATACATATATCAAGTCACTTTCTGGTACCTGAAAATTTGTCTGACCCGTCAACCTCTTATTAAATCCCCAAGAAAACGAAGATATGGCCGTTCAAATCCAGACACAGACTGCCTTGATTGGCGGTTTCAATGACAGCATCACCATTTCTAGTTCAGTCCCGCTTCCTCCACACCCACTTCAGGATCACCAAATGGCGGTAGCTGTCAAGGCGATTTCTCTTAACCCAGTCGACACAAAAATGACTGGGGCCTACCATACCCCAGGAGCTGTTCTAGGCTGCGATTTCGCTGGAGTTGTGACAGCCGTTGGCACAACCGCGGCCGAGAAATGGGGATATCGCGAAGGAGATCGTGTTGCCGCCACGATCATCGGCATGAATCCATTGCAACCACACATCGGAGCCTTTGCCGAGCATACGGTGTGCTCAGCATGGGGAACCCAGAGGATTCCCGAGCACTGGACTTTCGCACAAGCAGCAGGGGGGATGGGCGGCCTTGCGTGGATCACGGTTTCCTGGGCTTTATTCCATAGCATGGGCCTCCCAGCCGGTCCAATTCTCGAACCGCTCAATACTCGGTTGCCTCCACCACAGAGAGAACCCAAACTCAATATCGTATCGGATCTCAGCAGCGATGGCTCGAAGCCAGCCACGTCAGTGCTGGTCAATGGAGGTGCCAGTTACACTGGCACATGTGCGATCCAGTTGCTTAAGCTGGCGGGGCTTAAAGTCATTGCGATCTGCTCGTCGCGGAGCTTTGACTTGGTTCGTTCGTTTGGTGCGGATGCTGTTTTTGATTACGCTTCCGCTACTGCAGCAGAAGAGATCCGTTCTTACACACGAAATTCGCTGCGGTTGGCGATCGATTGTATTACAACGGCCGAGACGACCAAATTGTGCTATGCTGCTCTGGGGCGCGCAGGTGGTCGCTATGTAGCACTTGACCCGTACAGTGACTCGGTCACGGCAACTCGACGAGTTGTGCGTCCGGACTGGGTGTTTGGTCTGGAGCCGCTTGGAGAAGAGATTGCCTGGCCCTCGCCACACAGCAGGAAGCCAAATACGATTGCACAGAATTTCCTTGAAGTGTGGAATCCCACAATGCAAAACCTTGTGAGTCATGGTCTTATTCGCTTCCATCCACAGGTGGTACGCGATACTGGGCTTGCGGGTGCGTTGGAGGGCTTAGAAGATATTCGATCAAAGAAAGTATCAGGGCAGAAGTTGATCTACACTTTGTGAAAGGCAAGTTGAAGCCCTCATCCTTGAGTTCTGCTTTAACCACAGTGGGAAATAAGGACCAATTTTGGCGTAGCTCAATTTGGACTGCCTTTTTTTTTGATCGCTGTAGATCGGCCTAGTTAAATGATATTTTCGTTTTTTGGAAATTTCAAGTTCTCAAGTTAGATTAACTACCATCAGAAAAGGTAAAAACTACAAGAATTGGAAAGAAAAGAAAGATAACTTTTCTGAATGCAAAATGTAAATGGAACAGATGATCTACTGTCCAATTTACAGCATACGAGGAGGGATCTCGAATCTCACATGTCTTCTGGCTTAGCTGTTGTTGTACGGATATGCCGGGCGATGACTGCAAAACATAACGGGCTGCCAGGTATCACGCAGTGCTAAAGGGGTAATTTAACAGGAACATAGAGAGGGAAATGATGGGCATTGGACATTTAACGCACTTCATCAAAAATTGGTAGCTCTCCTCTTGCATAGTAACGATCTGCCTGTGGTGATTCCCAGTTGAGGGAACGGAAGGGGATTTCCGACATTATTGAAAATGGCTTTACGCTTCGTAATGTGATAAAGACGTGCAAATGAAGTTATAGTGACTGATTAAGATGGTGGCAAAAATTTTGGAATCATTGATTCAGACTCGACGCCACCTAATCTATGGTCACTTTCTTAATGGAGCGATGGTATCAAAACCTCCAAGTTCGCGCAAATCAAATCCGCTATCGCGAGAAAACTAACAGAGTGAGATGAATAAGGAAGACAGCTCTTTAGATTTGTTCTGAATATCATGAATGTCATGGGAAAACGAAAAGCCACCGAGAGGAACTTTGAGCTATACATCGAGGCTTTTTTCAACGCTGGGCAATTTCCGGAGACACTCAACTGCCCCACTGGCAATGAGACCCGAATCCTGTTGACACAGCATAAATCGGACCCCAAGCGTGTTAATAGCCCAGTTCTGAATTTGATAATTGTCATATATGCCAGCCAGTCCCATGATTTTGCCATGCTGTCGACATGCTCGACTGATTCTTTCCAAGGCCGAGCGAAATATCGGAGTATGAAACCCGCCTGGTATGCCAAGGTCGATTGCCAGATCATTGGAACCGACTAGGAGTACATCAGCTCCATCCACAGCAGCAATTTCATCGACACTGTCAATCGCATCTTTGGTTTCGATCATGAGAATCACAGACGAAGCGATTGAATTGCTCTCATCGATAACTTGACCTGTTGGAGTCGTTTTCAGCGAAAAGAAGGGCAATTGTCCAGTCATCGACCGACTGCCCATGGGTGGATACTTTGAAGTGTTCACAGCCCTCCTTGCATGTTCTAGGATCAGTCGTGTCAGTTTGATAATGTTCTTCTACGGATCCAGGTGTATTTTGTACCTACCCGCCGAGTGGATGTGGGGGAAGATAACACCCATCGCACCGCCGTCAAGAACTTTCTGCACAAAGCCATTGCCACATTGATACGGAACTCGGACAAATGGCGTTATTTCGCCCAGAAGGCCAGCACAGCATAGCTGACTGGCATCATCAATGGACAATGTCGAGTGCTCCAGATCGATGAACAGGCTATCAAACCCGGCATTTTTAGCAAGTTGGACTATCTGGGGATTCCGATTTAGTTTTATCCCGAATGCCTAGGAGAGTATTAGTTTAGGTAGCTTGTGCGACTTATCAGGTGTACTATCTCCTGCGCCGAGTAAATACTCACAGTGCATAGGTGCCCGGCAGTGGTCTTTTCCACCAAGCTATTGATAAAGACCGACATTGGGTGCGATTGAGAAAGAATTTCCGGATTTCTGTCGGCTAGTTGTTTGGCTATGCACGGAGTCCTTTCGGATAAATGCAGCGCAGTCCCCCCCTTTCACCGAGGTAGATAGAGCAACAACATAGTATTATAAGAATGGCGATACTTGTCGCATCTTGCCAAATATTGCGTAGTATTCAGATAAATGATCCATGAATCAAATTCTAAGGATGTGATCTCCAACCGGAGTTTATCGGGGATGCTCGCGGTTTATCGATTTCCGACCTGGTCCTCCACCCACTTGGGGGCATTTCCCTTAGCCTCGGCACCGATCCGTATAGCTCACCAACCGAACTCAGGGGACCTGATACCGGGACCGTGCTTGGCAAGGAGTAGTTGTAGGATGGTTTGAAGTTTCAATTCTAATATTTCTACTCTTTTTTTCATTTTTTTAGTGTTGTGAAGTCCTCTTTTTTTTTACCATGTCCTAGGTGTTGATGGGGCTTTTCTTTTCGATTGTATTTGTTGGTATTCTTGGTTGTTCGCAATGCTGCAATTCAAGCCACCATCGAGTCTTGTGCCGAGGAGATCTAAATCGCAGCGCCGATGGATCTCCTCACGCAGTTTGCACGAGTCGATGGGTGTTGGCACATCAAGATTTTTAGAATCGCCATCCTCAAACGTTAGGAAGCAGAGTACCTCTGTGGCAGTCGAGCGGTCTACCTCAATCAGTTATGACCCTGTGTTTGAAATGTAACTATTGAAGCTATTGACTCGAAATGCAGGACGATCCCCCTGAACTAATAATTAACTAGCTCCCAGAAAAATGTTCCGCTGTTGATGAACCCTCGTCGCGAAGAAACCGGTGAGCTGTCAGTTAATCACCCCATTCACCTATACTAGAGTGGCGAATGTTGATCTTCTCGGTCCAGATATATTGGAATGACCGGCGGAGAGATATTCCATGAGATGATGATAAAACACAATGTAAAACACATATGTATGTCGGCAAGGATTCAACCCAGTGCCATGAGACACTTAATATTAACCAGAATCTAGTCGGATATCCTGGTGGTGCCATCCTACCAGTCTTCGATGCCATTTATAAATCGAAGCATTTCGACTTTATCCTTTCAAGGCATGAACAGGGTGCTGGACATATGGCTGAAGGCTACGCTCGAGTCTCTGGAAAGCCAGGCGTGGTAATTGTAACCTCCGGTCCCGGGGCCACAAATATGATTACTCCCATGGCAGACGCTCTAGCGGATGGAACACCCATGGTCGTCTTCACCGGGCAAGTTGCGACAGGAGCTATAGGTAGCGATGCATTTCAGGAGGCTGATATCATCGGGATTTCCCGGGGCTGCACAAAGTGGAATATCATGGTGAAGAGTGTGGCAGAATTACCCAGAAGAATCAACGAAGCATTTCATATTGCGACGAATGGCAGGCCTGGCCCAGTGCTTGTCGATCTGCCTAAAGATGTTACTGCGAGCATCTTAAGGCATGTTGTGAACACTGAGTCGATTCCTTCACCCCGATCAAGCCCTATATTGTGGGCAACGTCGGAACTTCAGCAAAGGCAACTGGACCAGTCACTTCAGAATGTGGCCTACCTGGTTAACGCCTCCAGAAAGCCGGTGATTTATGCCGGTCAGGGTATAATCTGCTCAAAATTGGGACCGACAATGCTAAGATCTCTCGCTGACAAAAGTTCCATTCCCGTGACAACCACTCTGCACGGCCTGGGAGCCTTTGACGAGATGGATGAAAAGTCGCTTCATATGCTGGGCATGCACGGAGCTGCGTATGCGAACATGGCTGTCCAGGAAGCGGACCTGATCATCGCCCTCGGGGCTCGATTCGATGACCGTGTCACTGGAAACCTGGCAAAATTTGCCCCGGGGGCAAAAGACGCAGCTACTCGGGGCTGCGGGGGTATTGTTCAGTTCGAAATAATGCCAAAAAATATCAACAAGGTGGTGCAAGTGACCGAGGCCGTGGAAGGGGATGTTGGTACTAATCTCAAACATCTTTTGCCGAAGATTCAAACCCGATCAATGGCCGATCGTCAGGGTTGGTTTGACCAAATCTCAGCCTGGAAAAAAACTTGGCCACTCTCCGACTTTGAACGGACTGAGAGAGCTGACAGGATAAAACCTCAAAGCATGGTTGAAGAATTGAGTAGACTCACATGCGATCGGAAAGACAGGACCATCATTTCCACCGGTGTTGGCCAGCACCAGATGTGGGTGGCGCAGCATTTTCGCTGGCGGTTTCCTCGCACTGTAGTCACGTCAGGTGGACTCGGCACGATGGGCTATGGCCTACCAGCGGCTATCGGGGCCAAAGTGGCACGACCGGACGCTCTAGTCATCGATGTTGATGGTGACGCTTCGTTTGGAATGACACTAACAGAATTATCAACGGCAGTTCAATTCAACATTGATGTCAAAGTCATTGTGCTCAACAACGAAGAGCAAGGCATGGTGACTCAATGGCAAAATCTGTTTTATGAGGACCGCTATGCGCACACACATCATCAAAATCCCGATTTCATGAAGTTAGCCGACGCCATGGGTGTTCAGCATCGACGGGTTATGAAGCCTGAAGATCTTGTGGCCAGTCTGGAATGGCTTATTGGCACTGATGGACCCGCCTTGCTGGAGGTGGTGACGGACAAGAAGGTATCTGTCTTGCCTATGGTCCCAGCTGGGTGTGGGCTTCACGAATTTATCACGTGGGACAGTGGTAAGTTCCTCTTCGAGTGCAATACCAATGAATAGAATGCTTAGCTGCGAAAACAGTCAACGAGAAAAAGCGACGGGAATTGATGAGGGTGAGAACAGGTGGTCTTCATGGTTGATCAAAGTTTCTCAAAGGAATCTGTCGAAAGTGCAAGGGATTTGAAATTAAATAAAAGTGAAAGCACTATAGGTGCTGTCAATTTTAAGATTTTGAGGCCTTTCTTGACTTTGCGTGTGTTGCTGCAACAAATGCTGTAGACGTGCAGAAGGAGCTATATAAATTCTCACGGGTTGGCCCAACCATTACTGATATGCAGCAGAGAGCACAAGACTGTTCCATTTCAGGTCCAAGGAGACTATGAAAATAAATTCAATCTCTTAAGATATTCCAAATTCAGATTTGAGTATTCTACCATGGCGCTGCCAGGACTTTTGGGATCTGGGTGCGAGTGTCCAACTTCGGTCTCAAAGGGTCATCACTTGGTGAATCGACTCAGCAACGTACTCTACATTGTTTTGGGTCACTGGCAGATGTTAGTTAAAATTCATATAAGAGCAAATTTTGGATTGCCGAAACAACACCTACATCCAGTGAATGAAAGTCGACCGGTGGGGAGAAGGTAGATATGAAACTTCTCCCTCAAGGCAACAACCTGCTTTTGAGACAACCCCATCATAGAAAACATGCCGACCTGGTATTGTGTCAAAGCTAAGGGTCTCATAACAGGAACATTCCGTGCTTACGTCTGTCAGAAGATGGCCCCAATTTCCAGGAGTGTTTCTCTGCATGAGTCCGTCATACAGTTGCTTGCGCATATCACCCAAGCGGCTGCTCATAGTCTTCAGATCTCTACACCACTGCTCTTTCAGTTCTGGTGTATGGAAGATGGATGCCACAATTTTCGCACCAAAGCTCGGCGTGGAGGTAATTTCAGCTCGCGAGATTTTCTTCAGTACAGCTTCTACCTTACCAGCACTTTCCTCATTGAGAGCAACAATGTGAAGAGCACCAATTCGTTCTCCATAGAGACCGAAGTTCTTGGAAAATGACTGTGCCACTGCAAATTCCAATGTGCCATTTGAACGCGTCGCAAAGTGACGAATTGGCCAAGCGTCATGATCAGCATCTCCGGTGGCAAAGCCTTGACTGTCAAGTTGCGATGAGAAAGTTAGTCCTAGATTCCTGTATGAGATTGTTCAGGGATTTAGTTGGTGATGGACTGACTAGGCGGAATCAAAGATCGGGAAAATTCCCTTTTCTTCACAAACTTGACCGATTCTTTCCCACGATTCTCTTGAAAGCTCTAGACCCGTCGGATTATGCGCACAAGCTTGAAGGACAATAATATCCCCCCGGGATCCATCCATTCTCAAAGTAGAGATCATACCTTCAATGTCTAGGGTCGAAGTCTTGTAGTCGTAATATGGATAGGTACGCTGCTCGATGGCAGAACTCACATGAGCCCAGATCTTTGGGTGATTTTCCCACGAGGGATCGGACAACCAAACTGTCTTGGGTTGAATAGTTTCGGACAGAAATTGCGCGATGAAATGATTTGCACCAGTTCCAGCGATCGTCTGCATGGAAATGATAACACGGGCACTCAGTGTGTCACTAAAGGTCATTTGTCGGGCGGCAGAGACCAAGCTAGGGTATCCCAACTGTGGAGATATATCATGGTCAAAGGTTTGATTGACTTTAGCCTATCAACCATTCGTTTTGAAATGAGCAAAGGTATCTGAGAAGAAGCCAACACAACCTCCAAGGAAACTGGATGTGAAAAAAGTAGATCTGAAAATGGCTCTAACCTGCTTCACGGAAGGAAGAACCCAAGTCTTTGCATTCTCATCGCGGTAGATCCCTGGGCTCAAGTTCACTTTTTGATCGTGGTTGTCTGCCTTGAATTCTTCAATCATGGCAAAGCCGCCATCCGGTATCTCGTCAGGAATTTGATCAAATAATCCCATTTTTATACAGGGAGGTATGATTGTGTGCTAAGAAAATGAGAATAGAAATTGCCCACGACTTGGTGATTGTAGAAGTGCGAAATTATGATAATCAAAATGTAGAAATGGAAAGAAACGAGGCAGCCCAAAGTGAAAAGAAAAAAGAACGAACGAGTCTTAGATATCAGCTTCAAGGGACAAGATTTGATGAGAGCGTCGCGAATGCTTTGCCGAATTTTTGAGAGGTCCAATGCCGAGATGGTCGTCACATCCCGGACCGAATTGCCCCGATTAAACGAGAGGAATTATCCCATCCCTTGACCTCAAGCAAATTTTCGCGTATTCGTTGTTGTCAAATGTCACCATGAACTGATTCGAGAGGTCAAACTTGTGTTGAAGTGCAGTTGCGTTTCTCCACCGAAAAGTTCCGAATCTTGTTTGAGCTTCAGAGGCTATTAATTGCAAACAACAGATGGCCAGATTCTCACGAATTTAAGCATTTCCCATACATACCTTCAAGCTTCAACTCCAGTTTCAAACCCACTTTTAACGGTTTCACCAAAATGACGACCGACCAAGATGCAGCCCGTGCCCGCATCCAGGAGGCATACCACGACATTGGCAATCCTGTCTTCTCTGCCGCAGAGTTCACCCTCATCAAGGTCTTTATCGACTATAAGGGATTTGATGCAATTCCAGATGAAGGCGATATTCTCATCTCGGAGCTAGCCAAAAAAATTGGAGGTTCCGAGGAAGTAGTGGAGCGTTTTACAACGTTCTTCCTTTCGGGCGAGATCCTTACATCCCCTGCTCCTGGCCGTGTTGCCCATACCGAAAAATCTCGTCGTTACAAGTTCGATCAGCCGACCGCCTGGCTGTACATTCACATGTTCAACAATGTGTTTCGCTCTTTCGCTCAGATGCCAGAGTACTTCGCCAAGTACGGTCTGTCTTCTCCCAAGAGCGCCAGTACCACCCCTCTAGGCCTGGCGCATGGCTACGACGACAAGCCTGCATATGAGATTATCGTTGCCAATAAGGTCGTGCACAAGGGCTTCAACGAAGCTCTGCGCGAGCTCGGAGTCATGTACTCCCTGAAGGGTATCTACGATTTCTCCTGGATGAAGCCTGCCCTCGCGGCTGGATCGCGACCTGCTATCGTGGATGTTGGCGGTAGCCACGGTCTCGCCTTACGCGACGCCATCTCCAACAACCAATTCCTTCCCGCGGAGCGATGCATTCTGTTCGATCTTCCCCAGGTGATCGAGAATACCAAGGCGAACGTAACAAAGGACCAGGACGAGTGTCTGGGAAAGATCCAGATGGTCGGTGGTAGCATGTTCGAGCCTTATCCGGAGCCCGTTCAGGGCGCTTTGATCTACCAATTTCGTCGCGTTCTCAACGACTTCCCCGATGATGATGTGGTGCGAACTTTCCAAAACGTTAGGAAGGCAGTTGCACCAGATACTCGGATCTTGGTTATTGAGGAGATGTTGAATCCCCAGCGAATTCCTATGAATGTTGGGCTGGACATATGTCTGATGTGCGCGGCGGGCAAACGTCGTAATGCTGCTATGTTTAGTGAACTGGCTGGTAAAGCTGGCTTCCGCTTAAACGCGGAGTACCAGCAGGTCTCCTCCCAGTTCGATGACTTTGGAGTTCTCGAGTTTGTCCTGGCCTAAAGTGTGCTGCGCAGAGGCTAAGACCTACAAATTGGATTCAGTCTGCAATAATAGGACTAGATAGACTAAATCATAATGCGCGGACGTTTAATTCAACCATCCATTTCGCAAGATTAGTAATTCAGATATAATTGGCAGTATAAAACTCGTTTCCATCAAACTGGCCGAATGTGTCCCTGACAACCAAATTAGCTGAAGAGTTTGGATTTTCTTGTAAAAAAAACGAAGTCTCCTAATGTTTGATTATCAACACAGTCTGTTTTGAAATTTACTATGCTTTGTGCCTTGAGGGTCTGTTGAATTTTTGTACAGTTCAGAAAATTCCAGAAGAGGAAAGGATAAAAGGAAGAGAGAGCATTCGTCGTCGCCAAATTTTCCATCCCGCTTGAGGGCAAAGAAATCTTCTCAATATCAATAACGATGGCAATCTAATGTTCTGGTAAGACCCGAGTATTTGCAAAATCCATCATTTCCTCAAGCAATGTTTACATCTAGACCCAAACTCTAGTTCAGCAGAACTGTTCTATCAACACTTCCAATCCTCTCCACGCAATCCTTCGCTCCAACTGCAATTAGGTTCGAATCGACATGTCCCAGAATCAAGCGGGCGCCCAGGGTGTTGATCGCCCTGTCTTGAAACTTCAGATCGCTGTAGTTACCAGCTTAGCCAAACACCTTGTTATGCCTACGACAGGCCACACTGACAGCCTCCAATGCCGCACGGAATTCCGGCGCGTCAATTTTCCCAGGGATACCCATATCAGTTGAGAGGTCAATGCATCCGACAATGAGAAGATCAACTCCCTCCACAGCCGCAATAGCATCAGCATTCGGAATACTATCCGCAGACTCAATCATGACGCCGACCGCTGATGCCTGCGAGTTGACCTCATTGGCCATTTCCTGCATCGGCAAAGTCTTCAGGCCCACCGCCGCCTGCTGCAACCACAGGGACCGTTTTCCAAGAGGGGGGAATTTGCACATCTTGACACATGACCTGGCAGCCTCGACTGTCTCGATGTGAGGAAAAACCACTGCCATTGCCCCGGAGTCGAGAACTTGTTGGACGTATCCCATACCGCACTGGTAGGGTACGCGAACAATAGGCGTTAATCCGGCCATCATGGCGGCACTCGTCAGGCCACTTGCTTCGGTAATAGAGTAGGTAGAGTGCTCCATCTCTATCCAGACAACATCAAAGCCTGCGTTTCTGGCGAGTTGGACCACCAGAGGATTCGTCACAAGTCTGAGGACTAAGGCCTGGAGAAAATTAGTTGCCTTTTTCCTTCAAATGCCACTATCTCAACGGAGTTCGTTGTTTGGTGAAGCTTATAGTTGGATGCGTTGCAATCTTACATTACATAGCTTTCCAGCAGCAGCCTTGGTGTATAGAACATTTTCGCAAATCGTCATGTTGAACAAGAGGGTGAATGATACTGTGAAAGCAAATGTATAGTCGTTGAGAAAAATATCGTCTCCGTAGTTAGACTCAGTTGTCGTAACTATAATTTAACTTGGAAAGAATGACGAATATAAAAGCTACTAAGCTTGGATATTTACGTATAAAATTGAGAGTGATAGTGGTTTCATCCGAGTTCGCTGACTTTTTGCCTGACATCCGAAAGCACTGCTCTGAATGGATTTCTCATGGAGTAATCTACCGCGCCGAGTTGATTCACAAGGGGCTTAGTTACGATGGACCGCGAATTGCACTGCAATTGAGATGAGCCGGAAAATTTCGGTCAGTTTCGGCTCTCCATGGGACATGGGGGCGCTAGACAAAAATGGAAAAACTAGCCCCAGCAATTTACGGACCTGAACACTGCACCTCATATTCCACCTTCCTTAAAACACTCTCACCCCTTAGAACTGGACACACAGGGTATTCAGAATGCAATCTTGGGTGGGAGGAACTGCCTCTTTATCGACGCGATATCAGCTTTCTCCTATATTTAGTTGCTAAATCTGGTTAGACCAAATGGTCTGAATAGAGCAGAGAGGTGATGGATCCTTGTCGTCCCATTTTAAATGAGTGTAGATCTCTCTAAGATAGGTTTAAGTACACTAAGCAGAGCTAGGCTCTTCGCATTGGGTGTTGTTGTCAGCAACTCGATAGACCAACATCTGCAGTTTTCATGGTCATTTCCTCATATGGCTTCCAGTGCATTGCGATAATGGCCTTTTTAGTCTTGGCGTCGGGTCCTCGATCCTTTTTATGCAAATTGGAGAAAGTGGACTATGTAAATCATAAAAGGTTGCACGATTAGTTTCAAAGGCGATACTAAATCTTTCTGCTAGATCTAGGATCTAAAGATCAACTCAATTTATAGATCTAGCCACATAAGAAACAAACAATCGACACCATTTCATTGGTATTGGAGTTGCATGTACCTGATAGACCTATCTAAAACACCTGCAGGTGTCTTATTGTTCTTGTTCTTCGGTTAAATGACTCCATCAAATGGAAAGAACTAAACTCGGTTTTCATCAAAGATGATATATTTCTCTGGAAGATAGATTTACGCCAAGCAGATGATCAAACCATATATGTTGTAGTGAGTAGTTTGCTAAAATCTCTAGAGAGAAAACTCTTCGAATCTCTCATTGAACTACTCTATGTCTAAATCAAATGCGAATTGGTAGACACCAAGTTGAGAGTTGTCCGAATTCGGGGCGCGATTGATAGCCTTGTGCGACGACATCGAGAAAGGGTAGTAAAGCCGTAGAATCAAAATGGCAAGGTGGGGTCAGAAGAGATTTCTATCAAGTGAAGCAAGGTTACGGGAGTCTCCCTTCAGGGGGATCTGTCCTTCAGTTATGCTTAAATTGGTTTTTCTCAACTCCAAAAAGTAGGGCTAAATCCGAGAGCGCCTTGAGCTCCGATCGCAATCCGACCTCTTCCGCTCCGTTCCGCCTTCACCACAGCAACGCGTTTATTCTGCAAGGCAATCGGGATTATTCTAGATCGCCATTCTTTCAAGCCCCGCATATACTACATCTGGAATGAGTTCTCGCCAACTCAGTCCTAACCCTAAAGTTACGCGACTGCGGCCACGACGTGCGTGTGACGAATGCCGAAAGCGAAAGCGAAAATGCGATGGCGGATTGCCTTGCTCGACGTGCGTCCGATATGAATACACCTGTAGACATGAATTTGGGAAGTCGCCAAGAAGTGGTCGAGCTGCGCCTACTGCGTCACAGATGACGCTCGCGGGGCGCTTACCACTAAGGCCCGAACACCTTCCGTCAAATGCCCCAGTACCAACCAGAGGCATTGAAGAACAGGCGAGCTTTCTGGAACGCGAGAAAGGAAGATTTATAAGCCACGCCTCTTCAATTTCCCAGGCAAGATCATTAGGATTAGGGCTTGAACTGCCTGATCCTCCACGCCTTCATTCATTTGGGTATCATACTGGAATTCGAAAAGAATGCGAGAGCTCCTTGTCGATTCGACTTCCAAGGCTTCTTTCCTGGGATCAAGCAAGCAGCTGCATCGATGCATTCAGATCCGTCGTTCACCCAGTCTTTGGATTTTTGGAAATGGAAACGGTGTTTCAAAGGGCTGAGGCACACTGGCAGGGCCAACTCGAGGAATTTCCTTTCGAGGCAGTGATCACCGGTGTCATTGCATTGGGGTCTTTATTCTCCAACCATCTTGACCAAGAAATGGAGCTAGACATTGTGCTTCATGCAAAAAATGTGCTTGATGATTCTGTCATCAGCCGCCGACCCTCGCAGGATCTAGTCGTGGCCTGGATATTAAGGACCATTTATTCTCGCGCAACTGGTCGACCCAATGTAGCATGGCTGCAAAGTGCTACCACTTTACACTTGATCGAGATTACCGGAACATATTACGATGGAACACCACTAGCCTCTTCTGTAGAGGGTGCGAATAAGTCAACGCATGACGACTCTGATATGCGTGCTCGCATCACGTCCGTTGCGCAGAGCCTTCACGTTATGATTGCATATGATTATGGAAAGAGTATGATATATCTTGACCCTGCTATATATCGACATATCAGACCACGAAAGGGTGATTTCACATTGCAATTATCTGAACTGACCAACAAAATCTCGACTGCAACAACTCATCTGGATCCTATCGCCAACCAGACCCATCTTTTGCAGGCCATGGAGCAGTTGATGGCCATACCAGTAGATCATGACTTCCTGCTCCTAGTGAAGGCGGAGCTATGTTTCGCCATTCATCGTCGTCTCCAGATCACGGGCCTTAGTCTTACGAGACAACAAATCAAGCTCATAGTTGAAGCAGGCACTGCGGCTCTGCCTGCAGCCCGGCGTTTGTCAACACAACTCCATCCTTGGTGGAATATCACCAATGCGCTTTTTCAGTTCGTGTGCGTATGTCTCTCAATTGGGACAACAGAGACACTAACACATGTCCAATTAACAATTGAAACTTTCGAGTTGGTCATTCAGCATTTTAACACCCATCTTACTCAGGAAGCTTTCAGCACATTGCTACTATTAACTGGTGCATGCCAGGGTGAGAAGCAGAAACAAGCTGACCTCCTTCGGTTAGCCAAGGGAGTGCGATCAGAACATGATGCTCCATTTCGAGGACAAGGTGATTTGGCAATGTTTGATCCACAAGTTGCTTCTCTCTTTGAGCTTTACCCTGAGTCTCCATTCACCGATCTACAAACAATATTCAATATCTAAAAAAAATTTACAATTAAACTCGGCCGCTTGTGCGGCCTTTTGATGTTTTTTCAACTGATTTTTTCGGGGTCTCTTTTTTAGATATTTGTGAAGGTTATTTCAAAAGCATGGTTTGTGCAAGAGAGTTCTCTATGTATTAAATTTGCTATGTAAAATCCGTGACATACATATCTCACATTAACATATCATCAACCTTCTTCAATGCTCGAATTATCCGCCAGGGTTGTGGAGTGGGTCTTGCCACGTCGAGTCAAGCTTCGAATGACGAACATAGTCGCAACACCAACCCCCAGACCAGCGAGGCCAATTCCCATGTAGCTTGCACCCCGATAGCCTCGTAATGGGTCTTTACCGCCGTGGTTCACTTGGATTTCGACGGTTCCAGCAAGCCCGAGTCCGATCGAGATAGAGTAGTTCACAACGGTGTTGACAAGTGACGCAGCAAGCCCTTGATGCTCCCGTGGCATGCTATTGCTGAGAATTAGTGTTCCGGATGGGAAAGACATGTCCCTAGTAGGAGATTAGTTCATGACACCTATCCAATATGGCACCGGAGACTATGTACTTACATGCCCCATGGGGTCAAGATAGAAAGGACAAATGCCTGAGCCCAGTATGTTTGGTGAGCAGGCAGCGTAGCTAAGAGGATTTGACCACCCGTAAATGCAAGCATGGCGATCAGCATGATTACGCTGGGACGCAGGTGGGCCAGAACAAACCCAGTTGTAACTGCAGCGATAACACCAGATACAGCCGATGGTGACCACTTCGCAAGCACCAGAAGCGGTGCCTCTCCCTTGACTACTACCATGAATTGGAAAAAATAAAAGACCACAACCCCAAAGCTAGACCAACCGGCAGCTATACAGCCTAGTACCCACGCAACATCCTCAGAAAAGATCTCCCGAGGAAGTAAAGGGCAGGTTGCATGCAGCTCAATCCACAAGAACAGAACTAGACACAAAAATCCGATGATCAAAAGAACGTAGACATAGACGGTCGGCCAGCCGACGCTTGGTCCTTGATTCCAAGCGAAATTAATGAGAAGCAGGGCGGCAACACCGAGTGCACCCCCCAGCAGATCACATTTGACCCACCATGGCGTCTGGTCCAAAAGTTTCGGAGACGGTGATTTGGGGATAGCCAGGAACCCAAAGACCGAAAAAGCAATGCAGAAAATTCCCATTATCCAATATCCCCATGGCCACCAGGCGCGCTCAGCTAGAAGAGCCGAGAACGCACCCCCGATAGTGTATCCGCATGGTGCGGTCGCCCCAAAGATACTGAAAACCATATCTTTCCGAGGACCGGCGGGGTATGTGCGTCCAAGTATAGCCAGGGCATTTGGTAACAAGAAGGCCGGTCCAATACCTTGTAATGCACGGCAAATATCGAAGAAGATTTGGTTCGACCATACGGAAAATCCTCCAAGGAGGGACCACAGGCCAAACCACGCAAAACCACCAATAAACATAAGTCTATGTCCATAGAGGTCTCCGAGTCTTCCAGCAATGAGAATGAAGGTGCCAACAGTTAAACTGTAAGCCGCGGCATACCAGCTTAACTGCCCAGGATTGGTGACGTGAAAGCTATCACCAATGATATGAAGAGGGACAATGGCAATGGCAAGGCCTGCCTGTGTCATGAACTGAGCAGCACACACCACGCCAATGAAAAGGTATTCACGGAGCAAGCTCTTTGGCTTTTCCATCACTGACTGGTTGGTGATCGCCCGAGCGAGATCTCCCTGGTGGGAGTTTGAACGCTCGGCATTAGGGTGGTATCTATTATGCTCATTTGAAGACTTTTCATTAACTTCTGCCTCTGTTCGTGTATCTGACATATTCGCAAGCAAGCTCCAGCCGAAGGGAGGCGAAAATGAAACAACCGGGGCGTTGAGGGTGGTGGCCGTTCGAGGTTTGGCTAGAAGCGAGTCGCATGCGCGGACTAGGAGACTGGACGGATGTGGAATGACTTCAGAGAATGATATTTACATATACAGATAGCAAAAGACAAGCATCGTTGTAATTCAACGCTGAATTTTGAGACAAGTCGGCATCCATCAGCTTAGGGGCGTGGTGGATCGGATCGGATCGGAGTGGGAACGGAGTTTCAAGCGGCTCACCAGAAACACAAACCAATCTCAAGATCTATTGAGCTCCCGTCTTTTGTTCTTTTGTTTCGTAGTGCAAATACTTTTCCTCTCTCCTACTTTGCTATCGAGTCTAAGCAATTACCGATTATTTCTCATCCACAATGATGAAGGCTTTGCAACTGACGAAAGAGCTCGAGGCTTCTCTGCCAATTCTTTCACTTACCAATGTCCCAATTCCGACTGCCATTCCTGGCTTCGCTCTCGTTAAAATCCAATACTCGTGCATTAATCCGTCGGATAGATTCAACAGTGTTGGTGGGTTCCCGAAGACAACCTTCCCCCGCATTCCTGGTCGCGACTATTCCGGCACGGTGATCGATCTGAAGAATGAGTCAGATGCCATACGCTCCAAATGGATCGGGAAAACCGTCTACGGAACTGGTGGTTCCGAATTCGGGTTCAAAATGGATGGCCCACACGCGCAATACTGCCTCATCCCCGAGAACATGCTAATCGAGAAGCCTGACACAATTTCTCTCGTTCAGGCTGCTGCAGTTGGGGTTCCTTTTACAACAGCTTTGCGGTGTCTCACCCGAGCAAAGACAACAACAAACGATGCCGTTCTTGTTCTAGGCGCCGGTGGGGCCGTGGGATCTTCCGCTGTTCAAGTCGCCCGAGCAATAGGGTGCAAGCGCATCTTCACTGCAACTCGAGACAAGCGCGACAATCCAGATATCCTATTGGAAGGAGACATCGCTGCAGAGCTTCAGAGCAAAATTCCATCACTCACAAACAATCAAGGCGTCAACGTGGTGATCGATACTATCGGAAATCTCGATATCATGAATGCTGCCATCCAGGCTTTAGCTGTCAAGGGTCGGTATGCATGGATTGCTGCGCCTAAAGGAGGGGGTTCCACTGAGATCAGTTTCGACATTTTCGCGGCCTATCGAAAGGAAATTGAACTTGTGGGCCGTAACTCTGGTCTTGCTACAACCGAAGATACTGCGGAAGAGATGCAAACTTTGACCCGTTTCTTTGAACAGAATTTGATTCACCCGCGACCTGAGTCTTTAATGACTGTGGTCAATTTGGATGATGCCATTGAGAAGGGATATAAGGCCTCTCCAAGTAAGAATCAGACTGTGTTGAGGATGGATTAGACACGTTCCAGTATTTCTACTTCGGTTTTCTTGTTTGATCTGTATCGATGCCTCATCATAGAAGTGAATATCTAGATTGATGTGCATCTTAAAGATGTGATGGGTTCCGTGGTCAAGGCGGTTGGTTCTAATGCGAATGAAAGTTGCCAACTCTGCAAAGGAGCGGAGCCGACATCAAAGTACTTGGAAGTATGGATACATTCGTTGATAACCAAGTTACCTAGGTGGTAGATGGCGTTCGGGGCATAAAGTGGATCGGTTTCGGCTCATGCAAGGGCCCATGACCTCATGTCTAGACTTCTTCGTCTATAGAAAGCTGCCAAAAATACCCAACACAGTCAGAGGCATCCTAATGCTTATAGAACTATACCTATATCTTATTTTGGATCCACAAAAAACAACTCCATCAAGTGAATCAAATTACTCGGTGACTTGGCCGTTTGGCTACCCATCTTTGGGCTGACCTATGAAGTGATGTACAATGTTTCGAAGGTAGAAATACGAATGGACGTAACTGGCTGTAGATAGCTCCACCTGATGTGTTTTTCAGTTGAATCATCCTTTCTCTACCTATAACACTACGAGCTAAAAGTGACTGAAAAAAGGATTCCCGACAAGATATCGAGGGTAGTTTGGTATATAGTGTTGCAAATACCAGCTTGAGCCATATGTAGGTAATTCAGATTGAAAGTCCTACGTTCTCAATGACAGAGGCCATAGATGCAGCCGACTGTCGACTGTTATATCCTCCTGTGGTTAATGTTTGAGTTCTTTTCCTCTTCGGGCAATGTGGAGCCGTCCGGGATATTCTCTCTTTGCACGTCACCTCTTGACTCAGATTCACCTTCTCCCTCTTCAGATCTTCAGTTGGCCTATTTGAATTGAACCCTTCGCCGCGCTTGTTTTTTCTAGCTACAAGCTTACAATTATGTTTAAAAAGAAACCTACGGTAAATGATCTCACCCCGTACCCCTCCAAGCTGTGTGTGCTAAAAATAAAAATAGATCAAAAACCTTTCTCCGCTACGATCTTCTGATCGCCGGAAGATTGCCGACCAAATTATCAAGGATTACCAGATTCACGTCAACTCAGACACCACCAACACAGACTCGTCTGAGCCCAGCACAGCATCTGCCCCCGCCTTAAGCCTTACATCGATTCGAAATGCCCTTCTACCCGATAACACCCAGACTGCTCGTTTCACCACCACTGCCGGTCCAGAGCTTCGCGAACTTCAAGGGATCGTGTACATTGGCACACATCCCGACGGCGATGAGCGAGTGCTATGGTTCAAGCTGGAACACGGCCCGGGGGCTGACAAACGACTATACCCCACAGTCTACACATTATGGCAGAACCCGAACTTAGTTCCCTTACTCTACACGCCGGAGTTTGTGATGGGGAAGCTCCATGGTGGAGCTGACCTTATGACACCGGGCCTCGCCAATGAACCTCCATTTCCCGAAAGGGCGATCAAGGGTGCCGTTGTCGCGGTCGCGAGTCTAGACAGACATACGGTGCCCCTTTTTGTAGGAATCTGTGAGATCGACGTTTCGGCATTGGGAGAGGTGCAAGGCACAAAAGGTCATGCGGTCCGTGGATTGCACTGGGAGGGTGATGAACTTTGGGCGTGGAGCTCTGCATCACTGCCGGGCCGTCCAGCTCCAGAGTATCTGGAGGGCTGGGATGAGGACAAAACTGAGGGTGTCGAGGAAAAAATGGAGGAATTGAGAATCGAGGATGATGAGGCTACAATCGCCTCGGGGAACACTGAAACGCTAAGCAATGATCCAACCGCATCAGAAGAACCCGTCACCGAGGAAGAGGTGCCGACAACAGAGGGTGAGTCATCCATATCTCCCTCTTGCGCAGCGAGGAGTTAAATTTTGAAATAAAATCCACCGAGTACTGACAAGTAATAGAAATCGATGAGGCGTTTTTAAATGCTTTTGTCTACGCCCTGTACAAACTTAAGCAGGATAACCCATCAGCAACCGACCATGGCCTTCCACTGCCAATCACAGCTTCGGCATTGATAGCCAACTTCACTACTCCTTATCTTCCTGTGTACACCCCCCAACAAGCCCTGCATTACAACATCAAAAAAACCAGTTGGAAGAACGTCAAAAAGTTCATGAAACACCTAGACAAGTCGAAGCTTGTCAAGACCAAGGAACGCAACGGCCAGGAAACGGTTATTTTGGATGTTGACTTTGGAGACCATCGGGTCGAGCGATTTGTGCCATACAGACTACCTTCACCGCGTGCCTTGGAGAACAATAAGACGGCCACACCTGAGGGCAAAAAGTCAGTTGCTACTGATGGGTCCGACCCTTCGGTGGGCCAGGCGATCACGGTGCAAAGTCTATATCGGCCATCAGGAAAGCTGGTGCCCACTGTTTTCCCTGCCCTCGCTGCTAGCGACACCAATAACTTTTACAAATACTCCGAAGTGTCCAGTCACTTGGATCAATATCTCGAATCCCAAAATCCGCCGATCATTGCAAAAGAGAACCGGCGCATCATAACCCTCAACCCGTTCCTCGCCAACACCATCTTCAATTCATCATCAACCGAAGATAAAGGGACCCTTGCACGCGGCAAGGTCACTCGCGATGGTCTTTTAAAGCGATTGATGGATGATAAAACACTGCTCTCGCCGTATCATGCCATTTTAAAGACTGGTCAAACTATTGCAGACGTCAAGCCGAAAGCCGGTACCGCACCAAAAGTCCATGTCACCCTCGAGAAGCGGACAGGTTCCAAAACAGTTACCAAAGTCATGACTCTGGAAGTCTTTGGCATCATTCCTAGTCTATTGGCACAGGAGCTTCAGAAGAAGTGCGCCGGCAGCACGAGTGTCACACAAGCTGTTGGTGCCCCTAAGGGGATCATGGAAGTTTTGGTTCAAGGTGACCAGCGAAAAGCCATTGAGACGGCCCTTGTTCGCCGTGGATTGAAGCCACAGATGATCGAAGTTGTCGATAAGACCAAGAAGAAAAAATGATCACCACGCAAACGTTCATTTGTTTACTCCACCGCTAGATAGATTGCCACTTTTCCTGTACCAACGATTCATCAACCGTCTGCGGCTCACTGCGAGAAATGAAAAAGATGCTCATGATGAGATGGATTAAACTACCTTCCCAAGATGACCCTCCCCAGCGCATCGCCGCAAACCTGTTTGAATCGCGAAACCCCTATTCTTTCACTTAACATTATATTGACCGTCACCATCGCTTTCCTTCCTCCTCATACCCCTTCCCCGTCCCATTTGATAGGTTCAATCTGCTCTCGCCGCCTTGCCTTCCATTGTTGTTTCCGTTCTCACCATCCCCCCGCTTCTCTGTACCATTCATATCACCAGTATCAACAGCCTCCCAGACATCCTGGTCCTTGTTGCCTGTAAAAAAGGACGTCAACGTACTCTTCCAAGTTGTTACAGTGCAATGATTCGGTGAGTCGAAATTCTAGTATTTAGGCTATACATAGAGTGGCTGTCACTGTCTTGTGAGATTTGTACTTCTCACCGTTCTACAATTAGCACCCCAAAACAAACCTTGGAAGATGCCTGCCGAGCCCTGCATCTTCGGGCATAGTGGACTTGCAAGTAGACAACAGTAACGCGTCTAAGGAAGTGACTCACTATAATTCTAGAGAAAGACATCATCGAGTTAACATGATACTCGAAGTCAACTATAGTGCTAGTCTACTACGAGCAGACATTTTCTTACAACATTGTCGAACTGGATTTGTGCCCTTTACAAATCGAGGCTTTGAGGGCTTGGGGAAATTTTAGGCTTTGTTTTCAAGAGAACGTGCGGTGTCTGTCTTCCATCTACGATATCGTAAATTTGAACATTTCATAACTTCCATTCGTCAAGATACTGTAGAAAAAGAAGACCAAAAAAGGCCCATCGTCTCCCATGTACAATGTGCATGGAAGAAAGAGAATGAAGAAGAAATCCGTGACAGGATGTTGCTGCAATCAGACCGAACAATCAATGAAGAGAGAATCTATCCGATCCAAATTTCACAGATATTCAATGACAAGATCCACACCGAGAAGGTATATAAAGGAAGATGTAAAGTTCTCTACATCTATCAATCTAGGATCTATGGCGAACATCTCAGTAAGCCAGGGCACGGGCGTGCACCTTCTTGTCAGAGACAAGCCACTTCAGGGTCGAGCGGATATTCTCGAGGAGGTTCTCGGCGTTGAGGGAGCTGAGGTAGGAGGAATATTCACCGGGGCTGGAAGAAGACTCGGAGCTGGCGGCAACGGTGGGTGCAGGGGGATCATTGTCACTGGCACTGGCACTGGGCTCGGAATCGTCACCACTGGAGGCAGGGATGGAGCTCCGGGCAGACTGGCCACTGACGGTGGAGGTGATGGTGGCGCTGTTGGTGGGAGAATTGGAAGTCTGTGTATCCGGCTCGTCAGTAACATGAAAAGAAGAAGTAGTAGCATTGGCAGTCTCAGTGACAGTAGAAGCAGTCTCGATCGACTCAGAACCAGGCCCACTAGTGGTGGAGGTTGAAACAGCAGACATGGGATCAAATGAGGGATTGAGGTGTCAATGGGGCTACAGGTAGGACGGAGAGTGCAGGTGCGGGGTGAGGTGGCAAGAAGATGAGCTCTAGATGGAAGAGACACTCACGGTAGTGGCAGTAGCAGTGGTCGCGGAGCCGGATGAAGAATCGGATGTGGCGCCGATGTACAGAGCGGGGCCAGGGATCTTGTAGGAGTCCAACGTAGTGTAGATGTTGATCTCAATACCTGGGTCGGTGGCCTTGTAGAGCTCTGTGCCGAGGACGCCGTCGGGAGCGTCGCTGCCACCACCGGTGACCTTCAGGTTGAGACACTGGGGGTAGTTCTGGGCACCGTTCAGCTCACCGGCAGAGTGCAAGGCAATAATTTCGTTACGGATAACATAGTTGCCAGCGGCGATGGAACTGGGGATGGTCACAGTAACGCTGTTGTTGTTGGCAATAAGCTCGTCAGATGCCCACTTCCCGGGTACATTGCTGTCGTCGATCAGACCGGCTTCGGCAATTTTGAAGAATTTGAGGGTAGTCTTGTCGACCTTGGAGCAGTCGCCATTGCAGTTTGCCAGGTAGCTGATGACCGGGCCGTGGTGGCTCTCGGGCCACATGGTCCACTGCAGCTCGACCTTGTCACCGGCTTTGACCTCGGCGGAAAGCGCACCTGGGGTCGCCTCCTTGTGGCAGATGATGTCGGGACTAGAGTAGCCACTGCCATCGATGAAGCCGAGATCGGTAGCCTTTTCAGACCACCCAATGTTCGGAGGCACCTCCTGCATGTAGTTGTACGTGTTCACAATGAAGCCGCCATGGTACGTGCCATCAATAACAGCCCCCGACACGTAACCGTGACCAGCAACCATAGCGGCTGAGCCAAGCAGGACACCAGCAATCTTTGAAACAGACATCTTGAAGAAGTAGGATAAAAACGCACAGCGTTTGGATCGAAAAGGATAGAAGTATCAACGATGATAGACAGGAAAAGAATTGAAAAGGGGACTTCAGTCAATGAAGTCAACCCCACAGAGAAAGAACGAATGGTTCTGGACCTTGAAATGAATAGAATGGAAAGGATAAGAAAAATCAAGCAGGTTGGACGACAGGGCCTTTTATATATGCGTTTCTCACGACCATCATTCCTATTTCGAAAGAAACGGCACACTCCATTGCCAAGAAATACCTATCAAAGAGGAGATCGCGAATTTCGACAAAGGTATCTCGGGACTCCGCTTTGTAGGTGCGCCCATAGGTGGAGAATTGTGAGCGATCAAAAAAATCTGCATCTACGAGGTGACAGATAGATGAAGCATGTGGTTTCTAAAGCGCCGGACGTTCCCAAGACTGCACGAGCGCAAATCCGTGATTAAGCTATGCCATGTCAGGATAAAGACACTGTTTCGTATCTCTTAGAGGACTGGCGACTGTGGGCGGTTGTATGTGACCGTCCAAGTTTCATCGAACCCCCCTTAAGTGATGACACAATGCCTTCTGACAGGTCGTCTACTCAATTAAAACAACGTTCCAAAGGTCCCTCCATGACCAACTTCGATGGGATTTCCTATTTTAATCAAGTCAACTTCCTTTCAGCAATCTTCCAGCCGTGGAGCCATGGTATTTGCCTTCTTCAGACCCTAGGAGTTGTGACTCTATAGACTCTGCGCTAAGAGAGGGTATTCTGAGACACTCCACCCACATGTCCCTCTCCTGCATGATAGGGTAAGAGAGTGGGTTTGACCCAGAATCTCGGTCGATATTCAGCGCTTTTTGTCAGATCTAAATTGCAGGACAAATGAGAAAGGTGTAAAAACAAGGAACTCACAGAATTGTTACAAACCATATACGAAGTACAAATCACGCTTTTCCAGGGTTTATGCCTTGCATTTAATCACTAGAGGATATGGACCTCGTGAAACATTTCTTAACCGGATTGAACCGCTCTCAGCAAGATCGTAAGCGAAAAGATTCAATGTGAGTCTCGATCACGTCTAGCCAGTCTCAGCCGTGTGATTTGCCCGAGAGGAACTAGATCTTCAGGTACTCTATCTACGGGCTCGTTTAAACTCCCGTTGAATCTGAAGTGCACTGCTGCCTTCGGGCATCCGCCAAGAACCCCACCTCCACCCCGCATATGGATACAATTGCAGGATACCTAAACCTGGGCCAGATACGTGTGTCCTTCTGGTCTGTCAAGCATCAGCCAAAATGCCAGTTTATCACATCGGTGAGTTCAACGCAACCAAGTGTCCACAATGACACAGAACGGACCTCGATCACTGACCAAGCTTCAAGTCCTCTTCCGCTTGAAGCCCGGCGTCACCCCGGCCCAGATAGCTACCTGGAAGGAGACATGTCATGGGATGGTGGGGAAGATTCCCGGTAAGGAAGACCCTGAAGTTCAGATTGGGGTATAGTCTCATCGAAACATCGCAACAGGACTGCTATCGCTGAAGAGTGGTCCCCCGCTGCCGATTTCGATTCCCCGTGCCCACGGCTTCGATATGGGACTGGTTGCTGTCTTGGAGACTGCTGAGCATATCGCTACCTATGCGGTGCACCCTGCTCATTTGGAGTAAGTTGTCTTCGTCATTGGGCCAGGTAAGACCACGGGCTGATTTGCTGATATGTTGAAGGGTTCATAAGATGCGCGAGGAGCTGTGCGACGAGACTTTGGCCTATGATCTAGAGTTCTAAGAATCCGACATATCAAGTGAGGTAGGCGAGTCTAGTCCTAAGGATCTACTTGAATTTCCATGATGGGAAGAATTGTGAGAACAGTTCGTTCAAAAGTCTCATTTGTACATATCAAACTCCAGGCCCTGGTTAATCGTAGCCATTGAGGCCTGCCTAGCCAACCCGTAGATGCTCGTAATGAAATGACCCAACGCCGAGAGAAGGTTCACCTCTATGAAATAATCGGAAAACAGAGGCAGGTCGGATCTCCAATCCGCAATACTTTTTGCATCAACCCCACCAATTGACCGAATCAGAGAATAAGAATTAAAGACAAGTCATTGCAACCCGCCGGAAGAAACACTTCATTCCTTGGCATCCACCTTCTTGGCGGGGTGGTCACCACCGTTGGTACCCTCATCCTCGCGGGGGCGCTTCTGGGTGCTCTGCACAACGGGGACACCACTATGATCAAAGTCAGCACTTGGACATTCACTGCAGAATCAGATCAGTTGGACTTACCGTGAGTCCTTCTGAGCCTCACGAGGAGCCTGGAAGCCATTCTTCTGGTCCTCGGTGCGGCGTTCGCGCCAGTCACGACCATCACGGTCATTGCGATCACGGCCATCACGTCCACCACGGCCACGGCCACCACCACGACCACGACCGCCGCGACCACCACGGCCGCCACGTCCACCACGGCCACCACGGCCGCCGCTGTTGCGAGCATTGGAGGGGTAAACGTTGCCATTCTTGATCTCCTCGACCTTCTCGTCGCAATACTCCTTCTTGCTCTTGTATTCCAGATCAGTGCCCTTCCACTGGGGCTTCTTCTCCAGAGCGAGGAATGCCTTCTGCTTCTCCTCGGACTCAAACTCAACAAAGATGCTGCCCTTGAAGGTCTTGTCGTTGTGAGTGCGGCGCAGGCGGATGGCATTGGTAGGACCGTAGGGGGCGAAAAGAGCCTCGATGTCGAGCTGTGTGGTGGGCTCTTCCGCGCCGAAGCCGAAGCCCTTGGCGTAGATGGAGCGGGCCATGGAGGCATCTTCGAAGACCTTGATGGCCTTGGAATCGTGCTCGTCTACGGACTCGGGCAGAGGGACCTTGCGCTTAACAGCGGTGTCGTTTTCAGTCAGCTCGACGTTCTCGGCGGTCTTGAGGGCCTCAACGATGGCGCTGAAGGGTTGGAAGCGGCGCATGCGCTTGAAAGAGTGAAGGAGTTCAAGGGGCACGGCGTTGTTGGCGCTGCCGCCAACCTTGGAGAGCAGGAACTTGTCCATGGGAAGGTTAGAATCGGAGAAGTAGAATTCGACCTAGGGTGTGCGCATTAGTTAAGATCTAGCTAGAGAGAAATTCAAATGGTCGTACCTGCTTGCGGATCTGCACCGGGTCATCAGTCACCTCCTGGGTAGAGGGATCGAACTTCGCGTTGTTCTGGCGAGGACCACGGCCACCGCGGCCATCGCGCTGGAAACTGCGGGTCTCGCGCTTCTCGGTCTGAGACTCTGCAGCCTTCTCCTCGGCCTTCTCAGACTTCTCTCCGAGCTTAGCAGCTTCGGCGACAATGCGAGCCTCATCGGCATCCGGAGCAGGTTGTTCAGTGGCAGTTTCCTCTTTCAGCTCTGCGAGGACGTTCTGAACATCCTTCTCAGCTTCGGTGTTGATAACGGGGGTCTTTTGTTCTTCGGCCATAGTTGCGAATCGTATGTGGAGACTACTATTTCAGAGGTTGAAAAAAAAATTGATAAGCAGGAGGATTCGACGCGACGGAGATGAGTCGGGAAAAGCGGAAAGTGAACAACCGATCGATGGCAATTTGTAGATTATATGGGGAAATTCGATAACAATACCTTTATAGATTGATCAATGCGCTATTCAGAATGCTTTTGCGCTTGTGACAATCTCGCAGCGGGGAGAATCTGGGATTTTTTTTTGAGCTCCATTGGCGCCTGAGGCAGACACTAGTCCACATTTGGTTAGCGTATATTTGAACGAGATCCCAATTGAGTAATTCGATCTTCTCTATGCATTGTCTGCCATTGCATTTAAGGATTTGGACTGAAGAAGTGACAATTAAAAAGACTGAATGGAAGAGCTTCAGCGGAGAACATCAGTTTGACCTCCAGTACCTACAGTTCGTCCTCATATCTTTCGTCAACATCAACAAAGTGGAAGGGACCTATGGCACATCGCACCTTCCCAATGGCGGAAATGCGTAGATTTATTGATATGTGGCTCCATTTCACTCCCATCCATGATGGCTGTCGTATTCATCCGGTTACAGAAGATCCACGCTTATCAAATATCAACACATATCTTGAGTTGAGTATTCTTCCAAGAACAGTTGCAATCTGGGGATCTCACCGGATTTTGACATTATCAGGCCTTGAGCTGTAAGTAGCAGTCTGTCAACTTTGAGATGTAAATGTCTGTTAACCAAATTTCGTATCAAGGTTTTCATACTTGACGTACAATACTTTCGGACTCTTTAACCTCGCCTTGAAAGGTTGTTTTCAACGTTCAACGGGCTAGAAAGCGGTTTCATCAAATTAAAATGATAATCCTACAAAGAGATTCATCAGTTGAGGGGAAATGGCTCACCAAAGATGTATCCTCTCTTTCCACGGAACTTGAAATACCATCCTGACTACCCTCGACAGATTATCTACCTCGCAATCGTCGGCCCCTTGATGCTTGCAGCTTTGTTCGAATGGATACTCTGGCTCGGCGCCTTCATCTACTGCCTGATTAAAGTATGGATGAAAGCAGATCATTGGAGCATCAGAGTCCTTGCTGTGGTGATGATCATTTTGTTCACAGTGATCAGGTAGGTTCCATGGACACCGGGAGTTCATTGCCCAGCAGGATCATTCAGGCACATGGCTGACGAACTCCCACGATAGACTAGCATTCCTTCCAGTCATGCTCGTCACGCTGCCGTTGCCGCCACTGATCACGGTTGAATTCCCCCACGAGATGATACATGGATTTCAAGTGTTCGCTTTTTGGGCTTTTTCTGTTCTTCTGATCGGCCCATGGCTATTTTGTGTTTATGGACTTGCTACTAATTCACTAGGGAGGAAAAAGAGGATCAAACGAGTGCTTGATGATCGGACGGCCCCGAAGACTGTGGTGGTGATGCCAGTATACAAGGAGGACCCAAGTGTCCTGATCAAAGCCATCAACTCCGTGGTTGACTGCGACTATCCTGCGAATTGTATTCATGTTTTTCTTTCATACGACGGCGGCAAGGTGGATGAGCCGTATCTCCGTGTCCTCGACCATCTCGGTATTCCGATCACACTGGAGAGCTATCCTCCGAGCATTGACTGCATTTACAAGGGGGCACGGATCACGGTATCTCGCTTCAAACATGGTGGGAAAAGACACTGCCAAAAGCACACTTTCAAGCTTATCGACAAGGTTTATGCTCAGTATCTGAAGAGACATGACAATCTGTTCGTTCTCTTCATCGATTCCGACTGCATTCTTGATAGGGTTTGCTTGCAAAACTTCATGTACGACATGGAACTTAAACCAGGCAGCAAGCGCAATATGCTGGCAATGACAGGCATCATTACGTCCACAACGGAGAAAAACAGCTTGTTGACTATTCTTCAAGATATGGAATACGTCCATGGTCAGCTGTTTGAACGATCCGTTGAGTCTGGCTGTGGTGCGGTGACTTGTCTCCCTGGGGCTTTGACTATTTTACGCTTCTCGGCGTTCCGCAAGATGGCCAAGTATTACTTTTCAGACAAGGCGGAGCAATGCGAAGATCTCTTCGACTATGGGAAATGTCATCTTGGGGAAGACCGATGGCTCACTCACCTCTTCATGATTGGCGCTACGGAACGGTATCAAATCCAGCTATGCATGAGCGCCTTCTGCAAGACCGAAGCCGTCCAGACCTTCAGTACTCTCCTGAAGCAACGTCGCCGATGGTTTTTGGGTTTCATCACCAACGAGGTTTGCATGATCACTGATGCCCGGCTCTGGGTGCGCTATCCCCTTCTGTGTCTGGTTCGATTCATGCAAAACACAATCCGAACCACCGCTTTGCTCTTTTTCATTATGATCATCGCCTTGATTACAACTTCAAAGAAGGTGAATGATCTTCCTGTGGGATTCATGGGGGTCTCCTTAGGGCTAAATTATTTACTCATGCTTTATTTTGGCCTGCGTCTTGGACGCTATAAAGCCTGGCTTTACCCGATCATGTTCACTGTGAACCCATTCTTCAACTGGATTTATATGGTCTACGGTATTTTTACAGCCGGACAGCGAACTTGGGGTGGACCACGGGCCGATGCTGCCACTGCCGATGACCATACCACGCCAGGTGAAGCAGTCGAACGGGCTAAAGAGCAGGGCGATGAGCTCAATGTGAACGTCGATACGTTCCGCAACAGTCTTGTGCGCCGAAGATCCGTCCCCATCCGCCCATCGGAGAATGTGGAAGGTCGATTTGCACCTGCCAAGCAACTGCTTGATGGATTTTATGTCAACACAGCCGGCCGAGGGCCCGCACTTGCACGGATGGTCAACGCGATGGAAAATCCCGAAAATCCCGAAAATCGCCAGTACCAATCACCTCCTTTCTTTCGCAATTCGAGCGACTCTGTGCTCAGTGCATCGTCGGATTGCGGCTCTAGCTCGGCCGCCACGCCGCAGGACGTGGAAACCCTCCTGATGAGTGAAGAGGACCAAAAGAAGCTCTATTATGCCCGCCAAGGCCGGTCATCAGCGGGCTCGGTGACCCTTGACGGTCACACTTCGGAGAACCACTTTGATGATGGAGTCGCTCCTCGGCCTATGATTTCTGCATCCGAGCATGATGCCCTGGGGCTCACCCACCCAGCAGAAGTATACCACATTGGGCGCTCTTCAAACACCCCTCCGGTCTACACAGAGCCAGAACGAATGTTGCCGAGCTACTAGGCACCGGGCTACTTTCAAACCCCTTGACCCATTTCATGATATTATTGTCTAACAGGAACATATGTCCCAGGTGCATGACGTCAGTTTTCTTTTTTTTTCTCCTTGTCCTCTTCTTTTCGTCCCTTTGGCTTTTTTTTATCGTTCCAACTGAATCGCCTCTACAAAGGTTTTTTGACCACCCTATCCTTATTTCGATTTTTTTTTAACCAGACGATTCTGCTCTGTATCGCTTCTATAGCTTTAGCATTCAAACCACATTCAAGCCCAAGAAAATGCATGATGTAGCCAGTGATCCACCATAGAATCCTCGTAGGGCGGTGATTGAATTTTTATTCTGCCAGTTGATGGTGGGCGGTGAAAGTGAGTAGTCCAGCAGCCGCCAGAAGGTTCGATGAGGTGCCAGCACAGTCCGGATGCTAAGAAAAGTATATAGACCAGTCGGAAAGAAGAAAAAGAAGACAAGAAAGCCATTCTGTGATACATTTTACATTAATACCCCAAATTTGAAATTTCTTAGTTTGGCGCCTAAAGATCAGCCAGACCGCTCGACACTTGGTCATCGCCCCTCCAATAATAGTGGAGTGGCGTGCAAATTCTCCCCTCCAACTTCTCTCACTTTTCTTCCTTTGAATCTTCCATCCCCCTCCACCTCCCTACCTCCCACATCCCCCTACTTTCTTCCATAATGAGTGTCGTCGGCATAGATCTGGGCGCGCAAAGCACCAAGATTGGTGTTGCCCGCAACAAGGGCATTGACATTGTGCGTGTTGTTACCCCACGGTCTTGATCGGGACTTTCATTTTTCTCTCGAGATGAATCATGACCTCACCAATCTCCGGGCAAATGCGCTAACTCATTGTTGTTGACACTATAGATTGCCAATGAGGTTTCTAATCGTCAGACCCCGTACGTCCTCACAACCCCTCGCTGTTCACTAGACATCAAATACTAATTTGAATTGTAGCTCCATCGTTGGATTCACACCTCGCAGCCGAAACCTCGGTGAGGCCGCCAAAGGTGCGGAGATCTCGAACCTGAAGAACACCGTCAGCTCCCTCAAGCGCCTGATCGGCCGTTCTTTCAACGACCCCGATGTCGCCATCGAGCAGGAATACAACACATGCACCCTGGTCGACGTCAATGGCCAGGCTGGTGTCGAGGTCAACTACCTCGGTAAGAAGGAGAAGTTCACAGCGACTCAGTTGGTCGCTTCTTACCTTTCTAAGATTAAGGACATCACCGCTAAGGAATTGCGCGCTCCCGTCTCCGACGTTACCGTCAGCGTTCCTGCTTGGTTCACTGATGTGCAGCGCCGGGCCATGCTTGACGCTGGTGATATTGCTGGTCTCAACATCCTGCGTCTTATCAACGACACCACCGCTACCGCTCTCGGCTGGGGTATTACCAAATTGGATCTCCCCGGCCCTGAGGAGAAGCCCCGCCGTGTGATGTTCATCGACATTGGTTACTCCGACTACACTGCCTCTATCGTTGAGTTCCGCAAGGGTGAGCTCAATGTTAAGGCTACCGCCTACGATCGTCACTTCGGTGGCCGTAACTTTGACAAGGCTTTGACTGAGCACCTGGCCGTCGAATTCAAGGAGAAGTTCAAGGTCGACATCCACACTAACGGCAAGGCCTGGACCCGTACCCTGGTTGCCGCCGAGAAGCTTAAGAAGGTCCTGTCCGCCAACGCTCAGGCACCTCTGAGCATCGAGTCCCTTATGGATGACACTGACGTTCGCGCTATGATGAAGCGTGAGGAGCTCGAGATCATGGTCAAGCCTCTCCTTGACCGCCTGACTGCTCCTCTGGAGCAGGCACTCTCCGAGGCCAAGCTTTCGGTTGAGGACATTGACCAAATCGAGATGGTTGGTGGCTGCACCCGTGTCCCCTCTATCAAGGACACCATCAGCAAGTTCTTTGGCAAGGGTCTGTCCTTCACTCTGAACCAGGATGAGGCTATTGCTCGCGGTTGTGCTTTCAGCTGTGCTATTCTCTCCCCCGTTTTCCGCGTCCGCGACTTCGCCGTTCACGACATTGTCAACTACCCCATCGACTTCACCTGGGAGCAGTCCCCCGAGATCCCTGATGAGGATACCAGCCTCACTGTCTTCAGCCGTGGCAACGTCATGCCTTCCACCAAGATTCTCACTTTCTACCGCAAGCAGCCTTTCGATCTCGAGGCCCGCTACTCCGACGTAGAGGCTATGCCCGGCAAGGTCAACCCGTGGATTGGCCGCTTCTCCGTCAAGGGGGTCCAGGCTGATGCCAACAACGACTTCATGATCTGCAAGCTCAAGGCCCGTCTTAACCTGCACGGTATTCTCAACGTCGAGTCTGGATACTACGTTGAGGATATGGAGGTCGAGGAGCCCGTCGAGGAGGAGAAGAAGGAGGGTGACATGGACACTGACTCCAAGGAGGAGCAGCCCAAGAAGACCCGTAAGGTCAAGAAGCAGGTTCGCAAGGGTGATCTCCCTATTTCCTCCGCCACTGGCGGCTTCGATCAGGCCACCAAGGAGACCTGGATCGAGCGTGAGAACGCCATGTACATGGAGGACAAGCTTGTCGCCGAGACCGACGAGAAGAAGAACGAGCTTGAGGCCTCTATCTACGAGCTCCGTGACAAGATCGACGGCGTGTACTCCGAGTTCGCCAGCGAGGAGGAGAAGGAGAAGTTGAAGTCCAAGCTTATGGACACCGAGGTGAGTTTCGGACCAGCATTTGGGAATAATGATCATGATCAATGACACTAACGCATCACCTTAGGACTGGCTCTACGAGGATGGTGAGGACTCCACCAAGTCCGTGTACGTCGCCAAGATGGACGACATCCGCTTTATTGCCGGCCCCATCATCCAGCGCTACAAGGAGAAAGTCGAGGCTGAGCGTGAGGCCGTCCGCAAGGCCGACGAGGAGGCTGCCGCCAAGCGTCGCGCCGAAATCGAGGCTAAGAAGGCGGAAGAGAACGCCAAGAGCACCGAGGGTGACGCCGAGATGAAGGATGCCCCCGCCGAAGGCGATGCCCAGGGCGAGGCTGAGGAGAAGCAGTAACTGCATTTCCATGACGGAATGATTTACTGACGTTTTTTCTTGTTTGTTTTGGGATGGGTATAAAAAACCCCGATTCCATAGCTGCGCTTTACTCTGATCCAATTCGGATTGGCGGTGAATCGCCGCGTTATGATGAAAAGGACCTTTTAAGAGATGTTTCATGGAGCTAGACATTTCGATCGGCTTCTAATCGTTGGCCACTATTTTTCTTTCATGTTATGGCAAACGGTTATGATGTAGATGGTTCCTGTTCCCTTGAATGTTATGAATAGATGAAAATTTTCTTAACGTCTTGATCTTTCAACTCCTGAGACCTGAACTTGTATAACAAGTATCGACATGCCACGTAAGTGAAGTGACTCGTCCTTGCCGCACCTCATACCTTGTGTTCAACTTCGAATTGCAAGTCCCGGGATCTCTGCCAAGTTTGAAAGTCGCTTTCCTCCTGAATTCCTGTTCTTGATGCACACCAGACCTAGGCCATTCTAAGTGAACATATTGCAACTACATTGAGTGACACGGTGGATTTGTCGTTTGGTAGACAAGCCCACATGGATAGAGCGTTTTAAATTGTCCATCAGTGACCTAGCAGGAGAACTAGTAGAGAAAAGATTTGAAAATGGGTCCTATGCGCCCACCGGAACATCTACGAGGGTGTTGACATTTCTATCAAGGCAATTCCGAGAGATGATGAAGCCAATAAACTCGAAGGCGACAATCTGGTCTTGGTGAGGAGTGGCCTGGACATTAGTACAAGCCGAGCACGCCCTATTATTTAAAGCCCCAAGAGCTTTGAGGATTGCAAATTGTCAACAAGTGTGATAAGCATGAAGTTTGCTTCCCGGTAATGGCAACGTATAGTGGGATGTAGGATTTGACAGAGGGAGATGGAGAATAAGGATAGCCTCATGAACAAAAACATTAGATTCTCAGATCGTTTGCTATACAAACTGGCCATAACATCCTAGGTCCCTATTTGAGGCTTTGTAGTTGCTTTGATTCTACTAGCACCCATATAAGGCACAGCTATCACAGCAAGCGCAGGAATCGTCAACATCAAGGTAGTTATATAGGAAACGAGACTGAGATTATTGGCCAAGATGGTGCTCGTGGTGCACTGAGACTATGCTCCTAAATGAATGACTTGCCGCAGATAGTATGGAGGCAATACCAATACTTCACTGTTAAGAGACAAAGGCCTTGAATATTATACATCAAATGCCAGAAGCGAGATTTCATAGCGTGTCACCGTTGTGAGTCTTCTATGTTGACAACTCTCTAGATGCCTCGCGTGTCTCCCACCAGACTTCTAAAGAATCACTCTACCTCATCTCTTCTCCTCCCTCTGCTGGAGTCAACTCTCTCTCTGTTTTTCACCCTCCCCCCTCTTTCCCTGTATCCCTTTGATCAGTTATTTCTGCTTTCATTAAACCTCCAGGTTCCACACTCTCAAAATGGAGCGAGATCAAGATAAGCAAACGATCCTCCGGCTTCTTCTTGAAGATCTGGAGGACCTTGAGAACAGGCAGAAAGGAAAGCAGGCTGTAGGAAAGGAAACAGATCTTGATATTGCCATCGCGTGCTTGAGGGAGGATATTCGGACCACACAGGTTTCCATCGCAGATGAGGTGTTGGCAATTAGTACCAGTACCGCAATTGCCAATGATCAAAAGATACTGGCATTTTTCCAACATCAAGAAAGAGTGGCTAATCAGGACCGCCAACTCGCCCTCGCTTTACAGAATGGAACCTCGACTTCTGATCACATTTCAAGCTCCTCGGTGACAACCGAGATCATGTCAGCCGACGACGATGACGACGTTGTTTCCATTGTCATGGAGGATCTCATAGACCGGATGGCTCTGAGCGAGAAAGCATCTAATAACGGAGAAGGTCCCTCGCGCCTACATTTACCCCGAACCAGCAGCCTTATGAGAGAGTGTGCATCCTGCTTCACAAAGGTCACCAACATTATGTTCACGGGTGCGTGCGGCCACGAGTTTTGCTGCGGCTGCACAAGACAGATGTTTCTCGGTGCCGTCAAAGATGAGGAGTTGTACCCGCCTCGTTGTTGCGGAAATATCGTTCCACCTGGAGTTGCCTTGAGAATTCTTAACTACGAAGAGCTTCGAAATTTCGGTGAAAGAGCCATCGAATGGACTGCAAAGGATCGTCTTTACTGCGCTGAGCCCACATGCTCGAAGTTCATTCCTCCATTTGCTATCCAACACGAGCACGGCACCTGCCCCGAATGCCACCAGCAGACTCACGTACCATGTCGCTCCCTTGCTCACCCTCGAATGAATTGTCCAATGGATGAACCCCTTCATGCTGTATTGGAGATGGCGGATGCTCAAAATTGGAGGAGATGCTTCCACTGCCGAACTATGGTAGAACTCCACCACGGCTGCAATCATATCACCTGTCGGTAAGCAGCCGATGTCTCTTATGACAAACACCTAACAATATATGAAAAGAACTGACAATTGATAGATGTGGGCGTGAGTTTTGCTATGTGTGTGGCTTGATTTGGAGATCATGCAATTGCCCACGTTGGCACGAACACAGACTTGAGGAAATGGCAATTCAAGCGGTCGATGAGGAGGTTCCCGCCAACGCTAATATCCATCTCCGCCAGCACGCGTTTGACCGGATAGTTGAGGACCTGCGGCAACACGAGGACAACGGGTGCGAGCATCATAGGAACTCGCAATGGGTCTGGCGTAACTCTGGGAGTTTGAAGTGTGAGGTAAGAAACCATCATCTGCCAGAGTACATTTTCATGTGCACGAGTTGCCGGATGCGGGCCTGCAATCGTTGCCGGCGACACAGGTTGAGGTAGTTCTCTGCTATTGGTTATTGTTTTCAGCTGTTGCATTCCATTGCAGGAAGAGACTGAAAAACCGTAAGGATAGCCGAAAGACAATAGGTTCACTGTGGCTTTTGGTGATGAAGTTTCGTGTTCATTCATTCACATGAGATCTGCATGGTACCAATAGAGGAAAAGACACCAATTTTGACTGTCCATTTTTTGGATTTCTCTCTAAGCCTTACGAGCCATTAACACAACCTCGCATCTGATCATAAATGATTTAAAAGACGGTGTTTCATTCACAGTTTGGGCGTATTTGTTTTGCAAACTCAAGTCAGCTTCCTTTTGCCTTAACCCATGATCGGAGAGGGATATTCCTGCAAAGGATTTTCATGTCCAGCACTTTTTCCAGTTTCAAGTGAATTCTCTTGTCAGTTGCTGGTTTCCTTTTTGTCTTGTGTTAGTCGACACGGATATGAATCCGAACATGTAGTCACAATGAATACTGATACGGGGCTCTTTTGGGTCTCGTAATTGGAATGAGAACAATTTCAATCCCTTAACGAGGAACAATTGGTCCTAGACTTCCCTAGGAACTACCATATCACTTGGTTGCACCCTAGCTCTACTTACCCTTTGCAGTTTCCATCCCTACCCACGTTTTGCATGGTCTTTTGATGGGGCGTGGTGCAGATTCCTCACTGCCTGAGGCACCACTTCACATGAATTTCATATCACGTGCTGGTATCAGCTCAATCTTATCTCCGTGCTGACAAAACCCTATCCCCGTGGAACCAGGTCGAATCCGTCAGCGCCTGCCTATTCGGTCGCATGAGTGGTTTTGTCTTGTCGCGACTTCCTGTTTCACGCGCTTTTTCTCTTAGATCGCTATATTCTCATACGCTACAATGGCCTCTCCCAAGGAGCTGACCGTTCATCACTGTGGAATCGCGCACATCGTCCAAGTCCCCGCCTCAGCAACGCTACAAGACCTCTCCTCGGAATTAGAGCGCGTCCTCAACATACCCATCGATAACCAGAAGCTTCTCATAGCCCCAAAGCCAGGGATGCAGAAAGCACCTTTTCCACCAACTTTACTTGACGCAATTCTCCAAACCTCCTCCCCAAAGTTCAAGATCACCCTCCTCGGCACCCCGGCCAAAGCAATCGCCGACCTCCACGAACAATCCGCTAACGAACAGCGACGACAAGAATCACGAGCTGCCGCCCTAAGCGCCGCCAGACGCAACAAACAAACACCGTCTTCCAGTCGTAGTGGCGGCATCCACACCATCTCATCCTCATCCAACAACTACACCTTCCACCGTCTCCTCCCACTATCATACCTTCCCAACCCAGACCGATCCCTCGACTTCCTCAAACGTCTCCGCGATGATCCAGGTATCTGTGCCGCAATGATAAAACACAAATTCTCCGTACCTCTCTTGACAGAGATGAATCCGGCGGAACACACGACGAGCGAGTCGCGGACACTAGGTCTGAACCGGAACAAAGGCGAGGTGATTGAGTTGCGTCTGCGAACGGATGCCTATGACGGATACCGGGATTACCGTACTATTCGGAAGACGCTGTGTCATGAGCTTGCGCATTGCGTGTTTGGGCCGCACGACCGTGACTTCTGGAATTTGACGTCGCAGATCGAGAAAGAGGTTGAGCGTGCTGATTGGAAGTCTGGTGGGAATCAGTTATCTAATCAAGAGTTCTACAATCCTGGTGATTGGGATAACGTCCAGGGGGGAGAGCAGTTTGATGAGTGTGGGTGGACTGGTGGGGAGTTCGTCCTTGGTGGATTGCAGGGTGACTCAAATGGAGGCCGGAGTGGGAATGTTGCTTCGAGCGGGACGCTGTCTCGTAGAGAAATTATGGCGCGGGCTGCGGAGGAGAGGATGAAAAGGGAAAGTCGGGCTAGGAAGCAGAATGATGCCAAGTGATATCATGGCTGCTCATTTGGCGCACTAACTTTTTTCTCTCACGATGTATGAGTTCTTACTTTTCACCTATATAGCCTTAGATACCATACTTTTCCTTTGTAATCAACTCATTTTTTGTACATTGAAGACCATATCTTGCCACCTAATTGGAGTCATCTCGAGACTTTTACAACTGCTCGTTGACAAAGAGACCAGCCATGCCCTGTCCAGTTCCAATACACATGGAAGTGACCAGAATCTTACTCTTTGTCCGGCGAGCCTCGCTCAGAACAGTCGCGATCTGGCGCGCACCTGTTGCGCCAAGTGGGTGACCAATAGCAATAGCACCGCCACGAGGGTTGACCTTGGCGTGGTCAAGGCCAAGGTTCTGGATACAGTAGACCGCCATGGAGGCAAAAGCCTCGTTGATCTCATAGATATCGACATCATTCTTGTCAAGCTGGAACTTGCTCAGCAGCTTGGGGATGGCAGCAGTTGGGCCGATACCCATCACGCGAGGGGGCACACCGGCAACGGTAGCGCCACAGAATTTAGCAAGAATCGGCTGGTTCAGCTCAATTGCCTTGGAGCGGCGCATGAGAAGAACAGATGCGGCACCATCGGTCACCTGGCTGGAGTTCCCACCAGTGGACTTGTCACCGAACTGCGGGAACGCAGGGCGAATCTTAGAAAGCGACTCGAAAGTCGTACCCGGACGAATCCCATCATCCCGAGAAAGAGTCACTTGCTTAACCTCGCCCGTCTTAGGGTCCTTAACCTTGACAGTGATAGGAACAATCTCATCATCGAGCCAGCCATTACTCTGGGCAGCCTCGGCACGACGGAACGATTCAGCGGCAAATCGGTCCTGCTGCTCGCGGGAGATAGTGAAGTCCTTACCGACGTTCTCGGACGTCTGACCCATGGGCTGCATACAGTCGGCGGCCTCCTGGTTGCGCAGAACCTCCTCATTGAACGGCTGCTCCAGCCGGTCGCTAGCGGCGGACATCAGCTCGGCACCCATAGCGACACCGATGTCGATGGCGCCCAGCTGGATCTGGTTTGCGATATCCTGTACAGCTTTCAGTCCAGATGAACAGAATCGGTTCACTGTAGAGGCGCCGGCTGTGTGGGGGATGCCGGCGGCAAGAGCTGCGGCGCGGACCATGTAGGCGGCTTTGACTTCGTTGACCTGTCTTTAGGGTTAGAATATCCCATCTATGGATTTGCAGAGTAAAAATAAAAAGTTTTTAAGCATACATTCCCGAGGCAGACATCCTCGATCAGAGCTGGGTCGATCTGGGACTTGGCCAGAGTCTCCTTCAGCAGCGCGTAGAGCATGTAGTCCAGTTCGGTGTCCTTGAACCCACCCTTGCGTGCCTTGGTCAGAGGTGTGCGGATTGCTAGGGTGATGACCACGTCATCGGGGTTCTTCTGTGTACTGTATTTGCGTGTTAGACTGATGTAGCATAACTCTGACCTCGTCGGAAGACTTGCATAGCTGCGAGGCCGCTGGTGGCACCGGGCTTGAGGTGGCTCAGGAGTGAGCTTAAACGATCGGCGGCCATGATGTGTGAAGGTAGAGAGACTGGAAAAATTGTACAGTCAGCGTTTTGAAACTATTCTCTTACACAGCTGATCTTTGTTCGAGATACTGGCTTTGTCGTGCAAGTGAATGCGGGGAAGCTTCCATGTGCGGAGATTTGAGCGAGAAGTGTGAAAACAAACCACCCACGCTCGGGGGTGAGGAAGAACTTACAGATTGTACAGAAGAGTAGATTAGAAGCAGTAAACAAAAAATCAGTAAGAAAGAAGAGGAATCAAGGAGTTTAAAGATGTATGGAGAGAAGTCCACTTCGACCGAAATTGCCGAGGTTCATTTCGTCTATCAGGTTATCAAGCCAACAAGTACCCGGTACTTCTGATTTGCCACATCATCCCTTATTAAATCAAGTACCCGGGACCTCAGCTAAGTCAATTGACTTGGCCTGTGGAGATGCCTAGGCGACTGTCACTTTGTCAAATGTCAATCGCGTTGGTTTCTGGCATCAATCGTTCTTTTCTTCTTGCATGGATAGGGCCGCCTCATTTCTATGAGAGCACGTCCCTCCCTCCTCATCCAAGTTTCCAAAAGCACAACATTCATGCTACACTCACACGCAGGCCTAGAGGCAGCGGGTGAGACAACTCTTGGTTAGCCATGTCAGTTTTCTTTCTTCGTGTACTGTTGCCAGAAGATCTGGAGCTCGTTCGCAAGTACGCCGAGTTGTCCGTGCTTAGATGCAATGAATTCTGCTGCTTGTTCCATCGAGGAGTGATCGCTCGTATCAATATCCATCTGTTCTACCGAGGTTCCAATGGGATCTGTATATGTACATGTGGGGCGATAGCTGAAAGATTATGCTGACGACGGTAAATATTTGCGTTATTGAACGGAAACATGCGAAATAGTTTTTTAAAAGTATCCTTAATATGTACCCACCGTTATCTCAGTGCGTAGCCAATCCTCAAATCTTCCCTTGTAGGCGTTGGGGTCAGTACCCTCCCAGTTGTAAAAACCAGTGTGGAAATTCAAAATCTCGAAAACCCTTCAAACGATAAGTCAAAAGCAAACCGCAGGTGGAGGAAATACATACATTTTACTTTTCCATCCATCCGTTGTCATGTCTGAATCTAGCCAAGACAAATTTAGTTGTTTTTCACATTCGGGTTCGTCGTTGGGGTCCGAATAGGTCGAAACGTAAGGATGGGTTAGGGCATCTGCCGCCGTGATTCTCTTTTGTGGGTTCATTTCGAGCATTTTCTCCAAGAGATCAATGGCTGGCAAATTTAGTATCATGATAGCTAGACAAACAAGGGGGCACCTAGTGTCACTGAAGATTTGAAGAGCCATACCTTCAGGATCAACATCTCCCAGGATGGTTCCAAGCGACCGAGACTCTGTTCCAGGTAAAGAGTTCACAAAATTCATCGTCTAAACTTGTAATCAGCATCTTATCTTCTGTATCTGACCCGGCCTTGATAATTCGGTCTTACAGTATCGCTGTAAACTATCTCCATGATCTCTTTGGGTGGCTTCCCAAAGATCTCAGTGATCAGTTTAAAATGATGCACATTGTCTGTGCCCGGTAGGAGAACTTTCCCTAGGAGCATCTCAGCCAGAACACAGCCAGTGCTCCAAATATCCACTGCGCTGCTGTATCTTTGCCAGGTCAACATGATCTCTGGAGCTCGATAGTATCGTGTGGAGACATAGCCCGTCATCTGATGATCTTGTTCTCGGGCTAGACCAAAGTCACAAATCTTCAAGTCGCAATTTTCTTTGATCAATATATTGCTGGGTTTGAGATCACGATGGATCACACCAGCTGAGTGGATAAATTTTAGCCCTCGCTAGAATTATCAGCTACACTGCCATATTCTAGATCTCCAGGCAAACAGACCAGCAGTTGGTAGGTGAAGAATTGAACGAACTGTTCCTCCAGTGGCTTCGACCTTGATTGGATCAACGCATGAAGGTCTGTCATACAACAGTCCATCACAAGATAACTGTGTGTCAACATGGTCAGTACAATTCGAACTGGGAGATAAGAGGTGTCATTCACGTACAGATCTTCCGCTGGCGAGATGAAGATGTCTGTCATATTGATCAACTGTTGACAGTTAGAGTTCATATTTTGTACGTTGTCTCAGTTTCTGCACATGCATTATCATGTTTTAGATGGTTCATCAAATGAACCTCGCGATACGTGTGCTTCACCCGGGCAGAGCCATCGAAAGGTTTCCCAATCTTCTTGATGGCAACTGTTCGATTGGCCTTTGAATCATGCGCGGAGCTGATACTGACTGTCAGTCGCCTTACAGTACGAATGGAATATACGAGGAGGGGGTATACCATATCACTCCATAGGCACCAACTCCTTGTGCTTGCAAGTTTGTATACCTCTCGGTTGTTTGAAGGGCCGTACCCATGATTTTATGTGTGACGAATGTAGCCATGCTACCAAAGTTGTAGATGTGAAGAAGAGATGAAGTACCAGAATAGTAGAAGCATGGAGGACATTCATCATGAACATACTATATTTAGATGCCAAGGCTGTTCTTCCCAGACCTAGGCCGTGTCGTGGTTACGTCATACACATGAACAAGCCCGTGTAGTTGGCCGTTGGACGGATTAACATCTTGATTTCCACGTATTAGACAGTTTTAGTCTCCACGTATCCCACGCTCTTAAATTGAGCCGGTTATTACAACCGTTCCCAACAAAAGCTTATTGACAGATGCCTCCACCTAGGTTGAGCCACTTAAGGCTTTTTATATGCAAGTAGTGAACGTCACTTAGCTGATTTCTATAAATGCAGACTCTCTTTCGCGATTGTGTCAATCGTGTCAATCGTGTCCCAGATAATTGGAAATGAGAGGCAAAAATTCCTACCTTTGCCTTGAAACTTCCTTTGACGGCTGGCACATTTCGACAATGCCATTCGTTTGTAAAGCATGTGTTCGCGAAACATTACATTGAAACGGCCTTTCTAGCAGTATTTCCAGTGGTGGAACACTTGGTGCTTCAATTGAAAACGGAGCATGATACCCTTGTACTTTGTACCGCATTAACACAGATCGCAGCCAAGCTCAGACCTAAAGTCAAAACGCCAAACCCAACATCAGAAGCATCACCAACTCAGTAAATTTTAGCCCGTCACCTCATCCGGATCCCCTATCAATCAATTTCCGAGCATCAGAGTAACTTATGATCTCCAGCATCCTCGTTGCTTATTACGCTACCCACATCAGACCACGCGGGAGTAGCCACACCGCCAATTGATCGCCCGTCAAAGTCACTAAGAATGCCATCTGACGTGTCATCCTCGAATCCTCCTACATGGCTGAAACTTCCAGTAGTAGAAGGAGCGGCCAAAATATCATCGTGAGACTGAATACTCGCGTAACCAAAACCATCTAGCTCAGCAAGGTGATCATGTTCATAGGTTCTGTTGTTTGGCACATCAGGGTGCGAAAAAAAATACTTGCTGTGGGTCTTCTGTATGGCTGGAACCAGATACAGACAACGGGGAGTTGGGAGAGAATGGATCAAAGAGGCTACCCCGTTCAGGTGTTTCAGGCCCGGGCGTGAACGGAACAATGGATTCCGAGGAATGAATTGAGAGAGTAGACGAGGGGATGTCGACATGCAGCTGATTCCGACCCAGCGTAGTCGAAGGCTCGGCCTCGATTTGTTTGGCACCTCGGCGGAGAGGCTCCAAAGTTTCCAAATCAACCCCCGTTGAGTTAGCAGTAGATTCTTCATTGGGCTGGACATCGTATTCAAGGTCTTTCGGTTTTAGCAGGTTGCCTTCGTTATCAACGAGAGTATCAAAGCTCTTATGAGACTGGCCTGGCTGGCTGGTCTTTCGTCGCGATTCAAGGAGCGTTTTTCGCCGCATGATCTCCGCGCGAGCAATCCGTCTGCGTTCTTCGGCAATTTCTCCAGTCTCCTCGGTCATAGAAATGTCTTGTCTCAACGCTATGTCTTGGGGTTGCATCTCATCGCCGAGGTTGTGCAGAGCCAAAGCGATCTTGCGCCGCGAGGTGGTCACCCATTGCTGAAACTTTGGAGACTCGCATACGGCAATTCCAGCTGCTACAATCACAGAAACAGTAATGATGAGTCCTGCACGAGAGGTCAGCCTCATCGTCAACATGGAGAACTGATCAGACCAAGCACACCGCCCGGATGATCCGGGAAGAAGTCGTAGAAGTTCACGGAAGTAGGACCAGACCTTTTGCAAGTGGCGCTGGCATAATGAACGCAAAACGCTATACTTGGTTACTTTCTTTAAGATGGTTCAAAAACTCACCTTCGTCATCTATGGAGTGGAACAAGATGATTCAGTGATGCCTGCTCCTTATCCTTACATCAGTGCATGTGATACTCCAAGCCCTTATCACCGGCCCTAAAATTATACACCGCTTTGGGCAAAGTCCCCCGCGCGTCAAAGTGATGAACGTGATTGCAAGCTCCCATCTCTTGACTCGATAGTTATACAACTGCACTTGAGTGAGATCATCATGTCTCGTCACCCTTCGCAGACCCAACGGCCCTTGTCCCTCACCGAGGAGCTTGAGAAACTGGAGCAGTCCATTACCCTTACATTGCAAGGTAGGGCAAAAAAGTAAACAAAACAGCCCAGCAGACCGCTCATCGTACGTCCATACAGAGATCGACCACAATTTCAGTCAAGCTCATCGGATAGTCACTACGAGTATCTTACCTCTAGTTGAGCAATATACCGAGCATTCACGAGATGTCTGGGAAGGTTCCAAGGTCAGCTTCCGACATGCACAGCTTTGGATACAGCTTGATTAACTCTCTTCAGTTCTGGAAACAATTCTTCGAAGCTAGTGCCAACGTATCTCTGTCCGGCTATGAAGAAAGAAACGCCGACGAAGAAACGATGCAGGACCCTACAGCCACGGAGGAAGAGTTGTCCACCGACATAACCCAAAGCACCAGTCTCGACGATACCATGTCCCACGAGACGCCCTCTTCCCAGCGCCATGAAACATCCCACCGAGACCAAGCAGACGATCTGGATCTAAACGATCTCGCGATCTCTTCCCACAGCACCCCGCGCGCCCCGGGTCACCATCACCAGGCCAATGACGACGTAACAACTTCCTCAATAGAGTATTCGTCCTCTTACGAGAATCTAAGAAGAGAAGTCAACGAATCAGAACCCCCATTCGACCTCCCAGACACCTCGACACTCCCATCTACTCCAGGTCGCCAACTCTTCTTCCCACGCGGCGTCTCCGCCACAACCCCGATGTCCTCACCCTTTCTCCCACCCGTGTCGCAGCCCTCCACTCAAGACCGTCGCTACCAGAAGACCTCGGACCCGGTACTACACCAAATGCTTGACAAGACATACCGGGTGCAAGCTACGCCGCTCGGGAAAGGGTTCCACAATGTGGGCGGCGGCACGAACACTCGACCAAAGTTCCACATCACCCCAAAACCGGCCGAGTCTACGTCCAAGTACGCATATGACGATTCGCCGATTTCCAGCCCGGAGCCAGAGGCACCACAGCTACACTCAGAGGTTTTCTCATCGCCCATCAAAGGCGTCAACGATACCCCAGGCACGAACCGCAAGCGACGGACTAGCAGCAATCGCATGCGCGGTATTCCCAGGCCTGGCATGAGTGTTTTGACACCTGCCAAGAAGTCTGCGGGTAAATCGGCTGTGTGGGATAGCGACGATGATTTCGACTCCGACGATGAGAATCTTGGGCCGAGCCCTCCTAAGACCATGCAATTCCACATTCCGCAGAGCCGGCTGATGAGGACGCCAGGTAAAATTAATTCCCTCGTTTTTTCAATCTTACTTTGATGCTAACTTTCCTCGCCTTGATAGCAAGAGAGGCTTCTAAGCGTATCGTGACCGATCTATTAGCTACGGCTGGAGCTGGGGACATTACAGATGACTTTGGTGATGACCAAAGTCCAAGTGTGATCCGTCGCATGGAGCGCCTGGAAGATGAAACGTTTTAATTTCCACGTTTAAAAAAAACCTGGCTAAAGGTAATTCTTTTGATCTGGCTGGCATTTTTACTTTTCATGGCCATTGTGTTCTGCCACGAAGGGTGCTCCCGGCCACAACACAGCACGGATCTCATATACCCACGAATGTAACCATGACGTCATCGTTCTCCAAAGCGAATTCTTCTAGTAGATTCACATCCATTGGAAAATAGAGAAAAAAGAAATACAGGGCACAGCCTATAGAATTATCATACATGTGGACACGGTAAAACAAATGTCACTTTTGGGGACTGAGAGAACCCTCGAGACATGAACAAGGAGACAAACGCTTAAGAAATCGTAGGGATATGTACGGACGATGAAGGCCAAGCAAGCAATGTCACCGCTCCCTCCCGTTGATTGTTGTTGCCAATAGAGAATCCAGGCTCTTGAGAGGCAATAGAAAGATGGGCGGCGGTATCTGCTCGATCAATGGCAGTCGTAGGTGATGGACAAGACGCAAAAGAGTAGTATCTAGGAGCTCTTCTTCTTGTTCTTGGACTGAGTATCCTTCTCCTCACTCTAAGACTTCCCTCCAGCACTTGCAGCCTGCTGCTTCTCGTGATGATCATAGAGAGACTGGTGCTTAGAGCTCAAGCGCTCTTCCTCGGCAGCAACCATATCCTTCCATAGGTCGCCCCCATGAGGCTTCCCACCTTGGTGAACAGGCTGGTTCTCTTCAACCTCAACTTGAGCCTTAGCCATGGCCTCGGCCTCCTTCTTCGAGTCGAGCAAACCCCGACCACGACGCTGGTCCGAGATCTCAAAAGCAGCCGAGGCACACAACACACCCAGCGTCAGACCCTGTGCATACACACGAGCCTGGACCAGCTTCTGCTGTCCACTGAGGCCGGGAATACGACTGACAAGCGTGAACGAGCCAACCATCGAGGCGATCCAAGTGGCAGTGATGATCTTGTATTTCTCGCGGCGGGCAAAGGCAGCCGCGCGGTCAGTGAAGCTGAGGCCACGATTCTCCTCGGCGCGGAGACGCTCTCCGCGATTCTCGTACCATTTGTATGCGGCGTTTTGCTCGTTCTCGTGCTCACGTGAGGCGTGGTCGGCGGCAATGATACCGGCGAAGGTACCCGAGGATGACACCAGGAAGGCTTTCATCGGCAAAGTTAGGTTGCGGATTGTGTGGTAACGACGTGAGGCAAGGAGGACTCCTGCTAGACCACCGGCGAGACCGAGGAGGCCACCGACAGTACCGCCTTTGAGGACGGAGCTATTGGTTGCGTCAGTATGGGCTGATCGAGAGAATTGGGGGATTGGTAGGATTGGTGGTGGGCCTGTATAAGCTTACTTACCTGTAGTGAGCATCTTCTTGTTCTTTAGTAAGAATCTTCATTGTGTAAGATGGGGTATACGCGAATTGCAAATGGAAGAAAAGGGTGGATTGTCCGATATAAAACCAAAAAAGCAAAAGCCGGATCGCATGACGTGGGTTCGCGGGATCTGCTCTTTTTCTGGCGGTGGCGCCAGGCCATCTCTCAAGTCTTGCACGGAATTGACCTGCCGACATTTTTAGTTTTTAGGCTCCTTCTAATTTAGATCTCTGACGTATTTAGATTGAATTGCATTTACGGTGATTGCGTCCATTTGAAATTTCAATTGATAATGTTACTGCTCTTATTCCACTCGGAATGCGAAGATGACACACTCCCCAAACCCTAATCAATCCCCGATTGATCCCGAAACACCCAAACACCGCAAAAATTATGTCACAAAACGGAATGGGCCGATACCATATTGGATAGAAATTTACAGGTGCCGTGTCTACCGACGAGACGTCTTGCGTGCCGCAGCCTGGCGGGCTTGCATTTTGCGGAAACGGTCCTCGCCGCTGGCACCCAAGGGGCGCGCAAACGGAGTCTCGCGCACAGCTGTCTGACGCGGAACCACAGTATAACTGACGTTGGTGCGATCAACACGAGCACGGTTGAGAAGACGGGGAGGAAGCATTTCGCGGGCGCGGGCTTCGGCTTGGATTTCCTCGGCGGTTGGAGCAGAGCGTCTGACAACTTTCCTATGGGGTTGTTAATGGGTGATAGAGAAGCTGTGCAGCAGTGAACATACGTAGGATCATAATCGGCCTCCTGGTAGACTCGCTTCGAATAATCGTCGCTGCGCTGGAGAATTGGTCGTGTCCACTCTGCCAGTAACTTCTCTGCCATTTCCTTGATGCGACGCTCAGTGCGCTTGCTCTTGGTGTAGAAAACAACCACTTTTCCAATGCCACTAGCAATCAAAGCATCTTTGTTAATAGGAAGCTTGGTAATGGCGGTCAATAGGTCACGCTGAATGTTGTATGCGGGCATTGAGCCATCGTCCAGTGGCTCGAGGAAGAATCGGACAGCTTCCAACAGGTTAATCTCAGGGTCGACCAAGGCGCTGGTGTACTGGTTGCGGTTCAGGAGCATGATGACTTCGGGGAGGAGCTTGAGCTTGTGCATCGCAGGTTTTCCTTCTTGACGGTTGATCGCATCCATCTGCGCTGCGTGGGTCATGCGCTTGCGCATATCCTCAATTTCAGCATCTGCCATAGATTCCAAATCCTGATAGGACAGTCAGCGAACGTAAGTGAGTACATTGCCAGCAGGCCCAACACATACAATGCCATCTTGCTTGCGGAAACGTCTCTTCGCTGGCTTCTTCATCGCCTCGTCCATAGCGCGGTCAAGAGCTCGGCGACGTCCTGGTGGTTAAAGCGCCGTTAGTTCAAACTGATTGGGGCGGTTGGTCCATTTGCTAGTAGAGAGTAGAACATACGGGTCTCCGGGTCAAGAGTCTCCTCATCTGTATCGGGCTTATCCTCGCGCTTCTTGCGTTCACGTCGGCGAGATGAGCCTCCTTCGTCGCCTCCCTCGTCAGCTCGACGGCTCTTCTTCTCGCGACGACCTTCCTTCCGGCGCGGACGAGTCTCGCCATCCTCAGTACGCTTGCGCTTATGACGACCAATGAGTTTCAAGTTATCTTCATCAATGGCAAGTTGTGGGCGGTCCTCGACGTTAACATTCTCTGGATCGAAGTTGTCGAATTGTGCCTCGTCAACTTCGGACAAAATAGACTCGTCGTCTGAAAGCTTGTCATCAGCTTCGTCGTCGTCTGCGACATTTAGTTCGTCATCGATGTCTTCGGTGACTTCCTTGGCCTCAGCAGTAGATTCGGCGAAGTTCTTGCCCTCGTTGTCGTCACCAGCAACCGGGCTTGCAACTTGCTCGGGGACTTCGGGTTCGGGAGAGGTGGCGAGCGTGACAGCCTTGCGGTCTGGTGAAGCAGACATGGCGGTTCAGATGGCGGCAAGTTTAAAAGGGGTAGATTAAGGAGAAAGATTTGAAAGGGCAGAGAGAGATCAGTTTAGGGTGGTATCGCAAACAAGTCACGGTACGTTATCTGGCTGAAGGGTCCCGACGCCTCCTCTGCAGATTCGAGCAATGCAGATAAGGGGGGAGGTAGGGATTGAAAACAGGAGCACAGCACAGGCTTCTCTCAAAATGAAGTCGATAGAATGCAAGTGGATAGTAAGAGGGGAGACAGTTATGGCAAAACCTCAAGAAGTGAAGGAGAGCGGTGGTCTGTGCTCCCGTGATTTATTCTTCCAGTCCAACCTAGCAACAGCCATCTCTTACAACTTCTACTAATATCTGAACTCTGTTTCAATCTTTCAATCTTAACTGTATTCAAAATGTTTGCCCCAGGTATGCTCCCAGTTCCATGCCGCTTCGTTCTATCGAACTCGAGCTAACAATACAACCTTGTCAAGGCCAAGAACAGATCTCCAAGGAAGAGATCAAGGTCAGCCTCACGCCATGACCTCTGCCCCAAGTGGCATTTGATGCTAATACACCTTACAGGCTGGTGAGATTGAGGCCAGCCAGACCGTGCAGATGGCTCTTGCCGGTGGTTTCCTCCTCTACCTGTGTAAGTCGAGTATTTGGTCCACAAGGCCTCGAAAGAGCAGACAACTCGAGATGAGTCAGAGAAGAGTTCAGTGAATTTGAAACTAACTTGGTGATTCAATACAGCCCCCTTCGCCGTTGACTTCGTTCGCAAGTTCCTTTAAGCCGATTGACCCGTCTTCCGCTCCTCTATCTTGCCCTTCCCGGACTGTACTCGACGAATCGCTGAGTATGATTTCGCGATGACATGCAGGAGAAATGGATAATTGATATCTTTTGCCCTGGTATAAATGGCTTTCCAACCAACATTGAACAAGGTTGAGCTTGAGCATCTAATCTGTGGAAAGCTTGAAGTTCATCTACTATACATTTTAGATATGCCGGTGGTGTCGGTTAGTAATGTATTCCCATTGTGCACATGCTTGTTGTCATTTAAATGTTATAAGATATAAAGCAAATCAATATACGAAACTGCAGTATATCAGAGTCTGGGTCTTGCCTGGTGGTGGTAGCACAACACCGCAGAGCGGAGGAGCAGTTTATGGCATTTTGGCATGACACTACTTCACGTACTCAATCTGCCACAGGATCATTGTCGATCTATTGAGATTGTATCTATATGCATGATAACCCAAACTTGGACATGCAACTAAAAGCCCTACTAAACAAGCTTTTAGTTGGATTGGCGGTACTGACTCTTGAAGGTGATGTCAGGTTATGCCTCGTGTCATCACGATACATGTTTATCTCTTTATTAAGTTAGGTATAGCACCCTATGTTTGAATACACAATCACAGAATTTGAACCGGTTTTACCATAGTAGGCTCGGTGGTACCAATATTCTAAGATGTTGCGTAGCCCGTAACAAGATGTGTTGCATGGCGTATCTTATGGGTTATCGATGGATGTTGTTCTCCTTCGACCGCTACTTGAAATAGCTTGAAAGCTATACTTGTATGCATGCTCAGATGGGATATTGATGTCATGCAATGGTGGGCTGGTTTTACGAGATGTTTCTCTGCCAAGAAAGATGGTGATGGAGGAAAAGGTTATAGATTGAAACCAAAAGAGCAAATAAAAAAATGAACGTAGACTGAGAACGATCGACACGCCAAGCCTGCGTTAAAAGAGGAAAACGAGAGAATGCCCCTCGGGCGTTAGCTAATTCCAGGTAGCTAACGCCGACGGGCATAGAGTGTAGGGAATTGAGGTTAACTTTAAGGGAATAAGACATCCTGAAATAGTAGTGACATGCTACGTACATCGGAGAAAGCAGGTAATCGATTGAAAGTAGCCTCAATAGAAAAGCCCTAGAAAGCAAGGCGAGAGACCCAAAAGACACCCAAAGTGGAATGTAGAGTGTTCAGCAAAGAGGATTGTATTCAGATATGCATTACAATGGCCTTATCCCCAAGAACGCCGGTACCCCGATGACCGTAGACATTAAGTCCAAACACATGATGAACATGAGATTCGAAAGAGCACATGGAAAGATGTAGAGCAGTGCCCTCAATTCTCAATCGCTTTCTCAACCTCGTAAAAGTCGTTCTTGATGGACTCCAGCTCCTTCTGGAGATGCTGAATCTGAGAGTGGTAATCATCCAGAATCTGGCGGATTTGGTTAGCAAGCTCCTCCGGAAATAAGGGTTGATCAGTTCGGGAATGACAAACCTTCTTTGCTGTCTTCAAAGTCTGCTCATCAATGTCATCCTCCGCTTGTGTCACATTCATACCGGCGCGATCCATTTCCACTTGCAGTCGCTTGGAGTGTTCGTGGATGGCCAGCATACGCGCCCAGATTTCCTCAGCGCGGCCATTGAGAGACGGGTCAAAAACAGCACGCTCCAACTCAACAAGCTTTTTCTTCAGCTGTTCCTCTGCTTCATCCATGGCATACCCTCTGTTGCGAAGGATCTGCGTCTTGGCGGCAAGGGAGAGGCATCTTTTGCTCAGAATAATGTGTTTCCGCCGGCAGTCAGCGATCTTGACGGAAAGGTTGAGATCATGCTTCGAGAGAAGCCCGGTCAAGCAATTGTTGATCTCGTGCAGACGCGACTGCATCATAGTGAGGAAATCTCTTTGTCGTTGCGCGCGCTTACCAAGGTCCCAGAAGCCCTTTACAAGCACAGGGACATAACCTGGACCCGGCCGCTTGCGCAAAGCCTCCTCCCATTTTGACTCGTCATCATCGGGACCCGGTTGGTAGAAAGGTGCAGCTTCCTCGCCGACGTTGTTGTACAGATAGGCTCGAAATGGCGAGGTTTGGCTGGGAGGATCCCACTTATCTTTGATGATAGCTACTTGCATAGGAACAGTTCGGTGCACTAGAAAGCAGTCTTGTCAGTAATGATTTGTGGTGAAGAATTACTCGATAAGCTCACCCCCAGTAATAGCACGGCCGGGGGACCAAAGGCTCGAGGACAGAGAAGGCTGTTGCTGCTGGGGCTGTGGAGTCGTCATCGTGTTCTGGCCGAATTGTGATTGCTGCTGGCCGAAAGCATTTGTTTGTTGTTGAGTGTTGGAACCCAGACCCCCGAGTCCTCCTAATACACCCCCTGCTTGTTGTGTTTGCTGTTGGCCTCCGGAGAAGAGGCTACCTTGCGGTTTCTGTAGCGAGGAGCCGAATGCGCTTGCTGGCTGTTGCTGCTGCGGCTGCCCAAAAGTAGAGCCCAAGGTATTCTGGGGCTTCTGTAGATTTCCGAACATCGGTCCTGATGGCTGCTGGGGTGCGGCACTTGCGCCGAACGTACTTCCACCAAATGCACTGGTTGCACCTGTTCCTGTTGTTGCTGGCTGTTGGGTCTGCCCGCCGAACAGTGTACTGGTGCTGGTGCTGGGCTGGGTGGTTGCCGGGGTGCCAAAGAGAGACGGTTTCGGCGTAGTGTTGCCGAACATGGACGTGTTGGCCTGAGGTTGGTTTCCACCAAAGAGAGACATGATGGGCAATCAAAAAGGCACAAAAAAAACCCACGATAAAGAGGGAGCGCGTCAATGGATCAATAAAGCCCTGGCGCAGCCAGATTAAGAGCGCTGAATTGAGGTCGAAATAAACCCAAGGCACATAGTCCAGGGAGAGAGGGTTGGCAGTCGAAGGAGAGAAAGCTGAGGGGTTCCTCGATGGAGCTCGCCGGCCGAGAAAGATGAGAGCCGGAGCTCGATTTGTTTTGTGTCACGTGACGGGCTATTGTTCGCAAACCGCTGAATTGTATATTGAAAGGAAGATCTAAGTAAGTAGTGCATTGGTATTGATCTATTGATCTTCATATTTGTTTAAATGGATTTTTTTCTAATTGATATGTCCAACCACTAAAGGCAACACTCACACAAGCTGTCTCGCTGGGCAGCATGTTTAGCTGACCTAAGCAAAATACAACCAGCCAATCACCGACGAGCCAAATTTCATTCCACCGCAACCCGCAGCTCTCGACTATCGATCTCCAAGTCTCGTCTCAATTGTACCTCTTTCCCCTCACAGTCGTTCTGACAAGCACACCGTCGCCATGGCCCAAAGAGATGCTCGGTATGTATCTTAAATTTCAATCGCTTCCTCTCTGTAAAGCTCAATGTGAAACGCTAACCTACACCCCTCCGCGCACAGCTTCAGCCAGACTGTCCTGGTGGACACCACGCCCATGCCTGATCACATTCCCAAGGTAGAGGAAATCGGTGCCACATCTGCACCTCTGTTGAGTGCAGCCTACTTCATCGGAGACCGCTGCAAGGCCTTCAATGACGACTTCATGAAATGCAAGGCCGAGGCCAATGGCCGCGGGGAGATTGACTGCTTGAAGGAAGGCCGGAAGGTGACGCGATGTGCTGCTAGCGTGTATGTTGCTTTTGTAATTCATCTTTGGGTTGAGAAGGAGATATTGACCCTGTCACAGCATCAAGGACATCAATACCCACTGCCTTGACCAGTTCAAGGCCCACTGGGAATGTCTTGACAACAACAACCACCACCTCTGGGAGTGCCGCAGAGCTGAGGTGCAGCTTAACTCCTGTGTCTTTGACAAATTGGTATGACATCTACCTTCTCTTTCTGCATCCCCTCGCATTCATCGCATCCCCTATCGCCGGGACTTCAGCTAATATGCACTTCTTGTTTCTTCTAGGGCTTGAAGAAGACCCTCCCTGGTGCTCCCGAGAACCAGGTTCCTGTTCACTTGCGCCCCAAGCAAAAATACGCCCAGTACCCCGGCCCCCAGTGGTAAACACTCTCCCGGGTATACCTTGTCCTCTCTAGACTCGCCCGATTGCACCCTCACCCTTCCATCTCATAATCTGGGCAACGTCTTTTTTCTATATCACTGTTTTTATTTGGATGCTCGACCGTAAATCCGGTCTATGTTTGTGTAAATATCTCTTGGCATCATTGAATGGTTACATGGTTTTCTGCTCAATCTCCTTGCCTTGGTCACATAGCATGGATGGGGCAACTTGTTTTCCAACTCATTGCAGCTTGCAATGGTAAGTTTTCCAGTTGGGAGTAGTACGGACTCTATTGCTGCCCGCTGGCTCGAATTTATCCTCGGCTTAGTGCATATGTAGGTAACCAGTGCGGTGAAGAAGCTAGGCACATTACATTTGGTATCATGCAGACACTCCTGGGGGAAGTTTGTATACATGGGCTATCGCTCAGGCTTATCCATGCACCGCATAGTCTCACCGTGTATATAACGGGTCCCAGATATGTTTACCTTCCGATTTCTGTCTCTGTCCAACTCAAAACTACCGGGGATGAGAGGGTTCTTGTTCTGGAGCCTGTGTGAATCCAGCTATCTTCCACAGCCGGCACCAAATATCAAATTCAAATTTAGAGAGTCGGTGATAGTATACCCGTAAATTGCGCCGCGTGGAACGTACAGATTAGATGTGAGATACATATGTTGGCGATTCTACCGGCTGCCAGTGCCTCGGCCATCCCTACCATATCCAAGAAAGTTATTATTGAACTGTTCTGACATTATGATCCTACCAATACAGCTGTGAGGAGATCTGGCCTATCGATAATTCCTCTCAAAATTCCGATCTGGACTGAGTACTTTTCCGGGCTGATGCAAAGGCTTAGCATCGACCGTTCTGCAGAGTCTGAACTAAAATGATAGATAGTTACATTCTATGATCCGAAGAAATCTTATGTTCTTATCGTCCTTCACCTGACTCCATTGCAGGGGTTTGACCTGCTGGTTAACGTGTGTAATTGAGCCCTAATTCCGGCCTTCCGTTATACTACCTGGTGTAACTAGGCTATGAGATAACCCGAAGCATATTTAGGTAGCTATAAGTGACATTCAAAGTCCACTTGTCACGGCATGGAAAAAAACAAGGTGGCAATTTTTTCAAATGTAAATGACTGAAGTTTAGAACATAGACATCAAGTTTAAACTCCGAGTATTGTGAGTCAAGGTATAGGGATAGTACAAAGAAAATGAGACCCAGAGTGCGCTTAGATCCCGATGTACAAATAGCGGACCTCCGGCATCTATCTATAGACATCCCAAGAGGGATAGATGCAGGTATCAACCTATCCACCAGATTCCGTGCATGTGCAACAGCAAAACAAGGACACAGATAATTTATACAAAAAGCCGCTCTTCTTTCTCCAATCCCGCTCCCTATCGATGTACTACTTATTTCTATAGTCCTATAGTCCAAACTACAGACGTATGCTGACGCAGGTTGACATGAGGTCAACAATATTCTTGATCCTCTCATTATGGAGAGGCGTCCAACACGTCCAAGCAGCGGCCGTATTCGCCCACTTCATGGTAAAAAAGCACTTCAACTGCGGTCTATATCCTTGCTAACATCTACCAACATCAGGTATACAATTCGGAGAACTTCACCGTCTATGACTGGGAAATCAACATAGCAGAAGCGCAAAGGGCACACATCGATGCCTTTGCCCTAAACATCGCATACAACTTCCCAACAAACAACCGCTCCCTAGCGAACGCATTCACCGCTGCAAACGCCCTGGACTTCCAACTCCTCTTCTCATTTGATTACGTAGGCAACGGCGCCTGGCCAGAAGGCGAGGTAATCGGCCTACTCCGAAAATACGGAAACAACACAGCCTACTACCAGCATAACGGCAAACCCTTCGTCTCAACCTTCGAGGGCTCCGCCAACGCCACCGACTGGGCCACGATCAAAAAGTACACAGACTGCTTCTTCGTACCGGGGTGGTCAGCCCTAGGCGCAAAGGAAGCACTCGCCGTCGCCCCGGGCGTTCCAGACGGACTATTCTCCTGGGCTGCATGGCCCGAAGGCCCAGACCCGATCAACACCTACGTCGACTCGACCTACATGCAATGGCTCAAAGATACCGGCGAGCTGCCATACATGATGCCGGTCTCGCCATGGTTCTACACGAACCTGCCAGGCTACGGCAAGAATTGGATTTGGAACGGTGACAACCTGTGGTACGATCGGTGGCAGCAGGTGATATCTCTGAAGCCGGAGTTTGTGGAGATCATCTCGTGGAACGACTACGGTGAATCGCACTATATCGGCCCGCTGCATGAGGGGGCATACGCGACCTTCGAGATCGGTAATGCGAGCTACAACTATGCTGCTGGCCATCCCCATGACGGCTGGCGAGATTTCTTGCCTTTTGTCATCGATGTCTATAAGGGTGCCAGGGCGAATGTTACTACGGAGGGTGTCACTGCTTGGTTCCGCCAGGCGCCTGGGAAGGCTTGTACCAACGGTGGCACTATGGGTAATACAGAGACCCACGGGCAGAAGGAGTTCCCGCCTACAGACGTCTTGAAGGATGAGGTCTTCTTCTCTGCGCTTCTGCGGTCTGCTGCTGATGTGGATGTGACAGTGGAGATTGGCGGGGTTGTGCAGGATGGGAAGTGGAAAGATAAACCACATGGCCCAATCGGTCTTTATCATGGCAGTGTACCGTTCGATGGTAATACTGGAGACGTGGTGGTGAAGGTGTCTCGTCGGGGAGAGACGGTCGCCGAGATGCGGGGTGCATCGATCTCGGAATCGTGTCTGGATAACATCCAGAATTGGAATGCCTGGGTTGGCACGAACTTTGCTAATGAAACCATTTCCCGCCATCTGCCGCCTTCCCCGGCTCCGACTGCGGTTTCTGCGGCGACCGCTCTTTTGGCGCTTGGGAGGATTCCGTTGACGTTTGTTTTGGTGGCTTTGGTTGCGACTATGGTGGCTGCGACGGCGACGCCTGTTCCACTTGAGAACTTGGCTTTGAAGATTCCGATCTCGGAAGTTTCTCCATTGGTCTACAGTACTGGAACTGGTGAGAGTGACCCTAGAAGCCTATATAGCTACAGCACTAGCTACGGTTTGTGTCCAATCAATGGCTATACTTGCACAACGACAACACATGCCTCAGTTACGCCTTTCGTCTCAATCGGTGCTACAGCTGTCGCCTACAACAGATCTTGGGATTTAAACTGGTCTTGAAAGCTGCATCACCTGGGTTATGGTGGTAGGTATGTGCTACAGGGTCTCAATTCTCTCTCCCTCACTCTGCTCATTGACAGTCAACTGGCTCCAGAAAAGAAACCCCCTTTTTACCAACATCATCTCAACGTCACACGCTGAGGTCTCGAATGGTTCTCTGACACATCTGATCCAGGCTTCGCCGGCTCCGAATACTTTCCTATCATTTACACCGCAGAAATTTTACCATGTGGGTAACTTTCTTTGGTTAATCGGTTCCTGTTATGCACACTCAAAAGAGATTGAAACGCATACATCCTAAGATCATTTTAAACATCCCTAGTCTTGAGCTTCCTATAATAATACTGGTCTAATCTCCAGAATAATTGTTGTTGAGGTGCAATTTTCTTTTAGATTTGATCCTTTGCTTCCTTTGTATGTGAAGGCAGTTACCCCATTCTGTGCGCTATAGACTTTGCCATACACAACTTTCAATAACTGCTTTTCTTTTTGGCCGCCTGTCTTCCGATCCTAGTGAGATGCGACTGTAGTCTAGTGGATGCCTTAATTTACGGGCCGAGCCGCTTACCCTTAACGTAACTAGTTAACGAAAGTTTTTGTTAGGATGGCTCAGGCCATTAAATAGTAGTAACGAAGTGCGTTTTGCTTGGTAATTGGTAGGATAATGTTGAATATTTCTTGCATGGTGCAGCTCTGATAGATATGTAGTGCATCATCAATTATTCGGATTGTAGAATCGACTCTCTGATCGAACATCATCGAGATATATATCGACATGGATCAGCCGGATTTCTCAGAACTCAGGCTTTGTTTCCTCGGCAGTCAAATGGTTCTCTACTTTGATCCTGGTAGACATGTTCCTCAATAGAATGCCAGACACACTCAACACAAATTTGAATTGACTGAAATACTGTTTGTCAAGGCGCTGGTGCAAACTCCGTAGGCCTCGAATAGGGCACCGAGACATGCTAAATGGAATCAAAACGAGAAGCAAAAGAAAAAAAAAGTAGAAAAGGGTATATATGATCATCTAGGATTGAAATCTAGACCCGGCCACCAAACAGCAGTAAAATCTCATCTAGACTGATGTCCGCATCTATCAATTGCTCGATATAATTAGCCTGGCACCTTGAGACACAACCCTCAATAAAGAAAGCCGAAGACAGGAAGTGAAAGAGATACGACTCTGAACCCCATAGATACTGAAAAAAAGAAATAGAGAAGTTGAAGTAGACACAAGAAGTAAAAAAAGGCGGGGTGGGCATAGCCAAGTGCAATTAGAAACCGGAGAAAAGTGCAGGAAGGAGCCCAAGGCTGAGACAAGGAGAGAAAATCCATAGGGCCCCAACCTCAGCCACATAGCGCGCTCTTGACCTTTATGGCAAGATAGGCATATCCACCGTCTTCAGCCGCTTAAAGAGGGTGAGTTTCGCCTTAACAGCTGCCCAACCAGTCTGAAGCCGCTGCTCAACCCGACGATCTCCCCTCAAACGCATCCACACAAGCAACATACCCAATATAGCAATATCAAATAAGATCTGTCGGGCAGAAACCCAGACTAACCACTGCAGCCACGCAAACAGACCAGACCGACGACGCCGTGCAACAGATCGAGCCTCCATCTGCTCGCGCACAGCAGCGATCTCCGCCGTCATTTTCGTCAAGGCCTGCTCGACACGACGGCGCCAACGACTATCTTTCACTGGCTCGGACTGGGGATGGGGGTGGGAATCTCGACGAGGGGGGAGACTGTTCCCACTGCCGTCTATACTTTTACCAGATGCAGGATTGCGTCGATGTTCGGGACGGTGGTGTGAAGATACGGCGGTATGTGTATGGGTGTTGGAGTTGGAGCTAGCATGGTCCGGGTCATCGGAGTCGTCTTGATCTCGTTCTTCGTATAAGCTATCACGAGCCTCTTCAAACTCCTCGTCATCTTCATCCTCATCCTCATTATGGCGCGCATCCTCGTCGTTTTCTATAGACCCCCTCCGCCGTCGATAATATGCTTCCTCCTCCGGTTGACTTACTGGACTGAGAACCCGTAACCGTGAATCCCTATCTCGGCGATCGGGACGATCATCCTTCTCCGATTGCGCCGTCAATCGACCCCCGATGCTTCCGCACGCACTGTGCGATAAGGGCGGGACGCCGACTGTATCCAGTGGACTGTAATCGGACGACGAGGAGCCGTTGAACTTAATCTGGTCCCAGACGAACTCAAGTTCTGAGACTAGCTCGCGTGCTTCGGGGGTTTGGGAGGCATATTCGTGCATCGTGTCGATTAGAGTCGAGATGTATCGTCGTTTGGCTTCGGTGCGCGACATTTTGCGCTGCGCGTACCATGCATCCCTATGGGACGAGACATTGTTAGGGTGTGGCTCGGATGTAGTCAGAAAAAGCGATGGACGTGATGCTTCGTAGAGCAAGATCCACATCAACAGCTCCGTTCCCCGCGCGTTTCAGACATACCATTTCTCGCACTCCGCGTGCACCTCCGATGTATTCCCAATCGGTCGATCCATTACTCCCTCCACATCCCCCTCTGATGGAAGATTAGCTCCTCTGATTCCCCCACTGTGTTTCCAGATGCAACGCGGGCAACCCACCCATACTCTGCTTATACAAGCCATATAGTGCTAACCGCTCGGCAGCGGGAGGTCGCGCAGTACCGGTCCGGGGAACCCTCTTTACGGTATTGAGGGCATGAACAAAGACTCGATCTGTAACGGGGAGGTGTCAGTTGAATCCAAGTGCGTGATGCAAGGCGCAATCTGCACAACACGCACCTACAGAGTCCGACATGACGCGATAAGCGATCCGGTTTGCCCTGTCTTCATGAGAGCGGGATTGGGCATCGGCTTGCGCGGGTCCTCATGGGGAGCGTAGAAGATTGGAGATAGGAATTTGGGGAGGTAGCAAGGATTTCTTTAGGTGAAAGATGCTGAGAGGGAGGTGCGTTTTTTGGAACTGGGAGGGATTGTTGTTCCGATAGGGAAATTTCCGAGGTCCCCTTGTGGTCTGACTGTGATTTTCCCCTGGAATGTTGTCTTCGCTTTTTCCCCAGATTGGAAAAAATCACTCCAATCAAGATGTGGGAATGAGAAACTCGCAAGAGTTTACTTGCGAGATGGGCGTGTGCTGTTGAACCGCGGCTCTCGGCGATCGTCAGGGCACTTATGATCGTTGCCGAGATTACATTCTAACATTTGGACATTGTTAAGATGAAATGTGCCGTTTTTAAGTATATTAAAGGATCAGTGACAATACAGATAAATAAAACTCTCTACTCGATCGGCGACTTCTTCATCGTCTCCAAGGGTTTCTCCGCATCCACCGGCGTGCCCGTCATGAGCTCTGTAGCCGCGCGCGCCTCATCACCGCTGACAGGAGGCCCGGTAAAGTGCTTACGTGCATAGATAAAGTACCAAAAGATACTAATACCAGCGAATCCAGCAAAGACCACGCTGGCGTAGTTCATAGATTCCGGGGTAACAGGCAAGGTAACAGGCATGCAGAAGAGCACGACAGCTAGAACGATCCACACAATAGTAACGCAGTTGATGGCAAATCCAAAGCGACCGAGGGAGAACGAGGAGCCTTTCACATCTTGACGGCCTCGGATCAAAGAAATCAAAATTGGAAGACCGTACGAGGTCGACAGGCAGATAGTAGCCACGCCGGTGAAGGAGTTGAATGCAGCCGTGGAGCCAAAATAGATCAATCCCAGCAAACAATCAACGACTGCCGAGAGTACAATAGCCCACACAGGCACATCCAGTTTATTGTTCACCCGACGCCAGAGCTTGAAGCCCGGAATGGCACCGTCACGTGCAAATGCATATGTGCAGCGACTGGCAGCTGTGAGGGATCCTATGCCAGCGAACAGCATGATGCCCAGAATAAGGAAGAGCAAGCCGAAGCCACCGCCCGCTGAGCCCGTCACTGTCTTGAAGAGAAGGCCGATCGGCTGGCCGCTAGCAACCTCGCGTAGAATCTGCACGTTAGGCATCACAAACAGAATCGGGATCAGGTACATCAGGCCGGTGATACCAGCAGCTACCACGGAGAGCACGATTGCCTTGGGTACCTCGCGGTGTGGGTTCTGCACCTCTTCGCACATGGCAGCGACCATTCCGTAGCCCGTTAAGGTGTATGCTGCCTGCAGCAAACCCACGAAGAAAGCCCATCCGGCGGGCCAGCCGCTCGTGGAGGCGTCATAATGGGCGAAGACGAATTCAGCGTCTCGACGATCGTCAGCCATTGTCAAAAGCGTCACGAGGATGATGATAACACTAGCCGCTGTCCAGAAGATGCAGACTTTGTTGATGAGATCAAGATAGCGCGAGCAGAAGATATTAACTAGGGCGCAGAAGAGCATGACTGCCCAGAACATTAATACGGTCTGCCACGCATTGGCAGCGAAGGATTCATCGAAGATGGAGATGGCGCTGAGGATCAGCTGGCCGCCGGAGAAAATGATGCTTAGTGTGACGGTCCAATTGCCGACAAGGGTTAGCCAGCCGTCGATAAAGGACATCAACGGTGCCCAGCGGCGCGTGGAGAGCATCGCGCTCCAATAGTACACGCCTCCTGCCGTAGGGTATACGGCACAGATCTCGGCAAGAGAGGCGGCGATAGCGATTGAGATCAGGGAGACAAAAACCCAGCCCCAGATTATGGTGACGGATAGACCGTCGGCAAGGGTGATGTAAAGAGTTGTGCTGAGTCCGAAGGGGGCTGCCATGATGGCAAAGGATAAGCCGAGGATGCTTAGCATGCTCAAGTTTCGTGGTAATTCACTCTTGTAGCCCATACGGGCCAATGCCTCGTCGGCGGAGGCATCAAGTGAGCTTTGCATGGTGAAAATGTTGGAGAGTGAACATTCCCGTTAGGAAATGTTGTCTCTAAGACAAGTTTAAGGAAGAACCCCGCAAGGAAAACATGGCGCGGTCCGGGACCGCGCAGCTAAGGCCTCAAAAAGATACCAAAAGATATCTGAATTGAACGAATGAAAAGCATTTTTCAGGCTTATCGTCTTGGATCTTGCACAGCTAACGGCCGTGCCGAAAAATAAAAGGCCCATGTCTTATGACCTAATGACATACGGCGATAAGAGACATGGCTATTCGACCCACTTCCCCTATTTCTTCTCACTTCCGTGGATGGAATCATGAAGATGTCTATATAACGTGGGAATGCCGTTGTTACCTGCCATTGAGTTTAAGATCAGCCTGCATCAGACCTTAAAGCAGACACTAGGGCGGAGAACTTGTCCGACGACATCAGCAACTCCATCTTTACATGTCACTACTGTTCTGTATATCTCAGCATTATCCGATCAGCCCTGGATCTCACAGCCAGGCCGAGATATACCACACGATATACAACACACAGTTTCAGACAGCGATTTCAGTCAGAACACGTTTGACATCGGAAGATCTGCCGCGGGGTTCCGTGCCAAACTACGGAGTATTATATACGTATTTAGAAGCGTGGCAAGATGATGACTAAAGAGCTGCAATAGACAGAGAACACATCTGCAGCTAATACTACCTACAGCAGGTGGAGGTATGTTGGTACCTGGCTGGATGCTCGATTAGGGATTAACTACTCCGTACTCTGTATACAGTCTACCAATGGAGCAAGGCAACGTGTATTGAATGCGGGGCCTGGGTAGAGAATACGTGTTTGTGGGGTAGGTTGTGTTTCAGAGGGTGGACACTTGAAGTCGAGCAGATTTAGCTGCCTGAAAAGAGAGATAGTGGCTGGGGCTAAGCCAAGAAAAACACCTAGAAATACGAGAGATGTACTGAGACTACTCAAAGACAGTCTACAACTCGAAAATTTGATATTTGAATGATTCATTGCACACATACATCAAGGTCACGCAAGGTGACGGCTGCCACATCAGGAACATGCTGCGAAGACTCCATGGATGTTTCAGGGAGACTGAGCAATCGATGAGCGCCAGGATGGATATATCAACACAAGGGAAGAAGGTGAGAGTTTGATCAAAGATAAAATCCAGATCCTCACCCTTGAATCGGAAGTTGTAGGGCAGGGGTAGAGGGGGGTATCGAAAGGGGGGGGGGGAGAGTAAAGCACAAACGTCATCCAGTGACCTCGCTGGGAAGGGGAAGAAAAGGAATTTTTTTCTTGTTTGATGAGATGTCTAATAGAACAAAAAGGGAGATCAGTGGGAGAACGGGGGGAGGAGGGGCGAAAGTAGGCCCTGAGTGTTGAAAGGGGGCGAGAGAGAAAGGTGGTGACGGGAAAAGGCTGGCAGGATTTTTGGGCCGCAAAGGAACCGTGCAAGTTGAACTCCATCTATATGACCACTCTAGTAGTCAAGTAGGTCAGTGAGACCGCCTTTTCCGATTTGTCGCGCCTAGAAGAAAATTGATCGAAATGAAAAGAAAATGCGCCGAGTCGTGACCAGCCAGCTAGTGCCAACTCCAAATCGTAAAAGAAATATGACCGTGGTAACGGAACGATCGTCAATCGAGGTCGGGTGAAGAAAAAAAAAAAAAAGAAAACGCCCATTCGTGCAGTGTCGTCAGTCCGGTGAGGTCGTTACATGAGATGCAAATACAGTCGCGGAGGCAAACGCGAGTTTTTTAAGGTCAGAAAAGTGACGTGGGCAGTGACGAGGCCGGTGACGAAACCGACATCTATGGACTTAGTCCGAGGTCATCGTTCAAGTCCGGGCCAAAGCCTGCCATATCGACAGAGTGCAAGGATCCAGGTCCCTTGCCCAGGGATATGTCGGAGGATGCATAGTCATGTTTGAGTCGTTCGTGCGGTCCGAAGATATGTGGTCCGAAGAACGGTCGGTTCTCGTCATTTGGAGTGTTACCATCCCCGCCGACCCATGGCCCGTTCTGCCAGAAGCGGGTATTCAACTGCTGATCTCCGAACAAATCGTGGTGATCTGGATGAGGATCTGGACCGTGGATGGGGAACTCATTTGGTGACTGGAATCGTAGATGCGACCGACCGAAACTGGAGCATGGAGAATCTGCGTGGAGCGGCATATCTAGACCCGACAGAAGTGGAGGATCCTCCACCGGGGTGATGTCAATTGTCGGATTTTCCGTTTGTTGTGCCAGAGCCGCCGAGAGCCGGAGATTTGAGGATGAACTTTGCCGGCTGTGACTAGTCGACCGTTGGATTGCTCGTTGCACGAAACTACCACAGGCTTTTAAAATTGTTTCTTGATACTCCCGCGGCAAATGATTGAAGTAATCGTTCGCCAGTGATGGTTTGGGCGGGTCGTCTGCCGCAGGAACCAATCCGTAGGTAGCCTTGGCATATTCAGAGAGACCCGACGGCATGTTGTAGGGAGAGTGATAGACGTTGGGAGCTAGCGACCGCTGTTGATCAAGGTAGGCATATTTTCCTGGCATCTTAGCAGCGGCCACACTACCTCGATCAACGGTTTCCTGTTTTATACCCTCCAACTCCTTCTTCTGAATAACATCAAGTCGCTCGCGGTGGCTAACCAGCGAAAACCGCAGCATCTGAAGGAGCCGGGTGACCTCCTCCGACCGCATGTTCAGAGTCTGAGGCGGCAGCAAAGTCCCATCCGCAGCCCGTGGCTGAACCCGTTGCTGGGCCATTGCTAGCTCCAGCTTCTCGAGGCCATTGGCCGGTGGTATTGAGCCCATAGGACCCAACAGAGTCTCGACCACCAGTTCGGGGCTGACGATAGTGTATCCGGCAAAAACATTGGCGTGGTCGGTAATTTGTGCTAAGCGGCGGCGAGCAATAAGTTCCCGGACGTTGGCAAAAGTATTGGTGGATGGGAGGTGATGCTGCTGCTGAGCGTGCGACTTGACGGCCGAAAGATAGGGGGCATGACGGGCAGACTGAGGTAGAGTTCGAAAGGCCGACGGCATCGCTGGAGCACCAGCAGCAGCACCGGCAACAGGGACAAAAGGAGGGGGAGGGGGAGGGGCGAGGGGCTGCAAGGCAGAAGAGGGCGGTCGGGATTGTAGGTGAGGGGGATTGGCATTCGAAGAGTAAATAATTTGCTGGTTTTGGCTTTGGGTCAAGTTTCGCTGGTAAAGAGGGGCAGGGGCGGTGGCAGCATAATGAAATTGGTGGGGTGAGATCTTCGATGCACGAGCGCTGACACCCATGCCAACCGACTTGACGCTATCGAGGAAATTGGCCCGAGGGTTGTGGACGGACACGCTAGGGTTGTGTGTATACTGTGCCCTACTTTCGGTGGACTGCATGCCCAAATAATACCACATCTGCTCACCCTGAAGGTTGACCGTGCGGAGTGGGGCAAATTGGTTCCTAGTTCCATCCACCGTCTCAAATTCGGCCCACTGATAGGGAGATCGTGAATCGCCAAATGCACTGCCTGCCGCCGGTACCGCTGATTCTAACTCTTTTCGCTGTTCGGGTTTTCGCGCTAGGTGGGCTGGGAGGGGTTGAATTCCTAGCGCCAGGGGTGTGAAATTGCTCTTGCGGACAACGAGCATCCAGCGATAAGGCATTTCAATCACATCTCTGTAAAATCGTTAGTGCGTGGAGAGAGTGGAGAGAAATATTTAAAAAAAAACAACTTACCCCCTTGGGAGGACCTTGAGCAAGAGACTCCGCTCCGAGGGTCGATTTTCAAGAACAATGGCACCATTGATCTCCTTATCAGCCTGAAACTGGATTAAGTTTCCTTGCACCAGACGACGAGCCGATTCGATTACCCGACGATCCACATCAGACGATTCGCCCAGGACTCCATTCGGGCGCTTCTGACGATGGAATTTGCATTTTAAATCAACACTCGGAATTGAGTATTGCGTGCCATCATCGGCAATCACAGCAATCGCGCCGTGTTCAACTTGAACACCTGCCAAAAGGGCACAGGTTGCATGATAAGCGCGCGTGCATTTGCCGAAGTTACACTGGAAGCAGGCACCGCGGACTTCGCGACAAAAGAGACATTTAAGGCCCAGGCGAGCCTTGGGGATCTTGTCAATGTCACACACAACTTCCGTACCAGTTGCGTCACGGAGAATTGTGGTCTCTTCAATGAATGCCGCACACCGTCGATGCGCATGTCCTTTACCATCTTCGGTCGGAAGTAGATCCTCATAGTCCAGATTGTTAGGGCATAGCAAACATGGGAGCTTTCTTGGCCCTTCGGGATGGAGCTTGGGTCGTTTCGTGTTCGGCCCGTCATCGGGGTTCTTCCTCTTTCGGCCACGAGTGGACGTCTTCTCAGGCACACTACGGGGCGGTGTAAGAAGATCTGAAGCACCTTCGAATCCATCGAACTCGCTTTCGAATTCACCATAGTACTCGGGTGTGCTCTCGCCACGCAGCTTGCGCTCGATCTCGTCCACATCGATCCAGACACTGTCTGCTTCGCAGTTGCACTTCTTAGCGATGCGAGCATAGTCTAACCATTGCTCTGTCGCGAAATTGACTGACTCGGCACAATTATATCCGATATTATACCCAGAGTGGTACCCGTAAGGGAATGTGATGACAAACTCCCCTTCGTAATGAACCAATCGATTAACGGTGATCCCATACTGCGATTTCAGAAGGCTAGGCGAGACGAGATATGTTTTATGGCGAAGGAATTGATCGCAATTCTTCGCATCACTAGACCAGATGCTGCGCATGACCTGTTCAAAGCGAGGTGCATCTTCCTGAGAGATGCTGTACCACTGCTTGGGGGCACCGAAGTGGATGTAGTTGATGCTGTACAGATCTACATCCTCAAGATGCCAAGCGAAGGTAGCCTTCCACATGCCCATGTAGAGATATGCAGTGTTGACCCCAGGAACCTTCTGTCCGAGCACATCGAGAAGATTCGGCAGCTTGGCGACATTCCAGGTCTCGGTAGAGTCCTCGAAGAGCGAACCGGGCATGTCAGCACCGTACATCGGGTTGTTGTACATGAGCGACTTCCAGTAATTAGTCTCAAGCTCCTCGCATCTTTCTGCGGTGTATTCTTCGTGATCGTGGATCCGGTAATCAAATCCCGTGTACGCCTCCTCGTCAACTTGGTCGATAGCATCGCCGCGGTTATTCTTTCGGCGTGAGGTTACGGACTTGGGCTGTCGTCCCTTTGGTTTTGAGGTAGGAAGGGATTCGCCTTCACTTAAGTCCTCGGTCTTGGGCTCCACAGGGTTAGTTTCCGGTGATACGGGCGTCGGAGGGCCTTCCAATCTGGACTTTTCGGCATCATCTGCAGGGTGCTCCTCTCTGACCTTGGCCTGATTTGCCCGCTTAGGAGGGCGGCCAGGCCGGCGCTTCTGACCCTCGGGGCGGGCAGACGGGGGCCGCGGTGTCGGAGCCGCACGGTTCACGCGTTCTTGGTTTCGGCGTCTCTCTCCTCGGCGAGCGGGGGGTTGGTGGCTGCTTTCTTCACAAAGGCCCTTCCACTGAGGAAGATTGTACGAGCGTTGACGTTCGATGTTGGCTTGGGTGTATGTACCGTGGGATCCATGAAACTCTTGCATGATGGGGTTTTTCACTCGAATTTTCTTGACTGCCTCGTCCAGTGGTGGAAGAGACTCAGACCTTCAAAAAGAACAGTGTCATCAGCAAAGCCATCCACACTTGTCGGAAGTTGATCGACTCACCATTCTTTCGGGGGAATAACTTTCACGATGCCCGTCTGCATTCCGTATTTATTGATTTTGTTGATGAAGCCTTGGAAGTCTCGGAATTGGTCCATTGTCTAAAACAAGACCATAGTCAGCCTGGCTCGGAAGGGTGTAGGCTTAACTGCCCAATTTGACGTAGCTGGCGAAATCTCCAACCCAGAGTCATAGAGCATCCGGGGTATCCGCAATGCACCTACCGGCTTGAAAACAGGAACTTTGCCGCCGCCATAGTAATGATCGGGCTCAATTTCTTCAATTTCCTCGACCTTCTCCTCCACTTCCTCCTGCTTGATCTTGCTTGTATCGGGTGCCGGGGCAGATCTGTGGTCAAGCTCGAGATCAGACAGCTCAGAGGGCACGCCTTCGGGCGCTTCCTTCTTGCCGTTGGCACTCTGCGGAGGAGTGATGGAAACGGATTCGACGATGGGATCGCCTGCAAGCAAGTCGCACTGCGACTGATCGAGTGCTGTCGCCATCATTGGGGGCGACAGAGAAATGTTGGGGAACTGGTTTGGCGGATTATAGTTGCCGTCGTCGAATAGTGCGACCGCTGATCGACGGCGAGAAGGGGTAGTTTCCCAGCGGTCGGGGAAATTGAGACCAAGAGCTGGGGCCGAGCGACAGGTGCTTGTTGAGGCCAGAGTGCACCAGTATTGGTGTGTAGAATTATGGGCACACTTTAAGGAGTGTACAACGGAGGTAGTTGAAATGATTGCGCGATAAGCTCTGCTCGGATGATTGTTTTTGCATGAACTGAACGGAAAACGGAAACGTCTTAGTCAAGTCGCCAAGAAAAACAAGAACTCGGAAGGCAAAAAGTTGACAGGGAAGATGTAGGGGTAGTTGTCAAAAGGAAATCCCAAAAACAAATGATCATTTCCACAAGACTGCAAAAGCAGCGGTAGGTTCTCTATGAAAGAGTGCAGCAATGCCAGCAATAGACCAATCATGCAGGTGCCGGCGACGTTCGAAGGTGGAGTGCACGATGGGCTGATACCGAAAAGAGAGAGGCAGGGGCAGGTGGGCACAGGGTGAGGAATGGTGGGCTTGAAATTGGACAAATCAAAGCGCTAAAATGAGAAGGGTGGGAATTGTCCGATCAGAGAGCAAAGTGGACTTTCGGGCGACTTTGGCCTGGGCACCTAGGAGCCGCGAAATGATTTGTACCGTGTCCGGTCTCGGGTAAAAGGATAGCCAGGTCTCGGGGAGAAAACAGTACAAGTTGATTACAGGCAGATTCATACTTACCAGATGATTTTGGGATCACAGTCAACGCGTACGAATCCAAATGAAAAGAAGTAAAGGTGGCATCACGATGGTCATGGTAGAGCTTGGTCAAAGCACTTTGAAGCTTTCGGTGCTGAGTCACATGACATGTATGTAATTTCAGATTGTGTGACCTCAATGTCACTTGCCTGTTATATTACCGTTATCTACTTGGATCCGCACTCTTCCACATGATGATGGGCCTGGTATTGTCACGGGCCATACAGTGCTCAGGCAATCTCGGATACCATCGGAGCCGAGTGGTTTCTCCCTCGATGAGATCGATGATCAACATTCAACTAACTGCATGTGCTTTGAAAGGTTTGATTTAATCCGCATCACACTGGGTACAACCCAAGTGCGTAATTTTAGTGAAGGTTTTCAATTTAAAAGCCCGGAATCCTCTTCTTATCTTCCAACTGAGCGATTTCTAGAATACATCCACACTTGGTCTCAATCTAGGTAGGCAACACCCTCTCTATATCAGTACAGCTGAATACGCCCAGCATAACCTTCGCATAAAAACCAAATCGTCAGTGTGCCTTGCAAAGGAAGTTCACAGATAAGATACGACAGTCCGGTTAGCAGTGCTAAACTTCTCGCAATAGCTTAGTCTCTCTCTCTCTCTCTCTCCCTCTCTCTCTCATTGATGAGCCATTAAATGGCTATTCCACAAAACCAGAAATTAGAAATGAAGAGGCTTTCTCCCATACACAGCGACTCTACTCTTAGTTAGTATAAGTACTAAGGCCATCGAAGAGGGGTAGGTTGGACTATACGTTTGAACATAGGCATGCAACCTCTTATCCCGCAGCTCCCTCTTGACCATAGCATTATGGATCTTGGCCACATCCGAGCCCCAGCCCAGAACCTGCGTGTACAAGCGCAGTGAATATGAGTCGATGGCTTGCTGTAACTGCACTGCCTGGTACTTCCCCAGGGCCTTCAGATGGGGATCGCGTGGCCAGGGCGAGAACGGCAGCGTGTAGACCGTCAAGCTGACGTCCTCAAAGCCAGCTGCAAGCATCCAGTCCTTAAGTTTATGGTAGATGTTCAGCTCCCGGCCGCTCTTGTCGCCGGCGAAATTGATGGCCTTCTGCCATTCCATGAGCGCGGAACCTTGCTTTAGGGAGCCATCGTCACTACGAGCCCACACAGCACTTTCGTGCGATTCAAAGTAGCCGCCGGGTTTGACGTGGTCGTAGATTCGGCGGATAAATCCAGGCCAATCGGCCACGCAACTGCTCAGTGTGTTAGAGTGCCTCTCTCGTTGAGATAGGGGACATACCCTGCCAGGCATCGTGCATGGATAAAGTCAAAGTGGTTTAGCCTATACTGCCATTCACTTTCAAAATCCTCCACGATAAAATCGATATTTGGGGCCACCCATGTCGGCTGGATGGGGCTGATGTCAGTCCCAGTGACATGAGCGCTAGGAAATTTCCTATCACTTGGAGTCGGTCTTGCTGGTATACAAAGATGAAGGAGGATTCCACGTACTCGGCAATGTCCATAGCCCAAATGCCTGTTCCGGTTCCCAGGTCAAGGATGTTCTGCGGTGATGATTTGATAGGAGCATTGTAGAGCTCTCCTCCTAGTAGCATCAGCCATCTGCACCGCTCTAGTTAGCCACACTCGTTGACTAGAAATGTGTTGCTTCACGGACATGTGGTGTGTCTCAAGGTATAGTCAGTTTATGAAAATCGAAAGTCACTGGGGATGATGTCTTACCAGATCCATTCGATCCTGCTCCTCCTCGTCATTCGGCATCCTAACATGGTCAGTCTTCTGATCCAGCAGCCTCCGAGAAAGAAAGAGTGAAGATACATGTAACCTCCCTAGTCGGAAGTCAGTCGGTTATCAAGGCTTGGTATCGAGGGTATGTCTTGGGCAACTTACTGAGCGGGGACTGCAATACCGCCGACCATTTTCATACTCAAACTCAAGTACGCTTGACGACAGGGAGGTGAGATCGGACATGTCATCTTCGAATACACTGTTGGTGTCCTACAAACGGGGATTAAAAATCCTGGGTCACAACGAGCAGGATGCAGTGAGCCCGGCATTCAAGTCTACATACATCGCTAAAATTATCGACCGCAATTGGATCGAGCGCGTTGATAGGGGTCTCAGCGTTGGTTGGGGTCACCGACGGTTCGGGTGGCGCCGAGGACGCTTCGTGGGGAGTGGAAACCATGATGGAAGTAACACAACAGGAGAAATTTTGGAGGAAGATGGATCATTTAAAAGGATTCCTCTGAGACTCGCTTACTTTAACGGTGGAGGAACTTGGGTTTATATCCAACCTGTCGGGTTCGAATGGAGATGGGAATTTTGGATCTATCGTGGGATTCCGTAATTACCAATAAAAATCAACTCGCCACTCCACATGCTCTTCTGCGTCTTCCCTGGGGTCAATGTACAACTACTTGTCCTCCAGCCAAGTTGGACTATAATCGGCCAAACGTAATGAGAATTCAATGATGCCTTCTCTGGATCAATGGGAAACTTCCGCTGAGGCTGACCAAAGCTACACTCAATCCTGAGCCAACATTCTCTCTTATGCATCTGATGAATCAGTAGGTTATGATTGAGAAAGGTCTCAATCGCACGAGACTGCCATCGTCAACACAGAGCTAGGCGGAGCTTCTGGTCGCTCAAAAAGGTGACTGCCTTCTGTCAATTGGTTTGGCCTGAATGGGGTTTTCTGTCAGAACGATTTCTGCATTGATCGAGCCCTTAGTCGCTGATCCTCGTAAACTGTATCAATTTCCCTGTGGTATCGGTCAACAATGTGATCAGTATCACCTTCTTCTCCTTATCATCGGCCATCATGTGTTGGCCCGGAAAAAGAAAGGTTCGGGTCAGATTCGGCTCTGCAATTGTATTTGGCCAGTTAGGATATACTCATCGAACGGGGGCATCTCCAAAATTCAGGTGAGATATAAGATCTTTTCAAGAATATGCAAATAGGTCCAAGTTGAACGTGTAGATGAACTAGAAAAGAGGAATACGTAAGAGTGGACCATGTCGGTCTTTCTTTGGAAATTAAATTGCAGATCTGTGCATGTGTGAAGGATCCGTTCTTCGGGATCGCCCAAATTTAATCAGTTAGAGGTCACCAAGGCGCTCAGATCAGCATCTATGTGATCACTGACTGTCAATGTTTAAGTCTCTAGAACTTTTGCCCCCATTCCTCGAACAGCTTGGTGTCCAAATTAGCATATCCATTTACAACCTCCAGTCCCCGCAGGCGTTCCTGTTCTATGCGATCCCAGGTCCACTCTTTGACATCCCACGACTCCGCATTCTTTTTCTGCTGCTTATCCAGTGTCTCCTGGCTAGGTAAATTCTCATCGTCCATCTTCAATACCTCTCTGACCAACGATCCATCCACGCCTTCAATGGCCGTGATACCTTCGCCACTGGCAGGAGTGTCAACGTCGGAAGCCTCGACAGAGGAATCGGCCTCCGCTGGTGTAGTCTTGGCTTCATTCTCCAATGGCGGGGTTGGGAGGAATCCGCTAGCGCGTAGAATCCGTGCCGGGGGAACAGTCAGCCGACCCTTTTTGACCACGTACTTGCTAACGGCTACAGCAAGGACCACCCTTTCGCCGCCACTGTGGGGTGTAGGTCGCATGAAGCAGGTCATGATGTACAACCACTTTGCATCCCAAGAGATGACCTTCGAGTGCATCTCATATAATTCAAATGGCTTGATTTCGCGCTTGAATGTGCAGTAAACGGATCCGAGCACAATCGAGACCGGCTTCCGCTTTGGAGCCGGCTTTCCCTCCTTCTTGCTGGCGGCTAGGAATTCCTGGTCTAGCTCCTTGCTCACATTACCGACCCCAGGACTATAAATTCGGGTCACAAGCGCTGTACGCGAAACATCCAGATCCGTGAAGTAGGTGCTGTTTGATTTGTGCAGATTGTAATCGGTCTCTAGCAACGGCGTGCGAGATGTGACCATGCATGGCACGAACATGGGATGCGTTGATTTGCCTCGGGAGTCCACCGCAGCTCTTCCCTCGGGGAGAAGTGGCGCACTGGGTTTCAAACGCAGGTTGCCTATGAAGTGATACAGTAGTCGGAACTGTTGACTCTATCAGAGTTGTGTAACATAACGTGGGGAGGGTCAATTCTGACGGTCGAACAAGCGGCCAAAAAACACTTACATGCCAGATAAATGGGAGACTTTTCAAGTTAATCACCGCCAGAAGCAAGGCCAGGTTCCTCCATGAGGCGAGCGATATTATGCCAGCTAGTAATTTTTGTATGCTCTCCATGACAAAGCACCCAATAGTTGAGCCGTAGGATAACCAATAGAGAAGAGAAGCTCCGATAGTCTCGTGCAAGTACGCTGACAAGGCTTGGCTAAGATATACTCCGGTTCATTTATGGATGTCTCGGGAGATGAGAGCGGTTGGAATCAAACAGGCTTAGACTTGGCTAAAGCACATTTAAAGAGAGACAAAATTTATCACAAGGAATGAAATGGTGGACCAAATCTCACCAGAATTGATGTGTCTCAAAGCCGAGCCAGCCGATTACAGATGACGACTGTCGAATTCCTTTGTTGATAGCCGAAGCCGGCACCCTGGCACGTGATTTTTGATTACTCATGCTTTCAGCCCTTCCGAGTGAGGCCCGCTAGGCCAAAAGAGCCCAAGGACCAAACAGAACGTCTGTTTGTCAATGCAGGGGCAAGTCCATTAGCCCCTCAGGAGTAACGGCCTGATTTGCCTTCGAGATCACACGAGGCTCTTCGAGCTGATTGACGCGATGTATTCTGGTCCCAAAATCTCCGATCGCCGATACAGAACAAGTGATGATCTGAAGGTTACAACGCATGAAACAGCGACTTTGAGGCATCCTAGTTTACCATGAGTCGAAAATTTATATATCCAGGCGTTCAACACAGGTCACTTATAGTCCTTTAATTCTAGATTTGCGAATTATTTGGTGAGCTCATTGAATCTCCAATTCTTCTTACTTTCCCGCTTTAAAAGAAATCCCCCTCAATCGTGGGGAACATTCAGATTTATTTTTACTGCGCCTATCTAGTGGTAGTGGCTGGGATTTCCCCCTACCCAATTGCCGAAATTTTGAAAGTGCACCATCATCTTCCAAATGTAGCCCATAGAAACGGAAACGAACGAAAATATACTGATTGTTACCGCAGGATCTGTTTGTTGGGTCGAACATTGTTGCTCTCATGGAAATAGGTTGTGTCTGCTTTTAGTAGAGTGAGAAAGACTTGATCAACGCGAAAAGGACTAGCAGCCACAAAAGAATGACCAGTAGCTGGCAGTAACCTGTGCAGAACCGTTCTAAGACTTATTCTCGATAAGAGAACTGGCACTTCAACAAGGAAGAGTATTCCTCATGTACCATTTGATGCTCATTATGATCCCATTTATAAAGATAGTGAGCGATGAAACATCCAAAACATATAGAGGAAAGGGACCCCAAAGATACAAAAGCAAAACGACCACGGGGATTAAAGGAAGTCTCGAGAAGAAAGTCCGTTGCTACGTTCAAATTTGTTCAGCCTGATTGCCTCGGAGAGACTCATCTTCCGATCAACAAGATATGACATGATCGAGACAAGTGTTTTAATCATAACACTGGTATCTGCACTACAATATGAGTCCATCTTGCCAATCTCACTTCCCCATTACTTCCAATGCAGCCCCAGTCGCCTGTTATTGTTTTCCTATTCTCCCGTCAATTATCAATAGCAAATTTGACCAACACATCGTATGTCAAGTGGTCTTGTCTTGAACCCTCTTTTCGCAGTCCGAAAGAGCGCAACTCCCTCGCTTACCACCTTGTCTCCTGCTAGTCCCTGGAAACCCGCGCCTTTAAACAAAGAACAGATTGGTGAACATTCATCATGTTGAAAGTGTCCGTCGAAATCACCCTCGCAGGTCATCTCCTCAAACGCCTTCATCACGTTGGTTTACAAGCCGTGCATGCTGTCCCCGGAAATTACAACATAGAAATATTAAGGGAGGCCACCGATGCAGGGCTGGAATGGGTCGCATACCATAGCGACCTTAGTGCCGAGGTTGTGGCAGATGGATATGTACGAGTAAAGAGCATCGCTGCTCTGATGTCTTCATTCCAGAATATTTCATCATCAGTCTCGACCGCAATCACTTCCTCATTCAGGGATAGAATCCCAGTTGTGCTTGTGATTAGGACACCTCAGCGCAAGGCGCAAGCTCAGGCTACCAAATTCCACCATTCATTCTTCGATGCACAACCTGATATCCCTCGACAGCCTGACATTTTTCAAATACTTGCTGATTGCTTCGAAAATATCACCATCACCCAGGAGTTTCTTGTTGATCCCGGCGAGGCAGCTGACTGCCATTCGAAGATGCATCATGCAGTCTCTAGCTGTTTACATTGAATTGCCGGAAGATTTGGTCACTAGTATGATACCGACCAAGGACTCATTCAGCGCTTGGACTTCAACACTCCGCCTTACAACATTGAGATGGAAAAGACGGTAGTGGCCAGTGTGATGAAAAAGATTAAACACGCACAGTTTCCAACAAATTTTGTGGATGCGGTTGTGCCATCTTGTGGTCTGATCACTTCTGAATTTCAAGGTTTTCCATCTCATACAAGCGCCACTGAGGTCAATCGGTTTGCACTGAGTTCCTCGAATAGAGCAGAGTCAGTGGAGAGCCAGGTCCTGTTCGTGGCGAACTTTATTTGTGGGATATGGCTGATTTGATAGCTTGTGCTCGCCATTTGTGTGAGATCCGAGATGCAGGGCTGATTGGGAAGATCTGATGCATGTAGAGCTTAATGTCGAAGGCCATTTCAGGATCCATTGTTTGATCTGGAGTGAGGATTCAAGGCACCTGAGCAGCTTGGTGGATCAACATCAATCACTGAAAACAAAAATTGATGTCTTGTTCATCCGAGGCAATCTCTAATGTGGGGTTGAACCCCGACACGGAGTTAGCGAGTCACAGAAATCCGTCTATGGGGTCATTCCCGAGATGCTACAAATTGGCTCAACCATCTCTATAACGGATAACATCATAGTGCGATCTACAAGTCGCTTTGAATTGAAAACCCCGAAACTAAGGATGGTTTCTTCAGCTATTTGATCTGATAGGTACAGAGTGGTGCTACAGAATTAGCTGTTGCAGAAGGCAGACTAGGGGCATGACTAGAGCATAAATAGCTCAACCGCAATTATGGGGACACACAATTCAGAGCAACTTAGAACACATACTGCTAGGAGTGAGTATTTGGATCCTTAAAAAAGTTGTAGTAAGAACTTACCGGAATGAAGAGGTATGGAACCTGCTTCTCGTACTCATCCCAAGTCGATCCATACTTGGTTTTACACTTGTGGATATCCCTCATGGCACGGTGGCTAATCATGACGGCGAAGAAGACAGGATAAAACCATGGAAGGGGGCTATCAAACCCGGTGATCAGTGCCCACGACAAAGCGAAAAACATATCGCAGCTGTAGTGGACTTTGCGAGCCAACCCATACCACCCATCAACGAAAATCACATCGCCCGTCTCTGTCTCAAGTGTTTTTGGGTTGTCAACATGTCGCCAAGGAAGCTGGGGGAATGTGCTGCGGTTCACCAATTTGCCTCGCTCCATCATGCGGAAGGTATTCTTCTGGCTGTTTGCTGTGTCCCAGACCCAGTAGACGAAAAGATATGACACAAACAATAGCTTCAATGCATCCTTATTCCACGCATATGTCGATGGGTGGCGACTATCCAGGTACAGGACGCAGTGGCAGTAAGACATAGGGACACCAGCCATGTTCCAGAAGATCAACAAGAATCCCAGTTTCTCCTGGTACATGTCCCATGTTGTAGTGATGAGGTGTTCTGCTTTGGCGCAGGCGTTGGCGTAAAGAAAATGCGCCATGACAAGGAACAACACCTCACCAGAAACATATCCGTAGAGTTCATATTGGCGAGTCGCAGCCGCGCAGCTCAAACCCAAGAGCATGAACCATGGAATGCGGACTTCGTAGAACATCTTAAAGTCCATGATTCCGAACATCCGTGGGTTCAGCTCAACTCCCATGAAGAAGTCGTAGATGGGGTAACCAGTGATACGGTGCTGAGCACCGCGAGCGAACGCAGAAAAATAAGCAAAAAAGCTGGCGAGGAATCCAGAAAGAATCGCCACCGACATCAGAGGACCGAATTCATCCAGGATGGTGTAGATTGGGAACATTCCAGTGTAGTGTAGAAAGAACATGAGGACGATTGTGAAATACAAGCTACTGTAAGCTGAGCAATAATATTCCAGCCGTTTGCCTTTCAGATGGGAAAGAGCCTTCCCATGGCACGTGAATCCAGGCATGAAGATGTAGCATGCTGCCTCAAAGATGTAAAAGGTCCAGTAGATGCGCCACGCTCTGAAATGTGGGAACGCATCGGTGTAAACAAGGTGACACAGATGCTTTCCAAAGACCACCCACGACTCTCCGTTTTGCGGCAGAGGTAGCTTCCCATCATAGTATGCAGCGCCAATCCACATGTACCACATTAGGAATGGGAAGCCTATCATAAGTGCCAAGGTTCCAAGTGAACCGCCGAATTCGAACACCCCTGTATAGTCCACTTTGGGATCCATGCCAGGTATCCAACCGCCAGCGAATTGCGCTTGCCTGAAGTAATCTTTGTTCGAGTCTTTTTTATCCACGACCCGAGGGGTGTCATGCATTGGGTAAGACTTGACTTGGTCGTCCATCTTGAGAACTTAGTATGTGAAATTAATTGAGTTAATGGACCAAGGAACGGATGCCAACAAAGCACACTCACAGTCAAAGAATCGTAAAGTCCGATACAGGATTAAAGAGAAGAATAAAAGGAAAGCAGAAAGATGAAAAGAAGATCGAAGAGGAAAATGGAGCGGAAAGAGGAACTTAATAGGAAGGAACAAAGCGACTGTGGAGTGTAAGCTTGGAAGGAGCCAGGCAATGACACAGTTCCTATTTGGGGTTAGACCCCGCTGTCTTTGTCCCAATTTGGTTTAGACTCCGCTCCTAGCATTGCCTGAAAACACCTATCTAACCCTTCAAAGTGATTGGATTGTGTCGAATTTTCTCTTCTGTATTACAGAATTCCAATAATTCAGCTATAGGAATAGTTTTGGAATTGATCTACAGGGACAAAACACAGCTGAAACTAGAGCGTGTTGCAGAATTTCTAGCTTAGTTTGGGCATGATACAGTTGCTGCATGTCGATGAAGTAAAACTCCAACCCTCCAACACGGTGCCGGCTCTCCGGGTCCTCAGATTCTATTCCGTATTCCTCTAGCATATCTACACAATGCCAGTTCAACCGAATGACAGAACCACCAAGGGCAAATGACAAATAAACTTTGTGACGTCAGGTGATCTTATCACGAAATTGCATTAATCAGCGGTGCTTATCAACCCGCCAGTGCCCCGAGGTTGGTCTTCTCCCCAAACATTCACCTCACTATGACTGACCGGTCGAGCCCATGAACTATCAGACCATCAGTATGGAAGGCAGTGCCTCCGAACAGTGCCGCAGAACTGAGGGAAGGCCGTCTGTGCATCAGCCGCGTATAGATCGCATCGATGACCCGGCACTAAACTATCAAGTCTCCGCCACGTCCCCTCAGAGCTTCACTCCGCGCTCACTTCTCGTTGGTCTTATTATCGGTGCCCTCATTACATTTTCAAATACCTACTTCGGGTTGCAAACAGGATGGATCAGCACAATGGCTATGCCGTCGGCCTTGATTGGCTTTTCGGTCTTCAAGGTCCTATCTAAACACCTGTCTTTTCCCTTTACGCCAGTTGAAAATGTCTTGATACAAACCGTTGCCGGTGCAGTTGGAACCATGCCACTTGGATGTGGATTTGTTGGCGTCATCCCTGCTCTGGAGTTCCTGCTGAAGCCTGGCGAAGATGGACCTGAAGGCGATGGTGGAGAGGGCGAAGGAGGTCCTTTAAAACTCGGCTTCTGGAAGCTAGTTATCTGGAGTCTGGGGGTATGTCTTTTTGGCGTGGTATTTGCGGTCCCATTACGAAAAGAGGTCATCATTCGAGAGAAACTACGTTTTCCAAGCGGTACCGCCTCTGCGTTGATGCTCAAGGTCTTGCATAGCTCTGGAGGCAACGAAAAGGTCATAGCACCGGAGAGTTTTTGTGAGGGGACTCTGAGCACCGAGCCCGGAGCAGCCGTTCAATTGCGAGAAGACACAGACCTCTTGAAGGATGGCGATGCTGAAGATCAAGCTTCCAAGGAGCAAGATTGGCGCTCAAAGATGCGCATCCTAGTTGGATCGTTTGCATTGTCGGGTGTATATGTGAATGGCCCCGAAATAGATCTTGCGAAAAAAATGTGCTAACAGAATTAGACCCTTTTCTCCTACTTTGTCCCTCTAGTCCATGCCATCCCTCTGTTTGGCGTGGGCATGGCAAAGAACTGGCTGTGGACTCTTAACCCGTCACCCGCATATATCGGTCAAGGCATAATCATGGGCCCATCAACTTGCATGCATATGCTTTTCGGGGCAGTCTTGGGATGGGGCGTCCTATCACCGCTGGCTAAGACTCGCGGCTGGGCCCCCGGTCCGGTTAATGACTGGGACACTGGTAGCAAAGCATGGATTGTCTGGATATCGCTGGCTATCATGCTTGCTGACTCACTTGTTAGCCTTGGGTGGTTGCTGCTTAAGCCCATCGTGAATCACTTTCCAAGGTTGATAGCCTGGTTGCGATCCACTCGTGCCGGTCAATGGATTGCAATTCGACTGCAATCTTCTCAGCACTCATACGTCAACTACTCCACTTTGGAGTCGGAGTCTCATGGTTTGTCTAATGACAACGATGATGCCCACCAGACACTAGTATCTACCAGCGAGGAGGACGATGCACCGCGATCTCAACTCATCTCAACACGTACAGTAGTGATTCTGCTTCCCCTTACCCTCCTCCTGAATGTTATATGCATGCACTTTGTCTTCGGTGAAATTATTTCCCCCTTTCTATCGACGTTGGCGACTCTGCTCGCCGTTCTCCTATCCATAATGGGTGTCCGGGCTCTTGGCGAAACCGATCTCAACCCAGTCTCGGGTATCAGCAAGCTGACACAACTTCTCTTTTCACTCGCTACACCGGCATCTCAATTTTCCAGACGCACTGCACTAGTGACTAACCTGCTTGCGGGTGCGGTCTCCGAGTCAGGAGCTCTGCAAGCCGGTGATATGATGCAAGATTTGAAGACCGGTCATCTTCTTGGCGCAAGTCCCAAGGCTCAGTTCTATGGCCAGATAATCGGCAGTCTTGTCGGTGCAGTTCTCTCAACTGCCGTATATAAATTATACGTTAACGTCTATGAGATCCCGGGTGAAATGTTCCAGACACCTACTGCGTATGTCTGGATTTTCACTGCCCGCCTTGTGACTGGCCAAGGGCTGCCCAGCATGGCTGGACAAGTATCTCTCATTGCTGGTATCGTGTGGGTGTTCCTTACTGCACTGAGGATCGCAGCTGCGTCCCCTGCCTATGCACGCGATGGGAACCCCCCTGCTTGGAGAGCTTGGATTCCCGGCGGTATTGCCGTTGCCGTTGGTATCTTTAATGAGCCTTCATTTACCCTGGCGAGAGCTATCGGTGGTATCATTGCATGGTGGTGGGCGCGCAAGAATTCCGAATCGAAGATGGACCAACTTGTTGCCAATGGAAACGCTTCCAGCATGGGATCCTCTATCGAGACTGAGCTGCAGGATGGGCAAAGGTCATCCGAAACAGCTGAGCAGGCATTTGAAAAAACAGATGCCGCCTCCTCGACTGTCGTCGTCCTTGCCTCTGGTCTCATTTTGGGTGAAGGTATCATGAGCATCGTGAACCTTCTTCTTGCAAGTGGACACGTTCAACATCTCTGATAATGAGGGGCATGTGAAACTGTTTGATTGCAGGTGTAAATTCTGCATTTATTATGACTGAAAGAGAATCTTGGATTAGACATGGTGTTTTCAGACAACGTTTATTAGATTTCAGGTTGTGTCTTCGGGGCTGTTTGTTATTTTCAATCTAAATCACTTCCTCGGCAAGGCTGTGTTATGTCATATCTTAGCTGGGCTAGAATCGGTCCTATTCATTCCACATGTCCAGGACTTCCTCAGAATAGTACTCCAGAGGTGTAGTTTATCTAGAAAAGGTGCATGCTCGCACAAGGCATTGCTACCTCGGAAAGATACTAATGACTGAAGGATTTATCGACCGCATGAAAGTTTGAAACTCGATGTCAAATACATTCCTACGAAGCCTCGCCCGCCCATTGAGAGTGTTGTTCACTGAGTCGACGTTCACTTGTGTTGCTTTTGACGCTTCCCTCATCTACGGCGTCATGTGTTCAACTCTTGAGGTATCCCACTTGTATTCAACTTATCGTAAGATTGAAACTCCCTAGTTGGTTCTTTGGACTGTCGAAAGATGTGATATCTTCCGTGTGTCTCAATATCAGGAACAAGTATCACTATTCTAATTTGCGTGAACCGCTGAATAACTGGATCCTGCAATGTCCGGCAGCTGTCTTTATAGGCATTGGATTCACCTGTGTTTTCCAGAAGTGTTTAAAATTTTTGAGTAACGTGTATATTATCTATGCTGCTAGGACGATCAGGGCTTTGGGGATTGGCTCTGCCTTCTAGTGTTGGAGCTGTAGCTACGGTCCTGTTGTTGCGCCTGTCGACTCATAGAACTGCGGCTTATTGTTTTGTTCAAGAACTTATACCCCATGAAGAACACAGCTCCCTCCCGCTTATTTCCATTTTTATCTTAAAAGAATTTCCATATGCTCTTGTGAGAATAACGGAGAATGGATGGTATTATCCTAATCCTTAGAGCCAGTCACACATCCAGTCATCGACTGTCTAGCAGTTCAACTCTGCGAATTTACTTCTCTTCCTGTCAAGTATCTTGAAACCCGTTTCCTAAAATTAGCAATGTTAGACTCTGATTAAACAAGTAGCTGTTTCCAAAAATTTAAAAGATGACCGAAAAATCCTCGAAATGAGACCAATGCCTAAACACTCCTCAGAGTAACTCAATCAGCTCTGTACAATTTCTGGTTCATCATCTGGGTTAGCAGGGATAGGTTCAATCTCAAATCTTAGCTGAAGTGTCGAATAAGTATTCCAAACGACTGCTCGAGCGATACGTCTTGTACCTCGGGGGAGAGATGATATGAGAAGAATGGCAGTTGCTTTTCCCAACTTTGTACCTAGGAGTTCCTCATACTCAGGAGTGCCACGTTCGATCTTGAGGCACGGCTCGTATGTTGCAGCGTGGAAACTGCGTCCAAATCTGGGATACAGGATCTGCCTGACATAAGGTGCAGTCTCCTCATTGATGACGCAGGTAAACAGAACGTGCCTCAAAGTGGAAATGTCATGGTCATTGACATATAAAGCCCTGGCGATTTCATTCCACTGAAGGTTATCGTACCTAAAAATGGAATGACCAACAATAAGGCCCGGTCCGATTAGATGTGCGTAGCTGTTAGATAATCTTGAACATTCATGTATCTCGAGGATCTCTGGATTTGTGACGATATTCGTGAGTGATGTATAGCGGTACCTGTTATCCTCGGTAGTAAGCCCCGTAGATTCGAGGTCACCTCCGTTCAAAGTATCGCCGAGATCTTTGTGATAACTGTTGCCGACTTCGAAACGATCTGCTGGCGGGGCGGTCAACATATTCTGTAGAGTTATGGTCGCCGGGGCAATATTGCAGTGTGGTTCGTTTGGGTTTTCTAACCAAGCGACTAGTTGAGCTCCTTTCTCTCGATATGAGTTGATTGTGCTATCCGAAGGCTGGAGGCATAAGTCACCATCCGTGTTGATATTGGAACTAGTGGAACTGGCGCCTCTCCAAGGAGAAAGTTCGCGTCTCGGAAAAGACAAGTTTGGTTCAGTAGTCATTTGAGCTTCAGTCTGTAAGCTCGCCACACTGGTACGCAGACGCTTAGAAGGGGAGCTCACTATAGATGTAGAATCTGGGCTCCATTCCTGACCTGAGTTCTCAACATCTTCGACGTGGGCCCGCTTTCTGCTTTCAGCGAATGGCTGGCTTCTTGGTCCGCTTTGATGCTGAGGCTGGAGCGCGGGCTGGGGAGCATTGGGTCGTGCAGAACCGAAGTATAAGTGATTATCGGATGAGGACTCACTTTCAACTGCATTGGAGAAGAGCTCGATAGCCGGATCATCTCGTAGAATCTGGCTCGGGCATCGAGGGTAGGAGAGAAATTCATTGCCAGGATCGGCATCTGGTATTTCAACATCACTAGCATCGTAATCGTTAATATCGATATCACTCATTTCAGGTGTGACACCTGTGCGAGAGCTTTCTCTTGAAGGTGGGAGTGGGGGGTATTCCTCATCGCTGATGTTACCTCTCCTGTCAGTGGCAGCCTTCTTCTGAGGCTTAGTCTCTTTCTTGGATAAAGCTGGCTTTAGGCCATGAGCTGGTTTCTGTGCTTGACCTGGCTTTGCGGCTGGACTTGGCTTTGCTGTGGCTTTAGGCGGTGCTGAGGCTTTGGGTACCAGATGCGTAAGATAAACCATTTGAGGTAAAACTCCAGACCCCGACGCAGATTGAGGTGCAGGTTGAGATAGGGGAAGTCCTGGGTCGTCGGAATCCTGTTCATCGTTGCTATGGCAGGGCCCCAAGCATTGCTTGAGACTGCGACAAAAATCCTTCATTTTTAAGGTTGAAGTTAGGTATATGTCGAACGATTGGAATTGTAGAGTGGTCAGGATAAGATACAAGGCCGATAGGGTCTTTTGTATTGTGGTTGTTCTATGATATTATTGAGATAGAGACCAACAGGCAGATGCAGGCGAAGCTATATACCTTTGACCAAAGCCTTTGTCTCTGCTCACCATGATTCCAACCCCTAGTTCTTGAAAAGTAAAAACAAAAATCCTGCATGAAAACAGACTCATCCAGAAAGAAACGAAATAGAACAAAAGAAGTGAGGATGCGAACAACGAAGACAAGTGCATAGTGAGTGTCAAATGGAAGACAAAGAGACTCGAACTTGGATCAACAATGAGGGTGTGAACTAATTTGGAAAATCCAAGAATAGCACAAGGAACGAATAAAGCGAAGTCTAACAACGTTTATCCTTCGACACCTGCGAAACCGAATGAGATAATAGCTTCGTCAAAGAAAGGACTAGAACGCCCACCAAGTTTACGGTCCTCTATGGCCGCGAAATGATGTAGTCTGCTATTACTCAAACACCTAGGCGATGAACCAAAGATCTCCATAGCTAATTTTGTGTGACCATGTCCTTGAAATCATGATGATCACTTCTTCAGATCTGTGGAAAGAGGTTCGAAATTCAGATCCAGCGCTGTCTAGTATCACATGATAGAGGTATGTTCAACATGGCGAATGGAGAAGCGCTATAGTGTTCGGGGACCCGAAGCAATCCAAGTGGAGTTCTCAGAGACACGATTCAAAATCTACAAGAGTCAGTTCAGACCACAAGGTTAGCTAGGGTAAATAGTCAGAGAAGGCAAATTTGAACGGTGATCTAACTATCCCGGGACCTGATCTATCTAGGCTAGCTGCATGTGCTATGCTGGGCATCGCTGACGTCTTTCGATATATAAATGGCCCTAACCGGAATCTGAGAGCGAAACTCCCCTGGAGCATTACGGAGCACATACATCCTAGTTTTTTTCCCTTGGGGGGTTTTTTTTCAGACCAGTCCGGGGGTATAAAGAGGGTCTTGTATACCAGAACATTTATTGCCCATCTGATGAGCCTCAACAAACGAAGATTTCCGTTACACCCCATCCTATTTTCAGGGTACCATTTTCCAGTCATTCGGGTCCATGCGGCGTATTTGCCGGACTTTGGAGTATATGGTGCGTGTTATAACCAAGACCGGGGTGCTCCCTTCTCATTGGCCCAGAACATGCTCTTTGAGGATATCCCGTCCTATGTGCGGACGGATGGTTGCATCAGTCTTGGCTGGCTTGGTCATGTCGTTTCGCTACCAAATGCGTCTTCTACACCCCGGAATATGTCGGCAATGGCAGTGCCGAGTATTTTAGTAGATGGTCGATATAAAACGGAATGAAAAAGGACCTAGGCTAATTTGCCAGATATGGTAGATATCAGCACGTTCCGTTCGAGGCTTGCGCCATATCAAAGCCATGATGCATGAATTGATCGAACAAAGCGGTTCATTACATCAAACTACAGGGATTGAAGTAAGCGTTCAACTCCGTTGACCAGTCTCATTCGATCAAAAACCGCCCCCCAAAATTTAACCCCCCAGGGAACTTCCCATTTCCCCGCGTTGCCCGAGGCCTTCCCCATATCTTGACCCCAGATACTGGCGAAGACCCCGGTTACCTCGGATTACCGCTTTTGTCACTCCGGGGAAATTCACAGTGGCTATATAATCCGCTGATAGGGATCTTCCTATGATGCCCCGTGTTTGGTTTCGATCGTTTTTGCATGTTTGAACAACGTGTTCGGCATTCCAAAGTTCTTTGGCTGGAAAGGCCGTTCTCTCAACCTGGCTATCAGTTCCCTTGGAAGTCTTGATTTCTTGTATGATAAAATTCACGATTGTCCTTTTTTTGTAAGGGGGTTGAGATGTGCAACTAATCGCAAGAAGGCTCTTTGGTTTTGATCAAGGTGTCACGGGTGGTCTGCTAGACCTGCCCTCCTTCATCAAATACTTCCCCGATATCAGCCCCTTAGACCCAGCCATCGCCGGCGACGAGTTCAGATCTACCCGATCGAAACGCAGTTTGAATCAAGGCATTGCGGTCGCATCGTATAATCTAGGATGTTTCTTCGGCGCCGTCCTCACCATCTTCATCGGGAATCCGCTTGGGCGTCGAAGAACTATCTTCTGCGGCTGTACGATCATGGCTACTGGCGCCCTACTGCAGTCTACCGCGTATTCTCTGCCCCATTTCATTGTCGGCAGAATTATCACAGGTGTTGGTAATGGCAGGAATACAAGTACCGTACCGACATGGCAGTCCGAATCAGCAAAGGCCCACGACCGCGGCAAGATGGTTATGATCGAGGGTATGCTCATCACGGGAGGGTATCACTCTAAGCTACTGGATTAACTACGGTGAGTTTACCTGCACATTTTTTGGTTAACAGACTCAAGGTGGAAATACTGATATCATGAGTTAGGCATGTCATTCATCGGAGAAAAAGAGGGTTGCCTGGCGGTTTCCTCTCGCCTTCCAGATTATGTTCGCTATCATTATTTTCTGCTCGGTTCAACTTGCCCGAGTCACCAAGATGGCTTGTCATGAAAGGTCGGACCGACGAGGCCTTGGAGATTCTGGAGTATCTAAATGAGAAATCTCGAAATGACCCCTACATCAAGAATGAACTCCTCTCCATCGAGAAAACTGTCAAGGAAATGAACAAGGGCTCTTATAGAAGTTTGTTCAAGATGAACGAGCATCGAGAATTCCATCGTGTGGCACTTGCCTACGTCAACCAGATGTTCCAGCAGATTTCTGGAATCAATCTGATCACCTACTATGTGAGGTCCCATCTCCCCACTGAGTGCTAAACCTATACTAATCAAGTCCACCAGGCCCCTTCACTGTATGCCGAGATTGGTCTTGGAGATGGCAATCTACCATAGTTACTAGCTGCTTGCAACGGAACGGAGCATCTGATGGCTGCATTTATCCCCAATTTCATTATCGAGAAAGCTGGACGTCGCCCACTGATGCTGTTCGGTGTATGTCACTCCCTGCTATCCTGCAATAAGATCCCAACAACTAACCAAGTCGTACAAAGGCCGCCGGCATGTCAATTTCAATGGCCGTCCTAGCTGGTACCAACTACTGTTTGACCGTTCTTAATGATAGCCGCGCCGGCATTGGGCAGGCCGTGTTCCTTTTCGTCTTCAACACATTCTTCGCCATCGGCTGGCTCGGAATGACCTGGCTGTATCCGGCCGAAATCGTGCCTCTACGAATCCGTGCTCCAACCAATGCTCTATCTACCAGCGCTAACTGGATCTTCAACTTCATGGTTGTCATGAGCACACCCGTCGCATTCCAGAATATCGGATACAAGACCTCTGTCATCTTTGCTGTTATGTAAGATCAATAGGCCCGCGTTAACCCACAACTTGAACTGACAGACTGACAACCGACAGAAACACATTCATGTTCCCGTGTGTATACTTCTTCTTCCCGGAGACTCGTTACCGTTCGCTGGAAGAGTTGGACGCTATCTTCAAGAAATCGACCAACGTTTTCAACGCCGTAACCATCTCCGTCAAGGAACCTTACCGCTACGATAAGCATGGCGAGCTCAAACCTGAATATCTTGAGGAGGCCATGCGCCATGCCAGCGTTGATGTGCACATAGCCGGCGCGAAGTTCGAGGGCGATAAGAGTGGTAATGAAGTCAAGGCTTGAATGGTTGGAAAATGGGGTTGATTGTATATGTTTGTGTGTGTTGATGGATTTTGGTTATACCCGTGGTGCCAGTGTGATGAGATTCAAGAATCTTTTCACTGATGCTAATCTGTTTTTACAAGCTTCGAGAGATCAAGGGAGGTTTAGGACATACTTTCTGCGACGCTTGTTGACTTAATGGGTATGCGGGGATATTTGAATAGATATTTCCGGATTTATGTGTACGTACAATCCCGTTCATGATCGCAATGCAGCAGTGCTCTTCTAAAGGAGCAAATTAATCTGTCATCGGTGCTCGCTCCTATTCAAGTGATTATACACGCCAGCAAGGAAATGAAAAAGGATATTCGAGAATGAAATGAAAAAATTCGGGAGTATATTGGAAACTCTACATAGTCACGAAAGTAAACTGTGTATTTGAACAGGTTGAAGAATCCGTCCCTGCTCATCTCAGTGTGACAGGCATATCGTTCAAGATCGATGTTGAACCAAAAACTCGAGGAAGATGCTTCCAACTTTGAAATGAAGGGGAAAGAAAGAAAAGAAAATATGTTGCAAAAATCCCAAAAGAAAATGAGGCCAAAAAGAAGAAATTTAGGTGTGAAAAGATGGCCGGCCTTTCGTTAACATTACAATGATGACAATGGATAAAAAAGACAAGACAGCATGACATCTAAGACATCGACGGAAGATTTAAAAGGTGGAAATAAAAGACAGATCAATAATTCAGATGCGGAGATATGCATCCGACACAAAGAATAAATTCAAGGAGGATTCGTTGGTCACGGGCGTGGACTGTAGGGGGATATCAAGATCAAGGCAAACAAGGTGGTCATTCAAGGCAAGCTCATTTCCGTCCAGCGGGGGCAATGACACGTCAGTGGAAATGTCGAGGTTCTGCAAGAGACGGTGCCTCTGGGTAGAGGCGAGTATCATTCAGGTTGAGCGTTCTGGGTGGGGACAGGCTTTCGCAAAATCGAGCCGGACGGAGAAGTCGGCAGAGAGGTTGGAAGGGCTGGAAGCTCGGTGGTGGGAGCAGGGGTCGGAGCGGCCAAGGGACTTGGCATCGGCAGCACTGCAGTAGCAGACGCAGGAGCGGCTGGGGGACTCGGAGCTTGTGGCACAGTGGGACCAGGAGCGAGAGCGGTCAATGGACTTGACACTGCAGGCGTGGCGGGCGCTGCCATGAGCGGAGCGACGTTGCTGGCACTATCGCTGCGCTGGCGTTGGTTGGCGGGCATCACAGGCCGATGCATTCCAGGAGGTGCGTACGGACCAGGGCTCATCGAGCGCGGGCCGGGCCGAGGGCCAGGTATGCCACCAGGTCCGGGAGACATTGAGCGCAGGCTGGGCATTCCACGCGATCTCGGAGACATTGAGCGGGGAACTGGCGGGAACTGGACAGCAGACCCGGGGCCAGGGTAAGGACGAGAAGGCGGAGGTCCAGACACGCCGGAACCACCTGGGTGTTTCGGCCGGGTATCTTGAGGATAGAATCTTGGACCGGGCGGACCTCTAGGCATCACTGGGCGACCGTCAGGGCCGATGATGGGTGGACCGCGAGAGCCAGGAGGGCCCGGGGGTGGACGAGCGCGAGGCATCACAGGGCGAGCCGACAGGCAAGAGCGTGGGACAACTCCTTGCTGGGGGCTGTTAAGGCGCATGCAGAGAGCCCATCCATCGTCGTACTCGTAAACCATGCGTACAAGAGCTCCAGAGCGAAGTTCAAGCTCATCGTCCATTGAGGGGTTGAAATCCATTTGCACACGGTAAACATTGTTAGGGGGTGCTGGGCCAGCAGCCTTGGCACCTGCTGCGACTCTAGCTCCTGCGGCACCAGCGCCGGCAGCAACAGCCGTGACAGCGGCAGCATCAGCAGGGGCTGTGACGGATTGGGTCGAGCCAGTTGGGGAATGGCTGCGTGATTCGGCGGAATGGTACCGCTCAGAATCATTGGACGATCGAGATGAAGGAGCAGCAACACCTGCTGCAACACCCTCGGCTGTAACACCGACCGCGGCAGCGGTGACGGTCGATCCAGATGACTCATAGGTTGATGCAGATGGTCCAGTAGCTGGTTCTACTACCGAATGCGCGGTCTGGGTAACAGAGGTGGTAGCTGGATTGAAAGGATTGACAGGGTCACTAAACGGGTTAGAGTCACTCCCAGCAGACTTTGGCGGAGTGGGAGGTCGGAAATCATCAGTGAGACTACGAGAAGCGCAAGCGGCCGAGCCAGCTGCAGCACCTGTAACAGCAGCAGTGGCTAGGCTCAAACTCTTAGAAGCACCATCGGTGGCTGGATTCAAGCCGCCGCTGGCGCTCAGATCAGGCGCGAATTGAGTCACGGGACGAACATTAAGCTGCGGGGGAGTCGAAGGAGTCTGCGGCTTGGAAGGAGGTGGAGGTGGAGGTGGGAAAGATGCAGCAATACCATCTGGCAGGCCTTCGCTACCGATGGTCTTCTCATTCTCGGGCTGATATCCCTCCTGTCTTCTCTTCTTCTTGTAGACAAAGAAGAAGATCAGGGCAGCAATCACACCAATGCCGAAAATAACACCGATAGCCACACCGGCCTTTGCACCGCTAGTCATACCCTCAGACGTAGTAAATCCGAGCGCAGTTGACGAGGCCGATACAGCAGAGTCTTTGGCCGATCCCGTGGAGGTTGCTGCGAAAAGATCGTTGACATTCTGGGAAGAGTCCGAGGTGGGCGATGCTGAAGTCACAAAGGAGGTTGCTGTGATAGGAGCCCCCGACTCACTTGTAATGGTGATTTTCTTGTCGGTTGTTTCAGCCTTGGTAACCTCAGTGGTCTCCGCTTCAGTTCCATGAGTGGTGTGGGCCACGGTCTCTTTGATAGTGGTCGGTTCCTCTTTCGCCTCGGTTGTTGTCACATCGGTTGGTACCGCCTCGTTTGCTGCCGCATTGGTTGTTGTCGCCTCATCTATAGCTTGGGTCTCGGTTGTTTGTTCCTTAGTCCTTGCAGGTGCGCTGACAGGAGCGCCAACACCAGCGTGCACTTCCGTGGCAACGAGGGGTTGAACGCCAGTTACATAGCCTCCCACTTTTCCTTCAAAGTCCGGAGCCATGGTCTTGTAAACAATCACGACCTCTCCCCTCTCCTCTAGTTCCTCCACCTTGCGCGCATGGCTGTGGTGCGCATGCCCGTGCATGTTGTTGACTCCAGTATCCTAGGATATCGTGTGTTGTTCAAGATTGGGGTTGAAACTGCACAGCGGGTGTTATTCCTAAAGAGAGGGATAAGCCCAGATTCCGAAGCGAGTGATCGAGAATCCGGGTCTCTGGGTCGATTCCAGCTGTATGGAATGTGTATAGAAAGAATGAATGGCTGAGATCGAGCACCGCCGATCGTAAAGTCGAGATTAAAAGAATGGACGTCGACTTCCAGGCCGTTATGAAAGAAAGGATGGGAAATGATAAAGGGCAGGGAAAGAGAAAAGCACCAATTCGAGAGTGCCCTGGAGTACCACGGGGAGCCGAAATGAGATCGACCCTGTATACTCCGTACAACAACATTCTAACCCAAATAGGCAGTGATGATCACTGCTTCCCCGATTTGATTGGCTGTCACCCAATCCCCTAGCCCGAAGTAGTTACCAGACCCACGGCTGGGAACCCTTGCAGACCCACCTTACTTGGCCTGGTCCCAAGGATTTTTGGTGAATTGCACGTGAACTTTTCCAAGGAAGTAATCTGCAACGTATGTGCTGTATGTATGAAGGACCACATTTAGTGTGTATGTATATCTATGACCAGCAAAAAATACACATAGACCATTCTACTTTATATACTCTTGGCAAAAATTACACTGGAAGTCAACAACTTTCATCACCCGGCTCTTGTTAGCTCCATTTGCCCCTCAAACGGCACATTCGCTTAAAGTGTAGCCACGACCCCAGGGGCACAGACTACTCCATGGTTGTTTCACCCTAGCACAACAGCCACATTTAATTGATCGCCTACGGAACTCGTAATTTCCGGTCGTGCCGAAAATTCTATTTAAATCGAATTCAGTTTAATGGAAAACAATGCACCCTTGGACGCGAGTGGTGCCTTTCATGCAGGTCCCTCAGGGGCTAAGCTGCACCTCGGAAAAACATTCGAATTGGGGGTTTTTTTCCACCTACATCACAGTGTTATAGAGGAGTTGATGTCGATGTGTGTTGGTTACTCCGCATGGAGCAGAAATTTAAACTACTCAAGTATGCATCTGTACCCATTGATGTGGGCAATTCAATCGCAGGCTCCACGCTTGTGATTCCCCGATCCACTCGTGCGGTATAACTCGAGGCGCAAGGAAGTGTGGCGTAGCTCCATTCATGCACACATGTCATACTATCGCTTCAAGTCCGAGCAAAATATGGATGGGCAAGGGCCTAAGCCTATCGTCAGAGGTTATTGTGAGACATCAGATCAGTTCACATACCTCTGCCGCCGAGAGTCTTTCGCTGCTCTCGTAGCACAATAGGCGGCTGACTAATTCACGACCATTCGAGGATGCACCCGGGAGGATATTCTCCCAGCTCTGCGAAGGGAACGAGTGGAATTCTACCTTCCCCCAATCTGGCAAGACTTGGACTTCCTGTTCAATGTTGATTAATGACGTATCCAGTTGCAACCGGTGTGATGCTTACAGGCCAGCGCTGTTCATCCGGAGTGCCCAGCAGTTTGAAAATGGAGAAAATCAGTGATAGATCGCTGCCCACGGGCCCGGAATCAAAGAGCTGGCGGTGACCAACGGCAATGGCTTCTGCTACTAAACAGCCAGCAGCCCACATGTCGAGGGATGTTCCATATTCTTTGAACCCAAAGAGAATTTCTGGGGGTCGATAGCAGGTTGTGCCCACATCCGTGATTTTCTGCGTGGGTGGCTCAGATCCCGCGTCGCCTTCTTTCCACGAAACGCCAAAGTCTGCCAAGTAAGCTGGTCCATTGGGGGAGTCCAATAGAACATTGGAGGGCTTGATGTCCCGGTGAATTATACCAATGCTGTGGAGATGAGCAAGGCCACAAAACAGGTCTCGCAGAATCGATCGTGTCTGTGCAGCAGTTACCATGTCTCGCCGCAACAACTGGTCGAAGTCATATCGCAAGAAAGGAAAGACCAAGACAAATCTGCCACCATCAAGATTAAACGTTTCAATCAATGGAATTATATGCGGGTGAGAACCTTCGCGCAACAACCGGGCTTCACGGTGAGCATCATGGGGGGCTGTCATCAGATGGGGAATAGTGACTTTCACAGCCCGAACAGTCCCATCCTCCAACTTTGACCTGTATATAGAGGAGTGGATCCCAGCAAAGTGGTGAAAACAATACCGATATTGACCGATCACTTCCCCGGTTGAGGTATCGTCATCTTCCACATGCTGTGGGCTGCTAGTGACCAGCTCCTCGGACTCTGCCAATTCAGCCTCATCAATTGCCTTTTGGCAGATAGAATCATACTCGTCCTACACGGAACAGTCTCAGTGGTAATGAAACATATACGTTAAATTTTTGAAGGCGCACAACTCACTTTCGAGGTCGCCTTGTTATACGCCTCGGTTTCAAGCTGCTTCGCTTGGGCCATAGCTTCTGCGAATCCGGAGGCAGACGAGGATGAAGCTTGCTGATAAGCCGTTGTTCTACATGGGAATCAATCGAGTGGTCATGTGAATACAGAGGGTAAAGTCACTTACAGAGACTGTATGGCTCGCAGTCGCTCTGTGAACCCGAAATTGTCCTTCCAAGACATGATGGACGAGAATCTCTGCTAACAGAGGTGGTGTGAGCTCTACTTTATAATGCTTTGCGGTTACTAGACCAATGTATAGCCAGTTTTCAAGAAAGTAAATATAGGGGGAGATCTGTTCTAGCATGGAGAGTTGCTGCGAGATGTCAACCTGAGGCACCAAGGCTCCAACACCAACCGGGTGGATGATGTCATGTGATCAATCAAGGAGTGATAACAGTGCTGTGACGTAAATAACTGCCGGTCAGGCAATTTGTTTGGGTCAATACCGGAGATTGCTGTATTCCCATAACGACCTCCGTCATTCCATCCCATAACCGTCGTCGGCCAACATTGAGAGACACGCTACTAACTGACACTGGCATTCGATCCCGATCCCACACTCATTTGATTGGGCTGTTCTTGCCGCGACCACCGTAGGAATATCTTGGTTTTCTTTTTCATACTATGCGCTTCGTGCGCTACCTTGTTTAATACCTCAATACCCCGGAATCTGAATCATGGATCTCTCACGGCAAGAGTACCCAACCCTGGTGGTAAGATTGAGCAACGCGAGCTTTGTGGCTGGCCATCAAAGCATTTAGATACTGACCGTTGATGGTATTTACTCTATTTAGGCCACTCTACATCCCGGCCAAGCTACGACTATCCTGAGCGATCGCATTCGAGTCATTCACAAGATCAATGCGGATATCGCGGATTACCTACAGGTATGACAATTTTTGACCAGATCCGATGAGATTGGTGGAATGAAATCTGCCACGGGGAGCTACATCGATGTTGACAAATTGGCGATAGGAACGACGTCGCGTTGAAGAAGCATACGCTCAAGGGTTACGGAAGCTGGCGCATCGGCCGCAGTTAGACAATGGAGCTGCTCTTGGGTAAATTTGCCTTTCCCTGGAAGATCGAAGCTCTTCTGCGCCCGAAGATGATTCTGACCTGTGAAACTAGCATTTTCCAAATCCCCTGGCAACGCATCATCAGTGCCACCGAAACGCTCGCCGTGTCGCACGAGACCCTTGCAAACAAGATTGAGGAGGATGTGGAACGACCTTTAAGGGAATTCGGCAGCAAAAATCCAGAGATGAACTCGATGCCCGGTATCCAGAGCAATCTGGCGGGGTTGGCGAAGAATGTGGAGACTGCGCAGAAGAAGGTGGATAAGGCCCGGGCGAAGGGTGCCAAAGGTGCAGACAAACTTTCTAACGAGATCGCCAATGCCGAGGAAGTTCACCGGCAATGGGAATCACGAGCTCCCTTTGTTTACGAGCAACTCCAGGCCGCCGATGAGACCCGGCTCAACCACCTTCGGGATGTGCTAACACAATTGGAGACCCACGAGCTGGACCAAGTCGAGCGTGGTCGCCAGGCTGCTGAAAGCTGCTTGAACATTCTTCTCAATGTGGAAACTGCAGATGAGATCAAGACCTTTGCTGCTAAAATGGCGGGTCCACGGGTCCCTGTGACGCAGGTCATCGCCAGAAGTCAGACTGACCGGGCAGAGACACCTTCCACAATTGAGCCATCATCCGAGCGGACACAGTCTGCGCCAGTCGAGCGTCATTACTCCACACCACCAACAGAGGCACCACTTCCGCCCCCTCCACGCATCCAGGATGATGCGGCAAGCCAACTGTCAGAGACATCTGAGAGACCCACCGTCGCTCAGACATCACAAGGTGAGTTTTTCAATCAGGCTACGATTCCACATTATATGCAACGACTACGTTCTGACGCTTTGTCTTGTACCAGAAGCACAGCCATGGCATACTCCCTTGGGGGGATTGAGACGTCTTGGCACTGTCATGAATAGGAGAAAGAGCATTGTTGGACCCTTGACTGGAACTTTTGACCGAAAGGCAGAGAAGAAACGTAGTCCCTTTGCTGCATTTAAGCGAGCCGACACCTCTCGCGATATGCAAATACCAGAATCTCCCCCCCTGACCGCCACCGGCCGTCCGGGGACATCCTATACCGATCGATCATCCTTACGGGATTCTAGTGTGTCGCAAGATCACGCCGGATTAGATATTGCTGCAACTGTCTCTGAAGCGCACCCAGAGAGACCCAGAAATGGAGCTGCCTCAGCGTCTCTTGAGTCGGCCAATAACCGTGTCGATCAGGTAAACTACCAACCAGCGATTCAAAATTTACAAATGCAACAACCACTGACTGTTCTCTCTCACCTTCAGCCACACGTTGATTCAGAAGGTTTCACCCAGCGCCCGGCAACAATTGACGAGATCACGCGTGCCCAGAATGAGGCAGCAGGGTAGGCAACCTTTGAGTTAATTATGATGCATGAACGCTGACCAGTACTATTACTAAAGCCTAGATGAGTCTGGTCTGAATTTGACAATTCGAGATCAGCCCATTTTCGAGGATGAGAGCCAAGCGAAGCAGGCCATGGATGATATGGCAAATACCCTCCGAATGGTTAGTGACAGGTCTCACCACCACTCAAGCAATGTGCACAATACTTACCTTATTATCCAGCGGGCTCCGCAGACAGGAACGAGACGCAATGCAGGTACCATTCGCGGACGCCGTGATGTTCGCAATACCATGTTCATTGTTTCGCCTGGCAATGAGCTTCCACCATCTTCGGCAGGATCGGGGTCCCAGCCACCAAATTCTCCACTCCGGAATATGACCTCCCCCAGCATTGCTCCCAGCACCGCTACGGATGATCACACTATGTCGGATACAACATCTGTTCGCTCCGGACACACTATGCATGGTCCGGGAGCTTCAATACATCCTGATCTATACGAATCGGGCCTCAATGCTTCAGTAATTGAGACCATCAATGCATGGTTCTCAGAGGGTAATGTTACCAAATCTTCTGTCGTTGGTGAGCTTGCTCTAGTAAACAATGCAACACCGGGTCATGCGATAGAGCGTACTCGCATCCGACTCAATAACTTCCAAATGCTGGAAAAGGTAGCGGCCAATCCTCATTTTGTGCAGGAAGTCTCCAAAGACGCTGGCGATGACAAAAGAGGCGAATACGATATCCAGCTGGGCAGCATATCCCGCCCCATGCCGACTGTTGCATTCAAGTATCAACTTCATGTCGACCCAACCAACCCCTCTGCCTACTGCCCCGTGATCTTCAGGCCAGTCTGGAACCTAGAAGAATTACAAGCCAGCGCCATCATCTACTATACGCTCAACCCATCTTTCATGTCCCACAAATCGAAGTCGATTACCCTCAAGAATCTGGTCTTGACCATCAATCTGGACACCGCCACTGAGGACAAAACAACCAAGCAGCCACGCGAGTCAGTCGCCCACGCCATCACCGCCGCCATGTACCCTAATATTGGCGCCACCTTCCGTCGCAAAACCTCCACCGTCACGTGGAGAATTCCCGAGCTGGAAGTCAAGGCTGCCACCACTCCAGACGTGGACAGCAAGTTCCTCGTCCGCTTCGTGACATCCACCCCTGGACCTCGCAAGGGTACAGTTGAAGCGAAGTTCGAGCTCCGCGGCGCTGAATCCGCTTCTCAGTTGGGTATCAGCCGTGCTGCCTCAGACGAAGAGCAGAAGGAAGCCGACCCCTTTGCCGATGGGGATCGTGAGCTCCCGCTGTTCGCGACTTCGTGGCTGGGCGTCCCGACTACACGCAAGCTAATCAGCGGAAAGTATGTGTCTTCCTAGATATGTCTTGAGCAAGGCGGGATGGAGCTACCCGCGCCTAGTCGTATATATTCCCCTCTTTTATGCACTTCTTCTTCTTCTTCTTCTTCTTCTTTAATCTGTCCACTGTTTGGATTACGTGTCAGGATAGGCATCCTTACAGATCGGGCCCCAAACTGGAGCATCACAATCTCACCATGATGCCATTACCTCATTTTCCCCTTTGTTTTCTTTCTGCCTTCCCCTTCCTTGTCTCTTATGTTCCGAGCATTCCTTTTTGCAAACATCGACTTTGTTGCTTACGAATTTTGTTTGTTGTCTTTTTGTTTGGATGTTGTTCTTTGTAGTTGGGCTTCGCGCACATAAGTATGTAGCTCTGTGTACTATTTCAAAGGGCGATTACCGGGCAGTGACTGGGCGCTCTGTTGTGTTTTATAGGCATTCACATGGTCCATCCATATCTACTCAGTGCAACATGCAACCCATGTCCTTTCGTCCCATTTCCTCTTTATTAACCAGTCTAGAACGAGATTGTAAGGGGAAACGCCCACAATCCACATCAAAGCTATGAATTACGTGGTTATATCACGCTGGTATCATCAATTCTATAGACTTAATGCCTGTCTCAGTCTGATTTCTTGGGGGGTTCAAATCAAATATCGCCCACAGTGCCCTTCAATAGGAAATTAGTTGTAAAAGCTAGGGGCAAGGAGCCGTCTGTATAGAAAATTCCGTAATGTCTTTGGCTATAGCCCCAGCCTTCGTTTGACTTCTTAAATTTGAAATTGTAGACTAGCGAGAGTGTTGCATGCTATGAATGTTGAGGCTAGAGCCTTCACCGCACTCAAACGCTTCTTGACTAGGGTTGGGGGATGTAACTACGCTAGGCCAATAATGGAGCTAGTATGGGTAGGTATAACTATGTTGTACATCTAAAATTTATCACCGAAAGAATCCGAGGTGGTGCACTGCTGGAGACTCCCAGGACCCCCACTGGTACCCAGTCTATTGTTCATGGCCATTTTTGAAGATTGAAAGCCTCATTGTCAAGTAATAAAAAAATTGACATTTTTGAGAGCAGAGGTGGCTATCTATAAACATTCAACGCATCTCACATTCACCATGCGCTTGGACGTAGTCCTTTCTTAACGATTGTCATAGGATGCTTTTCTAGAGAGGTAGCTGTTAGTTCGCTACCGCAGTAGATACTGTCCACGATTTCCCGGTTTTACGTGTACGAGATGAGATGGTGATGAATCTCTTCGGGGCTGACAAAATAATGGTTGGTACTACTACTCTTTTAGGTACATGGAACGTTGTTTACTTGTATTCTATGCTCGGCTACAATCCTTACAAGTCCCTTGTGACTATACCAATAACGAATTCTCTCTATGAGATCTTTTATGCCACAGCAGTGTCTGAAATTTCAGCTCGATTGGGGAAGTTTGAACATTACTCGCCGATTGTGTGAGGAAGGTCGATCATAAATCCACTACCCCCAATTTGGCTACTAAAAGATATGAAAAATACAGAGAGCAGACTAGTTTTAAACGGAGCCCAGATACATAATTTAAGCACGAGTGGGCAAACTACCCTGGCATTCTTATGGAAGTATACTAGACGCAAAGAATTCGAGCTGCTGCGGACTTGGCAGATGAGTATACTCTAGACACTAGTGGGAACGTGAAAGCGATGCTTGCCCTCAACATAGAGTGTAAAGGGTCTTAAAAAGCGACTTAATCTAGTTAGCGACCAGAAGCTATAACTGTGGATGGCGTGAAGTAACTTCAGGCGATCGCCATGGTCAAAGCGCTAGCACATTTCCTTTGAGGTGCAATCTTGGGAGAATTGGAGACTGAAGTTCCAAACCTTTTCGAATGGAATCTGGACTTCCAGCTGAGGAACCAGCTGAAGGACCAGCATTCCGGCTGTCGCTTAGGGACTTTGCTCCCACGAGCATCTCACGGGAGTACACCGACCTCGGTCTCAATTTATCTCTTTCTCGTTGAAGAATTCCGTGGCTTTTCGTTTATCTTTCGAAACGGAAAATTGTTTAGAATTCTTTCTCGTTGAAGAATTCCGTGGCTTTTCGTTTATCTTTCGAAACGGAAAATTGTTTAGAATTGCTCTACGAAGGCATTGGTGATCCATTTCCTCTAGGGAAGAGAAAGTGCCGTCCACTTCGAACTCCCCCTAAACACCAAAGTTCGGAAGAAGAAACCCCTGTGATGGTGAGTGCAATCAAACGTGGACGTGGGCACGAGTTTCATCCGGGCTAAGGATCCAAGAGCCTGAAAGCTGAGCTGCGCTAGCTTTTGAATACATGGAAATTGTGGGGTATATATAGAGTCTCGGTGGCCTGTCTGCGAGGCCCTTATTGCCACGAAGAAAAAAAGGGGAGGGATAGAGAGGTATGCACCGTTGATTTTATTGCTACAACAAATGGCAGGTCATCAATGGCAAGAACACACAACATAGCACAAATCAACATGTGCCGGGGAATCACAGAAATACAGATATGGAAAAAGGTAAAGCCTTAAAAGCATGAAGCTGATGCGACGTATCACATCCTAGCAGCGCGGGTAGTCTTGTCATAGAAGTCCAGAGTCATGGCTGCTAGGAAACACGGGATATCCTTTCTTTCTTCAACCCAGAATTTGATGAGAGGTTTGAGCTCCATGGCGAACAGGCTGTTCGGTCCGCCCGATATCTTCATGGTGCCGTTCTCACCATCGAAAACGATGGAGTTTTCTTCACCGTTGCCCATGCTGCCGGGACCAGAGTCAGAAGGCGCATCGCAGTCACCGTGCCGGTATGCAGAGGAGAGGTGGAACATGGAAGTTACTCGCACCCTACCATTTGGCAAGAAATCAAGCTTGAAGCCGAGGAGAGAGGCGACAGCTTCCCGGAACTCAGAGGACTTGGCTGTCCAGATCTCCTTCAGTCGGCGCATACGCTTCTCTTTATCGGCGACGGTGCGCTCCATGTCTTGCATTTCGAGCTTAATGCTCTCCAGCGTGCTAACCGGGATGACTTTGACATCGGTATGGCCCCCACGCAGCTGCGCTAAGAGGTCTCTGTTCGCAGACTGGAGAGTTGCAAGAGTAGTCATCTTAATTTGCTCGGTTTGAGCTGTCGGATTATCGCGCAGTTCAAGAACGCGTGTTCGTGACTGAGCCTTCAAAGACTTGATCTGTGACTTAGCCGCATCCAGCTCCCGGCGAGCGAGAGTCGTGGCCTGGTCTGATTTGGTGAGCTGTTCCTGGAGCTTGCGGTTCTTGCGGCTAAGCACAGCGATACGCTCACTTTCAGCTTCCCTGTTGGTCGGAGAAAGAGGTCGCTTGACGCCTCTTGCCTCTTCTTTCAATGCTTCCTGCTTTGAGAGCTCTTCGTGCACTTTGTGGAGCTCACTGCGGTATTCATCGACAAGTTGTTGCAGCTGGGTTATCTGCTCTGATTTTTGACTATCAAACTGCGAGGGATCGTCATTCATCGTGGCCTCTTCCGCATCGAATGTCTTGAGTTGGGCGCGCAAGTATTCGACTTCCTTCACTGCAAGTGCACGCTGGCGTTCCAGACGAGCTCGAAGCCGTCCCTCCATGGCACCCGGTCCACCAGAAGCGGCACTCGCAGCGCGTAGCTTCTCCAACTCCTGTTGCAGATTAATCTTATCACTTTCCAGACTCTTGATGGCCTCGTCCTTCTCAAGGAGTTGGGCATCAACAGTTCCGAGACGATCTAGGAGCGTAGCAATCTCAATTCGTCCTTGAACGAGCGCCCTCACAATGGCATCTGGTGAGTCAAGCTCTGCAGGCTGGTCGATCTCCTGCAAGAGACTGACCCAGGATTGTCGCTCGTCTTCCAAAATTTGCTTTTGGATCTTAACTGTATTGAGTTCGGCTTCAAAGCCCTTCATCAACTGGAGCTGGTTTTCCACTGATCTCTTTTGCTCCTCAACCACTTCAATATTCTTGGAGACTTTCCGAAGGTGACGCAGCTCTGTTGTTTGGTCACGGTTTGCTGACTCTAATTCCCGGATATGATTGACCTGCTCGGAGAGTTCTCTTTTCAATACGTTTAACGCCTCGGCATCGTTTCCTTCAGCCTTCAATCGAATATTTTCCGCTTCGAGCTCGGCGACCTCGGCTTCACGCTGGGATAGTTTCTGTTGCGTTGATTCCTGCAATGTCCTGGAATTATGAATATCTGTCTGGAATTCTTCGATGGTCTTTTGCAGAGAAGCGCGGACGGTCTCTAACTCGTTGATCTGGTATTGAAATTGTCGTTCCTGGTCAGAAAGTCGGGCTTGAGTGTCGTCAAACTCTTCTTGCAAGGTTTGATTCTCATCCTGAAGCCCTCTAATCTTACGCTCAAACGCAAGTTTGTCATTCAAAGAATAATCCTGGATTTCTTTCAATTCCTTTGCGAGTTCTTCGCTCTTGTGGGTGGCCCGATTACTGGAAGACTCGGCAGCCTGCAGCAATCATTGTCAGCTTTAGTTCGTTAAACGGGAATCTTATACCAACTCACCTGCGCCTTCCGGAAGTCTGCATCCGCTTTGAGCTGTAAGTCGCGAGTTTCTTTTTCATGGCGAAGAGCCTCCAACTCGCGTTCCTGCTTGATATTCTCGAGCTCGTATTTGAGGGCACTCAATTGCACGCGTAGCTCGTCCTTTTCCGCATCTATACAAACCAGTCAGTTTTCCGTCAGAGGCCTCTCAGGTCGCTTTGTGCACGGGATCATCTTACCATGAATGAGTAGATGGGACTGGGCTTGAGATTTTGTGAAACGGCCAGATTGTCGCATAGCTGTCGATCGGCGCATGGTACTCCGGGCACCGGAGGGTGTTGAGGGTGAGCCGAATCCAGCAATGAGCTGGGAAGCCGGTCGGCTGTTCTGGCTATTGTCCATCTATTAAGAGCCAGAAGAGGTTAGTTATGCGCCGGAAAAAAAACTTGGAGATACATCAAAGCTTACGGTGAGTATAGGCTATTGTAAGCCCCACGGAGATTTCTGTCTAATGAGGCATGAGGCAAGAAACACTGCGCAACTTATCCTGGAGCTGTATCAAAGGGAAGATGGTCAAAGGCGTGCACCGCCTTGTTACGATTAGGTCAGCAGTCAACTGCACCCGAAAAGGGGTTAGCGCCGTTTTAAAAAATTATTTCGATTTTGGCATCGAATTCTCAGTCCACCACCCTCACCCGTGACTTGTCTTCTTTCCCCTCGGTCTCTCGTTCGATTTCACTCAATTTCTTCCGCTTAATACCCCACAACCGTCACCATGGGCAAGGACAAGGTCGAGAAGAAGGACCGTGCTGAGAAGAAGGAGAAGCGTGCGGAGAAGGACGGTGTGCACAAGGCTAAGAAGGAAAAGAAAGAGAAGAAGGATAAGACTGCTCTTGTCGATGCAGTAGAGAAGGAGATTGTCTCCGAGGCCATGGAAGGTCTCGAGCAGACCGGCGTTGTCGCCGTCAAGGGCGAGGGTGAGGTCGACGCCGCTGTCGACCGCCCCGTTGGCGCCCTCGTGCCGTTTGCCAACCCATTGGTTGAGGATAAGCAGGCCAAGAAGGTCTTGAAGAGCGTCAAGAAGGGTACGTTAGCTCATTTCTTTTGAAATTTTACTTCACTCCGCCACTATCAGTGCGTATGGTCGATTTTCATCGGATCTTCGGATCATGTCTACTGATCGCACATGATTCCGCAACTTTTTTTTTTCTGATCTCCAGATCCACACTGACATTTATTCTTCTAGCTGCCGTCAACAAGTCTCTCAAACGTGGTGTCAAAGAGGTCGTCAAGGCTCTCCGCAAGTCTCCTATCCCCGCCGCTAACGCTGCCATCGGTCTCCCCAGCGGTGTTGTTGTTCTCGCTGCCGATATCTCCCCCATGGACGTTATCTCCCACATTCCTGTCCTGTGTGAGGACCACGGCATTCCTTACGTCTTCGTCACCTCCCGCGCTGAGCTCGGCGCTTCCGCTGCCACCAAGCGCCCTACCAGTGTGGTTATGGTTGCCCCCAAGGCTGCCAAGGGCAAGAAGGAGGATGATGAGGAGTTCACCAAAGTGTTCGAGGAGCTTGCTGGATTGGCCCAGAAGGAGCTCAAGAAGCTGACGGTCTAAAAATGTTCTCGACTTGTCTCTTTTTCCTTTTTATTATTTGCTCTTCCCACGCTGTTCACTGCGAGTGGGTTCTCTGGTTGTACAGGTTTCTGATACCGTCTGTTCGGATGGTGCATGTCTTATGGGGTCCGGCCTATGGGTATCTTTCTATATTTGCTCTTTTGTTCCAACTCGGCGTTATTGTAATGGTGTACGAAAAAGGCTAGAATTCCAATGAGATATCACCAACCTCACAGACTGTCCTCAGTAAGATCTCGGTTAAGTTTTATGGACCTCTCATGCAAATTGCAGTCAAATCACTGCCTGTGGGGCAGTGCGACACCCGCATACGTCCACTACGTTCTGCCTGATTGATGTAAGCGTTGAAGCTCTCAGCAAGTCCGAGGTTATCCTTTCCATGTGCGTAAAAAACAACAGGTCGCACATTAAATTGGTCTCGAGTCCGTCCAGCATTCAATAGTGCCCTCACGATACGGAAGGAAATCCAAGACTTTTGCGAACGCAATTTGTCGGACGGCGTAGCGAAGTCAAGAATTGTAGATAACAGGTGGGGGCAGGACATTGAATTTATCTCATGATCATGGATAGAAAAGTTCTCTGGACCATTCATGCCTGTTATTGACTTCACATACATTTAATAAGAAAGTCTGAAAAGGATAGGTAACAAGACTTTCAAACAGGAAAATACAGCAATTAGCCTTGCATCGTAAGATGACTGTGTATGCCCATGGCGTTCTGAGTTCACGCCAATCAACATAAACAATCTCTTCCCCCTTGAATTGTATATCAAATAGAGGGATAAAATGCATACCCCAAGCTCAGCCTACATCGATCTCAGCCAATCAATATGCACGGTGTCCTCGAAAAAAAATCTAATCCTAAGCCAATGTATCTTCCAGCACTAGCCTAGATCCAGGATCAGAGTTGGCATTTGGCACTGGGTCTGGCAATGGGGGGAGGTGTGCCATTTGTCATACACAGCTTCTACCTTGTGTTCAAGGCGTCCAAGGTACGGCCCTTGCTGTTAATTTACTGCCTTTGAAAATTGAGATAAACAACTGTATGTCCTCGTTCTGCATCAAGCAATTCGTTTTTCTCCATTCACTGGCCCATCGTTTAGCCTATGCACACTATATATCCTTGAAAATGCAAATCCATCTCCCCTCAATTTTGATCCTCGCAGTTCTTTTAGCTGTCACTCAATCAACTATATCCCACCCTATCCGAACTAGCAAATGGGTCAAGAAACAGATTCCAGACTCCTATGCTGGTGGAATATGGAAGGTCTTTGAGAAAGAAGAAGATGATCTATTACCCGATCCACCACACGTCAAATATAACGGAGTAAGTCCGAGATCCTACTGGTATATAGTTGACTCGGCGACTTACCAACTTCCATCGATAGAACCCAGCATGGCCAACCAACCAAAATGACGAACCAACAGAGCAAGGCAAGCCGCTTATGCGGCCTTGGGATGTCTTTTCAGCTAGCGTTTTTAGCTAGTCTTTTACCATCGTTCTCAATTTCAACATGGACAGCAGAAGAAGGTAGAGAAAGGCTTAAGTTGTGAATGGATTTACTATGTACAACTAGGGATATGATGCACTTCCACCCAGGTAAGATGATAGGGAAAGTTACAATCCCATCCCTCCAGAAGAGAGAGGCATTTACAAATCTCTAAGAATGGGTGAAAAATGTTGAATGAAGTTAACCTATCTAAAGAGATTGTTACGGAGTTTAAAAGAACGAAAAACGTAGTGATCAGATTTTCAAATACTGCTATACAAAACCGTACGCAATTATAAATTTTGATTCATCGTAACCTAGCCCTGGCCGCACCCAATCAAAGCACGCTGGGCTGCATTTTCCAAAAACACATCTCAGACCAAGGAGACTCAAGCGCGCTGATCACTTTCCAAGTGCTCGTATACAGTCTGAATATCTAAACCCTTCTGATGGGGACGGGCAGACTCATTAGCAGAGTGGGCATTGCTATGCTGGAACTGGCTAATAGCGTCACGGCCAGGGTCCTGGCTGGAACCAATTTCCGAGTTGAAGCTAACATTTTTAGCATCATCGGAGGGAAGGCCACCCGCTTGAATTTCGGTCACGTCGTTAAACTGACTGCCACCACCACTACCGCTGGCGGTAGAGTATTCGCCAGCCTTGATGCCCATCTCCTTCTTGGCCGCAGTTGAGCCACCGGCGTACCCAGAATTGTCCATATGGGTGCCAGGGAAGTTGGCCTGACCAACCACACATTCGGGGTACTTCTGTTCCTCATGGCGGTCCTGGCGGCGAGCTCCAGATGAGGTGGATGGAAGCTTGATGGAGGCGGAGGTGTTGTTGTTGTTAACTGTGGATTGACTTCCTGACATGCCCATTTCCTCGGCACCACGGTTGCCAGAGAAGCCGCCACCTTGTCGGATAGACTCAGCGGCAAGTGAGTCATTGGTGATAGGGCCAGACGGTTCTTCGATGCGCTGCTGTGTGCGAGGATCGGTGGTGACCTTGGTGCCACGGTTACCGGGGGGACGAGGAGTGCCTTGAAGATCCATGATATGGTGGAAAGAAGAGAAAAAGGTATGGAAGCTAAAGTTTCTGAACAGGTATTTGGTAGAGAAGAGATGGGAGGCAATTAAGTAGTGTACATTAGATGGCTGTGAAAACACATCTATATAAGAATGCAGTGAGAACCGTATGTGAAAAGTATGTTGTGCTTTCAGGGAAACCGGTAGTATTGAAAAGATTTATTTGATGTCATCCTTACGTTGGACAGTCACATTTGCAAGAAATCTGCACGCTCAATCTTGTTGGCCAGTCGCAATCGTGTGCACTGGTCACACATGAGACACTCTGTTGTTAGAGAATCCGATAGAATTGAGGGTGTGGAGCACATACTCCCCTCTGATGTATTCATGCTTCTAGAAAGCATCCAAAGGGGAAACCAGGCCGCCACATGCCTATCCAAGACTTGTCTGAAATCTATCTCCAGACCAAAAGTTGTTGTTGCGAGGAGGCAATTGACGTCAGGTCTAGACCGCTGACATGCAAACAATGCAAATATCTTCTTTTGCACTGAAGTGAAACCAGCACCCACCTTGCACAAGTGTCAACTCGCGACTCAAGTTACATTGTATCAGTAAAGATCGTACTGGAGAAGTGAGACTCGGCATCTGATAAAATGCAGCTATTTCGCTGAGACTGCGCGCGATCCTAAATTGAGATCTGTAAGCCCGCACCGGGTGTGGCAGGCTTTTTGGCTAAGCGCTGTGGACGATCTCAGTTGCTTTTTGGATCTAAAATTGGTGGTTTTCGGGCGATAGTCATATATTTGGCTTATTTATGTCCGTTTTAGCCACAATTTTCTTGCATGACAATGTCGGGTCGAGTGAGATGCTTCTTATTTGAAGAGAGCTTTGTTGTCGCGCTGTCGCCTCGATCGTGCTCAGTCGATTCAGATATACCACTGTGTTGATACCTGGCTTTTATGCCAGGGAGGCCAAGATGTGGGCACCAAGGCTTCCGGTAGCACAGTAACAGACACACACTCCCCAGAACCTAATGATGGCAACTTGGTTGGGGGAAAAATGTGTGTTGGAGCAACAAAGCCGTTTGTGTATTTGTGAAAAGTGCCGCTAATCCTCGCTCGGTGCTTAAAAGATGTCTGGCATATCTGACATCATGAGAGTACCATCAGGTTGTAGGATGCGATGAAGATTCTCCAATGATATGGAAAGAGTCCGTGCTGCATGTATACAACTGGTGGCCAAAATGATATGTGGTTCTGCAAGAGTTGGGCTACTGGCTCACTTTCCATGTTCAGAGCTTTGAAATCCCTGAACGGGGACTTCTTGAAACGTTAGCCAGCAGCCGCGATGAGCGACCCTGAAATCTCTGTCATGGTGTATTTCCCGGGGACTGTTAACTGGGCAAGCAAAGGCACAATTCTGCTTGTTGTCCCGCCAGTGCCCCCGCCAATCTTAAGAATGCAGACGGGCTGTCTACCTTTGAAGTTGACTTAGAACCCTGAAAAATCCCTCAAGCTGTTTGATATAAACTGTATTGATAGGGAAGTTCGAATACATGTCTACAGCAGTCTTTCAACTCTCAGGAGTGAAGAAGATAAGCCTCGGGCCATCTTCTCTGTCCATTTTGAGACCTGCAAATTTCTAGCCCACCAGCACTGCGAGCTTATGCCCAGGAGCATGAACAGGATAATTGCATAAGAGGCCGCTGAGTAGTGTGTCCGCAGATATGGTCGGCGGGGCGACAGCTGTGTGTATCATTTTTGAGTCGTTGATCTCTATAAAACGAGCGTCTTTTTCTAGCAACCCATAGGTGATCATGTTCATAAGCCTCTCGTGCTTAGGGTGGTATGTATAGAACGCGCTTAAGCACTTGGCCTGGTGCTGCAGACCGTATTGGACAACTCAGTTATTCGAAGGCACTCAAAACATTCATATGAGCTCCGTGAACCGCTGCACGACATGCCTAGAGTGGGTTCCCAGTTCTCCTTGACAATTTCATCATTGGTGTTTCCTTTGATCTCATGGAATGCATCTAGAAATCTTGACATGGATACGGTGCCCAGAGCATAGGTAAGACTAGATTGAATCCCAATCATCACTCAATTCAAAACCACAATGCATAATTCGCAAGGAAGATTTCGTTCCCTAAGATTCCAAACAAACCGAGATTAGATGATTCAGGACTCACAAAAATCTGGGTGTACGACAATTTATGGTATGATTGGCAGATGTGTATGACTATAACTAAACTGAAAACTAAACAAGACAACAACTAGTCATAACAGCAGATGGAAGGTGATACAGTCCCTCGATGACCTAGAGTCCAAGTTCGCTAGCACTACTACCAATAGGCGCACTCCCACGCAGGCCACTGTTATCAGGAGGGAACTCTAGACGTCCAGAACCAATGCTAGTGATTCGCTGGTCAAAGGAGTTCCAGTCACTGGCGACTGGAGGTTGATCAGGAAGAGGCAGGTTGGCTTTGACCTTGTCAATTTTTGCGGCCTTGTTGGTATTTTGGTCGATGATAGACTATAGTAAACATGTTAGGTGATCTGCATTCTATTTGAGTATTTCATTGCAGATAGCTTGCCTTCATTCTAGAGACATTTGAGTCTGCTGGGGGGTTCCCACCGTGCAACTGGGAAAGCTTGGACTCTGCCCTGCGAATGTCCTGAATGGTGGTGTGGAAGGTGGCATCAGTCATTTCGCGTCTTGTTGTAAATGTGGTGAAGTGTCAGAAGCGGCAGATTATGACGTTGAATTTTGAAATACATGATTTAAAGCAAGGCAACTGAAGGTTTATATATCGTCTATCTTCTTTGTCGATGGCAAGACGCTGTGACGTTTTGTTATAATGACGAAATGGCATTAGGGCTATGCATATTCTCCACCAGAACCAGCTGGGGCTTACTTCATCTTAGGAATTTGGCCTCTGTTGAAAATTCCAGGCTTTAGTTTCAACAGGAGAATAACCAACTGGATCGAACTCGGGGATTGGCGTCATAGCTGGTGGACCATCTGAGGTGGCAAGCCTCCTCAGTTGCGTTCATGACAAGATGCTATGCGCGTTCCCTAATCTTACCACTCGAGTTCTGTCAAGGAGTCAATCGATATATTGAAGCTGAATGGCCAATATGAAAAAAAAAAAAACGATTTGTTCATGCAGCTCTTGGTTGTTCAGTACATTTCGACAACGAGCGGGAACGTTGCATGAATAAATTTTAGAGGGCACTCTCAAAATCTCAATCCGAGTCTATTGCAATCCCGTAGATAAATCAGGCCGCTTTGTCTTTGCAGCGGCATATGTACCAGGCCCTAACAACCGTTAGGACCACACTAGTGCATCGCCAATCTCACGTGATAGCATAGCAATAGCCCATCCCAAAGAGGTTTTGCAAAGACCCGGAATTCATGGACGAGCATTGCGCCGGTGGACTGGCGACGGTTTGCCTTTACGTTTCACACTGGAATATGGTAAACGGACTAAAGCTCCAGTTACAATGATCTAGCAATTTTAGATTGATCTCCAGTGGTGACAATAGACGCTTAGGATTTAAATTAAAGGCTTCAACAAGTTCAGCAGTCGGCGTCCTGAAGCGGCATAAAGCGTGGTGCCATTACCAACACCGCCTTCCCTCCTGACATGGCAGAAAATGGTTCTTATCGAAAGACAGGCAACTCCGCTGTGCAGACTTGGTGACTCTGGTCATTGAATTTCTCGGAGGATATTCTGCTTTTTGACACATCTGTCCTACAATATGCCTCGAGATCCACTGATCGGACTGGTGGGCAAGGTGTGTCGTTTCATTCCATTGTTTACATCACCCCACTAATCGGAGATGCGAGGGGCATGCAGCCGTCTAGTGGAAAATCCACGACATTGAACAGTTTGACCGATGCGACTTCGAAAGTTGGTAAGTATACTGGAATACAGCTATAGATAATCTCGGGAACCTTATAAATCATGCTCTAAACAGGAAATTTTCCGTATGTGTGCCCTTGTTCTAAACGAGCATCTCCACCTTGCCGCAGTTCATCGCGCAAGCCGTGTTGACACCCGACAGCTTCACAACAATTGACCCCCAGCGAGCCATTGGATACCTTCAGATCGACTGCCCATGTCAGCGACACAATGTTTCGGACCGGTGCCAGCCCAATTACGGAAGCTGCCATGAAGGGCGACGTTCCGTGCCGATTGAGTTGCTAGATGTCGCAGGTCTTGTGCCAGGTGCGCATCAAGGTCGTGGACTGGGAAACAAGTTCTTGGACGATCTGCGCAACGCCGATGCTCTAATTCACGTCGTGGATGTGAGTGGGACCACGGATGCAGAAGGTTAGTTGGTTGTGCCCGATTGAACACATTGGGGCGAATTGGGTGTTGATAGAAACCCATAGGAAAGGCTACTCGAGGATATGATCCATCGGTAGACATTGAGTGGTTGCGATCAGAGATCGTGCGATGGGTGTTGGGAAACCTAATGGAGAGGTGGTAAGTTTGCTAGCGCCAATGACCAAACAAGGGACAAGTGTTGATCTATTGTTAGGGGCTCTATCAAGAGGAGACACCAGGCATTGAGTCAGTGAAATTTCGGAACGCTATTTCCAGTGACACAGAACTGACCCTGAGCACAGAGGCAAACCCCATCGACACATTGCAGAAGCAGTTTGCTGGTTATGGAAGTACTCATGTCACCGTTGCACGATTCATGGATAAACTTGCCTTAAAGGAGCCGTTGGAAGATTGGTCAAATGAAACGGTAGAGCTTGTTGTGAATGCATTTATCGACGAGAAATTCCCCACAGTGTTCGCACTGAACAAGATCGACCACCCAGATGCAGACAAGGTACGAGTCATCTAGTTTGTAATCCACATATTATGCTAATGAAAATTGAAGAACATCAGCAAGATTGCGAAAATGCAAGATCCCCAAAGCATCGTGCTTTGCTCTGCTATATCGGAAGTTTTCCTTCGAAGGCTAGCAAAGCAGAAGTACATCAAGTATGTCGAGGGCAGCGAGTTTGTGGACACACGAGAAGATTTGATCGAGATGGGTGACCCAGATGGGGGAGGCCTCAAAGAGATGGACGAAAAATTGAAAACGTATGTTCAGTTCTCAAAGGAAAGGCATAAACTTGCTAACGACTTCGCTTCAGTCGGGTTGAGAATATGAAAGACATGGTGCTTTATCGATTTGGATCCACCGGAGTCGTCCAGTGTCTTTCCCGGGCTGCAGAACTTCTGGGTCTCGTCCCAGTGTTTCCAGTCCGGAACGTGGCAACATTCAACTCTGGCACTGGAACTGCCGTATTTCGCGATTGTGTTTTGGTCAACAAGTTAGCACTCCCTATTCCGAGGCTGACCTGGCCTATCTAACATCCCATAGAAACAGTACTGTCGGTGATGTTGCCCGGAAAGTAATGGGTGATGTACCTATCAACTATGTCGAAGGAGTGGGTGGAACTCGAGTCTCCGAGGATGACATTGTGGCAGTTGGGAAAAACGATGTGAGTGCGCCCTGCTAAATTGTAGAATAGGATTGATTGACTGATTCAAATTGCAGATCCTATCATTTAAGGTTGGTCGGTAGACCAGTCTGTTGATGTACAGCCTCTCCCATAACATGGCATCAGTAATGGAAATGTCTTGTGACCTAGTTCAATGCTCCGATTCCCTATGATCACAAAGTTTTGCGGCATCAACAGTGAAATATCGAGCTCAAAGAACGCCATAGAACAATTTAAAAAAAAACTTGACTTCAACTCTCCTTCTGCAAGATTGGGACGCAGTCAGCAACATGAACTCCCCGATCATTCATGTGAACTAACCTTTGACCGTTCATCATTCATGCCAATGACCGGCTCTGGTGCTTTAGGGTGCTGCTCTTTAGCCTTCTTCCCATATTTGGTTCCGCCCCTCTCTGTCATTCCCTGTGACTTGGTGTCATCTGCAAGACCCTGGTTTGTTTTCCTTTCCTTTAATCCGGAGGCTGCTGCCTCTGAATGTACATCCTCTGTATCGCCTCTTTTCGATCGCTTGCGTGTGTGATCTTCCGCTGAACTGCCTTTCCAGTCCTCAAAGATGGAGTAATCTCGGATCCCAGGCTGTGCACGGAGAACTGGAGGGTGTAGAACGGACTGCAACGGTAGGATGGCATGCCAACGTTGTCGTGAAGCGGACATTCTGTGCAGCTTTTGCGTGGCAGAAGGGATAAAGTGGTTGCGTGCAACTTGCGAGTAATTGAACATGCTTGAATAGCGTGAGCATTGGATTTTTTTGGGTTACGGGTACTCGGTGCTATGACGTCCCTATGCTGCAATGCCAAAGCGTCCAGAAAGGGTAAGAGCCGGTTCGAACTCGCGGCTAAGCTTATCGATAAGACGACGATCGTCATCGGCGCGGCATTTTTAAGCGGACAACGTCAACCTCTTAACTCAACACAATGAAACGCGAGTACATCACGATCGAAACACTGCCAGCTTGGCAGAGGCTTAACGGGATAGTCACCCAAGGAATCTCAGTTCACAAAATTGGATCTGATCAACACGGCGCAGACAAAGGCAGCGCCCTCATCGCAACAGAAACTCAGATGAGCAGCGAGAACGATGCGAAACCGAAGATCCTCCTACAAGTTCCCCCAGAATTGGTTTTGTCCCTAGAGACCGTCCAGAATCAGGCCAAAACAGACGGGCATTTGCGCGACGTGTTGGAAGCAATCGGCGACTTTGGAAGGGTATGCCTGCTCCTTCCACCACTTCTAGCTGCACTACAGTGGCCAACTGAGGTTCACAGACAGCTAGAGGAGCAATCCTCATATTCTTAATCATTCAAATATCCCATAGCAGCTCCGATCTGCACCCCAAACACGAGACCATCGGCATCTCCAATCCCTGGACCGAGTACGTAAAGTTCCTGCCTCCATCGTTCCCTTTGCCTACCTTCTACACTGCGGAGGAACAAGAGCTTCTTCGGGGCACATCGCTTGCAGAACCTCTGGTTGCGAAGCTTGCATTCCTTGAACGGGAGTTTGAGCAGCTCCGCCAGGCTACGGGGGGTATTGCGTGGTGTCAGCGAAGCTGGTGGCATGAGAGAACTGGCGCGTTGACAATTGATGACTGGAAATATGTTGATGCTGCTTATCGATCGCGCCTGCTGGATCTACCTGGCAGTGGTCTAGCTATGGTGCCTTGCATTGATATGGCCAATCATGTCTCCAGTGATGGGGTCAAGGCGCTATACGATACAGACTCAGAGGGTAACGCCGTTCTTCAGTTGCGATGGGGCAAGACTATTCAGCCAGGAGAAGAAATTACAATTTCGTGAGATTCCTCTACTGCGGACATGGCTATTGAGGACTTGGCTGACACATGGCTTGACAGGTACGGCAATGAAAAGTCCGCATCCGAAATGATCTTTTCCTATGGATTCCTAGAAAGTGGCATCACGCAAGCACGGGAAATGTTCCTCAACCTTGAGATTCCAGAGGATGACCCTCTCGGCCTCGCAAAGAAGATGTTCTGCCAGAACAATTCGGGAGTTCGAATTTCGGTCGTTGATGGCTCCGAAGAAGTGACATGGGAGAGTGGGCTTGCATGGATTGCATGCGTGAACGAAGAAGACGGGCTTCACTTTGGGATCGCACAGACAATCGACGGCGGTCGGGAGTTAGAAACGACCTGGAAAGGCGAAAAGGTCCAATCAACCAGTCATCTCCGCGATCTTCTCGCCGCTGATCCCTTTTGGGAGATTTTCCAGCTTCGCGCTGCGGTGTTGCTTCTCGAACGGCTCGAAACTCAACTCGCTCTTTTCCAAGAGGCTGAAGAGATCATCTCAAATTTGAAAGAGGGTAAAGCGGCCTTGAATTCCATATTCAGACCTGGGATCTTCGCCGCAATTGCCCAATTCCGGACATTGGAAGGGAATCTTCTCGAGAAGGCCATTGAGGACTTCATAAAACAGGTAGGTGATCTGATGTGTCGAATGTCTCACAGGGCCAGATCCTTTCTAATTCCCCACAACTGACCATTACATGCAGCGAACAGAATTGCTGGCTTCTAAAACAGTGGCCGAATATTTCAACGCACAGACAGGGGAGCCGGACGAAGCGGAAGACATTTCATGATGCAAAACTAAGGTCCCAGACCTTGTGAATGGGTCTGATGAAGGCCGGACTACAGACTAGAGGACGATATAGTAACTCTACGGATACGTTGAAGCATCCGGAGCCTTCCTAAATATCCACCCAATTTTCGAACATTTTTATTCGCCCAACAGGCTGCAAGAAGCCAAGTCCCTGCCAGATCATCTCAAAAAAGAAAATTGCGAGCCCCACACCCCCGTAGCGCACCGAGCTATTTCAGGTAAAGGCGCTATTAGCGTTAAATTGTGACGAAAAGACAGGGGGATGACGGCTATGACGGTTATAGTCGAAAATCATGGAGTTGTTTAAAGAGTTGATGAGAATCTCAACGTGTGGTACAGGGTCTGGAGTTACATGCGGGGGAAGCCAGCAGGAACCACGATTTCCGATATCCACCGGGTTGGCCAGACGCAGTACATGGCTTCTCGTATGTTGTAAGTGAAATTTCCCGAGCTTACCGCTGATGTCAATGGGTGTACTCTGTACCAGAAGAGAGCATACTTTTGCCATTGGGAATGACCAATAATGAGGGATGCGGTATGTACATTTTAGTGGAGCGCAGGAACGCCGTAGATCACAAATCCAACAGGCCGGATCATAGTGGGGCTACGAACTTGGAACCATGGCTCGCTGATCTCTCGGCCAAAACTCGCTTTTAGCGGAGCAGAACGGGGTTTTTAGGACGATGCCACGAATACAAGATGTTGTACACCGTCTTAATTCGATTTTATAGAGTGAAACTATATCCCGCATCTTTGGTTGGGCTCTGATGACAACTGCTAATCAGTTCGGTTCGTAGGTGCTCAGGTGGAGCTAGTAGTATAACTTACGCAAATCCTTTGAAACTATAGTTGAGTTTGATGTTTACCCGCGGGTGATCCTCCGTGAACAGTTCGCCACTATGGTGAAATGTGTATATTACTTCAATCTAAATTTTAACCTTGAGAAGATTCCAAGGTTTTTTTTCGGGTTTCTCGGTCTTCATGGTTAGAGTTGGGATTTGGCTTTGATTGTGGTCAAGATGACTTCAGTGGTGCCCTGAGTGTCCAACGAGCAAGGTGGTATTTTGTGTACAAAGTACATGCACTAACCGGGGTGTTCATTATTGCAAGGACTATGGAGCGCTCTCGATTGTTCTCTTTTTGGAAAGTGAGGACATCCGTGGACATTGTGGACTATTGACTGTAGCCAATCACCGGACTACAATCTAATATGAGGCCTATGAGTGTAGGTAGACACGCCGCTGCATGTGCCGCTGAGGAATCGGCGCCGGAGGAGAAAGTCGGAGGCGGTTTAGAATGCCCATTTACCGCAACCGGGTTGGATCCGAGTCCTGCACCTTAGTATGCAGCACTCCAAGGTATAGCTCAGTACGAAATACGGAGTACATGTATTCCGAAAGGGGCGTTATTTTATCATTGAAGCCAACCCACATTCCCACCTTACTTCGTTGACGCTTCCACATCATCCCAAGGGGTTGTGGAATGCGGAGTGCGGGGTCCGGGAAGATCGGATCCAACCGTCAAGCAGAAGAATTGTCGACTGCAGGAAGAATCCGGGGCGAGTTAAGCGGTTTATGGGGTATCGCCTCTCAAAATAGTCAAAATTACGGGTCCAAAAACGAATCAAGGGTACAGTGAACGGAACGAGTACACAGTCGATACCAGTTCCCACCGATACACCGACGGGTTTATTGGCTCTGAAGGAAGGTCAGCAGGCTCCACTTTCAACTGACTCAGCATTTACGTGCCCCCATCCTCCCCGAGGTCCCCCCCCCCATGTTTTTAGCCTTCTTTCTGCATACAACATACTTGTCTTGTTCAAACTGATGATTTTTCAGTTGCATTGTGTCAATATCAAGAATCCTTAACGGAGTGTTGTGCTTATCTTTCTGGCGCCTTTCAAATACAACGAACTCAACCCCCGGCGGCCCGTGTGCCCCTTCTGCACAACATGCCTGGTATCTTGCCTATGAAAGTGATCAAGGTCGGTGGAACTGGCACAACAAGCCGTATTGCCCAAGCCTGTGACCGATGCCGAAGTAAGAAAATACGCTGCGACGGTGTTCGACCTTGCTGCTCGCAATGCGCCAATGTTGGCTTCGAGTGCCGCACCAGCGATAAACTAAGCCGTCGCGCCTTCCCACGTGGATATACTGAGTCGCTAGAAGAACGAGTCAGAACTCTAGAAACCGAAGTTAAGGAATTGAAGGATTTGTTAGATGAGAAGGACGAGAAGATCGATGTCTTGTCCCGGATACATTCGTTCTCGCCGTCGCAACGAGCCCCCTCTGCGCGGTCTCCCTCTGCTTCTGCGACGGTGAAATCGAGCACTTCGGACTCATCGGATGGCGTGTTTCATGTAGAGAGCTCGACAACCAGACTACCGCAGAAGTCACAGAACCCTTTTATCGGGTTTTCAAGCACCCAAGGCTTTGCTGGTATGTACTACGTCTGGTCTCCCTTCTGCGAATTGAAACGTTTAGCTTACCTGCGCAGATGTTTTTACCAATAAGCTTGTTAGTGAGGGTAAATCAGCAGCAAAAGTTTACACGGGCGCGCTCACTGCCTTGTCTACCTCGGTAGTCCAGGGTGCCCCTAACCAAGCTGTGAAAACGCCACCTCGCTTGGTGTCGGACCAGCTGATCAACATTTTTTTCCAAGAGTGGGCGCCGCTATATCCTGTGGTACATCGCCCGACCATTCTGAAAGCTTATGAGCAGTATCTCAACAATGCCGAAACTCTCCAGCGCAATCCGCATGTGATGGCGCAGTTGAACCTGATTTTTGGCATTGCTGCTCTTTCATCAATGTCGCGAGCCAACCAAGATCCGATTTTCTTCGAAGAAAACTGGTCGGCCACCCTTGCTTTGCTCTCAAACGAAACGTCGGTTGCCAGCCTGCAGTGCTTTGTTCTTGGTCAAATCTACTGCATGACCAAAGGCGACTACCGCACCTTGCTTCGCTATCGTGCCCTTGGTGTTGATATTTGCCACCAGCTTGGCATGCACGAAAAGCAAGAAAGTTCAGGCAACCCGCTTGAGGACGAGACTCGTAAGAAGGTTTTCTGGTCGCAATATGTACTTGACCGATTCTGCTCGGCGCTTACTGGACTGCCTATTCTTTTACGCGAAGAGGATATCGAGACTCAGTATCCGGTTGATGTGGACGATGAGAATGTAACAGAAACTGGATTTTTACCGACCCTTCCTGGCGAATCAACTCGCATTTCCAGTGCCATCGCTCTCTTTGGAGCTGCAAGGATATTGAATAAGGCATTGGAATATCTCTACCCTTCAAAATCTGGCTATGATGTCTGTGTTTCGAAGATGCGCTCTGTGACGAAGCAACTGGACGAGTGGCTTCACACACTGCCGCCACACCTTCGTCTCGAATTCAGTCAGGACAAGCCTAGCACTACCATCACGAGTAGTCGATCGCCGCTCTTGGTAAGTCGCAGCATATATGTATCGAAGCTTTCCAAAAAAGATACTGACCACGGTATAGTCACTTTTGTACTATTTCATCCGATCTTTGATACATCGCCCGGCTGTCTGCTACGCCGACGAGAACCTTCGCTCTCCGTCTGTTCTAGCGCTGTCCGATTCGGCAAAGCATATCATTCAAATTCTTGAACTTCTTGATGAAAGACGATTGTGCCTATCTGTTAGTATCAATAGGAAAGAGCTTGTGTTCTTTTCTGGGCTTGGACTCCTTTGGCAAATGCTTGATGTCAGAAACGATAGCAAACTGGCCAAGGATAGTCAGAAGCTGCTTGGAGCCGCCATGCGATATCTCCAATCAGAGTCGAGTGCTGCAGCTGCTGAATTCGGCATGCTTTCCAATACTCTGATCTCTCTGGGCGGCGGAAGACGCCCATCGGTGGGCAAGGAGCAACACCAGGAGATGCTGGCTCCAACACAAAAGCCTAGCAAATCCCCCAAGAAACACTTGCAGGTCTTAAAGTCGCGCCTTATCGCCTGCTCCACCCGTGATAAGCAGCCTCCAACCCAGCCCTCCCCACAGTCCTCTCGCCGAAACACCATCTCCGGAGCCACACCCCCACTTATCTCCCAGTCGCTCCGCTCCCCTAGCGGGAGCAGTCTGCCGCTCACTCAAACTGACCAGCGCCCCGCCCCGCTCTATAGAAGCGATAAAGATCATTCCCCCTTAGACCTAGCCTCGGACACCCGCTTAGCCGCATCTTTGGGTCATGATCACCCACGCTCCATGTCCTGCTCTACGCCCTCCGACCCCACAGCTGGCGCAATCACCATGGCCGATTGGGAATATGTGTTGAGCGATATGGACCGGGGGTACTCCAATATCTTCACCGGTATCTACGGCGGCAAAGAATGCGGCGAAGACCCAGGCCCATTTGCCTCCATTGCAGCAGAATATAACCGCAAACCCAATGACTCCTCCCTCGCCAATCGCCCACAGAGTGAGATGCACGGCCTCTCGCCCGAAGCGTGGTCTGCCAGTAGTGGCGACTTCGTATACAAGCAAGAACAAACCGCGCGGAGTGTTCTGAGCTATTCAAGCGAGAGCATGGGAAGTACGGAGGAGTCTGTAGCGCCCTATGCTGATGCTAAAGTTTTCCATGAGGATATCCACACCATCGATTCCTTCAATACTTTTGCTATGCATGGCGAAGATGAGGTCGATGAGTTTTCTCTGGCCAATGGCTGGGACCGACGCCTGGCCGTCTGAGTAATTATTTAGCGCAGAGTGTCTTTTTTTTTTGGGAAGGTTTAAGGGTTTGGAATGGCTTTCCCCTTTTCTGTTCGATTCATGATACCTATGGATGGGGGCGTTTGTTTGCGTTCATTTCATCTTCGATTTGTATCTGCCATTTTCCACAATCTGTCTTTGATCTTCTTTAATGCTTGGAAGCTTGGTTTTGTCTGCCGTGGCTGGTATGCCTAGTAAATAGTATAGTTTCTTATGATGGGCAATGCCCAAGAAATCGGGTATATATATATGAATTTGATGATGATCAAAACATGACTTGGGGCTAATTCTAAAATACCATAGTGCTGTAAATACTCGGCCACGCCATTTTTCCCCTAATTGGTAAGTTGAATGCTCAAAAGATCTTACTACCCCGATAGGCACGACCATTATGACTGTATAAAAGACCGTATATGCTATACAAAACTATCCCCCGTTAGCTGCTAACGCCTATGAAAAGTGTGAGATGGAAAATCGTTGCCTTGTGTACGACCATCAAAGTATGACAGTTGCCGGCCTTTTTTCCACGTAAAAACCTCATTATAGCCGTAGTGAGCCTCACATCAGTTCCTTCCCAGCAAGATGTATTTAGTCGGTAATCAATTGGGAGTGTTAAGAACTCATCTCACTAATAGCGAGTAAGACTACAAAACTCCCCGATATAACAAGTGCGACCCATCGTAATTGGATCCGTAATTAAGTTGGCGGGGATCTAGTGGGCCATCTAGCGAGTGTGAAAACTGGACCCCATAAATAAATCGGTGTGTCCTCGGATTGATACATTTGCTAAGATACTTCGAATGATGTAACCAGCTGGCGTGACGAAGCTCACATAAATATCCTTGGATACACAGCCAGTAAAGCAATACAGGGATCGGCTTCCGAGATTCCCTATTAATGTCACTTATGTCACTTTTCAGGGGAACATTGGTCACAGTTTACATTCCATTTCCTCGAACCTGAATCCACTACTGAGGTAACGATGAGACGCGAACCCAACTCTTATCCCAAAAATGGGCACATGGAAGGATATCCGGCCTCAGTTCTTGCCCGCTGTGATCACCATGTTTCTCCTCCTTCAGGTCCTTTTCTTAGTGAATATGTGCTATCTTTATGCGACGCAATTCCGAAGTACCACCCGATATCGCAACTTCAATCTGCTTTATGTAGACTATGATGGTGGTGGTGTAATTGGCAAGTCAGTGACAGATGCCTACCAGCAATTGCGAGGAGAAAAATTCCCAACCTTGTTGCCGGAATCTTCTAGTAAATACGCCCAGCCAGAACAAATTCGAGAAGCTGTTTGCCGTGGTGACTATTGGGGAGCTATCTACACCGCTGATGATGGATCAGCTGGTCTAGCATCGGCGCTGGAAAACGGGACCAGCCCGCCGACCTCTCTCACTTATATCTGGAACGGGGTGAGATACCCGGTTTTCTCGCAGGCTGCGGTCTACTCCAACATCTTGAAACTGATTGAAACCACACGGTCAACTTACTACACCAACAACGGATCTTCAGTCGCAGCATCCGCTGACCTCTCTAACGCAGCCACCCTCAAAGCGTTCCTCGACCCCATCCAGGCCGAAGAAATCAACATCAAGGGCACAGAGCAAGGTACAAGAGTCTTCTACAACACAGTATCCATGGTGATGCCAATACTCCAACAATTCTTTTTCATGTTGGCGCTGAATGGGATGTCAACGCACTTCGACACGTTCACCAGATTGTCCTGGAAAGCTAACGGCCTGATTCGCTTAATAGCCTCGATCCTCTACACCCTCACAGGATCACTGCTAATGACCGGCTATATCTGGGCATTTAGAGAGACCTGGGGACAGCGAGAAAGTCGGTTCGCATTGACTTGGGTCACCATGTGGCTTCTGATGCACACAAACTTCCTTTCTTTCGATATCACAACTGCTTTAATCCCAATTCAGTTCATGCCATTTCTTGTTCTGACTTGGGTCATTCTCAATGTCGCCAGCACCATCAGCCCATTTGAGCTGAATCCGAAGTTTTTCCGCTGGGGTTATGCTCTTCCTTCTCATGAGGCATATCAAGTCCTCATACAGATCTGGTCTGGTGGGTGCAATAATCGGCTTTATCGGGCGCTACCCATTATGTTCTCATGGTGGATTGTTCGTGTTCCCATTGCAGTGGATGCCATGCAACATCGTTGCAAAGCGGCTGTGGCTGCCCAGGAAGCCTTGGATCATGCATGCCTGGGAGGTCAATCCGAAGCTAAATACACGGCAACGAACGAGACAGTGACGCCAGTAAGGGGACCGGGTCGCGAACATGAGCAGAACGGGGACTCGGTTGAAGTTGTTCCTCTTCGTGATAATGGCCTAGGCATGGAACCATCCAAGTGAAAATTGGTGATCGTGATCAGAAGCTGGAAGAAGCTAGAATTTAACGGAAAGAGGGAAAGATGAAAGATGGCTTGCTTTGCAATGGATTGACCACTTCTGGAGGGCACCCAGCGTACATGATCTGTATATGTTTTTTTTTAACCAAGCACCCGAATTTAAAGATTTCACATCCTAAATTGTACTTTTAGTGTGTGTCCATGGGGTGAATGTGTTAGGGGCTCCTTCTGCCTTGCAGATTCTTCGAGCCGGTTTACGTTTGGTTGATTAAACTATCTCTAATAAGAAGGTTTTATAACGTATCCAACTCAAGTATTTCAGCATTTAGAATTACACTCTGATCAAGTTGATAGTTGTATCACTCAGTTTGTTAACCGAGTCTTGCCTGAGCTCAAGAGAATGAGGTATAGTTGCTACAATATTTTAAAAAAGAGGGAGCATTCTTTTTAAGCGACACTGAAAACAGCGCAATTCAAGAAACACCTATGAATATCTGCATTTACTGCCTGGCTATCTCAATTGCTGGTGCTTTCATTCCAACCTGATCGATCTGCCGCAAAAGTGTGGCCCGTCAATGCCAAGCTTTGTGGCCATGGCACCGATTGCATCACTACTTCTCCAACCCCCAGGTCATCGCGTGGTAAGTTGCCCCAGAATTTCTATTCGTTCCCAGAAAAAAAGGATCACGAGCCTCAGTGCCGAAGCTTCCGCGCCACTGATAAGTCGGAGGCATGGAGTCTGAAGTTAATATGTTGACCAACAGCAATAATGAACCACCCGGACACCCCGTAGTTGAACCGGCCAACCTGCCAAATTCATGTCAAATTCCCCGGATTATCTCTTTTCTCGCGGATACAAGTGCAGGCCTTGAAGGGCCTATGCCAGGGCTACTGGATCAACGTGTCATCGGTGTGATGCATCCTGCCTGGATTGGCATGAGCTCCCAAAACCCGGCTTTCGTCACTCCGGCATGTTGCCTAGGCTTGGCTTTCTTGGTCAGGGACTGTATAAAAATGGCTAATCCGATACATCATGGACTTTGAAAAATAAGTTGCTCAAGTGCCAAATATCACAGCCAAATAGTACTCCCTGGCGCTATGTTCGATAAGATCTTCAAAAAGCGTCCACAGGACTTCCATGCAGACTCCGAGGCTCCCGGAGGATCGATTTCCACAAATGAACACGAGAAAGGCCCCGGAAATGAGGTTGACACGCCTATTCCGCTCCTCACTTGGCGGTCATTTATTATGGGCATTCTCGTCTCTATGGGTGGTTTCCTTTTCGGTTATGACACCGGTCAGATCTCTGGCTTCCTAGAGATGGAAAATTTCCTCGAGCGCTATGGTATTCTTCAATCAAATGGAACTTATCATTTCACTAATGTTCGTTCGGGTCTCATTGTTGCCTTGGTAAGCGTTGTCCTCGCCACTTCTTGGCCAAATGCTAATACACTACTAGCTGTCGATTGGGACTCTGATAGGGGCTTTAATCGCAGCGCCAATCGCCGACCGCTTCGGACGAAAGTGGTGTATCAGTTGGTGGTCTTTGATGGTGTGTATTGGAATTACTATCCAGATTTCATCGCCTTTTGGCAAGTGGTACCAGGTCGCCATGGGTCGTTGGGTTGCCGGGCTCGGGGTTGGTGCAATTTCTCTACTGGTACCGATGTATCAAGCAGAATCAGGACCGAGGCATATTCGAGGATCGCTGATTAGGTATGTTGGACAGCCAGCTTGATGTTTATTGAAAAAAAAAATCTAATTTTCGGCTACTAACTCTTTTTAGTACCTATCAGCTATTCATCACACTTGGAATCTTCGTTGCCAACTGTATCAATTTTGGAACGGAAGCTCGCCCCAATACCGGTTCATGGCGTATCCCTATGGGTATTACATACGTTTGGGCCGCAATTCTTGGTGTTGGCATGATGTTCTTCCCTGAAAGCCCACGCTACGACTACCGCCACGGCAACGTGGACAAAGCTATGAACACTCTGGCCAAAATTTATGGTATCCCTCGGAATCATCGCGCTCTCCACATCGAGTTTGAGGAAATTAGACAGAAACACGAGGAAGAGCAGCGCAACGGGAAGGTTACCTGGGTGCAGATGTTCCGTGCTCCGACGATGTCATCCCGGATCGCTGTTGGCGTCGCTTTACAAGCTCTGCAACAACTTACTGGTGCTAATTACTTCTTCTATTATGTGAGTTATGAGATCATGGGTTAACACGAAGAAAAGAGAACTCACTGACACCTGTCAGGGTACAACAATCTTCAAGGGCGCTGGAATCCATAACAGTTATGTCACGCAGATGATTCTAGGTGGCGTCAACTTTGGAACAACGTTCCTGGGCCTCTATCTGATCGAGCACTGGGGCCGACGCCGTTCTCTCATAACCGGTGCACTATGGATGTTTGTCTGCTTCATGATCTTTGCCTCGGTGGGCCATTTCTCGCTAGATCGAGAGTACCCTGAGAGAACAAAATCTGCCGGCGTGGCTATGGTAGTCTTTGCTTGCCTTTTTATTTTGGGCTTTGCAAGTACCTGGGGTCCCATGGTGTGGACCATCATCGCCGAGTTGTATCCTTCGCAATACCGTGCGCAAGCTATGTCTCTAGCGACTGCATCAAACTGGCTCTGGAACTTCCTCCTTGCCTTTTTCACTCCCTTCATTACCGGCGCCATTGACTTCCGCTTCGGGTATGTCTTTGCCGGATGTCTTTTCCTTGCTGCCGGTCTGGTTTACTTCGCCGTCATGGAGGGACAGGGTCGTACTCTGGAGGAGATTGACACTATGTACCGGATGGGAGTGAAGCCGTGGAAAAGCTCAAAGTTCCAATTCCCTGCTGATCCAAGCGTTATCCGGGGCTCATTTGATAAGGATGCTCCTACATCATCTCATGTTGCTGATCCTACTATGGAGTTACGGGAAGATGGATCCTTGGTGCCTGAGACTCGTGCGCAAGCATAAAGGTGGTTGTAGATTTGCGAAAGATAGTGCAGTTGTGCACGTACCTGTAGTGTTGCTTGGGGGTTTCTTCAGAATACCAAGATATATTCAATCGGTTACTTTGCAGCGTATAGCTGTCAATTTAATTTTTAATTTTTACCTTCGGTGTTGCTATTGGCGTGGGTGATTTTTCTCTAGAGGACTGCGTCAACCCTGTCTGTCGGCGACCTCTTCACGAGAATTCCATCCAAGTACCGCGTTAATTCCTCCACATCTCCAAGTTCACCCACCCATCCTATATATTGATCTGGGCGAACGACCACCAGCGCCCCAAGCGCCCGGTCGACCCCCCACTTCTCGTATGCTGTTCCATCACAATATCGATCAAATCGGCAGGCATCATCACACCAAATCTTGTCATATGCCCATCCTTTGACCGTATCGAATGGACGTAGAATCTCTGGAAAATCAAAGAATTCCACCTCTCTCCAGGGCGATGCATGGATGGTGAGTACATCGACAGGACTCTTAAACCGGCCAGGAATCTCCAAGTACCGACTCAGAGGTGACATGTTTGATCCAGACTGTCCAGCCAAGATCTGGCTCAAGGCCTCTATGCGTTGCTTCTGCGTTGGGTTCCGTATATCCCCAGCCAAAAGGAGAATGCGAAAGCGTCCATCGCTTTCCAACGCCCTAGTGGTCCACAGTGTACCGCCATCGGCGTGATTGCGAAGCTTCACCGGCCGAACTCTCTCCCCGGGAATCATGTTCCGTGCAAAATCAAACACGGATTTGTCTTCAGTCTTTCGAACAAGACTGCTCGCAGGGTAAAAGACCTTCCACCCATCCGCAAACTCTTCGAATTTCCCCGCGACAAGAGCCATCTCCGAAGCTTTCGTATCCGCCACTGCAGGTTTCCGATCAGTGAACATGGGCGACCAATGACGATCAAAGTCAAGCAACATTTCCGCAAGTGGGTGTCTCTCCGAAGCATAAGTCTCCAGTATCTCGGGGTTGAGAGTGCCCGCCACTACAAGGGCTATCTTCCATCCAGCATTGAACCCATCCTGCATACTCATATTCATCCCAAGCCCCATCTTGGGAGAGTGCGTATGCACCGCGTCGCCAGCAAGGAAGATCCGGTTGTCTTTCGTGAGTTGCGTAGCAATCCGCTGTCCGACTTGATAAACGGTCCACCAGCTACATTCTTGGAAGTCGAAAGTGAAGGGGGCGAGGATGGCCTGCAGGCGCTCCCGGATCAGCTCAGGTGTGATTTTTGAGCGGTCGAATCGGTCGGTTGTGCCCGCTTCGCAGGTTTGCACGGGGACGTAGAAGCGGACTAAGCCGCGCTCGCGTGGAATCACAAGAGTTGTGCCTGCGGCGTTGTTCACAACGCTTACGCGGCGGATATCCGCTGGGATTTGATTAGTGGGTGTCATCTGGATACAGTAGTGACTACTTACGGAAGTCACTGAGAGGGATCACGTCGATCACGCCCCTGTAGATGTGATAATTTTAGCTGCCATTAGCGCAGGTGGATGATGAGTGCCACGTACCATATATGGTCTGTGTTAGATCCTTCTACGGGGATGTTTAGTTGTTTTCTCGTCCAACTGTGCGCACCATCACACCCGATCAGATATTTGGCTTTGATTGTCTCGACCTGTGTCTTCTGTGGCCTTTCGCGCGGGACTAGATCGGCCCAGTCATCAGGAAACAAGGTATTGTAGTTCACCTCGTTTCCAGCTGCTTCAGACCCCGCTTCGATTTCCTGTCCGCACGGCAAATTCGAGTCTTTTTCACCCAGTACTCGGACCTTGACAGTGATAGGATAAGCGTTGGGATTGCTGCTCAATTCCTCGTCATATTCCAAAGAGTCAGCGATCACACTCCGTTCCACGTCGAGATCAGAGTGTTCCCGAATACTATCGAGAATGAACCGTTCAATGCGTCCCTGGTTCAAGCGTGTATTTTGGAAGGGGGACTCGTCGGTCCGAAAGATGTCAATGAGAGCCTGTCGGATTAGCTTTCCCTGTGGACCGGGGCCCTATTTGTTCGTGGCATCGTCAGGAAAGCCCTACTCTCGACGCAAAGTAAGGTGGTACGCACCCAAATGTTCGCCTCGGTGGAGATAGAGCCCTCGTGCAAAACTCGGTGCTGGAAACCCATACTGTCAAACAACTCGAGTGTGCGTGCACGAAGCCCGTCCGCATGGCCTACGAAGACCTTCGTGTCATGATTGTCGATAATACGTGCGTTGACTCCACAACGAGCCATCCAGTAGGCTGCCATCAAGCCGGATGGCCCAGCACCGATGATGAGTCTGGAAGAGGATATCAGAATTTGTTGATTAATTGTGGTGGTGACTTACACATCGGTTTGGGAGTGAGTAGACTTGTCTTCTGTGTCCATAGCGTGCGACAGGAAGCTCGATCTATTTGAGCAGATACTGAATGGAAAAAAATTAGGAAGATGGCTCTTTTAATGCATGTACTCTTTTATATAACGAAACCTAAGAATGCTGCGCTACAGGATACTAAAACGAGGGGCCAGCCCCATGCAAGCTGACTCAAGTCACAAACAATCCGGGGGCTGTAGGAACCCAAAATCAGTGCTGATTCAAGGGTGTTCCGTGTTGATTTGTACCATTATTTTCCTCGTAAGCTCGACATACCATGACGTTTATCACGAGTTGTACTTTGATATCCAGGTCGTATCAGTCAGATGCCGTGATTTCCTCCATGTTGTGTCATGGAATTCCCCCAGCTTAGTTGGCCCATTCTTAATGTACACATTTAACGCAAGCTGACCTGACTACCATTTTGCACGGCCTGGACTTGGGGAAATAAATTTGAGGGGGGGGGGGGGTTATACCCGAAATTTCCTCTCACACAGTGGCCGGAGTCGAGGTTCCGGGGGTGGCAATTGTGTCGGAAGGCCTTGAACTCTTTGAATGCTTATATATGATATGGGTGGAAAGAATAGGAATGATTCGATGCAAGCATTACTTTCAGAGTTTGATATTGGACGGGGGGGTTCTCATCTTTGTAATCCCGGGTGAGACAATTGGTTCCTGGGGAAGCACAACAAGGGTCTAGGTTGTATTTTTATGAGCACTCGGATGAGAGATTTGAGGAAGGCAGGCTGATAGCAGGTGGTCGCAGCTCAACCGTCCATGTTATACAGACAACTCATATTTGAACCGCAACCAGGATGCCTGTACGGAGTAGAAGTGTCACATACAACATAGATGTATAATTCAGATATACTCTACACGTGACTCTATCGTTTCGCCCGCGCTACTCTCCTTCGGGCACACCGACGGCGAATTCCCCAACACGTTTCGACACCCTCTGTGGGGGTCGTCTTCGAAATTCTTTGGAATTGCCATTCCCCTTGTGTTGTATGATGTACAGAGTAGTCGCAAATTGAAATTGTCATTGGTGTTTCAATCTTGCCTCGGACTGGCCTGATGAGGGAATCCTATGCACGGCCACGTTTGTAAGCGCTGGGTTGTCAAGGAGCTATTAAGGAGTCTTCAAGGTACTAATCCCATCACAGTTGTTCTTCTGTTGAACAGCTGATCAACGGTTATTGAGGAGCCATCGATGGGATTTCGGCTAATTTCACTCTGTGGAAAGGCCGGTTGCGATTCGGAGCAGGGTCCTCCGGGCGGCTCCCGGTGTATACTAAAAGAACACATGTGGATGTCAATCCAGAAGAGGGTCGGAAAATGCGGGCCATTGAGGTCATAACGGAAGGAACGGCTATTGATGCATTTCGAGAAATACAGGGACCACAGTAGTAGAGATAGCTCGTATGGCCACAAGTTATAAAGTGGTGGCTTCGGATATGGTTGCAGGTGGAGGATAAGCCGATGACTCAGCACCTGATGCAATAAATGGACAGGGAAATATACCAGTTGAAAGGAGGAGAGCAATTAGAGTGACGCCGCCTATGTTGTATCCAGTAAACACGGAGTACAACATACAACATACGGAGTAAATGCTCCCGGAAATAGACTTCTTCATAATTTCTCTGTTAAATGTGACTTGAACACCGTGAGCTAAGTCGTTGAGCTCCAAGCCACCCAAGTCCGCCCCCCTCCCCACCCGACATCATACCCCACCAACAAATACGGTCCCCTCCCTCTTCTCTTCTTCTCTCATCCCATCTTTCCCATATCATTCCCTTCACTCAAAACAGTACGTGCTGGACTTTCTGTGATTTTCAGATTTTCATTTCTAACAATATTAGAATCCGCCATCATGGGTTACACTGATCTGGACCAGTTGGCTATTAACACCATCCGTCTTCTCGCGGTATGTTGATCTCCGGACAATCGCCCCATCCGTTTCATGTCTTCGATTGAAGCCATCTTGTGTTCTTCAGCCCCAACTGAAGCTTCCATGCAGACAATCTTGGAAATCTGACTGACATATCGCCATTAGGTTGATGCCACCTCCAAGGCCAACTCCGGTCACCCCGGTGCCCCTATGGGCATGGCTCCCGTGGCGCACGTTCTGTGGAACCTGATGAACTTCAACCCTCAGAACCCCGAATGGGCTAACCGGGATCGTTTCGTTCTCTCGTATGTGTTTTCTTCCGTCCTCTTGAGTTCAGGCTGGTCCCTTCCACCTGGAAAAGCAATGGCTATATACTTTCTGGAGTACCGGCTAATCTCCAATTGAATAGGAACGGCCACGGTTGCATGCTGCAGTATGCTCTGCTCCACCTATTCGGATACAAGCTCTCTCTTGACGACCTGAAGAACTTCCGCGTAAGTCTCTCCGAGCCATGCCTAGCAGCCTTTTGCTCATTTTAGTAGCAACTCGACAGCATCACCCCCGGTCACCCTGAGGCACACGACACTCCCGGTATTGAGGTCACCACTGGTCCTCTTGGCCAGGGTTTCGCCAACGCTGTCGGTCTCGCTATGGCTCAGGCCCACTCCGGTGGTGTCTACAACAAGCCCGGCTTCGAGCTTTTCAACAACTACACCTACATGTTCTTCGGCGATGGTTGCGCTATGGAGGGTATTGCCAGCGAGGCTGCCTCGATGGCTGGTCACCTTAAGCTTGGTAACCTGATTGCCATCTACGATGACAACCACATCTCCATTGGTAAGATTGACTCGAGTACCTCAGGCTAAAAGATGAAAGGCTGACAGCTCATCTTCACAGATGGTGACACCAAGTCTGCCTTCACTGAGGATGTTACTAAGCGTTTCGAGGCCTACGGCTGGCACACCGAGTGGGTCAAGGATGGTGACAACGACCTCGCGGGTATCGAGGCTGCCATCCGCAAGTGTCAGCAGGTTACTGACAAGCCCTCCATGATCAAGCTGACCACCACCATCGGCTTCGGCTCCAAGCTTGCCGGTACCGGCGGTGTCCACGGCAACCCTCTCAAGGCCGACGATGCTCAGAGCGTCAAGAAGCTTTTCGGCTTCAACCCCGAGGAGAGCTTCGCTGTCCCCCAGCAGGTTTACGACATGTACCACAAGCACGCCGCTCAGGGTGCTGCCAAGGAGCAGGAGTGGAACCAGCTCTTCCAGAAGTACCAGACCGAGTACAAGGCTGAGGGTGCTGACCTCGCCCGTCGTCTCTCTGGCAAGCTGCCCGAGGGCTGGGAGAAGAAGCTCCCTGTCTACAAGCCTACTGATGCCGCTATCGCTTCCCGTAAGCTTTCCGAGGCCTGTCTCGAGGCCATCCACGACGTCCTTCCCGAGCTGGTCTCTGGTTCCGCCGATCTGACTGGCTCTAACAACACCCGCTGGAAGAACGCCGTTGACTTCCAGCCCCCTGACCTTGGAATTGGTGAGTGGGCCGGTCGCTACATTCGCTACGGTGTGCGTGAGCACGCCATGGCTGCCGTCATGAACGGTCTTGCTGCCTACGGCACCATCATCCCCGCCGGTGGTACTTTCCTGAACTTCGTCTCATACGCCGCCGGTGCCCTCCGCCTCTCGGCTCTGTCCCGCGTCCGTGTCATCCACATTGCTACCCACGACTCCATCGGTCTGGGTGAGGATGGCCCCACTCACCAGCCTATTGAGACTCTGGCTCACTTCCGTGCCTTGCCTAACTGTATGGTCTGGCGTCCCGCTGACGGTAACGAGACCAGCGCTGCCTACTACTCCGCCATCACCTCCAAGCACACTCCTACTGTCATGGCTCTGACCCGCCAGAATTTGCCCCAGCTTGAGCTCTCCACCCTGGAGAACGCCATCAAGGGTGGTTACGTCGCTGTCGACACCCCTAATGCTGCCGTTACCATCGTCTCCACTGGTTCTGAGGTCAGCATCGCCATTGAGGCTGCCACTTATCTTCAGGAGAAGCACGGTGTTGCTGCCCGTGTTGTGTCCATTCCTTGCTTCGAGGTCTTCGATGCTCAGTCCAAGGAGTACCGTCTCCAGGTTCTGCCTGACGGTATCCCCATTCTGTCCGTCGAGGCCTGCTGCACCATGGGTTGGGAGCGCTACTCGCACGAGCAGTTCGGTCTCAACCGCTTCGGTGCTTCCGGTCCTTACAAGGAGGTGTACGCTGTAAGTCATCTTCCCTCATTTTTCCATAACCTTTGGCTGATCATCTTCAGAAATTCGAGTTCACCCCTGAGGGCATCAGCAAGCGTGCTCTTGCCACCATCGACTTCTACAAGGGCGTCCCCGTGCGCTCCCCTATTAATCGTGCTTTCCAGCAGATCCTGTAAGGGACGAAACGAATATGACGTAACAAAATGTTTGGGTTTTTTAAACGGGGAGATACGGCCCTCTAGATATACAAGAATGCGAATAGAGCACTCTACAGTTCACTTCTCCCAGTAACCCTAAAGGAGCAACCCCATGCTCATGTCCGCGTATCACTCATCTTCTACCCCACACATCCTGAATCGTCAGCGCCAGTTTCTGCAAAACTACACTAATTTCCACCCTCCCCACCACCAGCTTGAAAACTCTCAAATGCACCACTGCCAGCCCACCGCGGCCCCAAACTAGCCGAAACAAGAGAATCTAAATCCTCTGCTGAAACAGCCCCCTCTCCAACAAAATAATACGCCTCCCTCAGTAGCACAAAAGCAAGCTTATTCCCCACAGCACCAGGAATCTCCTTTATACAGCGTGATAGGCCGGTAATGCTGTGGGCCATGCGGGGGCTGGCGGATCCCCGGGGAACGATAGTATGTTGTTTGACCTTCAAAAGACCAGCGCACTATCAACTATGGCTACCTAGCATATCGGCATACATAGAAACTTTCTCTATACGAATTGTGCTTTTACTGGCTTTGTAGTCGCATATTATTAGCCTTTGCTATTCGAGCCTAGTTCTTGCTGAACAACGGAGCGGGTGATTATTCAATTGCTCCTTTGCTGCAGAGAACCTCTACCGCCTCTACTAGACAGGGACAGATAGTCTAGCAACCAAAATTCTCTCCAATCTTCAGATCGCAAGCTGGTTAAAACTCTGGAAAACCCGGGGGTGTATGAATATTGGAACTCGAAAAGTTCTCGATGAACTCAAAATCAAATTGACGAGCTTGGTCAATCCGTGATGGAATCTTTGGAAGGATGATCGAAGTTGTTTCTCAACTTGATCCCTGCAACAAGAATATTTCATTGGATTAAGACGAATTGATGTCATGCTAAGAACCGAATGAGTGGTGTTCCTAACAGGGTATCTCTGCATTTTGGCTCGAAGACCACTTGTGAAGTCCAAGTCAGATAGTACGTGCCTCCATCACATGCAATTCTAGATGTCGTGCTAGTTCTAGCGTATAACCAACAGTCAATCAACTTCCATTTTGGAGTTGAGTGCAGATGGGATAATCTCCGGAAGCCAAAAGATCAACTCGCATGCCGCACGAGAAGAAATTATAAAGCCCGTGGCAAAATGGGTTGTGGAAGGGAGCTACGCTATACGGAGTGTGGCGAGAAAGAGAAGAAATGCGTGTTGTTGGAATGCAGAGGAGCCTGAGCCATGAGACCCAATCCAAGATGTAATTTTCCCATTTTGTCCTCGTCTCACGTAGCCCCGTTCTCCAAGTCAGCAAATGCAAGCCCCGTCGTTTGATCAAGTTCCATGAGCTCATCCGCGACGGGTAAAGATTGCCCAAAGATATAATCCCATTCATCCCAGTCAAAATTGAGACTTGGATCGATCGGAAAGGGAGCAGACTCAGCATCGGGCAGTAAGCTCTGATCGGCAGGGTCTAGGAAGTTCACCGTAGAAGATGTAACGGGGGATTGATGTGTGGGGATAGTTGCGGCGGATGAGCGAGCAAAAATCAAGTCAGGAGCAAATGCTTTGTCGCATGAGAGGGCGGCAGTCACAGCTGCGCTAGGGGCAGGCGCGTCCACTGTTGCAGATGACTTGGATTTGAAGTTGGGAGCATTTGCAAAATCGAACTCGGTTGGCCACGCTTGTCCCGTCCTGGGCAACTGGGGGCTCAGACCGGCTTTCTGCCAGGCCTTTTGGCGCAGACGACGGATCATCCCCCAGGCCTCGCGGCCTCCATGCCTCAATGGACGTTGTGTGAAGATGTCATCTCCGCCACTGACGACGCCCCCGTCTGGTCCAGAAAGTGACAGGATCCGATCAACAAATCCGCGGGACACGGACGACTCGGGGCTATAGGGTCGTTCATATAAGTCTATGAGAATAATCCTAGATCTAGTTAGCATTGCCGTAAACTCAAGCTTTTTACATACATCATCGCGTGCATGGGCTGATGATTCCTGGGTGATTGTCAGTCATTATTTTTGGATGAAGTGCCAGGATGCTCACCCAGGCCAGCCCCATTGGAATGGCTGAAAGTCAGGATCCGTCGCCAATCGAATAAACTTCTCCATGAATGCATAACAGTGTCGCAGAGCACTATTTAAATTAGATGTAGTTATTCAAGATGAGACCCAACGCTTACCTTTGGCGTGCTACGGGCCAGATTCGACTTCGAGGATTCTTGAGGAATGGTTGATACGCAACACAAAATGCCTACATCCACCTTAGCGCCGAACGGGATCTCTGCATGAAAATTTCGACCTTATCAATGAACAATGACAAAATAATCCTGGCCCATTTATGAAATGCGACGAGGACTACTGAATGATATTGAACTGAACAGCCAGATGGATCTTCAATATGAATTTCTGCCGCGGCGGAAGGAGGAGCTCGTTTTGGAGATGCTGTTGGTATCTCAGTTGCCGTTGTCTCTGGAATCCGGTTTATGATGGAGTTGAGTTTGGCTTGAAGATCGTGAAGGACTGAGCGGAGCTCTACCATATCCCCTCTTGTTAGAGGTTTCGTGCCCAGCTGAATCTTCAGTATTCTACGAACGGACTCTGCGACAAGGTCAGCCCACACACCTAAGCTCTAAACCCAAGATCACTAACGGGCCATTATACATTTGGCCTTTGCGTTCAAATAATACACGCTGACCATTGATGACCCACCGCAGAGAGTTGGGCTGTCGGGATTATCAGGTATCCGCTCGCCGTGGGCAACCGATTGTTCATACCGTTTGGCTTCGGTAGTCCCTAACAAGGTATCCTTGACCTCGCTCGTCTCCCGAACATCCCAGTAAGTCGTATCGGTAAGCAATGGCGGAAGTCCACTCGACATCGCGATAACGGCATCCATGTGCATGATATGCCACCATAATCGGCGTCGAAACTCTGCCTCCCATGGGTCGATATTAAAATGGGCGGGATCCCGATGTAACCCCAAGGTCTGCGCCACTCTCACTGCTAAACTAACAAACAGGCTACTTGCCAACGGTTCTTCCTCTCTGGACAAAATTGTCTGCGTAATAAGATACGCCGCTAGACCGTGAAGTGTGACACTGTGGGGAAATGAGATTTTGGCCAACCAGGAAGTGACCTCCTCGCTATACTTGGTCGAGAGTACAGCGCGTGACGAAGTATTGAACTCCGTCTCCATTGTCCTCATGGATATCGAAACTGATCCTCCAAACCATATCGCGTATAGGAGTGGAATGAAAGAAAGACTGGGGCAAGGCTCCCCTGTATGCCTTTTGCAGTCGTACCAGTCCCAAAACGCAATGTAAAGTTTGAATATCATCGGAGGGTGAATAATCGGACTCAGTGAGTGGACACCAGTCACGAATCCCTTGTAGAGAATATCACTCTGCCATTTTGTCGGGATATGCTCAAGCATATATAACTCGACCGCATTATCATTTGGTGATAAGCAACCCGATGGAATGCCGACAGCTTTTTGGATGGGCTCTGAGAACGTTGTTTGGCTGGTGATTTGGCTATTAATCGATGCTTTGCGCTGTCTTTGCTTGCTGTGAGCTGAATCGGCTGCTGTAGCACCAGCTGCTGCCAATTTATGCGACTGACTCTGGTTTCCAAGCAGTTGGTTGAGCTCCTCCATTTCATGGGAAATGTAAGCCCAATAAGTCGTTCCAACGTACCTAGATCTATGATTAGACACTCAAACGCACTTGAGCCTAGTGTATCAAGACTGACCTTGACCTCCCACCGTCCCCCAAGGACATGTGGCCCAAGTTTGAAGTTTCCAGTGGATCAACCAGATCCGTAGTCTGGCCGTTTGGGATGGGAAATTCATCGCTACTACAGTCAGCAGCAGCGTTAAACGGAAAGTCTGGTCGTATTGCGGTCAATTTACTCGGAAAACCGCCGTCTTCTATCGGCGCCGTTTCCACGCTAGGGTTCAATGCAGCCGCTGGCATGTCCGTTGATTCATGAGCCTCGTTATCCTTTCGTAGCCGTTGAACGAGTGATACAAGCTGAGCCAGGTGGGCTTCAACTGCAAGTAAATCTGTTTTACGGCCATTTGATAACGACGCCTGCTTCGAAGGGCCATAGGTGGGCGGGCGTTGATCTGTATTTTCTTTCGAGGATCGAGTATCTCTCTGCCGTTTGGTTCTATTCACCCGGGTCTGGTTGGGTTGCGTGACATCTTGCTGTATTTCCGGGTCGTAGGCGCACTCCGTACTGTTTTTCGCGCAGTTTCCGCATGCTGGAAGTGTCTAGAAAGAGACGTTCAGTTCAAGCAATTTGATACAGGGTTCGGGGTGGGATCACCTTGTCGCATTTGACTTTCCGCCGACGGCATGTTTGGCAGCTATGGATCACACGTTTCCGAGTGATCTGTAGATTTCCTTTCGCCAAGGGCGACCTTCGCGGTTGGTTAATGCTGGACGGATTGGGAGGCTCCGCCACAGGCTGCATGTTCGGTGTGCTTGGTTTGACAATTTATTCATATCTTTCCATTTGTTAAATCCAGTGACCAATTAGAAGTGATATATGCAAATCTTCAAAGTGTTACGGCGCACAGATGTCACGTACTCCGCAGAGCTCCATGTGTTCTGCGGGAACGATCTTGGCACGCTGACGTCGGGCGGGCCAGATGGATTACTCAGCCTTACACCGCCCGCCACCCACTAATCACCCAAGTGCCTACGATGCCACCAATGCGCTCTGGAACTCAACAAAATCTTTTTCTTGCTAGAGATTTTGGAAGCTTTTCAGAAATAAGAAATTCACTCAATTCTTTAAACAGCAAACCGGTTAAATATACCAGTCGCCATTCGAATTCATGGTCACACTTTATGGTTTGATGCGCCTGTCCTAAGAGGCAGTTTCTAGTCTAGCTTGATAATCACCTCTGGACTTGATGGCAATCAGCGAGCGACGTGGAATTACACCCAGGCTAGGAGCAATGCGAGGATTGCCCAATCTTCTACTCGCAAAGCGTGGTTCAATCGACTGAGCTTATTCCAAAGGCTTTCTCAGTCATTTTCAATGTTGGAAGGTTCAAATTCACTACTTGTGAAGATTAAATGCCACATTTCATAAACGAAGCACGTTAGATGTCCCTTGTCTCCCTAGCTCCGACAAAGCCCCAAACTTACTCACAGCTGTCAGTGGAAAGGCGCTGCTTAGCCAACTTTTCCCATTCCCAAGAGCCAAGTCTAGGGGGTGGCATTTTGTTCGCCAGTCCCTCCAATAGATTTGGGACTCATAGCCAGGGAAGGCGATTGGGTATGGCCGCCAATGCGGTTAAGCGAGTATGGCGTTGCATTATTTATTTAATTGCATTTTGTAAGAATGATGGTCATGAGAAGTTAAGACTCTCATTTTTGCATTAGGCTGTGTGAATTTGTTCCAGTATGCGTCAAGTCCAAGCACTTCTACAAGATATTTAACACAACATTTTAATATCTTGTGTGAGATTTATATCGTGGTTGGTGGGGTGGGTGCCAATCTCCCTCGGAGCCATGTCAAATCCGATTTCACCGCAGATCTTTTTGCTGCTATCCAATCAGAGCCAAAATTAAGAAACGAGTTTTGGAGATGAACTACCCTGGAGAGATCAATTTCACGCGGTGGCTCCACTCTTGGCGATTTCCTAAGCAGATGATTAATCAGCCACTGGAAGCTTAGTTATCTATAAACCGGTCAAGTTTGAAAAGGTCTAGGGCTAGTCAATTCACTGCCAGCGACGATAGCTATAAGGTCGGGGTTTCTATATTGCCCCGCGGATCCTCGCGGATCGAAACTTGTTAAAAGCCCGTTCAATGACATGACGTCGTGATGAATCTCGACCGAACAGGCATGACATTAAGCAACTTGCTACGAACCCCCCCAATTTTATTCAATGTCACGTCCTCATACTCTTTAGCATTGCAGCCTTGCAAGTATAAAACCAGCTTCCATTCTCTGATTCCTTCTTTGTTTCAATTGATCGAATCTTTGGGCTAAGTCTGTCATTCTATTTCAACCTTCCGGCGATTGACTTCATCGATGATGTCATCTCAACAGGACAAGTTGGACACCAGCTCATTTGCCCACCCTCTGGCCCCATTTACATATGAAAATGAGGTATATCAAGCTGGCCTCAAAGGCCAGAAGCCCTCGATAACTTTCAACTGCCTTGAATGGGAAACTCTCGCCAAAGACCGACTCTCGGCAGATTCATACGGATATGTTTGGGGATCCGCCGGAACTCGCGACACAGACAATAACAACAAGAAAGCCTTTAAAAAATGGGGAATCATTCCATCACGTCTGGTCAAGAGCGACTTTCCAGACCTCAAAACGACGCTTTTTGGCGAGACGTTTGAGTATCCGATCGCAATGGCACCGGTGGGCGTGCAGCGGATTTTCCATCCGGACGGGGAGAAGGCGTCCGCCAAGGCTGCGGAGCAGGAACATGTCACCTACATCCTCAGCACCGCATCCGCCACGAGCATCGAGGATGTCGCGAAATCCAATGGGAACGGGTCACGTTGGTATCAGCTCTACTGGCCTCTGAATGAGAACAATGATATCACAATGAGCCTGTTGTCAAGAGCGAAGGCGGCGGGCTTCAAGGTGTTGGTTGTCACCTTGGATACGTACATTCTTGGATGGCGTCCCAGCGATCTGGACAATGCATACAACCCTTTCATTCGGGCGGACGATATTGGTGTAGCATTGGGATTCTCTGATCCTGTGTACCGTCGCAAGTTTCAAGAAAAGCATGGGAAGCCTGTTGAGGAGGATGTCCAAACTGCGGCCACAGAGTGGGCACATACTGTGTTCCCCGGTGTGAGTCATGGCTGGGAAGATCTCACGTTTCTCAAGAAACACTGGGATGGTCCCATTGTTTTGAAAGGGATACAGACGGTAGCGGACGCGAAGAGAGCTGTGGATTATGGCATCCAGGGAATTGTTGTCTCCAACCATGGCGGACGACAACAGGATGGAGGTATTGCATCTTTGGACGTTTTGCCAGAGATTGCGGATGCTGTGGGAAAAGACTTGGAGATTATCTTCGACTCGGGTGTTCGCTGCGGCGCTGATATTGTGAAGGCCTTAGCTCTTGGTGCAAAAATGGTCCTAATAGGCCGTCCATACATTTACGGGTTGGCCATTCAAGGTGAACATGGAGTGAGCCATGTGCTGAAGAGCCTCCTAGGAGATTTCAATCTGAGTCTCCACCTGTCAGGGATCAGCTCGGTGTCTCCTAAGCATCTTAACCGGTCTGTATTGCGTCGGACCGATAACTAAAAATTTGACAACAAGTTAGTGTTGTGAAACTCTTTGTCAACATTTAGAAACGATGAAAATTCCCCTTCGAAAATGCTAAAAGTCGCACTTCATACGTTTTCTGTCTCACAACTACATCGAACTATAAAACTCTCCGTTCGAAGAACTTAAAAAGCAACTGACCGATTCAAATTCAAGAGTATTGCAATGCCTCATTTCTCTTCTCAAGTTACAAAAAGAGAGGAAACCGCGCAAGTGCAGTCAACTAATTCTATGATGCAGTCTTATGAAGGGGAAGAGGTCACTTTTCGGCTACAGCTAAAATGAGGAGGCAGTGTGGCGATGAACGGTTTAAGGGAGGCTCCAATTCGTTGGGATACGTGCCATGAGCGCAAAGAACTTGTGTCTCTATTTTTAGAGAAAAGGACCGACGTCGATTCATAAGCGCCGGTCGTTGCCTGTGGGCACTCAAATGTCCTGGGAGGGACATGGCTTTGGGTGAAATTCGCCACTGCCTGTGCTTGTATCATCATTTCTATGATTCCTAGTGTAAAACTCCCAGACGTCACTAGGCATCTCCAGACGGTCCAATTCGACCGAACACGGGCCTTTCGGTTAGCTGTTATAATTGCAATATAGGCCAGTGATCGTATCTCTCCAACGGAATTGTCCCGGCGTAAATTTTCTGTTGAGATGGATGAGAGGAGTGAGGATGAGCAACAACACCTTCTTCACATCACTGTTCAAAAATTAGAAGATATGCTATCCAATGATTTTGTATGCTTCGTTCAGATCATTTTGGATCTTCGAGATACCGAAGTCTTTCCCAATGGCTGCAATGCCGTAGACAGTTGAATCTGTCTTCTCAGGCTCTTCGTGTCTTCGGCGAGGACAACCTCTGACCAAGTTAGGCTATATATACCCAAGTTGGTAAAGAAAGGAAGATGCTAATTACCTAAATGTCCTGTCTGATATACTCCTGTTGTAGCAGTTGGTCCTAATTTTGCTGCAACAATGAGTAAATGTCTTTCTGTATGCCATACCATAAGCTGTAGGTGGTCGGCCAGTTACGTAGACTTTTCCTTGTGCGCCAATAGGTCATCTCGCTAGGCATTCAGGTTTAAGGTGCCAGTTCTTCAACGCGAAAAGAGGATCTGCTACACAACGTTCTGTCCGTTTCTGACTCCATAGGTTGTTGCTTCCAATGCCCGGGGCTTGCTGCGAAGTATCCCGTATTTTTCAACGTTTTATGTGAAGATTTTCTTTCTGTTGAGTGCACTATTCGGTTGTTTCTGGAAGGGATGTGGGCAACTCGTTTTTGCACTTGTTGACAGGAAATTGGAGATTGGATCGGGGAGTGGAAGTTGTGGAAATCGGCATGTCGCGTTCCATCTCGAAGTTTCATATGTTAGTTCCCCTTCCTGCACTGCGCCTTCCGATCCTGATTCTTTGAGCTGCACTTGCGATCCAGAAAATAGTTGGTTGCCCAGGGGAAGATGTGATGCCTTTCCGGCGTTCCTTCCAACTAGATAACTAGTTAGCCAGATTAGGTAGTGAGGCCTCATGGACAAGGCCGCACATTGATTGTGGCATCGATGAGCTAGGGCTTACGATGCCACACCTATGTAGTCTGTACCCTGAAAATCTGCTGATATTCCCAAGCCAGATTTACTACTTTGAAGCATAGTATCTACAGATCTATAAAAGATCCGACTTTCAATCATATTGCTCCAATATCTATAAAGTAGAGTGGTAACAAGACCCGATAGTTGCATCATTCAACCACATGCCCTCGACTAGCGGCTTCAATCAGTTCAGACCAGCGTCTCGGCAGCCCTATGGCCTGTAGTAATACAAGCCCAAACGTAACCAATGCTATCAACAATCACCCAAGCTCCGACATCATATTGAGCACAGCTCGTCGTGCCAGCATACTGCGCCAGCCAATCAACAATATTGCGGCCCATATCACAGGTGACACCGGGGGTGGGGGTTACAGGCGATAGGACATTGCCCCGACGGTGCAACGCAGACCAGGTCCGTGGGGGAGGATGGGAAAGTCGAAGGTCATATACAGCCACTCATGTCCATTTTGGAAATTTCAGCTGACGTACACAGGTTTGGTCCACCCTGTGCGATGCTGACGAGGTCGTTACCTGTGTCATCTGTGATATTGGGAGTTTCCTGCCCTAAAACGGGGATTGACAGGAAGAGAGGGACGATGAATGAGACACAATGCTCTGAGATCTTCATTTTGATAGATCAGAGGCCAACTTAGAGCAAGTGAAATGCACAAAAATCTACACCTCGAGTACAGTGGCGAATCTTGTTGATTTGTAGGGGAAATAAACAGAAGCTATGATGTAAACCTGCCGTGCAGACGTGTGTCGGCCCCATCAACCTCACATTTAATGCAATCGGCTCTCGTTTCCGTAGAGCTTCCAAGGTTTTCTATCTCGACATCCAATGAACACGCATCTCGCAAAAGGTACATTGCACCATCCGCCGCAAGTCCTTGCCGTCGTACTGGTCGTTGAATGCTGAGATCCGGGTGAGCCGAAAATTAAAGACTTGGATCCGCTGATCGCTGTCTTGTGTCCTGTTGCAAGAAGGGACGGAGAAATGAGCATTGTTAGAAATCCGTTAAAATAGTTCTTCGTTAGCATGAGAGGTCTGATGGAGAAGACCGTTTCGCCAAATTTCGGGCTTCTTAAAAGAATCAGGTATCACCTTCACAATGTAATCTACACCAAAACACTACTACACGCGAGACAAAAGAGAGAAAGAAGACCAAGCTACTAGATAGAATATGCGAAAATCGATGATTTCATTTCAATATCGTCATGAGGATATAAAGACCACAAAAGCTTTTTCAAAGACCACATCGTTTAGTTGCCGAGCTTCTGGCGAGCAAAGTTGGGCAGAACAAAGCTGGCGCGGTGGATGTCCTGGTTGTAGTAGCGGCAGAGCTTCTGCTCCTCCTCAGCGGTCCAGGTGCGGAGGGGCTCACGGACGTTGCGGGTGGCGTCCTTGGAGCAGACCATGAAGCCAATCTGGCCGGAGGGGTAGGTGGGGATGGTGGTGTAGGCGTACTCGGCAACGGGGAAGACCTCCTTGCAGGACTTCTTAAGTTCGGAAATCATGTCAAGGTGGAGCCATTGGTTCTCGGCTGTCAGATATAAAGCACAGCTCCGCAAAACCGAGCCCGTGGAGCGGGTTGGTTGCGGGGGTGGTGCGAGAAAGATTAGCGTGTGATCCAGTTTTTGGAGTGGTAAAACAAGAGGGGGTGGGCAACCAGGACTGATTTTTCTAGGAAAGGGAATGGGCAAGGGAAAGAAAAAAGAAAGTGACGAACAACCTTGGGTAGTGATGACACCTCCCTCGCGAAGGGCAGAATTCAGCAGCTCAAAGTAAGGCTTCTGGAAGAGGCTCTCGGCGGGACCCTCAGGGTCGGAGCTGTCAGTGATGATAACATCGAACTCGTTCTGGCGGTTCTTGAGGAACTCGAAGCCGTCACCAACGTGGGTGTGGGCGTTGGGGTGCTGGAAACCAATGGCCATACCGGGAAGGTACTTCTTGGAAACACGGATGACAGCCTCGTCGATGTCACACAGGGTAGCCTCCTTGACGGAGGCGTGCTTGACAACCTCACGGAGGACACCGCCGTCACCGCCACCAATGACGAGGACCTTCTCGGGGTTGGGGTGGGAGTTCATGGCGAGGTGGGTGATCATCTCCTGGTAAGAGAACTCATCGCGCTCAGTGCACTGGATAACGTTGTCCAGGACAAGAACAGTACCGTAGTCGCTGCTCTCGAAGACGAGGACATCCTGGTACTTGGACTTCTCGTGGTGAATGATCTGGTTGACCTTGAGGCTCATGGCCTGACCGGGCCACATACCGGACTTCTCAGAGAACCAGCCATCTGTAGAATCGCATCAGTAAGTTATGTAACAAATTGACCAGAAGGTGGGGTAGCGGAGGGGTAGGTTGTTAAAGACATACCCTGGATAGTGGGGTGGGTGAGCTCGCTCATTTTGATTGGGAAAGAAGAGAACAGACGGTGGAAAATAGATGATGAGTAAAAAGCAGAAGAGAGTCTGGAGAGACGAAGCATTCGAAGAAAAAGGGCACGGCGGAAGTTTGGCTGTTTTGGGCGATTTTTTTTGTTTCCTCTTGGCTTAAGTGGGGAACCGCTGCTGTGCTGCCACCAACAGCCCCCCGAAATACCCTTAGAGACTGAACTAGACCAATTCCATGCATTATAGGTATTAGCTACCTCTAGTAGCCCTTGATTGATTGCAATTCCACCCGCTAAACATGCCCCATGCCTATAATTGCGCATGGACACCTAAGGAACCAATAGAGAGCCCTAGAAAGACGATTACTCAGGCTTGACTCTGGAAATAAGAAAATACAGACCTCTAAGGTGCAAAAAATTGGCTGACAAAAGGAAAATCAAATGGTCGATTGCTTTCTAGTTACTGTACAAGCATAAAGCTCCCCTAGACTGCAGAGTCTTAGGTGTGTCATGCTCTGTTATACCAATCCAACCTCACTCCAACAAACAAATTGAAATAATTTACTCTTCATCACCACCTTCGAGAAGACGGCCGGGCTTGGAGTTCAGGAACTCGTTGCTAAAGCATCACATTAGCGCATCGATCGAAGCAGCTCCTACAGTATTCCTTACCGCTCAATGGCCCAGTTCATGAGGGCGTATGCAGCAATGAAAGGGGGAGCAACGTAGAGAACCTGGTGACGGAAACGACGGAAGACGTTGAAGATAGCAGCGTGGGCGGCACCGGCCATGGGACGCTGACGGTTGGGGGACAGCGAGTAGGTGGCAATGCGCTGGGGGGTCGGGCAACCTGCAAGATGGATATTAGCGATCTGTTTGATTTGCGTTCTCCTGCTCTGTTCCCCCGAGTTTTTCTCCGATTCTTACGCGATTTCAAAGATCGCGTAAGAGGTCGGTCTTTTGCGCATGCATCGGGTCCGTATGAATGTTTTAAGGGTTA